GTTACCTCTATAACCTAATAGAATTCCTACTTAAGTAAGGAAAAGGTATTTTAAAATATTTAAAAGAGACTATTAATTATAATATTACCTATTAAGGTAATATAGATATTAATAACTCTAATAATACCCTTAATTTAGTAGGATATACTAATTTTAACTAGGTAAGTTATAAAAAAACTAGAAAATCTACTTCTAGTTATATCTTTACCTTATTAGGGGGCCCTATTAGTTAGAAATCTAAAAAACAGTTAACTATATCCCTATCTACTACTAAGGCTAAATTTAATAGCCTATAGGAAGCTATTAGGGAGGCAGTCTAGCTAAAAGGCTTATTATCTAAAATAGGGTATAATATAACCCCTATAAATATTAAAACAGATAATAATGCAGCCTTAAGCTTAGCCTATAACCCTAAATATTATTAGAGGACTAAGCATACTGCCTTATACTACTACTATACTTATTAAGAAGTTAAAAATAGTAATATAGAAGTAGAATATATTCCTACTTCTTCTATACCTACAGATAGCTTAACAAAACCCCTTCCTAAGGTTAAATTTTAAGAATTTGTTAAGCTTATAGGCCTATTTAACAATAATAAGCCTATATAATATACCTATATATATAGTATATTTTTTCCTACTATTATTAGGATTTTTTATTAATAAGTTATTATACTTATTAATATTTACCCTACACGCTACTGCGTAACTCTAGGGTAACTTTTTTCACTTAACCACTTTTACTCTATAATAGAGCAAAAGAGGGAGTATTAGAAGTAAGAATATCTCTAAGTATTCTTATACTTCTTTATCTTATATTTCCTCTATTATAGAGGTTATATATATATAAGATATATATATTTATAATCTACTTACTTAGTAGATTAATATATATATTAATTACGTAAGCATGCCTGATTACGTAATTAACTAAAGATTAGAGAAGGTACTAGAATGTCTAAGATCTCTCTAGATCCTACCTTCTACCTCTGTTGTTCCTATAAGGTTATTGTTTTAAGTTAGGGTTATTTACTTAAGGTTATTATGTTACGTAACTAAGGGTTAATTTATAAGCAGCTTACGTAAGTATGGAATATTCTAGTAAGCTGTATAGGTTTATATAAGGGCTGGAATTCTTCCTGTTTCTAGTTTCCTTTCCTTCTCTCTCTAAGTAAGTAAATAGTTAATAATCTAACTACTATACTCTCTTTTAACTATATATCCTTATATCTTCTATTTATCTACCCTAGGTATAAGTATTTATATCTCCCTTTTATCCTATACTCTTGCTTCTATAGGATATATCTTTATATAAGAGATATACTCTCTTATATTCTCCTAAGCTAGAATTCTCTATCTAAGAGACTAGCTTACCTGTTGTGCTAACATATAATAATAAGTAATACACTATTTCTCTTTTACCTATAGGATATAGATTACTATAGTATAAAATTTAATAACCTTACTAACTAGCTTATTAAGGACAAGATTATTATACCTATTACCTAAAAATAAGGCTATATATAGATACTTTTAGAACTACCTAAAAGTACTATTATAGAGCAGCACCTTATAGATAGTAAATTACACTAAATTTACTACTAATTTAGTTACCTATTAGTAAATTACCTTTATAAGCTACTTAAATAAGTAGGTAAATTAACCTCCCTTACTACACTTAAAGAGATTAATAAATACTACTATTACTACTAACTTAACGTAAAGGCGCCTAGTTACTTTAAGTTTATACTATATAATAACTATAAGTTTAACTATAAAATTATTATTAATATAATATATTTAAAGGGTAATAAGCCTATACTTTATATAGTTAACTTAGCTATAGCGTTTAATATAGTAAGATTCTTATATTTAATTACTATAGAACATACTTAGGAGGCACTATAGATATATTAGATTAATATATACTTTAGCCTACCTAATTAGATTACTACTAATGCTAGCCTAAATTTTTATATAGCTAAATTTAAACATACTGCCTATACGTTATCTATTCAGGTTAATAAAGTGCCTATTAAGACCTATTAATCTATTAGTAAGGTTAAGTAATACTATACTACCTTTTACTATATATATAAGATTATCTATATAAATAGTAATTATAAGCCTAAAGTTACCTTTTAATTAGCTGTTAAAGCTATTAATAATACTACTAGCCCTAATAGCCTTATACTAACTCTACTTATTTTTAAGGTATACCCCTATATTATAGATAATTTACTACCTACCCCTTCTACTATATAGCGCACTAAAGTAGTAAAAAAGGCTATAAACGTAGTATAGTAAATCTATATAAAGAGATAAGTATATAATATACTAGTAATATATAATAGCCTAGATATAATAAATACTATAGCACTACCCCTTTAATTACTTATTTATATATAGTATAAGAGAGATAGCTAGTAAGGCCTATTTTACCTACTTACTAATAATAGTACTACTTATACTATTAAATTACCTTATAGCTTATATAATTTTTATATTACTATAGTAAAGCTATACTATATAGCGTAAGAAGAAGGCTAATTAGCACTACTACTTATAACAGCTAAAGAAGGTAATAATCCTATATAAGCATAAAAAGAAGAGCCTATAACAGCTAGTAAATCTATAAAAGAAGTATATAATACTATTATTATTAATAATAGGCTACCCCTATAATAAGGCTATAGCTACCTATAGAAAAACCTAATTACTACCTTTTTTTATAAGATATACCTTACTGTTAACGTCTTTAATATATACCTTACTATAAAGGAGAAAGCTAACTATATACTTACTATTAAACTATAAGAAAAAGGTATTATTACTACGCCTAGTAGGCCCTTTAAAGAATTTAATAAGGTAGAGGTAAAAGCCCTTATTAACTATAGTGTATTTTATATTATTACTTATAATAAGAAAACGTATAGTAACGTATAGATCTTTAAGTTATATATAGTATATAAGGTTAAAAAAAATAAGTAACTATATAAGAAATTATAGTTAGTTATCTAAGGTTATACTAATAATAGTAAGAAAATAATTCTTATATAGTTACTTATAATCTAATAGATAGCCTAGTAACTAATTTTTACTTTTACCTTATTACTTTTATAATATAGATTTTACCTCTAGTTATATAATATTACCTAGGTGTATACCTAATTTATAACACTACTTAATTATATTATTCTTTTAAGACTTCTTATATAAATTTACTATCTTTACCTTAGTAACTTTATTATAAAGGTAATAAAGCTGCTTTATAGTATTACTAAAGCAGGCACCTACTAGTAGGCTATATATAACTATTACTATAGAGAGAATCTCTAGATAGATTTATTAACCTTTAACCTCTACCTACTTATTTTATTAGCTAATAATAAGGATTTTAGCCTTATTAGTATATAAATAGATAATATAATTAGCCTTATAAATAATAGATTCTCTACTTATAAGGAGAAAGAGCTTAAGAAGGTAACTTTTACTATAAAGCCTAAGTAACTATTAACTATTAATAATTTTATTACCTTTAATAGTAGTATACTTTCCCTTAGCTATAATAGTAAAATAAAATTTTACTAAAAAGATTAAGGTAAGAAGCTCTAGCCTGTTAATATAAATTTACTTACTACTAAGTAAGATTTTACTTAGTAAAGGGCCTATAGGGCGTATATTACGTTAATCTACTAACCTAAGGCTTACTTTAACTATTTAGTTACTATATAACACTAAGAGCCTATAGAGGAGGAGATTAAGGCTCTTAACTACTAGATTAAGTAGTAAATAAGTTACCTTAACTACAGCCTGCTTTTTTAGCTAATTAACCTTATAACTATAAAGCTTTTTATATTTATTAATAGCTTATTTATAAATAACTATAATTTTATATTATAACTTAGTTTTATTATTATACTTACTAATAAAAGTAGTACTATATAACTTACTACTAATAATAAGAAATTTATACTTACTAGTAATATTATCTACTTTAGCTTAATAAAATATAAAAAAGTTATATATAGCGTACTAGCCTCTAAAGTCTATAGTATAGTTACTAGTACTAATATTACCTATATAATTAGTACTATAATTATAATAATTACTAACTGCCTTAAGTTACTATAAATCCTAATAATTCTTTATACTAACTTATACTCCCTCTATAAGTGCCTTATAAAGCTTAGCACTACTAAAAAAAAGTAACTTATAATTAATATTATAGCGCTTTACTAGTTATATAAGTAACATAAGATCTATAAGATCTAATAGATATAAGAGGAAAATAACCTAGTAGATAGATTTATAAAGGTATTACCTAATAAAGCGCTAGAGTAGTTAATTAATAGTAGTTAATTAAAGATATAAATAAATAAATAGGTTTTATATATATAATAAGTTATATATAAAAAGTATTAAATACTTTTTAGCTTTTTGTTTTTATTACGTTTTTAGGCCTTTTATAAATAACTAGAAAATAAGATAATTTATAGCACTTTAGAAGGTTACTAGTGTTATAATATTGACTATTACCTAGATATTAGTAGTATAGATTAACACTAAACAGCCAGAATAACTACGGCTAATTTGCTGTAGATCCACTGGATTTATAGGGATATTACGCAGTGGATTCGCTACGTAATCCTATAATAGTTTCTTTTCCTTTACGCATAATTCAGAACTAGTATTTACCCCTATTATTTGTCACTGCCTATTAATACGTACGGTTAACCGTATCACCAACCTGGTGAAACCAACACCCACATAAGAGTGCCAGTTGTTTTACCCTTTCCCGCCATCTCAAACTCTGGAGTCGTCACCCCCATTTGGATTCAAGGTTTCCAATAGCCACGGACTTGGTGTTCTGATACTCTGCCAGACCATACTCGCTTGCCCTCGCGCCCGAGTCCACTTCCATTCACACTACCAAGCGGCGATCCGGCCGCGATGATGAGGCCTGGTGTTGACTCTCAGCATGTCGCAATCCAGGCGTCATGCCACACGCACGTCCCGGGAGATGTTCCAGCTGGAGCAATTTCCGGCAAGACCGCACTCCATCGCGTTGACCAGCTCGACCGCCTTGGTCTCGGTCCCGAAGGGGACAATGGCTGCCAGCGGGCCAAAGATCTCGTCGTGCGCAACCCCCATCTCGATCGTGACCCCCTGATAAATGTGGGCTCGTAGGATTATCCTTTTAAATCTACTGGGAACTTCTCAGCTGTGTGTAGAACGGCGCCTTTCGCAGGCGCGCCCTTCACGTGGGCGTCAAGCTTCTGGAAGGCGGCGGCGTTGACGAGAGGGCCATGTGTGGTGCCCTCGTCGATGTCTTGGACGAGCCTGTACCCCTCCACGCGCTGGGCTATCTTCTTGATAAGCTCGTATTGGAATTTCTCGTGAACAAGAAACCTGTCGAAACACTTTTATCTGTGTGTTGGTTGGGTACCGGGGGATACGGAAGAGCCCGTATGCTTATCGCGCAGGTCTCGAAGCACCTTCCCGACGCCCGTGGAGCTAGTGAAGCTGAGCTTCTTCACAATGGAGTTATTTACAAGCTCTATTGAAGCCTCCCTATCCTTGGCTGGCACTATATGGATGATTTACTGGGGAACGTCGGCGGCCAGAGCGAACGTGGCGAGCGCTGGGGTGTTGAAGGGAGTGTTCCGTTTGGATGCCTTGATAATGACTGAGCACCCTGTTGCAAACACAGGCTCGATTTTGCGCATGACCAAAGCGACTGAGAATTTGCACGGGGTGGTAATACCGCAGACGCTCACCGGCTCTTTGAATGCCAAGGCCGTGGTGTTGCGTACGATGACGGGATAGTGTCGCTGTACGAGCGCGCCGCCTCTTCTGCAAACTATGAGATGAATAGACAGGGCGCGAACCACCTCGCCCTTCATCTCAACAGATGCCTTGCCGTTCTCGAGCTATATAATCAAAGCCATAGACAGCCGGGTGTCAGTCGTGCATGTACCCTGATAAGATCGAGGGCTCACCCTTTCTGGCATCCGAGCGAGTTCACTGCGGCTCATTCAGAGCAGCCGCCGAAGCTGACGGCAACAGTTCAGACGAGACCAACACTAATAATGGCGACCGTGTGTGGTTTGATGTATGATGCATTCCATCCTCAACAAAATGATGGCCTGATGAACTAGCCATCGGATACCTGCAGATCACATGTGGACAATAGTACAGGAACACGGTTGTCTGCGATACCTAAATTAACATTGCTGTCCCAGTCGGCCCCTTTCATACCGAATATTCCCTAATACTTCATGGAAAAATACCGGTGTTCATGTAAATGAAGCTAATATCAAGCAGATATCCCCATTTCTAGAAGTTGGGTCACCCTCCTCCCATTTTCCAACAATCTTGTCATCAAGGCGCCGTTCATGCAAGCCTGACCAACCAACCTGTACTGTCCTCTTCTACCACAGGGTCTGATGACAATAGGAATTTCAGTCCCGAACAGAATCGCGCATACATCCCTTCGTCGCATGATGGAGGGTCGAAGGCCACAGCATCCTCGCTTGCTTAAAAGGAATCTCGTCTTCGTTCTGCTATATTGGAACTGGTTTACCACATATCCATTGCGATGCACATTCATGAAAGAGATGACAAATCTTTCCAACTCCTTCCACAATGTACCACTATCGAGAGGGCAGAATCGAACGAACAAGGCGAGCAAGTCCCTATACTCTTCCCTGTTCGTGTGTTTCCTTCTGTAGTGACAGACGAGTTCAAGAGCAAATAAAAGCAGCTCATCATTTCCATAAATGTACGGGTATCTTTGCGGCTTTCTCGGTAAGGTCCCAGCAGTCTGCGACCAATTTGCCTGGCCCCGATGATGATCGCTCAAAATCTGCTTTCATCATCGTGTCGGTGTAAACGGCAACTGTGTCAAACAGCAGAAAAGACAGATGAAGCCTGGGCTCAAATAGTCTTGAGCTGAAAGATAGCGGGTCGTTTCTGCAACGCGGAGACTAGCATCCCAGGTTTCCCAGAAGGCATCGGAGGCGTCGTCGTGGCTGACGTCTCATCTTGGGACCCATCACGGAACATTGCAGCCCGGATCTAAGTTTGTTGGTTGATTCTGGAGGCGGTCTGCCACGACAACACGGAGATCCTCCAGCGTGATTTTGTAGCTCTCCTGGATAAGCGGCTTGTTGATTACTTGTACCAAAGCCTTTGGATGGCCAGGAATGCGAATAACCTGCTGATCCGCGAACTGCTGGAGTGGGGCGCGTTGACCACACGTTCCAGAAGGTATACGATAGAGATCTTAAACGTCTCTGATGTCTTGCCCAAGGATGCAGTTTCTGCTTCCTTCAGTCAAGGAAAAGAGGACAAACATGAGAATTTCTCCGAAGACAGGCTATCGTATTAGTGGGCGGTACTTTGCATTGTGTAGACAGGGCCAATACCAGCGAAACTAGTCAAGGGATGATCAGATATTCGAGCGAAGTAGGCCAAGCCGCTTACCTTCGCATTACTGCCTCGCCGAGGATTCGATAGCACATTACAAGGACTCGAAGGGAGCATCTCCTCCCAAGATAAACCAGAACCCTTGAATATGGGCTCGTTACTCTCCGGAAAATGGGACAACACGGAGAGAATCAATCCTCGGAGCATCCCGCCAGCATCGAAATCGTGAGCGGAGTATTGCCACCACTGCTCTGACTTCGGCGGCCAAGGCCAAACTTCAAGTATCGGCTCAACGTAGTAATGATTGCCGCAGCACGCCACCTGGTATTAGCTGCGTGAGCTCACAACGATCTCCAAGTTTCGCCGGGCGATATGATGGTGGCTTTCAATCTGATAATCCAAGTCCTTGTGGGAGTAGCCTATGTCGCCTCCCCCAATTCCCTGGATTGTCTTCGAGATTTCTGGGACCTGTATAACTCGTACGAGTCTCGAGTGATGTTTTTGTAGATGATCTGCAAGTATTAGCGTCTTTACAAGAGCCCTACTGACAGTTTCTAGACCACGATTATCAACATTGAATCTATTTGTAATCCTCTGGGACAGCAGTCCTGCTTTTGCTGTCTTTACCAAGGTCCTTCGAGGCCATTGCCAATCATGGAATAATATACATAACCGTATGTTTTCTCGCCAGCCCTATCAGCACATCTTTTTATCCGCCTTGTTGCTCGGTATTCTATCAGCAGTTTGTCAGCCATGCTTGAAACCGCGAACCTCCCAACCCATCGTCGTGCATGGCGCCGCACCGATGACTTGACCCCTGGCGCGCCCAAAGTGAAGCTCGTCGTCAAGCCGCTCCGCTTGCCCCTATCGCCCACGCAAGTTCTCATCAAAGTCCGCGCCGTCGCCCTCAACTACCGCGACGCCAACATCGCCAACGGCGGCAACCCCTGGCCCGTGCTGCCCCGCGGCATACTGGGCAACGACGCGGCGGGCGACAAGGTGGGGGGTCCTTGGTAGTGGGTGACCGCGTGGCGCCCGTTATCGACACGGAGTTTGTGACCGGCCGCGAGCCCGGGCGGTCGTGGCGTGCCGCGGACCAGGACGCCGTGCTTGCGGACCACCTCGTGTTCGACGAGAAGCTGCTGGCGAAGCTCCCTCCGCATGTTGACTGGGTCAACTGGAGTATCATCCCGTGCGCCGGCGCGACCGCCTGGTCTGCGCGCAAGGGCTTGTCGATCGGCCAAAGCGTCCTGAGTCAGGGTACTGACTGCAAGCCGCTTCACTCACCAGCTCAGAAGAGCTGAAGACGAAGACAGACACGGGAGGCGTCGCCATGTTTGCACTCAAACTTGCGCAAGCTTCCGGGTTCAAGATCATCCTCAGTTCTCCGAGCGACGCAAAGATCGAGGCGACCCAGAAAGCCTCTCCCTCCGCGCCTGTATACGGCGTTAGTAATAGCGCGAATCCTAACTAGCACACCGATGTGCTCGAGCTGACAGGTGGCGTGTGCGTCAACCTGGTGGTTGGGAACGGAGGGACTCCATCGCTCGTGCAGAGCGTGAAATGCACACGCCGTGGTGGCGTCGTGAGCCAAGTCGGGTACCTAGGCGAGCGGAACCCGGCTCATTTGAAGGACTTTGTGTCGACGATTCTTGACAGAAGAGTTAACGTCAGGTAAGGTCGCGGTGATGTCTAATCCTTGCCGACATGAAGCTTAGTTTGTTCCAGGGGCATCAATACGGGATCAAGCCTTGATCTGGAGGATCTCTGTGCCGCTATATCCGCCACGGTCTGACTCGGGTTCGACGACATAATCGATTCCGTCTTTGAGTTTGAACCATCGGAAAAAGGCAATCAGCTACCTCTGAGAAGGCAGGCCGGTTGGAAAATTGGTTCTGCGCTTATAAATAGTCATCTGGTTATGTACATGATGATACCTGGGGCGCATCTTCATGGCTGAACTGAACGCCGCTTGTTGGTCATAACGCATTAACACATGATATTGAATATAACAAATGCAGGAGGTCTAGCCCAATGGAGTTAAATCTCCCCTGAACGGCCTCTGGACCGAATCCCTCTTCGCTTCGTCGATCTTCCAAACGCCCTTAGTATGCTTGTCGTGCAACTGCCAATCAACGGATTTAGCCAACCGGTGGAAGACGTCGTGCTCCTCTCCCGGGATGCTCTTGAAAAACAACGGTTCCCAGCTCTCGCCCTTCTTCTTTTCCTCGGCTCTCATGCGCCGTTGCGCCTCTTCCACCTGGCTCTTGGCGTTCACCGTCTGCCGGAAGTCGTTCCTGCTCAGCCCCTCGATCACCCCGTTCCACGCCCGCCTCGACTCCCACGGGTCCTGGTTCTGGACCGGTTCGATCTCCATGGGCGCGGGGAGGTTCTCGAGCGCGTCGACCTCGTATTTCTCGATGATCTCGCCCGTCCTGCCGTCCTTGATCGTCCAGCCCTCGCTCCAGCACCCTTGCAGCTCGTAGATTGTGTTCTTCTTGTCGTTCTTGTGGTACATGCGCGCCTCGAACGAGTTCTTCTTTCCCCGGAAGACGCCGCTCCCAGAGAACTTCATCTCGGAGACGTACCCCGTGTTGGAGACGATGTAGTACGTCCCCAGGACCTCGGGGTACAAGCAAGCATTCAGGAAGCCGCGGACCTTGACCTCGGGCAAGGGGATGAGGTAGTCCTCGTCGTAGCGGTCGATGTGAATGATGGCGTGACCGACCTGGCGGATGTTGACGCTGCTAGAAAAGGTCATCTCGACGCGGGCGTAGCCGTCGGCGCGGATACCGTGCTCCTTGCTGCCCATGTGCATCGCCGTGATGGGCGGGTGGTGGCTGACCTGCTCGGCGACGAGCTCCGTCCTGGCCTTGCGGTCCTGGTCCGTCCATGAGGCGAGGAACAGCTCGCCCAGGAAGGCGTTGAGGGGCTTCTTGATGCTGACGCTGGGCGCGCCGGCGACGTAGAACTGGCTGCGCATGGCGATTAGGATCATGCGCAGCACCTTTAGGCTGCGCTTCTCCGGATCGGGCTCCAGCGCCGGGGCGACAAAGACCCCGGGCCGCTGGCACCAGCAGTGGCCGACCTCGACGACGGATGACGGCGCCAGAAACGAGGGAGGGGCGGTGACATTGGACAGGTCGCCTTGTACTGATGATAGAAACTAAAAGCCGTCACTTTTCGTCAGCGGTGTGTTTCCGTGAATCATGCGCGCTAACAAGTCGCCCCTCTTGAAAAGGTCGCTCAGTTGCACAGTTGGGAGGCATTGCTGCTTGCTTACTTTGACCAGGTCGCTAATGCGTGATGAGAACGATTTTCCATCCATGTTTCTTTCTTCTTCTCTTTTTGTCCTGTGTTCCCTTCTGATGCCGTGGGTATCTGATATTCGTGTCGGTATTCGTATCCGGTGGTCGCCCCCTTTTTGAGTGTTTCTTGGGACGGTTTTCCAATAGTTGACACAGGTCTTTTGTCGTTTCTGGACCTGATGGAAACTTGTGTTATTCCGTGGCAGCAGGCCTTCAAAAAGGGTCGAATGTCTCGTCTCTTCCAGGGGACGGGGGTTTCAGCTCTGTTTCAGCCAATACTTTAAGCACGTCCAGAATGATACAGTCGATCAGCCGAGTTTTGGGTACCAAACAAAGAGAAACAAGCACGGCACAGTTATATGTTAAGGAACAGAGCCCACTCGAGACCCTTATTGTCTAGGAAATGGTTGGGGATGCAGCGTCTTTTGACATGATCTCGAACCTCCCCCCGCCTCTCGTCAGTCGGACGAAACTAGCATGTGAAAGTTGTGCACTGCATTGATCGTTTCCCAAGCGTCTGGATCCTCGATGCTACACGCGCGTTGGCCCCCCAGCCCCCCCCCCTCCCAAGTATGTCCAATAACCCTCTGTTCCCTTTCCAGTCTGACAGGCACAGTCTCAGCCAGCTACCCCTGTCCAGCTCACTCACACTCGGTGATGCGCCTCCCGGGGAGGCCTGTGCTGTTCTGCCGCCGGCGCAACATCCTCCCGTCATCGCTTTCCCAAGCTCTCGGATCGGACGAAATGCCGCCTGTTAGGCGGGTCGTCTGTCTTGCCGATGAAGGCTTTCCCCCGATCGGTTGGTGGGAAGCTTTTGGACGGACCAGGATCACAGGCTAACGTCACACACCCACACGCTGGGCATGGGTTGTGTGCAAACACGGGAGAATCTTAACCTTGGTTTATCTGGTTTATTGGGCCTCGAATGGAGAAGCCTTGAGCTAGAGCAGCCGGTCTGTAACTATAACCCACCAGACGCCGACGCTAGGGCGTAGGACCGCGACTCGAGCTGCATGTTTCCTGGCTTTTCCCCCATCGTGCGTCCAATCACCGAAACACACTTGTCCGACGATCTCTCAGTCCGCTGCCTCGTATATTGTCGAACTTGCGACGCGCGCCGCCGAACCGTCGTTTGCGCCAACGCAACGCAATGCGGCGCGTGGGAGTGGCCTTTCACAACTTTCCAAAAGTCTGTTGACCTGCAACACCACCATAATCACCGGGCTGTGCGACCATCACGTCATCAGCCGCGTCCCCGACAACGTACCAATTATTCACCAGCGCGGTGCCGTTGATGACCTTCTCCCAAATCTCGGGATGGCACGTCTCTGGCTTCAGCACGTAGCAGATCGGGTCCGGCTGCGGCGGCGGGACGTTCTTGATGTGCCATGTGTCCCTGACGCCGACGGTCGACAGCTCGTCCGTCACGGGGGTCAGCCCCGTTGCGATGTCCCGGTTGAAGGTCGCGCGCATGAAGACCTCGTACGCCGTCACGGGCTGGTACGCCGGCACCTCGTGGCCGGCCTGGTAAACCCGCGAGAAGCTGTAGTTGCCGAACTGTCGCGTCATCCCCGTCACCCCATCCGGCGTGACGAGGGGAGCGTATCCGGCGTTGGCAAAGTCAACCGACCGGTTGTATGGGATCGCCAGGCTAGCTTTTTCGCCCCCCACCCAGTTGCAGGCATAGTCGCGGTCACCGTCTACACAGCCGAGATGGCACGGTTAGAATCAAAGGGAGTTGACAGCAACTGCAGGATGGCCTTGGACAGAACATGGCGGGGCAACTCACACATCATGTGAACATTAACCCCATTGTCGAGAAGGTGCCCAATTGACTCGCTGAACCCGCCTAGGATTATATCTGGAATCCTCTAAGCATGCTGTTCGTCCAAAGTAGCCTCCCGCCCGAGGAGATGGGGCCTTTCTTACCAAATGTCTGGCTGAAGCTCTTGCTTACCGCACCCGCCGCCTCCGTGTAATTGACAGGCACGCCGAGTGATGATAGGACGTCGCCCTCGGTGAGATAGCCGTACAGATGCGGAGCCGGGAAGGGATCGTGTTTGTCGTGCGCAATGTCGTACCAGCCCTTTCCATCGGGCATCGTTTGATATAGCGCCACAGCTTCGACCCACTGGTCGAGGAAAAACCCGCAGATTTCTGTGACGTTCTTCTTGTCACGGCTCGCGAGGAACGGGCCATGCTCCTTAAGGGCCTCTCGGCAGTCAAGAATTCCATCTCTGACCCCATTCGGGCGTGTCCAATTGTACATCATCTCATCATGGATAGATTGGTTGAACGCCTGGATTCCATACGTCTTTGCGTTTCATCGTCAGCGATTCCGGCAGCCTCCGAGAAATGCAACGTCGCCAAGTGTTCTTTCACTTACGTTGTTGTAGTCGAAACTGATCCAGCTCTCGGCTTGGATCGTGAACTCAATGAGGCCGTTGACGATCCCCAGCGTATCGAGATGGATGAACTGGGCATTCTTCTCCGGTGAGGATCCGTTCCGGATGAGCTCGTTCTGGGTCTGGAAGTGCCGGAATATGCCCGGCCCGTAGTGTCCTCCGTAAGACTCCGTCCAGAGGCTGATGCGGTCATCGATAGGCTTGTAGCCGGGGAACTCGAAGAACCAGGTCTGGGCAAAGTGCCACAAAGCATGAGCAGCATGGGCCGTCGTGTTGGAAGTCTGCGAGACCTTCTGGCTAGAGGCCGTGCCGTACCGATACGTGAAGTTGGCCTCGGGGACCCCGTCACTGAAATCGGCGGGAAACATGTGCATACCAATACCTAGTCCAGGATCTTCGCTTTCATGGATAGAAACGTTCGTTGGGGTGTCGTAAGAGAACCCCATCTGAGTAGGCTGGTCAATGTATAAGAGGTTGACCTCGTTGTTCCAGCTCCACGGGTTCAGTCGAGTGGTCTTGGAGTCTTCGTTGACGAAGCAGGGACCATTTTCCTCGAGGAGTCCCATTATGGAAGACGCGCCAGGACCGCCGTTGAGCCAAATCGCCAACGGGGCATTCTCCGGTGCCTTGCGGGCCTCAAAGAACCAGAAGAAACTGTTGCACTTGTGAGCTCTGGCCAGATCAGCGCGTCGAAGTATCTCTCACGTGTTGACGGGGTAGTCCTGCGCTTCCCCATCGACGTCGTCCAGAGTACCAGGCGGCAGCCGCACGTAGCCCGCGTACGACTTGACCCCCGGCGTCGTCTCGCAGATCCCAGGCTAACAGAGAGAGGTCAATGGGACGGAGGAATCGGCGTTCACAAGTGATGCAATGCTTACCTCTTTGTAAGAAATCGTCACATTTTCGTGTAATTTGGACTTCAGCACTTTGATCCCTTCCGGGGTGGGCGGGAATTGCGCGGTCGCAAGCCCGATAAGCCCACCGAGCAACAACGAAGCGGAGGACAACATCTTAGCCTCGAACGCCGAATGCCAGTTTGGAGCAGGAAGAATTAACCTCAGAATTCAACGGGGCTTTCCGAGTTTTTAACGGGGACGATTACGATGTCTCTGTGCGTAAGACGTGACGCGTTGGTCATATCTCGACCCGAAGGATCACAAACGAGAGAGAGGGGGTGGGGGCGTTTCCGGCTTCGGGGTGCTGATTCGATGAAGACGTTGACCTTCCTATCCTGGTACAAGTAGCTCCGAAGCTCACCGGCGGCAGCCCGGCAATAGGAACCTTTCATGAGCGTGTTTGTATAGTTGATCGGGTTCTCTGCAGCATGTCTAGAATACTGCCCAACAGACTCCGATGAAGTTGTCAGGGCCAACCCGGGAAATGATGGTTTCTTGTGCGCTCATGTCGGTAGGACCTAGGTAGTCTTGTATCAAGTGACTTTCCCGTTGATCCACTGAGTTCCTCATGCGAACTCTGTTGAATTCGTCCCGCCGCAGCGCCCGACGCTCTTGCGAAGCAGAAACTCCTCAACGCTGTCGGCCAAAACCTTGTGCACGCTAGTGCAATGTGGCCAGAGTTCTACCAAAGGTACCGGCTAATGGACTAGCAGCCGTAAGTAATATAGTTCGTGTTAATTTCCCAATCCTTGTAAGTGGCGCAGAAGGATGTGGTGTTGGTGATGTTGAAATACGCGGCGTCGCTGAAGACCTGGGTAAGCCATTTGTACTGTGTACGCATCGAACTCTAAGGCCGTAGAGTCGGTGTGCTTCCCCGAGAAGATCTTGGCTGTCTAGTTGACGACCTCGTTGTATATCTTGATCATCTACGTACTTGGAAGGCTCGTTGGGTCGGACTGGAAAGCAGGCTGGTTGCTAATTAACACGTAGACCAAAAATGATCCGACTAATCAAGGCTTTCGTACATATTTGTTAAGTGGTGGCAGGTTCAGGAAGAGAAAGTGGCGGTGACCAGCATTGTATACAACTTCAAGAGCAGCAACCTGCTCTTCGATAACAGCGGTATAAAATTCTTGCTCAGTGCTCCAGCCATAATAAGAAAGCTTTGAATTGGCTATATCGTTGATGTCGTTGATCCCATTCCACGATGCCACCAGCGTCTTGGTGCTGTCGGCCTCAATAACCGGCTTTCCGTAGGTCTCCCATTGGTAGACCTGAGTCTCACACAATATGGTGTGCTTTCAATGGAGCGGAACACTGGTGCAATATTACTAAACTGGTCACTGAATCTAAATCCTTCCACTCACAATGTTGTTGAGACGTCAGCCCCCGCATAGGCAAAGTCCCACAGCTGCTTCTCACAGTCTCTAGGGTGTCCCTTCTTGCATTAAATAAGTTGTTGAGCGCAATTGGAACCACCCACTGAAGACATCTTCTGGCCTGGGACGATGCGGTCGCCAAGAAGCTATTCTCGGGCTAACGAGATGTTCAGCTGAGATCCGACGAAGCTGTCAGCCTAACGGCCTTCAGTCTCTTGAATAAATGTGAACGAGTCGACAAAAGTGAGCCTACGCATGTCATAAATGATCTCCTCGCAAAGTATACTGCACTGAAGGCTAATGGGGGCTACTTACACATACCCTGTGCTCTTTCAACTGAAAGGAATAAAACTTGTCACCGGAGCCGCAAGAACGATGGTAGAGGCTATCAATATCAAAGTTACTTTTTTGAGAATCAACTTGCCAAGCTTACAAGGCACATAAATGCTTTACTAAATACTCCGAATAGTGGGAGATATTCAACCCACGGAAAGCTCGGGGCTTTGATCGATGTTATGCGATTGTTATGTACCATTGTGCATCACTCTAGCCTCGCTCCTTCCTGCTTCCCCGCTCTGAGGAAATGGAAGCTCACGAGTGGAACATGTAGCGTTGACAGACAACAGGGGTACCCGTTTCAATAGGGTATAACTAATGGAAAGCTATACTCCCTAGTTATATCAGGACGTTTCGATTTTATAGTAATTGATAACACGTTCAAAGTTCAAAGATCTGTAAATTATTTGCTTTACTAGAGATATCCAAGGACGCTAAATCTTGCGTTATAGAGCTTGATAATTAGTTGTTACAAGCCCTCCAAAACTTAGAGTAGTGACAATGAATCCATAAGAACTTGATTGGTAATGTCAACAACCAAATCAGAGAAAGTGGAATCTTGCTTGAAAAGCCACAGTGAGTGCTATGCTAGCATCAGTCTGGGATTCGATTTAAAGGTGAGATAGAAAATAGTTCCTAAAAGACTCCTACAAGGACGCTTAACTGTTTTGAAAACGTAAAGGACCTAGCACAAGGCTTAGATGTAGACAAGGGAGGCAAAATTATTCCCCACACTTAATTTCTAGCACAATAGTACCATTGACCTCTCAGCGAAAGAGAGAGCCATGGTTGATTATTCTCCTCAGTAAGGCTTTAACTACACTGGAGATTGTGAGACTAGGGAAACTTGCAAGAACTAACAGCTGACAACTAACGAAGTTATGATTGTTTCTGTTGGAAAGACTTTTCTCGCGAGCTAGAGCACACAGCAGATAGGGAGATACGAATGAGTGAAAAAGGCTTGAATTGTGTGAAGACGAATCTCACGGGTGGAGGGCCTATATAAAGGGGGCCCTTGAGCTCGTTCATGTGACATGGCACGTGGTGTGGCTAACGGCATCCGCCACACATACATGAGCCTCCTGTGATAACTTTATATGGGTTGATGCATCAGCAAAACGGGGTTGTAAAAGCCATGGATTCTCCATGTCTAAGCTGGTCTGAGGTAGCTGCTTCTATAGACTTCTAGGCTGCTGGCCCATGCGTACAAATCAGTGGAATTTCGATTCCAGTTTCCTAGCTCACTTCCAACTATCAAGTTGTTGTTTTTAGAACAGTGAGGGTTTCTGTGACATCCTTGATTAGTACTACAGGTTCAGCCTTGCACGCATTAGACGACTTACAAAATGACACCGCTCAGTTTTTCCAACCAACAAGAGCGCAGCTGCCACCAGTCTAGAAGCTGTGCTCATTAGGTCGCGCATGTTTGGCCTCGCGGGGAATAAGGTTGCCATACGTCTGGAAATCTTCACCACCCGCTGGCTCCAAAGGCAAAGCTTCCCTTCGCTCCTTGGGAATGAGGTTGCCATACGTCTGGAAATCTTCGCCACCCGCTGGCTCCAAAGGCAAAGCTTCCCTTCGCTCGTTGGGAATGAGGTTGCCATACGTCTGGAAATCTTCACCACCCGCTGGCTTCAAAGGCAAAGCAACCACTAGGGCAGGAGTAAGGCATGCTGCCTGGAGCAGAAGTTGGATGAATTTCATAATTGAAATGAGGTAACTGGTGAAGATTGTACAAAGAGGTACTTGTAGTCAGAGGGAGAATAGTTGTTGTAATGTTGATATTGGATGATGGTTAGCTTTTTGTCTTGAATGGTGTGAATAGTCCTTTATATAATTGCGCCGAACAAGCGAAGTGAAGTCTCTGGAACACTCTTACCTCAACACCTTAGTAAGAAAGTTCTGAAACCGGTTGCTCTAGTACCATGGATTCGAACAACTAAGCTTTGCTCAAACATCCCGCAGTTGGCTGGTACCGATGAACCAGCCCAAGTCGCCCAATGGACATGTTGAGGCAATCAGACGGACGACGGTTAACGCACATCTACTGTTCTTCGGCTCGAACCAAAAGTCGGTAACAACAAGACTACTTGCTTCGACAAATCAAAAAAGAAAAAGAAAACAAAAGAAAAAAGCCCCCTCCCCCCCACAGGCAAGAAGCCACCTCTTCTGGAGCATCTTGGACACAGACCATGGATTCATGTGTCATCGCCAAACTGGCAGAAGCCTACAAGTACACGGCGGACTCAGGAAAAGACGTACGCATGTCAGCATGCATTTGAGCCCACATGGCATACTGTGGGCGTCGCACAGGCCGACGCATAATCCCTTGCTGGATTAGGAAAGCCATGTTAGGAGTTTGTCCACGTCATTGGTAGTTTATCTGAATGGACGCAAAATGTCAAGTGCTTGTCACTCTTTTCGAGTCATGCAGTTTGGCCAGTTCCGCTACTTACCATGGGCGAGACTTTCTAGTACCGAAAGTAAGGAGAGATTCCTTACAGGGTCTTCGGTTCTTCTTCATTCTGGGTGGTACCGACGAAACGTACGGCCCCGACGGCATGCTCGAGTAATGGCTCGCGGACAAGTACACCGGAGCAGTCACGCAAAACAACGCCCAGAAGCTCAGGGAATGAATCAGAGATGGAAGTAATAGTTCTCCTCGTTCTGGTTCCAGTTCTAGATCGATAACACTCGAAGCTCGGTTGGATACAGTGGGTAAACAACACCAAACCCAGGGAGCCCTCCCACAACAGTTCCCACTCGGGGTCGCCCCACAAGTGTTGGCCTTGCGAAGGATCACAGCCGTCCGGCGATCTAAGTGGTGACCGGCATTAGCGCCTTGATAAAGAAGAAAAGAACCCCTTAGAAGGAAGCCACATACACCTCCACAAGCCTCATTAGACTCACAGGGGAGTTTCGGGCCCACGGGGAGCGAGATAGGTACTACGACGGGGTAAAGAAGCTCCGCCTGCCTTGTGCTAAGGAGAGCGATGCTATCAGAATACGTTTCCTTTTACCGGCAAAGCGACCAGAAGCAAACATAGAAGCTATCAAGGCCCCGTAAGACATTCCTGGGGTGTCCAAAATGTTCTCGTAGAGAGTAAACGACTCGGGAAAAGAGGAGCCTCTGGGAGACGACGTTTTCGGAAAGAGAGAGCGCCCATCCTATAATTGCCTAAGAAAGAGAACATTCTGAACAGTCCAGCGCTTAAAAGTGAAGGGTTCGTGGATGAGGGCCAGTTCGTTCCTATCGTGGCTGGTACGTGGTGTGATTTCTACGCAGCAGTAATCGAGAATCTCGCGAGATCCATATGCCTACCCGCGTTCGAAACGTGGTTCCGAGCGCGCAAAGAGGCCACCAACGCAAAAGAACCACAAGACTTCCCATATTCTCAGACAACAAAATTTTCCTACCCATATATGGAGTTTTTTTGGATTCAGAGAAGGAGTGTGCGGATACGCCGTGGCAGCTCTCAATCCGCCCCCAGCCTTCTCGAAGGAACCCTGGTTCAAACAACAGGGCTTGCAGTACCAAGTGGACTGTAACGACTCATGACAACACGACAGAGCTTTAGCGACCGGGTTTTTTCTCACGCGAACGTCACCCAATGATGAATGCTTGCGGGATTAGTGTTACATGTAGTACTGTGGGAGCTCTCATACGCGACCTCGGTAGATCACGAGACGAAATTCCCTTGTGGGCTAATCTTACTCGTTGTTAGCGAATTTTGCGAGGTTCACAGCCTAACAAGCTTGTAGTTCAGTTAGTCGTCGCACCTTTCTTGAGTAGTTAACGTTCTTGTAGTACTCGTACGCTTCGTAATATGCCGTTCTGGACGGTTATGTAATTCGACTAGGTAGTCAAAAAAACGTTCGAGCATATGCAACAGCAGATAACCACAGCTACTTAGTTGAAATACGCCCTCAAGTTCAAAGATGAAAACGGTTAAGATGAGCAGTTCAATATGAGTATTTTTTCTAAGATAGATTCCTCTCCCTACATAGGAGGAATAATGAATGGATTTTGCCTCTTCTTAACGTATGAAGCTTTTAAGTGGGATATCTACCTGGTTAATTAATAGACTAGTGAATATCAGTAAGATATATAAGTAAGGAGTAAGACGCTACTTCATATAGTATATGACAGTTCTGTTTTATAATGTAGAAGTTGTTCAAGCTACTACAGCAGGTTACATGTATCCCCAACATCTTAGCTTCGAAGGCTGTTAAATGTGGCGCGCCTTCGTAAATAGTTTTACAAGACACATAACGCCTTGCAATGCAGGCCTTTCGCATCACCTTTCGGGTCGAGCGCCTCTGACAAGCCTACTCACAGTCCATTCTCCGTGTATCCTTATGGAGAAAGGAGTGGTAGCATGTATAAAACGGACATCCACAAACACCACAACTTCGCCACAACACCATCGGATTTCTCGTTCCGCCGCAGCATAGTCAATACAGCCATCATGGCTCCCACGCCGACAGGCGCGCCCCAGAAGACGGGCTGGAGGTCCCAGAAGATTGAGCACACGACCGACCAGAACAGGACCATCGCCGCGAGACCGCCGCGAGCAACGTCCTCGCCGTACAGCAACGGGACGGTCTTCCGACCTCGCGCTCTGTCCCCCTCCATATCCGGGAAGTCCAACGCCTGGACCGTCGTCGCGATCGCGGCCCCCGTCAAACCAATCCACCCCCACGCGGTGGGGAGCAGCTCTCCCCGCGAGAGGACCTCCAGCGACCCAGAGCCGAAGCACATGATGCCACACGTGTTGAGGGCGTTGCGCCCCCAGATGTAGGTGTTGCCGTCGAGGTCGTCGTACATCCAGAGTAGCGCCATCATCGACACGGTCGACTTGAACCCGCCCAGGGCAGCACTCATTCCGACCGCCAACGGAATCATGCCCAGGAGCAGCTTGCGCACTTGTTCGGCGGTGAGTCGTCTCGCGGCGATCGGGCGCCACGGTTTGTTGTGTTCGTCTTCGATCACGGACTTTTCCAGACGCTGGTTCGAGATGCCGCACACGATGAGGTTGACCCATATCCACAAGATGGCCAAGGGCAGTCGCTGTAGAGCCTCGCCCACCGTCTGGCTGGGAACCGTCGTGAGACGCTCGCGGCTGAGCATCGCCGAGGTGATGAAGATGACCTGGGGCACGAGCACGATTTTGACATCGCTCTTCGTAAACAGATAGAGAGTCTTCAGATGGAACAACACCCGCTGCACCTGCAATTTGTTAGCGACCATTGCGGTACCCTCGCTGGATATCGCGGCAGAGAGTATGCTCTTACCAAGTCCATGTGCTCGGTTGCAACTGTGGTCGAATAAGACAAGCCCACGCCGGAAGCCTTTTCAAGAATGTCGTCCTCTTCGGGAACCATCATCTTACATGTCGTCAAACGTAAGGAGATCAAACAAAGAACGGTTGCAACTGCACACTCAAATACCCGCCAGTAGGGCAAAGAAGGTTATTATATGCCGACATTGTCTACCATGGACTTGGGGAAGTCCGCGTTCTAAACGCAGTTGCCCTCGGCTAGAGGGTACCGGAACCTTGCTGTGGCGGCATCGTCTGAACTATGAGGCTTGAAACTAGAGGTTGGCCAAGGGTGCTTCAATGACTTTTGCGAAGCCGGACTGCTCGGAAGCCTTGGCCCCCATGCGGAAAAGAAGAGAGTAATATTTACATTGGATGAAATGAGTCCATCGACTAGAGCACGACCAGTGAAATCACGCGTTTTCCTTGATATTGCTTATCAGAAAAATGGCGACATGGACTTTTCAAACCGCTTGCCATTTGACGTTATCGTCTTGACTCGATCCGGCCCAAATGGCATCATATCGGGAAAGCCATGGCTCGTTTCTGTATACTATCTATTAGACTCTGGTGGCGTTTCCAATCCGGAGGGGAAAAGGCACAGGACTGGTCTGTAGGCATTTTGTTCATTTCAAATCCATCACGCGTTTGACGGCCAACGCCATAAACCTCTTTCAACCTAATTCGAAGGAACCTAGTGTGATCAAATCTTATCCCTAAGCACTTGCTATTCTGAGTTACCACACATGAAAAATTTTAACAGGAAAATGTTTTATTCTTCTGTTATTCACATATTACTAATATTTACAAAGGTCATAACTCATGCATCGTATGTTTTCCCTCTCCCCATAGAAACATTGGCAAACGAGACCTTTACGCCTGCACCGGAGTAATCTTGGCGAAAGCCTTCAAGTCTCTGCTGCTCCAGCCCACGCTGAGCGTGAACTCGCCGGCAGGGATAAGCCATTGCTGCGACACGACGTCCCAGTAGCTGAGGTCGCGGCGCATCAGAGGGAAGCCGACGTTCTTGGTCTCGCTGGCGGCGAGGGGCACCTTTTCGAAGCCACGGAGCTGCTTGGGAGGAGTGCCGGCAGGGGTGGTGTCGGCAGGGAAGGTGACGTAGAGCTGGGGAACAGCAGCGCCCTCGACTTCGCCAGTGTTGGTGATGGAGGCGGTGGCGTTGTAGATGGTGTCCCAGAGGGCAGGGTTGCCACCGGGCTCAATGGGGCGCTGCTCGGGGACGCTAGTGATGTTGTCCTCGACGGGGCTGGCCTCGAAGTTTGCAAGCTCGAAGGTGGTGTAGCTGAGACCGAAGCCAAACTCGTAGCGGACGGACATGTTGCGGGCGTCAAAGTAGCGGTAGTCGATCTCGAGCTTCTCATCGAACCAGCTCTGCCAGTCGTAAGAGCCGGTGGTGTTGATAGCAGTGGTGGGAGGGGCGTTGTAGTCGCTGCCGTTCAGGGCGATGGTGTAGGGAAGTCTGGCGGAGGGGTTAACATCGCCGTACAAGACGTCAACGAGGGAGTTGCCGGACTCCTGCCCGGGGTAGTGCGCGGCAAGGATGGCTGTGACGTTAGGGTGATCGGCCCAGGGGAGGGTGTTGATGCCGGAGGAGTGGGTGACGACGATGGTGTTGTTGCAGCTCTTTGCAACACTCTCAACAACGTCGTTGCCGTTCCAGTCGACATCGAGGTGCTGGCGGTCGGCGGCCTCCTCGGCCCAGGTCTTCAGAAAAACGAGGCAGACCTCGGGAAGCTTGGGAATCCAGAGGGTGGTGATGTCGGTTGTTGCGAGCTGGGTGTTGTTAAGCCACTGCTGGACGAGAGCACCATCCTTGGCGGCACGGGCCTTGATGGCCTCGAGCGGGGTGACGAGGTAGGTGAGACGACCGGTACCGGAACCACCACCGGAGGAGAGGGTGCCGTACTCGAAGTCATTCTGGTTGAGGAGGCCCTGAGTGTCCTCGCTGGCGTCGTTGCCAAAGACAGCAATGGACTTTGGCGCCTTGAGAGGGAGGGCCTTGTTCTCATTCTTGAGCAGGATGGTGGCGGCGGCGCCGTGCTTGCGGATCAGCTCGCCGTGGTTGCCACGGACGTCACGGCTGCGCTCGCCAGTGAAGGTGTAATTATAGGTCCACGTGGACTTGGGGGAGAATGTGTTAAGGTCGCCAGACGAGGCGTCGATGGTGGGGTAGTCCTTGTCTTGACCGAGCCAGTAGTAGGGGGTCATGATGCGGAGGATCATGTCATCGACGCGGCTGACATCGAGGGTGCCGTTGTTGACGGCAGTGGTGACATTGCCACCAAAGAAAGAGCCGCTTGCCCAGTTCATTCCGTAGGTTCCAAGACCACCTGCGAACATGTTAGTGGTTATCTTTTCAGGAACGAACACGTTTTCGGTGTTTCTTACCAGGCATGTCCATGTCAAGACCCGCCTCAATGGCAGCGACACCAGTGTGCGTACTGTTCGACATATTAGTATCATTCGGTTGACTGTATGGCATTGTAGGTTAAAAACTCACGCTCCCCAGTCAGACATGACGTAGCCATCAAAACCAAGCTCAGTCTTCAACAGGCCGTTGAGAGACTTGGAGTTTTGGCAGCCGTACGAGCCGTTGATACGCTGGTACGAGCACATGAAAGCGGCAGCACGTGCCTTGACGGCATCAGCAAAGGGCCACATGTATAGTTCATGAATCGTGCGGTCGTCGACGTTGGAAGATATAGCCTGTTCGACAATGTCGGTGGAGGTGCCGTTGGGGTCGAAAGTTGGGTTGCGCATCGTCTCCTGCTCGTTCAGGATCCAGTGCTTAGCGGTGGCCTGGACTCCGGCATCCTGATGGCCAGTGATGGTCTGGTACATGGCAACACCGGTCAGGTACGGGTCCGGGGAGAAGCCTTCCCAATTGCGTCCAGAGTAAGCGCTTCTTCCAAGGGGGCCAGCAACGGGGCTGTTTGACGGTTAGTGACATTCGATGCTAGAGAACATGTAGGATTGTAAAACCGACCTCAGAGCAATATGGGCGCCCTTGGCCCGGAACTCCTTGCCCAAAGCGAGGCCTCTCTCGTAGAGAATGTCCTTGTCCCAGGTAGAGGCAGCAGACACACCCGCGGAGAAGACGCTAGCATAGTCGGCCACACGAATGGAGAGAGGGCCGTCTTGAAGGCAGAGACCTTGGAAACCGAGGCGAGGAATGGGGATAATATTTCCAACGCAAGGACCGGGCTGACCAGTGACCACGTTGGCCTTCTCCTCAATCGTCAACTGAGCGACAAAAGCCCGAGCCTTGGCCAAGGCATCCTCCCAACCGCTGCCCGTGGTGTTCGCTTCATTAACGGTCAGCTCAGTTCCTCCGTACAATGTCAGTTTCAAAGCACTTACGGGAAGGGTAGACGGCCGGGGAATGGCCATAGGGGCCGAGGATGGTGGTGTTCAGCGGCTGGATATAGCTGAAGGCATCGTCGGCTCGTTCTCCAGCATCATACGCTTGTGCGCTGACCGAAGGCGCCAACAGAAGGCCGGAAAGGAAGAGAGACAGGGCGGCGGACATTGTGATATCCTTTGAACTGAGGCCTGGTGCTTGTGCTGAGGGATCTGAATTTTCGAGATCGGGCGTTACATGCCGGACTTTATATGTCGTATCCTCATCCATGGCACACCAGCATCAGTCCACCATATCCCCGTCTCCTACGGTGCGAAGAACTCGACTGACCCTCCATCAACTCCGCGCGGGACCTCGCAAGTCCGGGTAACCTGAACATGATTGTGTTTGCACTGGTTAGCCGCATCGTCATTCACTCCAAGTCGGCCCCACACCGCTGGATGCTCGAAGGACCTCGCCAGGGCCAAGGCAGAGAGAGGCGGGTTATTCGTCACGGATGTTAGCCGTAGATTTGCCAGTGCATATCTGGATCGCTACGGAGAAGTCCGGGGCAGAAGAAATCTTCACCACACGTGGGGTTACTGAACATTACCCAATCTCCACGTCTCCATGACGATTATGGCTTGAAGATGTCCGGGCGCCGGGGGGCGATTTTCAGTCGTAGCTTCCATGACTAGTCATACTCGTAGGAGTCAAGTCCTGACCAAGAATACCGAGTCATTGAGGAGTTCCAGATTCACCGACAAAATTGTCTGGTTAGTCTGGTTAGATGCCTACCGCATCTCCGTGTTTTTCCGATTCAGATCACGGTCGTGGTGGGGAGACTTACACTGTACAGTCCAGACTCAGTAATTGTGAAGAGCGCAGTGTCGGTGGCCCTTGGTCGTCGTGTAGCATTAAGCCCGCTTCTCGGAGGAAAACAAACGCTTCAAACGAGTAATTTGCGTTTTGTGGGGGATGCGAATCGGGTGACGGCTGGGACACCTGGAGACTCCATGCTTGTTCAAGCTTGTTCCGCGCGAACCCCCGTCCCAACTTGAAAAACTCAGTCAACCTTCAAGCAAAGAGGTCCCATTGAGCTCCTATCCCCATCCTGACCCCAGTTCCCCCGCTCCCCGCTGTCAAGATGAGTGGACTGTGGATCGAGGCCATCGTGGAGGCCCGACATTACGCCGACACTAGAGGCACCGGACACGCAGGTTTTGATCTGGAATCACTTTTCCATGGCGGCTCGAGTATCTCTTTACGGGAACCTGTTCATACCCCCCTGGATCGGGGGCCGACACCACGGAACCGGTCGTCATAAACCGGAGAGAAACATGTGTTACCCCCCGGCTTCCCCGCACTCCTAATCGGCCCTGTTCTTCGTCTGGGGACCCCCTGGAGGTCGGGTGCTTGTGCTCGAAAGGGAGCTTTTGGTGGAGAAGCTTCCATGAAGTATCATTGGAAAGCCTGCCTCCGGTAAAACCACGGCTGTTGGCACGAGTTCGTCGTCCTATTCGAGCGTAGGGTGGCTCTCAGCCAAGACTTTAAAAGCCACTGACGATGCTGTTGGAGCCCAACTCTGTCTAGCCGATCCCCATGTCCCAGGACGCCGAGGTCTCGTGAGAGGATTATGCGTCATTATAATCCCACAGCACCCACCCCCGGGATGAATGCCGCGTTCGGATTTCGATCACAGCAGGATTATGGAATCTCCATTGCAGCCCGCGCACAGCTGACCACACCACCCGTGGGGAAAAAACGAGCTTTGTGGAGTTGACCCATGCAAGTATCGGAGAACCAACCCCTTGCGCGGAAAATTTTTGCTTGTTAATACGGTCAGGCGGTTTCTGAATCTCTGTTCTTGTGTTGGTAGCAGTAAAAGCTATTCTTGGCGCTCTTCAATATTGATCTCGTGATGGGGGTTGTGGATCAAACAATTCGATCGCGATGGGCTGTACGCAGCCTTGATGCACGAGCATCGCACAGTTTGGTCCATTCTATTGCCGGCTTAGTCAAAGCCGGGAACTATACGGATATGCAGCTTTTTTCTGTTTTTTGCAATGACCTCGAGTCGATCCCTGGTCGAGTGAGCTCTTCTGATGATCACAGGTACACCAAAGATGACTCTGGACTGGTGATTGATCATGGCCTTTGCCGCTCCAAAGCCAATTTCGAACTATCCGTTCACGAGTTCCGCAGCGTGGATTCTCGACTAATAGCCGCTTTTCTTCCATGCGCTTCCGTGTCCCATGCTTGCCGATATCGTACGTCTTATTACGAGTCGGGGATCGCGTTCATCCCGCAGCTTGCTGTATTTTGGCATGGGTAAACCTGGCACAGCGTTCCTCAAGATCCAAATGACACATATTTACACAATATTCACGTTCACTAGATGAACTCAATGCCATATTTAATTACTAGTCCCATCAAAAAAAGTCATTCATGACTATCCAAATACCTCTGGGGTGTTAGCACGACCCAGCTCATGCACTAAGCTTCTGTTTCCAGATCACGTAGCTGTGAAACTATGCATCCATTCATTAAGCGGCTCTTCTCTAGGTATTTCGTAGCATAAGAATCATCCGTACGCTCATTTCTCAAGAAAGAAATTCGATGGCGGGAGATCGCTTTATGTTTATACGTACCTTGCTGGCTAGCCCTATGAAGCTGTCTCACTATTAATTCATGCACTGTCGCAAAACGCTCTGCAACTCGAGCATAGCCATGCTGTGCTCACTCTCTAGTTCCAAGGAAATCAATAAGATAGATTTACGTACGGAATATGTTAACCCGGATAATGCTGGAATCGGACCTGAATTTGCAAGACATTGGTTACGAGTTGACCAGTCCGAAGACGGTCGTTGAGCAGCTGTGTAACAATGCACAGTGACTGTACAAGAGCCTCAACCGATCGACGCCGATCACTGCATAGGGGTCTCTGGGTGTAGGATCCAATGCAATGCCTCCGTCATCGCAGATATTCCATCACTTAGCACAGATACCCATGAGCATTTGAGCCTCAGTGGGTCATTACAACGTGACCGACGTCAGTCGGATACTGAGATGAGGAGAATTTGGGGTGTTAGTCGCTATATACATAATCGGAGTCATGCTAGCATGCTTCACTACGATCTGAAACTAGCATGCCCAATCCCCATTCCTGCTCACAAGTGGTGCATAAAGAGTGACACATATGAGGGGACATGTTCTTATACATTCCACAGACCAATGCTAATGAATAAAGATTGTGAAAAGACTAGAAGCATAGACAATAAGTCAACGGCAGCAGCTTTGCCGGGGTTTTCAGACGATGCAAACGTCATGATTCGTAGATGTTAAGAAGCTCTTTGAACGGCGTGATGGTGAAATATAATCATATACGTATATATGTAAAAATAGTTAAAACATGGGGTGGGCTACAAATCGTAAAAAGAAGGGCCACATAGCTGGTGGAACGGGGTGTGTCACGTGACACTGAGTCGCGGCGCCTCCGGTCCCATGTATCAATACCCATACTGTTGGTGGTGAGGTCTACTCACGTGACCACCGGATTCACCAGCTTCTTCACCTTGCCAGCTAGTAGTCTTTTCTCCTAGTTACATATTACTAATACTACCACTATCTATAGCGATATTGTTGCTCCTCTACAGGTTATAAGCCTAGGCCTCTACCTTCTTCCTTTTTCTAACGCTATTTAAAGCTATTTAGACCTCTTCTTTTTATAATAACGAATCTATTGATTTTGCCTATAACGAGTTGCCTTGACTTTGCCTACCTTCCTGCCTTATTAGGCTAATAACAGGGTAAAGATTTCACCCCTGCTACTATTAACTTTACTTTTTATAATAGGGTAAATTTATCCCTGCTAATAATAACCTATACCTATTAATAATAAGGGCCCCCTGCCCTTGCTAAGTAACTATTATTACTATAGTGCCTGCTATCTTTTGTCTTGGTAGTATTCTTGTCCTTTATAGCGAAAAGAACTATTGCTATTAGCTCCTTGCTATTAAGGCCCTTCTTAATAAAGATAACCTTCTTAAGTATGCTAAATCTAATGTAGCTGCTCCTGCTCTTACTAACAACCTAACTGCCTATAAATAGTAGTAAAAAGGCTAAGCTTTAGCCTATGGCCTTATTATTAACAGCGTTGGCCTTATCCTTCCTTGCCTTAAGGGGTCTAGTTAGACCCCTAACAGCTGCTGCCCCTACAAGCTTATAAGCAAGCTTAAGGCTATTATCCCTTAGGTGTTAGGTAACGCTATTACTAACCTTATCTATAACTATAGACGCCTTAATGTTAATAACTCTAAGGATCTCTTTAAGCATCTTAAGACTTTCTACACTATAACCTATAGTATTAATAATCTTATTACTAACTAGAAGGCTATACACTTCTACTTTCTCCTAAACTTAATTTATAATAACAGCGCCTTATCTAGGGTCTTTAATAAGTACGCTGCTATTAAGCCTTAGGAGGCTAAGCTCTAAGATCTGCTTAACGACCTCTATTATAAGGCTAACTCTATTAACTTTATTAGTAAGTCTGTATTTATTAAAGTTAAGGCTACTAAGGCTAAGGATAGCGTTATATGTACTTATTATAGTGCTAACTATTAAGATAATAAGTGTTACTTTACTTATCTAGAGCTTATTCCTACTAACCACCCTTACTATAAGGAGCTTTACAAGAAGGCCTATTGCTACTACTGCACTAACGCCTGCTGTAAGCAGCGTCCTACCTCTGTCTTCATCAGAGGTGCCTCTAGCGCTCTTAGAGGATCTTCTATCCTAGCTTAAGGCTATACAAATACAGTTTTTAGGGGAGGCTTCACATCATGTACGATAGCAGTCTGGCCAGGTAGAGCTGAGGGGAGGTGTTGGTGGTGAGGTCTACTCACGTGACCACCGGATTCACCAGCTTCTTCACCTTGCCAGCCAGCAGTCTTTTCTCCTAGTTACATATCACCAATACCACCACTATCCATGGCGATATCGTTGCTCCTCCACACATACTGTTAAAGGTAGCGGTAGACTTTTAGCGATAATGAGAGCGTACAATTTAGGTGTATTGAAACCCCCCTTGAGAACTGATTGTTAATATTGACGCTCAACTTCGAAGACCGCCCTTTGTCGCATTGATTGCATTAGCTATCTTGAAATCTGCTAACAAAAGGGTTACGGCCTTGCTAAGTCTTCACATAATGATTGCAACTCATTGTAGACACGTATTGCAAAGCAGTTTGTCATACTGGCAGTTCCAGTGTCAGCTATGAGATATCTTTGTGTGGTAATTATGATATTTTCTCGCGATATGTTACGCGGGTGGGCATTCTGCATCAGCGAAATGGGTATATTCCAGCCAGCCAACTCAATAATGACATTGGTATGACATGCAGGATTTTCTGAAATAGTATAAAGCCACAGCACAATTTTGAAGCCGTTGAACTTGAGAAAGATATTGTAAGTGTGTAGGGCAGTTTGGGAGTCATGCGATGCGGTGATCAAGAGAGAACACCATAACCTACACAAGCAACACAAGATTCCTCACCAATCGGCGTACGGGGTTTCCTAATCGGAGCTATAATTACTCTCGATTAGGGGAGTTAGACGGCTAATTAAGTCAATACTGACACTAATCAGAAGAGTAACAATCCTAATCAGTCTTGTGTTATTATCACGTTCGAAGGTCGGTCATCTAGAAGGCTTAAGGTTGATTAGTTTAAGGAAAGGTAGGTCTTAAAAAGATAGTGTGAAGGTTTGTTAATTCTTCCTCTATCTGTCTGCCGTTCAACTTATATCCTTTGCGTCTAATTGGCGTATCCAAGTCCCAATCGGTGGTAATCCTTGCTATCTATGGTCCTGATTACCCCGCCCTATTCCAATATCATCGGAAACAACCCTCAGGCTCTTGAGCCACGGACCTTGAAGTTGGAGTCTAGATCTGCCAGAGGATCATCTGAAGATCCGACGGGGCACATGCATGACGCGTCGCGTCCCTACGTCCTGTCCTTCAGGTCCTGCTGGACGCCGTCCTTGCTGATGACTTTTGCCAGGCCACACCTCCGGAAAGCTGCTGTTTAGGGGGACGAAACTCTCAGAGACTTGAAAGATGGAATCGAAGTCTTCAAAGGTGTTCTGGAGTTCCTTATCGGCATTTTCACCGCTCCTGACACTATCATCATTGTTACAAAGAAAATGAGCTGAATATCTCCCCATTGAAGAGTGATAGTTCCAGCGTTGTTGCCGCTTTGGTCCTCGTGGGTGATATGCTCAGTGACCAGCGATCCAGAGGCGTAGTAGCAGGGTAATTACTACAACAACACGACCGGTGCGCCACAGATATGGATTGAGTTTACCTTCGGTCACGGAAGTGTGGAGCAGATGGAAATGTCGATGTGTTGGTTGCATAGATGCTCTTCTTGATCTAATCAGCGCTACGAGATCCTGTGGAGGAAGCCACTCCGGAACGGGAATCGACATGGTTATGGTTGAAATCTTCAAGAAATTCCACCACCGATAGCTAAAAGCTTGTCGCTGCTCTCGCTAAAGCAAGTTTTGTTGACCTTCAAACATCAGAATGATGTTATAAGGAGTTAATCAAGACCATTCACGTCCGATAGTGTCAATTTTGACGTCGAGGTGGTACTTGTGAGACCCGCTGGTAGTGTTCAAAATCAAGTCTTTGAGGAACACCACAAATCAAGTTAGTCGTGGGCAGTGATGATGATGATGGTGATATTATTATTTAACGCCCGTCAGGTCCATCTTGTGGTACAAGGCGCCCGCGCATAGTCGTGGGCAGTAAACAGTACTAGTAGTAAAGAGAGCCTTCAATCACTCGACTGACTAGGTACGTCCAAAAATGAAGTGGCTTCATCTCAACTGGTTGATCCATGCTAACATACAAGCTTCCCTTGGTCATTTGGTGCGTTACTTTGGAGTCTCTATTCGACTGCTTACCTATGTCAGATTATCCAGGCAGTAGCCTTAACCCTAAAACGCTTAGAAAAGCTAACCCTACGTTCTCGAACCTAGTCAACATGAGATGAAGTTCTGAAACTTAAAATGTCAGGGATCTCCTGAGTTCCTACCGGTATCGATCATCAGGACCTTATAGCCAGAAATGGGAAGGTTAGCAAAGACGAGCTCTCCTGCCGGACAAGGATCGACAACAATATAGCCATAGTCATTGGAATTTTGTTTGGTAGCGTATCTGACAATATGACGTTCATGACAAGACCACTTTTCAGAAGATCTCCAAGAACCAGCATTGATTCGAGAGTCAGCAATACCGATGTCTTGGTGTCTGATGCCGCTCCGGCTTATGCAGTGGAGTTTGAGTTAGCTACGACAACAAAAAGCGCGATACCGAGCGAAAAAGTGCATGTTTAGTGCTGTGAAGCACTATCTCCGTCCAACAAAAGAGTGACAAATGCATGAAGGAGTCTATAAGAGCCTCAAAACACAGAGCCTGGGATGTAGATAACGAATTTGAATATGACCATAGAATAAAAACCTTCAACGACGCCGAGACCACGAACCAATTAAGGGAATATGAAGACCAGGGAAGGCAGATGCTAGCTCAGCAGGGGTCAAATACGACCCGACTCCCCAGCCCAGTCTCTGGAAGTCGAACAATTGAAGGGTTCAAGTCTCAGGAGGCATCTTATTTGAAGAAAGGGAGTCTTGAAAGCTGCCGTTACATCACTGCGACTTTGTACCTTAGCCTTGCCGGTCCCTCTTGAATTAAAGGCACTCAACTCAGGCATCCACGACCATGGCGTGTCCATGTGGATAGTCGTGTATGTATCCGTACCCCATGCTCAGTCGCTAAAGCTGGTTTCCTACTCGCCGTGCCGAGTGTAGAAATATTCAAGAAATGGGAGCAACAACGATTGCTTAGTCCTGTTGAGGCCAGTTACCCCTCTTACACATGTACGTCCACCCCAAAAGACCAGGGCGTATGGAAGGAATTTGCACAGCAGGCACCGCAACTTCTAATAAGACTTTTTAAGATACTGTTCGCATTGCACAACGCATCTACCGTTCCTCTTAGGAATGGCCCGCGCAGTAGTAAAGCGCACAGACCCTGAATGCCAAGTTTACTCTCAGTTGTTACCTCCCTCTTGTTACCTTTTGTTACCTCTTGTTACCTGGCGGCTGATGAGCAGTTGGCCGTGCATCAAGGTTGATTTGCACTTGGTACCACGGCGGAACGCTTCCGAGGACCCCCGGCTGGACTAATGTTGCAAGGGAGATGATCACAATGACATTGATACTACCGTAGACACTCGATAGTTAGACATTCCACTCTTGTTCGGGCTAACGGTATCCGTATAGATAGAGTATAGCGTACCTGTCCAAGCTAGGTCTATAATAGAAAGCGGTCAACCCACCTATCTAGCCTAGGTATCTTCCTATCTTTGCTGGCCCTTGCTACCCAACTTGCTGCTGACGTACATGACTAACCCCTGCTTTTGCCACCTCTAGATCCCTGCTTTCTGCCAGCACGCCAACCCCTTTCCAGCGGCCGCAATACCCCATACCGTTAGCCTGAGAAAGAGTGGAATGTCTAACTATCGAGTGGCTACGGTAGGTACCATAATATAGGGGGGGCCACTCGGGTGGGGGAAAAAACAGGATACCTTTGTCCACCACCACCAAAACACCACAACTTCCAGCAATTCAATACCACGTCCAATGTGGGCAAAAAGGCCATCTTTCTCTTGTGCTTGAGAGTTTTGGCTCGAGAAACCCGTCAGCGCCTCGTAATCGTGCCTTGTTTGTGTATCAAGAGCTGAGTGATCCATCGCGACGGTGGTGGTAGGTAGGTAAAAGGTAATTATCCTGTTTTTCTTCGCCCGAGTGGGGGCCAACCTCCTGCATGGTTACTCTAGAAAGACGGTGAGGCCCCACTTGGTGCCACTGATACTTTCACAAAAGATTAGAGCCCGGGGACGAGAATGAAGATTGCACCCTCAGAGGACCGGCAGAGACATCTGAGTTGGATTGAACGGAGAGTCGTGTCGTGCTTGACAAGACCTACAGTACAAAAAGTAATCAACGGTCAGACTGTCTCCACAGCTCGTGTTTGGGACTTCAACCCAAGGTGGCCAATGACAACTTCCCCCATCTTTCGCATCTTTGGAGATGCTGATGTTCTATCAGCTAGTTTCAAATTCCATTGACTAGTGTGAGATTCCACTTGTTAGTGTCAGATTCTACCCGAACAAAGTTTCGTAGAGGAGACATATGATTGGGTTAAACAGGGTGCACTGTTTCAGTGAATTGATGATGTGCAGGTTTATCAGCAAAAAGAAAAAAAGACAAGAACATTCCATGTAGTTCAGTTGTACTTCGATAAGCACGAGTTATAATATACGGTGTATGGTAGGCTGATGGTCTCTCATGGCCTGTTTCCACAGGCTAATACCATGTACCAGAGGGAATGGCGGGGGTGAACCCTTTTTATTTAGATATTAGCAATAGAGGATAACCAGAACGCCAATAAGCCTACAATACTATTAATATTCAGACAGACTCGAGGGTGGTTGCTAGCTTCTTTTGTGACGAGCGTGAATTTGGATCGCGGAAAGGTAGTTGGGACAGTTCGTGGTCCGTATAGGAAACATCGCCTCGACGCCCTGACTTGAGGAAAAACTCTTTCTGAACTCGAATTGCTGGTAGTTTCAAGGCGCCAGAGGTCGGGTCTGTCGGCTCTGAAAGATTGGCGTAGTCGGACAGGCCGCCCCTCTGCGTACTGCCGAATACCTTGGGGAACACGACGCTGAACAGGGAGTAGATGGCAGGCATGCTAGCGCAAATGATACCGACCGGCACTTCGATTGTGCTCCAGTATCCGACTTCAACGTAGTCCTCTATGGTTTGTTAATGCCAGTTTCTGCTCGAACGAAAAGGACTGCTTACGAGTCACGTTGCTGGTTGTGGCATAAGTCGCCAAAGAGTCCAGCCGGACAATGCTGACGATGGTCACGCTATAAACAATGTCAGCCACCACATACGACATCTTCGGAGCCGTGGGGGGGGGGCGCACAAGAATCCCACGCAGAACATCATCATGACCATGAGTTTCTTCTTAAGGGAAAGAGAAAGGCTGTAAAGCTCTCTGAGGGGAAGAAGCAGGGTCGCCAAATCCAACGCAATGTTGGCAATGGCGGCTGCCCAGCCCTGGGCATTGATGTTGTTGCACTTTGCCGGAAACTCCCCGTCCCATCCTTTCCAGGCGCCTTCGACGGGCCTGCACTGGAAAACGCAGGTGAGCTCGAAGACGATAAGGTATGCTATGTTGAGGCCAAGAAGAACCCAACAGCCGAGTCTTATCTCCTTCTTGGAGAAGATCTTGAGATAAAAGAGAAGAATAGAAATCTTGGTTACAGGCAAAGCACCCAAGTAGAGAACTTCTTGCCAATAGAAAATCTATAACTGCGATCAGTTTTCAGTCATTATGAAAGCATCGAGATCAGATCGTACGTATAAGAATTGCGTAATGTCGTTAGGCTGAACGTTCCAAACGTCTTTGCCCAAGGCAACTCGGGAAACTTTGTATCAACCAGTAAGTACTAACTTAGGCTCGGGCAAGGGTTTGTTGCATGGAAGGACCCACTAGGATATGAAAGACCATTAAGGGGTATCATGATGGCCTGGCAGATATGTTTAGTATTCTCTTCCACAAAGCGAGAGGGACTGTAGTCAACATACCACAGCTAATAGTATCGCCCAATCTTCGAGACCCCAAGTCTGGCTACCCAGAAAAATCTTGGAGACTACTCTCAGAACGAACGCAAGAAGCCCGAGGGCCAAAAATACAGTGCCGACGATCCATACCAAAGCGGTTCGGTCACGGGATGGCGCGCCGCACTCGTGTTTCGTGTAGCGCTGGACCTCTTCAAGAAACCGTCAGTACGTAGTACACCAAAGGATCGGGACGAGCTCGAGAGACTTTAACATACGCAACACCTCTCGAACGGTGCAGTTGGAATGCACGCAAAGCGAGATTTGCTTGTTCAGTTGAACATCGGTGCAGAGGCAAGTCGTGTTGGTAAGTGGGCACAGGCCTGTCGCCATCGTCACCTGCTGAATGCATTTCAACTAGACACTACCAGTTAGAGATCTTTCAATGACTGTCGATAGTGCAAGACTTACGCCGCACAATGGAGGAGTATCTAACGGCGCCGGGGTGTCCATGGTTTCGGTAAGACTCCACACGCCTTGACACCAAAGCAGTGTGAGCAAGACGGCTGAAAGGTGCTTCATTTCGCACGACGGTATCCGTACTATAGAGGGAGGCAGCTCCTACTCTGTCGAAGACAGATTAGGCCCCAAGGACTTGGCTGGAAATACGGTTCGTCCAATTTGGGGGCGCTCATCGACGAGGTAGCATGGACTTACTGCATCAGACAAGTGCTAACGTCTGGCCTTCACTATATAAGTTTGTGCTTTTTAAAAACACTTTAACCCGTTCTGGACTCGGACAATTAACATGCATCCGTTATTGAAGTGTATGCCACCTCGGACGCCCGTAGAAATACGACAGCGTTGCATGCCGTCTTCACCTCCCAAAGCGTTTAGAGATGGGGCACCGGACCCTGGGGGGGGGGGGGGGGGGGGGGGTTCCATGGTGGGTAGAGGAGCATCGTGGATTTTGACAGACAGGGTTGCGTTTCATACCCTGCCGCTGCGACCCGTGCTAGCCTTAGTAGAACACGGAGTATATGATTACGACTTCGAGCCCACAGGAGCTTCCATGGAGAGTGGGTTACGTTGATGAAAACGGTCAACAATGCCGGCCTAGTGTGGTGGGTGCTTTCATCAAAATTGTCTCCCATCATCTTGATACGGGATTGTTAATGATCCTCTGCGCTGGATTAGAAATTCAATAATGGCAAGCGATGACCCAGTTTCATCAGACACTGTCTTGGGATCCACGATACCATACATATACGGATATTGTGCCCTAATACGCCGAACATCTCATCGCTTGATCCACGGAGTCGGGATTGTTGCACCGTTCAGGGGCTGTAGCGGTATCTCTATCGTCCAGAATCTGAGCGCACGCTACTCCGTACGATAGGCGTCTCGGTGCAACGCTGTCTAGCTGTCAGCCGAGTACACTATTTTGCTGTATCACCAACAGTTTCTCACTTTACCCAACTATCTCTCAAAGCCTTAAAAACACACCCCTTACTCCTAACTCCCACCTAACCTCTATCTCTCTATTTTTATTTGATTTTTGCTTCTACATGTTGGTTGCTTTTTTCTTTCTCGGGCCATGCTAGTTTGTGGAGGGATTAAGATAGTGTACTTGGCGCTTTGATAGGGGAACTGTTAGTGCACTTTATGGGGTAAAAGCTGACTCTTTTTTTTTTATGAGTATCTCTTCCTAAGAGCGGTTAGATACGGCCAAATGGCCGTACTCCTGCCAGCCAGCCTATGCGGTTGGTCAGTGGAGATGTCGGCCATTGCTACTGCTACTTAGAAGAGACCCGCGGAGGCTTCCTTAACTCCCCGTGTATCTGTTAAGCAGTAAATGCTTCAAGGCTTGAATTTTTGGGTTATTGGGCAATGTGAAGGCAGATCACTCGAGTTGTTAACACTGAATGGTTTCGCGGTACATTAAACATGCAGCTCCTCATTTCAAGCAGCGTGACTTCGCTTGCCCCTATGCAACAGGGGGGGTCTGTAAACCTGTCTGCTCAAGTTCTCCTAATAGTCGGTCGCGGCGTCGACATTGCCCGTTCGGGCCATTACGGTGTAAATCAAATCTTGGTCCAGTGTGGGGGCTTGGCCGATTGAGGAAGACTCGCAACTCGAGAGGAAACGGTCCGGCGGCCTTGCTTGCGGGCCGGAATCGGGACGTCGTGAACACTCATACCTATGTGGTTGACGGCGGACACTCTTCTGAGGCCCAGGGCAAGCCGGAGTCAGGTCGATCTCAATCTGGCACATTTGGAACCCGCAGTACTAGCCTTGTCAGCTTTAGGTGGTAAAAGAAGAGACCAAGAACGTCGTCTTGATTTGCAATCCTTCCCATTTAGACCATTAATCTCTTTCCTATAGTTCACTCACTCACTAGTCGTTCGTTTAGACACCAGCGATTTGCTGCCCACGCTCTCTTCACCAACTTCGTGATGAAGTCACATTACCTTCTTTCACTTCTGCCCTACCTTGGCAGCGGAGTGGTCGCATTCCCCGCCTACCTTAATGAGGCTCTCAAAAACGGTGCTGACTCGGAGCTCTCAGAGCAGCTGGCCGGCGTCTTCCATGAGACCCACGAGAAGAGGCTCCTCTTCGACCCGATGACCACCCCGATCGATGTGGCCGGCGAGCACAGGTTCATTCCGCCAAATTTTGAAAAGGGCGACCAGCGTGGCCCCTGCCCGGGTCTGAATGCCCTCGCGAACCATGGCTACATCAGCCGGGACGGAGTGACCGGCATCGCAGAGGTCACGGGAGCCATCAACCGGGTCTTCGGGATGGGCATCGACATTGCGGCGATTTTGGGTATCTTGGGCACCGTCTTTGTGGGAAACCCTCTGTCGGTCAACCCCGGCTTCTCCATCGGCGACGTCTCCCGTTCGTCGAACAACATCCTCGACAACGTCTTTGGGCTTCTCGGCGCGCCCCGGGGCCTCAATGGCTCTCACAACATCATCGAGGGCGACGCATCCCTCACGCGGGCCGACCTGTACATGACGGGAGACGCCTCGACAATGGTCATGGATCAGTTTCAGGCGCTTTACGACATGTCGCCCGGCGAAGGTGACTACAACATGGACCTCTTCGGCGAGCGGTCTTCCATCCGCTTCAGAGAATCCATTGAAACCAACCCCAACTTCTACTACGGCCCTTTCACCGGCATGATCGCTCGCAACGCAGCCTACTTTTTCGCCTGCCGCATGTTTTCAAACTACTCTTCCGAGAACCCTGACGGTGTCCTCAGTAAGTGTTCCGCATCTTGGCATGGGGGCGCTGGATATTGACCGCGCTGTAGATAAGGAAACCCTCAAGAGTTTCTTCGCCGTGCAGGGCGAAGAGGGGAATCTCACGTACAACCGCGGCTGGGAAAGGATCCCGGAGAACTGGTATCGTATGCCAGTCGACTACACCTTGGTCCATTTGAACTTGGACCTCGTTGCTTTGATTTTGAAGCACCCCGAGTTGGGGAGGTTAGCTATTTTCTCCATCCTGTGCAGAAGGCATCAACTGACAGACTCCATCCACAGCATCGGAGGCAATATGGGGGAGATCAACAGCTTCGCTGGAGTCAACCTTGGCGACCTCACGGGTGGCGTCCTGAGCCTCTCCAAGCTCCTGGAAGGCAACAACCTGCTGTGCTTCGTCTTCGAAATTCTCAAGACAGTCTCGCCAAACTCCCTGTCTACCATTTTTACAATCATCGAAAAGCCTCTCAGCATGGTCACCGACGCTCTTGGAACGGCCTTGCTGAACCTTTCTTGCCCCGCTTTCAAAGACATGCAGGTGGGAGGCCACAGTCTTGACGAAGGTCTCAAGGCTCAGTACCCTGGTGCTCGCATGTCTGACAATGTTCTTTGAGATGGGCATCCTTGACTACTAGCTCTCACCCGTTGTAAGTGTAGACGGGATCAGACACAACCAAAGGTTGGAGGACGGCATATTCCATAGGTTGCCAACTGAGCTTCAGTCGGTAATAAGCTGGTCCGCCCGCGATCATGGAGTGAGATTTTCCGTGTAGGAAAACATGCCGTTCGCGATGGCTTCTATTTCTTGAGGTTTGACAAGATAATTAAACAAGATGTGGTATGTCTAGCGTATAACATGTGTAGCAAGATTAGCACGAGCATTTTGGAAAAGAAAAAAACCGTCAATCCAGATAAATTTTCAATTGTTCATCTCGTCATCTCATCATGTCTACCTTTACCCAAAAAACAAAAGAAATCGCTTCCGTGCTCCGCTTTTTACAACTTGGCATGCTTTTCGTTAACCAGGACGTATCTGTAACGGGCATGGCCGGCTTCCATATCAACAATCGCCTTGTTAGCATCCTTCATTGGCCGTTTCTGGACCCAGGGCTTGACCTTCTTCTCGACCGCAAGCTCCAGCATCTCCCTGATTTCAGAGGGCGAACCGATGCCACTACCTCCGACCTTGATGCCGGTCATTAGGAGGGTGAAGGCGTTGATAGGAGGAAGATTACCACCATCGGGGGCACTGCAAGCTATTAGTCATACGCGAAATATGGTGCATGGGGTGGACGACTTACCCAACTTGGATGTAGGTACCGTTGACCTTGAGAAGCTTCAGGTACTGCTGAAGAGGCATCTTGTCGCTGGAAACAGTGGAGATGATCAGGTCGATGCTGCGAGCATGATTTTTGGACCAGTCCTCGTCGTCGTCCGTCGCGATGTATTGATCGGCACCCAGCTTCAGGACCTCATCCTTCTTCGAGGCCTTACGCGAGATACCAATAACCTTGTCGGCGCCCAGGGCCTTGGCGAAAAGTACTCCAAAGTGCCCGAGGCCGCCGACGCCGACGATACCAACGGTCTTGCCAGGCCCGCAGCCATTGTCCTTCAACGGAGCGTAGACCGTGATGCCTCCGCAGAGCATCGGCGCAGCATCTTCTGACGGGATACCGTCGGGAATCTTGATGACAAAGTGGCCGTTGGTCCTGTTGTAGTCGGCGTAACCACCGTAGGACTTGCCCTCGCCGTTGGGGTATACGCTGCCATAGGTGCCGACGTTGCCGCGTGCGCAATAGTTCTCGCGACCAATGGAGCACTCGGGGCAGTCGGGCTGCAAGCAGGAACGAGCCTGGGCACCAACACCGACGCGGTCGCCGACGGAGACGTGCTTCACGTTCTTACCGACGCGGACGGCCTTGCCGACAATCTCGTGGCCGACGCAACAGGCTGTTCGCAAGCGCGCAAATGTTAGCGAGGGATGGGACTTGACGCAATGCCCCGCGTTTGCAGCGAGGCGGGGTAGGAAACTGGACACGTCGGAAACTCACGGTAAGGGGTTGGGGCCCAGCCTGAGCGAAGCATGTGAAGGTCGGAACCGCAGATACCGCAGTGGGAAATCTCAATGTCAACATCGTCCTCCGTCCACTTCTTGGGCTCAAAGGAGCCCCATTCCATGTTTCCATTGGCGCTCTCGGGGTTGTGGCCAAGCCATCCTTCGAACTTGTAGTCAGTCATTGTTGTGGCGAGTCAGTCGTGAGGGATTGAGATGATTTGGGTGTGTTTTCGTTTGCGAATTCTGCTACTGAAGCACATTCGATGGCCGGGAAATCTGCACAGGTAGCGCGCGGGTGTAATGCTGTTATATACGCATAGAGAGTTGAGCTCCCCCAAGGGCTAAGTCCATGACGGCATCCCTGAGCTCAGGAACCGGGGTCCAACTATAGGTTCGGTCATCATGTCATCGAGAAGCATCTATGCCGGAGCTAGCTGGAGTTAAGACGGCATTATGCTTTCTTGTGTTCCGTACTGATGCGGAGCCCTCCCACGGACACCAGGAACAGCCGTCGTGCCGGCGGCAGGCTTTGTGCCAGGCCACACTGGGCTTTGCTCCCGCGACTGCTAGTGCAAACCAGCTTCGTGGCTACCAGAACTCTATGACGCGCTTTGCGAATATAGTGTGGGTTAATGTTCAGCAATACAGGCATGTCATTGGAGAGATCTCCGACAAAAACCCCGGGTCTTCCGATGGGTCCAGCTTGCTGCTCGCTTGCTCGATGCTACGTACGTGGGCTACCTACATCCCCAGCCGAGGTCCGTTGCGAGTCAGATAAAGTCCAGTACGGATACCTACTTGGGGGAAACAAAGAAAACCTCGCAGTCCTTGCCACACATCATCTCTAACCAACTCAAGACGACAGATACCTGCAGCTAATTGGGTATTTGCTGCAACCTGCTGACAGGCACGGGCCATATCCTATGCCGATTTTCCTTTTGCCTCTGCGCTAGCGGCTGCCATGCAATGCACGAATCTGCAATTAGGGTGCTTATGGGCCGATCCTCCACCGGTGGTACCGGCGTCGCGTGGCGGCTGATTCTGATGGTAGAATGATAACCCTCTGGGTATTAATAATTCATCGGCGATAGGCAATGGAAGTGGATGGCTGACATCGGCCTTTACCGTTGTCAGCACCTTGCATTAGCGATTCTGCTTGTCTCAAGGCTTGACGCTACCTACATACCTACCTCATCTCGGGTTGGTATTGCTTATCCAAACTCGGCGCATTCGGACTTTGGGCTGTTCGATGGCCTTCCTCGGCGGGGTAAATCCCCGATCGCCAAGGAAGCCGAGGCACAATGGATCAGGAATTTAAATAATCATTAGCTAGTCGGCCCAGTGTCACCGCAGCAACTTGCAGAGCGCTTTTCTTTGTCCATCTTCTTTCGTTATAGCTGGCTGTCTAAACGAAAGATCCGGCGATTGTGGAGAGCATTAAACCGCAGCTCTCAACTTATCTCCATATACACATCGTCTTATTCTCATTTCATACCGTTCGCCATCACATTGACCAGGTAAAACTTCAACCTGTGACCTTATGGGTTTCGCCGTCTACCGTAATACACTTTAGCGCCGGTGCACCCATTACAATTTTTTTTTTGTCTTAGATGTTTAGCCGCTATGCTAGGTAGACAACATTGGCAATGATCACCCTGACGTTCCGACATGCATGGAACAACTCTGGCTCGGATTGTAAACAATCCATTTGGTCAACGTTGGCACATTATAAAATGTGTCTAGATTCGCAATAACCACTTACTAGCCAGTAAGTGCTGGTATTTCTTCCGAAGCATACTCCGCCGCTCCTGGTTGATCCGTCAGGGCATGGCTCTTGCATCACAGCGACATAACGAAGGATGTGTGATTTGAGCTGAAGATGCAGAGTTGATGACCCTCGTAGAAGATGTGAATCAAGAGATCTGTGGGAGCTAGTTCCTAGACATATAGACATATGACTACAATAAAAACCGGTACTATATGCATTTCAGCCCGTGGTTGCATAGAGAGCTCGAGGGCAACGCCGCGTCTGTGATGTTGGTGCGAGGCTCACAACGGCATGTTTAATGTGCGGCTGTACAATGTTGTCCATAGGCTTACGTTACCGGACTCTGAAGAGGAGTGCATCGTGAGGAAAGTACTGGCCTCTCGTTGGTCGCGCCGGAGATTGTGGACTTCTTATCCCGCCATAGCACCTCAGTTAGCTGGCCTTATACTACCAGAAATGTAGCCTGGCTGAATAGAAATGGACCCATGTCGAGGTTTCGAGGTTTCGATTCACAACTTTATACCTTGGTTTCAGGCTTTCTTACTTAACAAAGCAGTGCCCAATGATAAAAGAAGCGACTCTAGCTAAACTCCAACACATCAGAGTCATTCGTGCCTTACTAGGCCCGAGGGCAGAAAAGAAAAGTCGGGGACGACCAGTGCCATGACGGTCAATTGCTCCTACATGCAAAAGATATGTGATCAGTGGGAGGCTTGAACTCCCGGCCTTGGCATTGCTCAACATTTCTGGTTAAATATTAGTACCACGCTCTAACCAACTGAGCTAACCGACCCGCTTTTCAAGTTGAAGATGATGACTCGCAAATGCACCAAAGACGGCGACAACGCGCTTGGCCCCACCAACTCCAACGGGGTGCAAGGAATTGAGTTGATTGCGATCCCCGTGGACAAGAAGTCTTTGGCTGCAGCTCAGTAGTTTGTTTGGTTACAATAAGTAGGCGATTGTTATATAGACAGCCTTGTTATTGTTATCAAAGATTCACTGTTGCCTTTCCCTAAGGTTGTGCTCATTCACAACAACGTATTGCTGGAAGCCTCTACAAGTATGTACAAAGATCGAGGTCATACAGCTTTGTCCAAAAAGGAAGAAGAAAAAAAGGGATATAAGCAGTTGATCTCACACTAGCATGTAGAATGCACACAAAGTGTTGTCTTCAACTCTTTGCTCATCTCCAGGATTTATCAACCTGTTCAGTCAGAGCGCCGCAACAATCTGACTGCTGCATATTAGAATCGTCAGCGCCATCCAATTTGCCAGTACCTGGCTCTACATCTTTGCAGAAAGTCATCACTCAACCAGAAAACACCGTCACACCGGATTTGTCTTGATGCCCGTATCCCCCATAACAACAGCCAGCACTATGGGACCAGAAATGCAGCCAAAGGTATCAGACCCTGCGTCTCCGGGCCCAACGGCGTGCCACAAAGACTCCGCATCATCCAAGGACTTGTCAAATGCGCAGGAGGTCGCTGGCCACAGTGAAGACGTATCGCGAAGCCCTTCGATGCAGTTGCAGAACCCTGTGAACCCGCATCCGCGTCCCCGTACACTTAGGCGCAAGCGAGGCTTGACGGTTATGAACAGCAACCAGAAACGAAACAATCTGATGAGGGAGGATGCTGTAGTGGGCAGCTCTGAATACTATATTCGACCCCTCCCCTCATTGCCGGTTTCTTGCCCACTCACAAGAACTGGAGAGGCTGGGAAGGTTTGGCGTTCGACTGCAGAGGAGCAAGAAGTTCTCGAAGAGCTGGCGGATCAGTTTGTTGTTGGAACAAAGTAACCAAGGCGAACAAAGAACACGATACCAAAATGAATCTTATCAAATAGAAATTCACAGGAGAAGCTTGCATCAAAGAGAAAAGTCCGTGTGGACGAACGTAGAAACATCCGGTGTGAAATTTTGTCTCTAGAAACCTCTCATACGGCATTCCCCCTCCCCCCGTCAAACCACCCTTCATTATGTAACTTTACAAGTCCATCGCTCATTTACAATTATTCTCCTGTCCATCAACACTCAAGCCCAAGATGCAGGTCTAAGACCGCCGGGTGAAACTCAACTGGCAATCATCCTGGGTTCTCAATTAGCCAGTGATACCACTTAATATTGGCGTGTATCTAGCGGAGGAAAACTAACCATAGGAAACAGCGTCGCAAAGACTCTGATCTCTTCCGACTTTGCCGTCGCGTGATGCTTCCAGTCAACCTCCAAGGTCGCCTTGCCGATCATCGCCGCCATCGTCAACGGCACGTACCGCCTGGCGAGGCAGTCGTGCGGCCCCGCGCCGAAGACGAGCCAGTTCCTGGTCTTGGACTCGGCGTCCCCGGTGATCCAGCGGTCCGGGTCGAAGAGGTCCGGGTTGGGGTAGACCTCCGGGTCGTGCAGGGCCGGGTAGCACGACGGGATAATCATGGACCCCTTGGGGACCGTGTAGCTGGGCGTAACGGGGAACTTCTTGGTCGCGAGGTAGGGCACGAAGATGACGGGCGGTCGGAGGCGCAGGACCTCCTTGACCACGGCGTTGGTGTACGTGAGGGACTCGAGCATCGGCAGGTCAAAGGGCCTGGTCGCGTCGCCGCCCCGCGCGGCCAGGTTCTCGGCGCGCACGCGCTCGACGACGTCGGGCCGCTGGGCGAGGATCTGGAACAGCCAGGTCGTGGCGCTGCTGGACGCGTCCTGGGACGCGAAGAGGAAGGTGAAGAGGGTCTCGGAGATCTCTTCATTGGTGAACTCCCGGATCACGTTGGCCGGCCGTGCGGCGCCCGCGTCGTCCCCCGCGGCGACCCGCGCGCGGTACCGCTCCGACTCCATCATGTGGAGCACCCAGTGGTCGACGATGCAGGTCGGTGCGGCGCCCGCGGCCATCCTGGCCTTGCAGGCGGCGGCGCAGGCGGCAAACTCGGCGTGCACGGCGTCGGCCACGCGCTTGCCCCGCCAGACCTTGGTGAAAGGGACGTACATGGACAGCGGGACGTTGACGAGCTCGAGGGCGGCGGTGACGAGGTAGAAGTCGTTGGCGATCTTCTCCACAGCGTCCTGGGAGATGTAGTCGCCAAAAAAGGTGCGGCACGAGAGGGCGCAGTTGATCTCGCGGAAGAGCGCCATGAAGGCCGTCGGTCCTCCCTGCTCCGCCTCGCTCGCGGCGACGAACTTGGCAAAGTAGTCGCCCAGCACCTTCTCGTGGACAGGGAGGTAGGTAGCCATGGCCTTGTTGGTGAACAGGGGCATCAGGCCCCGGCGGTACTCGGCGTGGGCTTTGCCCTGGAGGAAGACCCAGGACTTATGACCGAGGATGTCCTTGGCGATGGGCACGATGCACGGCTCGGCGTAGGCGGGTGATTTGAAGACCTTGTGGGCGATGTCTCGGTCGGACGCAAGCACAACGAACCTGGGATAATCTAGTTAGTCGGGGATGTAGGGGAGGGGCCTCTGGAGAGCGTTGGCTACTTGTGGAAGACGGATACACAGCTTAGGGGACCGCTCGCCCATTGTGCTAGGTATTCCTCGAATTTTGGATGCAGGGCTTGAAGGAAGGGTCCCATGAGTGGAATCTTGAACGCGGGACCTGCGATTGAACCTTTGCGTTTGAGGTACATAACTAATGGAGTCAGCTTGAGACACACTGCACAGGCTGGAGGTGAATAGTACTTTGATCGTAGACTACAACACCGAGCAGAAATGTCACAGCATACTGCCAAGTAGGCCAGCCGGCGAAGAAGCCCGGGAGGCTACCCGGGAAGTGTGATGTACTGTTGGACCATGTTTGCTGCAGCTCGGCCTGCGCGACGGGCGTGTCGATGACCACTGAAGCCATCTCGAAGCTCTGGGGTGAGTACAAGAAGTTGACCTTGATTCAAATGGCAGAGACCGGCCGTCTGCGGCTTTCTTATATAAAGACTAGATTATGGGCTCCGAATTGCCCTCCAAACACCGATTCCATTAGCACTATACCCGAGCGGCTCGTTTCGATGGTCTCTCGTTGCGACACCTGCAATGACCGGCTCGTTTCCGTTCCACACATGGTATGAGCCAGCCCTGCCAGGCCTTGGCATGTCCATGACTTGCGGAGACTAAACCCGGTTCGGCAAACACATTCATTCTCAAGCAAAACCAGAGCTGACAGGGGAAGCCTGAAGGGGACCAGACCCTCGCGCGATGGGGAATGCGGCGACTAGTCCTGTTTCGGTCAGGACGCCGCAATGCGGGTTACATAGTAAGCATAGCACGATGCCTCATCAACGGCCCTTCGGCACGCTCGCACAAACTCGGGGCCATAGGAGTGTCCATTCCCGCCCCCATCAGACCACCCTCATCTTCCCTTCTCTTTTCGCTGGTTTCGCAGTCTCGCAGTATCACGTCCACGCGAGGAGGGACAAGAGTCAACTTTAACCACTCACACACACACGCACTCACGCGCGCCATGCGTCAAACTCTCCGCCGGTCGTGTGCCGCCTGTGCAAGATCCAAACACAGCTGCGATCTCCGGACACCGCAGTGCTCTCGCTGCATCAAGCGGAAGGTCCTGTGCGTGTATGCTAACGAACCCCTGACGGCCGGGCCGGCTGGCTTCGGGCCGGCGCCGGGGGACGGAGCATCAGCGTCGTCGTCATCGTCATCGTCCGGGGCTGGTCTGGACGGATTGGGTGCTTTGATCAACTACCGCTTCGGGTCCCTCGATCCCTTCGACTCCTATCCGCAGACCAGGCTTCCCCGGGAGCAAGTCCAACGTTTGATACATAGCTGTACGCAAGCCCGTCCGGTTGATTTTTATTCGGGAGGGGGAGGCGGGGGGATTTTAAGGTTCTGCGGTGGCAGAAGATTGGCTCACTAAAACCCCTTGCAGTTCTCCACAAGATCGCGTTCGAATACTACCCCCTGGACCTGAGCGCAACCTCGAACCCTTTCCTCGTCTCGTGGTGGCCGCTGGCCCTCGGCGACCCGGCGCTGTTCCACGTCTCTCTGCAAACGGCGTGCCTCGACGAGGAGTTGCTCGCCCGGAAGGGTTTCCAGTCCTCCGAGATCCTGATGGCCGACTCGGTGGCCTTACTGCGACGCAAAGTCGAAGACACGTCACTGGCGATACAGGACGGAACGATGAACTCTGTCATCACCCTGGCGGCAATTGAGGTGAGAATCGAGACTGTAGAGAACCACGAGTCTCGTTCTTCTATGCCCGCCGTGACCGTTCACTAACAAGGACGCACCCATGTCAGTTCGGCAAGGGCAACGCCCGGGTCAGCACGATGCACGTTGCGGGGGTGAAGAAGCTGGTCGATATGAGAGGCGGCATCAACGCAGTGAGGCAAACCAGCCCGCTCACTGCGAGAATGGTCAGCTGGTGAGTCGAAGCGTCCCACTCCCGGGCCCAAGGCGTTGTGTTCACAGCCCCCAAAGGGTGTCAATGATCGTCACGGGCCAGCCCCAGTTCGAGACGCAAGACGACACCGGGACAGGCGATGGGGTTCCTCCTCCCCCAGAATGGCAACTCGACTCGGCCGCCTTCCACGAAGATATATCGGAGCTAGATGGCATCGAGATTGACTACACTGTCAGAGACGTGGCGGTGCGCCTGCGCAATATCTTTCGACGGGCGCAGAAAATGCCTCTCGCACCTACACGCCTTCACGACCTCACATGCTTTGTCATTCATCGGTTACTACTGTCGATACCGAGTGGAATGGACACCCAGTCTCCGGCTTCCGAGTGCGTACGCAACGCCATTATACTTTACATGTTCATCATCCAAGGGCCGACGTATTACTCGCATACGGTGATGTTCAACGTCATTTTGGGTCGGTTCATGAACCACCTCGAGCAACTGCATACAATACCGCATGAATACGGCTCCCTAGATGTTTGGCTGTTGACCATAGGCATGGCAGCCTCATACGGAACCGAGCATTATGAATGTATTACAAGGAGGGTAAGAGATGTTGTTCATGCAACCAAATTGACCTGCTGGGACGACACTCTTATCTATGCTCGACGCCTTGTATGGTTGGAAACACGCCACAGCGACGAAGCCTTCAGGCATCACTGGGATGCCTTCTCTGGTGTTGCAAACCAGCCGCCGTTTAGATATAGTCTATCGCCCGTGGTATAGGGTATAGACGGCCGTGGCCACTTACTTTACCTCCGAGTAATAACCCTGATTACTTTCAAAACACCAGCCACACTGGTAGTTCACACTCATGGCATCCCTTGCCTTGAGCCGTATCCCCAAGAGGGACTGACTATCACGCCAAGACGTGGGGGGCCGCATCGGATACTCTGTTGTAAATTCTTGCGGGGGGCGACCACGTGCGACGGCCGAGGCTGGTGAGATGAGCCTACCCTATCCATTGACACTTGGTGCAGGCGGGTAAGCCATTAGGGAGAAGAGTTAACTCTTCCCCCTTCGCTTCTCATCTTTGGAACAATCAGCCCCGCAGTTGAAGCTAAACTTACTGATAGTAATACTTGGCAGGCAATTATCAATTAGGCATGTTCAACTCATCAGGTCTAAACATCGACTTCTGAATGAAATACCGGAAGACAAGTTGAGAAAACAATGATGGCGGATTTGGAGATCATGGTCGGGCTGGCAAGACAACGGACAGTTCGTTGGGGTAGACCAACAAAGGCCAATGAAGCCCTTTCCTCATCCAGCATGAAGTCATCTCAAAGATGACAGAAACGAGGTTAGTAAATAGACAGCCCCTTGGACTGGTGTCGGAGAACTGACAGCTACGTAGCCCAGGTTTGGCAACATTCCACCCGGTTGCCATCTTTCATCGTTGTCTCACCAGAAAGCCATGACCCCAGGCTCGTGTAGTTATCCACGCATTCCTGTTAAGGAGGGGCAAGAGTCTGAGACGGGGGAGGCAAATGAGGAACGTGGCTTGAATGAGGAAGTGGGTGTGTGTGAGGGTGTGAGAGTGAGGATGAGAGAGAATGACGGATGTGCCACACCAACACAGTAAGCGGACCGGACCTTCCTCCCCTTATTCGCAGACTGGCGCGTTCCTTCCCGGAGGTATGAAGTGAGAAGTACGTACATGTACCTTCCTCCCGCATCCTGTGGTTTCGCTCGCCCTGTGGCTGGAAGGCGCGTGGGTGTGGGTGTGGCTGGTGACGTCACGATGAAGACGTCACGGGCGACTTTGTGGTTCGAGACCGTTCAGCTGTCAGCGCCTCCTTCCTGCTCGCCTGCGTTCGCTTGTCTTGGGGGGGCGCATCGCATCGCGTCACCTGGACGTCGTTTGGTCCGCGTGCACCATCAAGACTCTCGAGCTCACTCATGAAGCTCTAAAAAGCATCGAAAATTCCCACCACAATCCCATCACGTCACTTCAATCAACCCTATACCCGCATACTATCATCACCTTTGCCCGCGCAATCAACGCAACAACACAACAACCGCAGCAATGGCCGTAACCAACGCCGTCCAGGACCTCTTCAGCAGCATCTACGAGCTCCTCTCGTCCATCTTCAACGCCTTCTACCACGTCCTCCAGACCTTCTTCAACACCATCATCGGCTTCTTCACCGGCATCGTCAACCTCATCTCGGACATCTTCTCGGGCGCCATCGACGTCGTTGGCGGACTGGGAAAGTTCGTCCTGAGTAAGTCCCCGCCCCCACGGCTCTTTACTAAAGCTAGAAGAAGAGTGTGTGTGCTAACAGGAATTCTCATAGGCAACTTTGTCATCATCGGCGTCATTGCCGCCGCCGGCTACGCGTACGTCCACTACACGTCGCAGGGCAGACAGGTCGCCGCTGGCAAGAAGACGGCTTAAACAAACCGATACCGCAATCGCATATGGTCATTCAAGGATACGGATATATTGTCAGGAGTGGCTGTTGCGTGAATGGGCTGGATGTATAGCCTTCGGCAGCGCTGAGATATGCGCACCGAATGGAGGAGCTAGGGGTGGGCTGACGTCACGACGTTGAGTTTTACTAGGATGATACCACGCTACTGCTAGCTTTCGTAATTGTTCTTGAGATTCAATGCCGCTTTAAGTTGCGCACCACTCCCATCGCATTCCTGTGACGAGCGATGCCTTGTTCTTTTGGTAATCAGTTCACCTCCACGATGTAAGCCACTTAGTGGAGCGCACCAAGGGCCAACCCGGCGTCGCCGCTCCACTTCCGGCGCACAATGCTTGATAATTGGCAAACTTATTTCTCTCAACAACAACATCCGATATGGTGTAGTGGCCAACATGATGCCCTCTCACCTCGATGAGAGGTTAGGCATAGCCCCGAGTTCGATTCTCGGTTTCGGAAACTTTTGCTGTTTTCCCTGACGTTTTGTAACAAGCCATGCTCGTCCCTACCTTTTTGCTGTTCATTTATTTTCCTTTCACTACCTAGGCTACTCGAAACATTTATTTACAACTAAAAAACGGTAGGAACTTTTGTCTAGCTTGTGTAGCCTAAATTCATCCCATCAAGGCCGGCGCGAAACGCATTTTGTTGGCCTACCACGCCTAATATAGCTATGATGGCCAATAAACACCACTGATCAATGTTCGAGAGGGACAACTTGTCTCTAGGCAGAGCAGGGTTTCGAGCCGCAAAAACACAGCTCGGGATAGGATCGGCGTACGGTCGGCTGTAGCCATCTTCGCCCGCCGCCATGTGTCCGCTTATACTACCAATTCGAGAGCCATGACACGCCTCTCTCGCACTCATTTTTGCCGATCCCAACGCTTGTTTCAGTCGCTGTGCTGTTCCCGTCAGGGCCTCTGCTCTAGCACGAGGGAACCCGAACGTACCGGGCGGGTTTTGTTTTTGTCGCAGCAGGCGGTGATTTGCGTTTACGAGACGATCCCTCGCCAGCCAGTCTTTGCAGATTCTTTTAAACTCACACGTTCCCTCCGTCACACGCCGGCAGACTCACAACCACATCACGCCTAGCTCCTCTCCGCATGGCAATCGTGATGAGCTACCTCGGAGAAGACCGGTGGCAGGCTTGCAAGGAAAGGAGCCATACCGAACCCCTCTATCGGCAGCTCTTGGGTTAGCGTCCCATAATGTGATGAGGGAGAGAGCAGTCGTCTATTAATGAGCGCCGCTGACGGAATCCGAACGTGAAGTCGCCGCCAGGATTCCTCGGACGTCCAATGGTTGATCTAAGACTCGCCAGGAACACTAGATCGACGCAGAGCGGGGGGGGTTCATCGGCATTGCTGCACCACCCTTCCATCATAAGGCTCCCGGGAAGGCTCCCGGGAAGGCTCCCGGTAACCTTCTGCACGGCGTTGGTGCTACTCACTCCCGGACGACCGAGGATCCTCATCCGTGCTAGTTTCGTCCGATTGGGGCCCATTTATCTCTGTCATCATCTTATCAGATTATCCGATTCGATCCTTCGGGACCCGCCGTCCCACCATGCGGCCGCAACCCGTCTTACGATTCAGATGGCTGACTGGAAAAGTCAAACTGCGTTGTCTCTTCTCCCGCAGGAGTCTCGAAACGTCTGCTCTTCGCTACCTAATGTGTTGGAACTTTGATGCTCTCTGCGGTCGGGGTCCTAGGTTCTGAATGGTTACCATTCCAATCGTTTCTTTAGAAACCCCCATCTCGAGGCCACAGGCCCTCATGTCTTCCGGGACCTGTTTCATGGGACTAACGTACTGGTTGGTAGGGGTAAGTCAACGACCCCTATGATGTTACCCCATAGCTGACATCATAATAGAGGGGGAATATTCCACAAAAGAGAAGTCCCGTAGTAGGGGGTGAACATCAGTTACCAGGCAGGGGTAATTGACTTTGGCCGGAAACCATAGTATGTCACGTCCACCGCAGTACTCATTCACAGTCGTGGGAGAACTGCTTCTGGGATACAGAGCAAGACCGCCGATCAAGGGCGAGAAGGGCACCCCAGATGCAACAGAGGGCATCTAGCTTGGCTTGATGGATATGATGACGGAAGCCTGATGTGCGTCATCTGCCCAACCCGTTTTAAATAGCAACACTTAATCACACGGGCAGGGCCTTCGCGAAGATTCCGTAATGAATCCTGGCTTCTGATTGGTATAGCCTCGAGGGGGCGGGCGACTACACAAGCAGAAAACGTGACACATGGGTAATTTAATTCCGATATAACCGTGGTCGTATAGCTATAGTACGGATACACCGCTTAATACGTCGTATTTTAAGTTTGGCATGAACACGGGTTCTATTCTAAGTATATTTGGCTCCAATCACGATCCACCCCTATTATCTAACTAAAATCCCCAGAGCGGGAATGGGGTCCTTGGAACGGACAGCCCTGTCGCCAACTTTGTAAGTGTATTCGTAAGATGGAGAAGTGCATACGGAGTATCCGTAGGTTAAGTACTTCTACTTCAACCTGTCCTCGTTTACTCGGGTTCGTGAGAAACAGTAGTGTTGTTCATCCCATCTCTTCTCGTTTCTACTACCCGTGAAACAGCCAACACCTTCAAACCACAAAGATGCGCACCTCATTCCTCCAACCTCTTGCACTGCTCGTGGCTGCCGCTGCGGCTCTGCCTCAGCAGTCTGGAGCGCCATTAGCACCAACCCCTGCTCCCTGCGAACCCATCGTCCCCGAACCCGACCTGGTAGCCACATACGATCGCTGGTTTGCTTTCCAGAAGGCGTATCTGTTTGACAAAAACGTCGAAGCGACGTTCGGTTTCTTTGCTTCAAACTTCACGGTATATATCGACTCCTCCCCCCTAGACTACCTAGCCTAGGCCACAAACGGCCGAATGCTGACGATTGCTTCTCCACAGAGCACATGGCGTAGGGGCACCATGAGCCGAGAGGAGTACTGGGCTCAGGATACCGTTCAGGGTTGGGCGACGGTTTCAAGCTACCCGACCGATGCCTCTTTCAGCGACAACAACGGCCACGTTGGCTATGACCTGGGCGTGAACAGGACCGGACACGCTGGCGATGACTTCGTTTGGGAGAACGGATGCATTGTGTCGCACCAGCAGACTCCTAACTAAATGCTGGTTTGCTTACGCGCGCATACAATGATTTTGTGCGTATATTAGATTATTTTCATGCTACTTGGTAGCGTATATCCGTTTCGGATCTTTAATGTTTACACATAGTAAATACACTATCTGATTATCATGTGTGTACTACTCTATTTGTGCTAGTACCCATTGTTCGTCGGGGGGACAGTCGCATAAGCCCAAACACTCGTGAATCTGGGAGCACACCAGAGGAGCTGGCGGCGACCCACCCGCAGCACATCTATACCATCATGGCGCAAAGGTACGCCCTCGGCGGCATCTTCCACGTCGACATGCGGCCCTTTGTCAAGTCGCAGGTCGTCATCACCGACCCGGACGTAGCCCGGCATGATCGCCGAGCAGGTCCTCGTCTTCCGGGAGCGGCTGGGCGCGCCGCTGAGATGGGGGCCGCCTTCAGCATGGAAGAGGAGGCGGACAGGGCTGTCTTTGACGTCTTTGACGTCTAGCTCAGGTCGCCGCTACTGGAGGACCTGCGCGCGTCGATCAACACCGCCACGACATTCATCAACACGTGGAACCCATGGAACAAGCGCAAGGCCCGGCAGAGCGGGCGCTCAAGGACCATGTGATGGGTGCTCTTGTGGGCGAGATGACGGAGAGGTTGCTCATCTTCCAGGACGAGAAGGAGTTGCCCTCCAGGCGACAGACCAAGAGCATCCTCTACCGCATCGTCCTTGACAGGATCCAGAGCAGTCCTGGCGCGACGCCGAACGATGAGTTCATCGACGCTGCCGTCACCAAGTAGGTGACACTAGGATTCTGAACCGTTTTGTGAAACTGAATCCGATCACTAACACCACCACAGCCTCAAGGTCCTCCTCGGCGGCGACGGCACCACCAAGGACACCTTCGCCCGCACGACCATGCTCCTCTCACCATAGTGACGGTGGTGAACGGCACAACGCAGAGCGTGGACTATATGGGCCTCGACCGCAACGTGAGAGATCTGACTTTCCAGATGGCCGGTACGGTGGCCAGCCCGAGACATGACATGAAGATGAAGGTCCGTCTGCTAGGGAAGAAGGAGGCTGTACTAGGGCCATTGGACAATGCTTTGGGGCTGGAATTTCGCAGTCACATAAGCTGCTTCGTATCTGTATGATGGTGACTTATAAACAACTCATAGCCAGCTCTTTCTAGACAAACAACTGAATCGACAAATTTGTTGTTTGGTTTCCCTTGGTTGCCTTGAGCTTTAATCTGATATTAGAAGAAACAGTCTTGTTCATATCAACTGGCCTCAGTCTACGAGGATGAGTTTTGGCAGATCCGGCAATTCCTCAAGGAGTCCGCCGCCCCGCGCCTTTTCGTGTTCGCCGCGCTGTCTCTGATCCTCTCGGCGATGCAGGTGGTGTTGGCCGCCAAGCAGGATGACGACGGGGGGTGGCGGGCTTCTGCGGAGTTGAGCGCGTGGTTCGCGGTCACGGTTATCGTAGTGGTTGCGGTGGTCTTTGTTGGGTTGGCGTTAGTTGGATCCGGCTTCTGGCTGTGGCAGTTCCAGTTCGGGTACCGGTCGTGGAGGAGAAGTCGTGCCGTCTTCGGGGAGGCCAGGATTCGTAACGGTAGAGGCGGATAGCAACCGGTGTTTGCCAAAGGACATCTGTAAAAGCCGGCGAGTACTTGGTTCAAGGTGAGTGGAACGGCAGGGTGCAGTGCGGCCCGATGCGGATTGTGGGCCATAAGTCGGTACCGGATGAGAGTAACCTACGACAGAGACATTGCAAGTGACAGTGGATAACACAAAGTGACAAACAACAGACGACGCACCAGCTAGCTCTACAGATATCAAAAGCTTGTTTTAGGGTAAAACAACAGCATTGTATACCCACTAGCCCAGACACCCTGTTATATATGTTTAGGTGTAAAGAGGGCCACTTTTGCCCTATAAAACACTTTATCTACTACCACTACTACTACTATGCGTTTTCGGGTACACGTAGGCATAGAGTTTAGTAACTACCTGATTAGTTATGCTTCACACGTTCAAACGTTTAATCCTGTTGACGCAGAAACCGAGGAATTCTGCAACATGTCATAGAAGGGCGCCTGAAATGGAAACTATAAACCCAACAAGATGCCACGAACTGATCTTTACTCAGGCCATAGATCTACTTAATCTCGCCGTCATGCCCTCATATTGCCATGTCCTTGAACCCCAGCCGTCCTACACCCCCTCCTCATATCACCACAGCACATGCCGTTCAAGCGGCGAAGACACTGTACTGCAGCTGGCCGCAGGCTCTTATCAAGAACAGAAGCCGAAGTCCAAGCGCCGATAATTATAGAAAGCACACCAGAACCAGACCAGAACCAGACTAGAACCTGGACCAAGGCCTCCCTAGCCAGACGAGCGGTACCTACCTACACCAACGGCCGTGGTGAGTCGGCACCTGAACGCCCTTCCGCCCTTGCTATGCCATGCGGTTGTCTCAATTCTCCTCGCAAAAAGACCCGCAGCCGCTTCACGCACACCCTCTCCGTCCTGTTCCTAGCGACGACGACGACGACGACGACGACGACGACACTGGTTCCCTACCATCCATCGTATACGGTAAATGAAGCCTCTCTCCCCTCTTCTTCGCGCTCCGCGCTCCTCCTCGACCGAGACCTCTGCCAGCTCTCTCCAGCGCGAATCCCCTCCTCCTCCTCCCATTCCCCAAATAGCAACAATCTTCACCCTCGAAAACCATCCAGGCGCAGAGCCGCGTGCGTCCGCGCGCGCGCCTGCGCTAGACCAGGGGTGGGGGGAACATCGACGCCGTCGTCAACCGCGCTCCGACTTTCCTTTTCCCCTTCCATTCCGAACGCTTCAGGGACCAAGACGCACACCCAACAAGACAAAAACAAAACAAAAACAAAACACCACACACGGACAGAAGGAAGGTCTATCCGTAGTACGGCGCCGCCGTCAGGTGGCTCTTCCGCCCCCCTTCTTTGATAAACTTATCAAACGCAGCGGCTATTTTTTATTTGCAAAAGAAAAAAAAGAGTTCGCGTTCGATTCCAAACTCTAAATAAAAAATGTACACGAGGTAATACACGAGAATCGGATTTGGGAGCCGCGACTCGCGCCCTAAACGATGGCTGAACACCACCAACCCCTCCCCATGACGAGACAAGAAAAAGCCTAAAGATAGAGACGATCAGCAGCGAATAAAAAAAAAGAATAAAAAAAGAAAGAAAGCCATGGTCCTCCCCTGTTCACGGGAACGGACCCAGGGACGGTTGGAGTTGTTGTTGTTGGGGGGGACTAGGCATCGTGTGTTCGGGTGTCGCGCTTCCGCCTCGAGCTTCCCTTGGCTTCTTCTTCGACGCTGGGTGACGTTACGCCGTATGCGCATGCGAACCCGCGCGCGGACGGTGCCCTCGGAAGGCAGAAACCATCTTCCCGCCTTTGAACCATGGCAACATGGCATCGAGGCCACCCATCTCATCATCCACGGTTTCAAATACATTGGGTCGCCATGCACCAGCCACACACACCACTTCCAGATAGCTTGAGGGAGGGGGATCAATTAGTTTTCTACGACTCTGTTCTAGAATTCTTCCGCAGAAGGAGGTATCAAAAAAAACAAGATAAAAGAATAAGAAAAAGAAAAAACAAAACCCACAAAGACACTGCCATGGTTGTTGATCCCTCCCTTCACTCAATCTGGTCTCCCAAAGACCATCATCATCCAGCATGGATGGACAAACTGTGAGACCAGGGACCGCTAAGCTCCATGCTTCGCTTCGAATGCCCGTTTCCGACAATGTAAACTAAACCCCTATGAAACGCTTAACCGCTGCCCGTAACCCACACCGTACCAACAACGCCTGCCGTCCTGACGGCCGCTACGCACAAGGCCAGGAAATGAAGCCACCCTCGTGCGGGACCTGCTGCTCGCGGCAGGCCGGGACTAGTTGGTAACTCTCCTCACCCAGAGCGTTGTGGGCTCGTAGTCGGCGTTGCGGTCCATTCTCTTGTACGCCCGGTGCAGCTTGAGGCCGGTTTCGTATTCCTCGCGTTGTATTTCCGCCAGCTCGATCTTCAGGGCTTCCACCTTGCGCTTCTCGGCTTCCCGTTTGAGCAGGACGGCCTGGCTGGCCAGGATGTGGTCGGTCGGCATGAGCTCCGTCATCTGCCTGATGGCCTTGTTGATGTTGATGCGGCGGTTGGATAACGAATCGAGCCGGGCATTGAGGTAGCCGACGCGGTCGTTGGACATGCATGTCTCGGTCGGGGGCGGCGGCAAGGCTTTGCTGGTGGACCAGACCGACTCGGGGCGGCTCGAGTTGCTGAACAGACTGGCGGGACTGGTCCGCGCCAGCGATTCTCTCTGGCTGGGCAGCTGTGCTCGGGCGGGAGGCGGCGAGGGTGCCTCGGCAAAGGCGCTCGACATGTACGGGGACGACATGGAGATGACGATGGGTTGATCTGGATTGATCGAAGGGCTCGTCGACTTGATAACAGCTGGGCGCTTGCGGTTCATGACCCCTTCAGCTTGGTGGGGGGACTGAACCGGGGCAGAACCCGTCTCTGCAGATTCGCGAGGTGTGACTGAGGTGGAGACGGCCGCGGGGTTGTAACCCGAGGTAGCATGAGCCGCAGCTTCGTTGACCACGGCAGCGGGTTTGTGGTCGACCGGCGACGGGGGAGCACGAGGTTGATGAAGCTTTTCGTGCTCGTCAAAGGTTGGTGACCGGACGGTCTGCTCAGAGTAGATGCTCGAAGTGTACGACGGCTGAGGCGCGCGCAGACCTAGCGGGTTCGCACGATGGGGCTTTCTCCGTATAGCCTTGTCACGGTCTGATTGGGCAATAGGGGCGCCCTGCTGCTGACCCGACAGGGGTGCAGGCAGGGGTACCGCCAAGGCTGCAGGCTGCAGAGTCGCTGCATCGGCAGCAGTAGCGGCGTCGGGCGTCGCATGTATGGGCGACTGGACATCAGCGCTCGAGTTGGGGGGACTGGGATATGAGGACTGAGCGGGCGCGGGGGTTCGAGTGGCCGAGGGCGAAGGAGAAGGAGAAGCAGTCAGCTGTCGGGGGGCGTTGAGCACAGTTCTGGCGGTGGGCGTCCTTGAGCGCGGTGACGTTTCAGATCTTGGGGGGCTAACAGGGGACAACGGGGAGGTGGTAACACCCGCGATGGGTAGCCTAGGCCCAACGGCCGCACGTCTCGTGCTCTGGGGAGGGATGCTGAGAGGCGACGCAGGTTTGGTGTCGCGGACGGGCTTAACCATGGGCGTCCGTCCGCTTGCGCCGCGCCAGGGCGGGCGCTCGTCAATGGGCTCAACGACGGCTGTGGCTGATTCGGGAGAAGGCTGCCGCTGCTGCTGCTGCTGTTGCTGTTGTTGTTGTTGTTGCTGCTGCTGCTGCTGCTGCTGCTGCTGCTTTTTGTTTCCGCCGATGGGCCGCAACCTTCGCAGGCGGTCGCCAAAGGTCTGCGTCTGTGGTGCGTTCTTCATGGCTTTCAGGGCGGCCGGGGACATGCCGAGGGCCATGTTGGCAGAAAACTCTTGGGCGAACTCTTGCGGTCGGACCTGGCCCGCACGGCCCTTGTCCTGCGACGTGGGTTCGCCCGTCATGTCATCCCACCTGGTCTCGCGTTGGATCCGCAGACGCTGCTGGGACTTTGACTCGCGGAGAGTGTTGGCGGCGACCTCTTGGTTCTTGCGGCGCTCGCGGCGCAACATGGGAATGCTGGTCTTTTTCCGAACCTGTGGGTTCGGTTGCTGCTGCTGCTGGTCTGAATAGCCGTGCTCGGCTGCGACGTCGAGCTGCGACGTAGTGGGAGAGTCCATGGGAGAGACATTGCGGCCCTGCGTTGGGGCGGTTGTCCTGAATGAGAGACACATGGTCAGCGGTGGACTGGCATGGATCGGGTGTCGGCAAAAAGCACAAACGGCATGCCACGTGGAGTCGGGAGACAGCAAGGGACTCAAAATGCAAGGGAGGTTTTGTACGAGCGTGCGTGTGTTTGTGTCCGGTGTTTGCTCTTGGAGGCCATCCATGACTTACCGTTTCACCTGAGCCGCCATGTCAGGAGAGCTCGGGGGGGAGACTTCCGCCGCGGCGGAGCGGTACATGTTGGAGGAAGCCACGTTGGCGAAGTCTGGAGAAAGAGGGGAGACGGCGTTATGGTCCCCGATGGTGGCCTTTTTGGCAAACTCTGGCGAGAGGGGGGAGACAAAGTCGCCGCTCCTGGAGTAGACGGAGGAGGGAGGGCGCCAGCGCCTAGACGCGAAGCGGCTGCTGTGGCAGGGCAGGCGAGGGGACTTGAGCTCGTTGAGCTTGCTGCGGGGGTGGAAGAGGTTAGCGAAGGGTTTCTGCGCAGGAGGCGAGGCTAGCTATCAGTCAAAGAAGCTGCAAGGGGAGTCCTGGTTGGCGGAGAGCGAGCTTTTGCGAAGGAGAGGTTGTCGAGACCATGGCGGGAACGGTGATGGACGGAAGATGTCGAGGAAGGCATGGTCGCCATATTACAGTTGCGGCGTTGGAGGCCAACGGCGTGCGAGTGGGGTGGTAGGGGGAGGACGAGTTCAAATATTGGATGGGGCGTCAGGTGGGTATGGTGTAGGTAATGATGCGCGGTTGACGTTTTTGAGTTCGGGCTTGACCGCCGTGGTCTGGGAGCATACGGTTTTGGACGAGAAGGTGTCAGGAAAGAGGGACTGGTAGGGTTCTCGCATGAACCAGATGAGCAAGAACGACGCAGTTCTCGAGTTCGGAGCCTGTTGCCGGGTTCGAGTTTGTTATGCCATGGCCACTTGCTGGTTGCGAGGCGCCATGCCCTTTCCTCGAGTTCTTATGCGCCATGTATCCCGTTGTATCGTCGTGTATTCGTCGAATCGGTTCCGGTCTGGTGGTCTCGTCTCTCGTTCCGTCACTCCTCGCAACGCAGCGCAACCCACACACACACTCTCTCTCTCTCACACACACACATCGCGCGGTCACATACGACAAGACGAAAGGAACTTACTCTTCGAGAGGGCCGATCTCGGCGAGACGCGGCTTCGGAAGGTCGCCCACAAGGAATTTCGGGATGGTCGGGACTGGGGGCACGGGGGATATCTGCCGCGTCGAGGTATCGGGCGAGGAGCTGAGCCTGATGGAGAGTCCGTGACGCGGGTCGCGGAAGTCGTCGGGCCAGTAGCTCCGGTGTTGGGCGGTGGTCTTGGAGACGACGGAGAGGTGCGCCTGGGTCTGTCGGTACCTCCGGTTGAAGTTGGCGATGGTGGCTCGGCTGCGGGATGCAGAGCCGAGGGAAGGGACTGCGATTCCTACGCCGTTTCTCCTGCCGGGCACCGGATACAGACGCGGCGGAGGGGGAGGTCGAGGGGGAGGTTCTCGCGGCTGGGGTTGTTGTGGTAGTTGTAGTTGTTGTGGCAGTTGTAATTGTTGTAGCAGTCGTAGCTGTATCGGCGGTGACGACGGTCGTGGTTGCGGTGGTGGTGGTGGCTGTGTCTGGCCTTGTTCTCGGTCGGTTTTCTGCTCGGATGAAGCTTGGTCTTGAGTCTCTGGCTGCAGATAGACTCGGATGTGTCGCGCGAGGAACGGCGAGTCTTGGTTGAGCGACGGGTCTTGATGATGGTGATGGTGATGATGGAGGACAGAGAGCGAACGTGAGCGCCGCAGCAGTCGGCCGTCGGGGTGAGGGTGGTGTTGATGTTGCTGTTGTTCTTGTTGTTGGTCGCTCGACAACGAGTAGACTGGCCTCCGGACAGAAACGGAACTGACCCTGAGCAGCTTGCGTTCGTGTAGCTGCAGTGGCGGCGTCAATTTCTTTTGAGGGCCACTCGTGGTCTTGAAGTTGCTTGTCTGACGGTGGCCGACTGGAGGCTGTTGGCCAGTAATAATTCCCTGTCCGCAGCCGCAGCTGTTCGTACTCGGCGGGGCGTTGATGGCGTCGTTGGCGCTGGCGTCAGTCCCCATGGTGGGGCATCCACCCTGTCCTTGGAGTAATTGCAGGCCAGTTACGGATACAGTGATCGGCCCCACCCCTATCTCCCCTGTCGCCCCTGTATTCCCTGTCGCTTCTGTTGCTTCCATCGAGCCGTCCCACCCACTCATTTCGCTCTCACTCTCACTCTCTCTCACTCACTCTCACTCTCTCTCACTCACTCTCACACTTTCTCACTCACTCTCACCCGCTCTCTCACCCACTCTCACTTACCCTGCAATCTCTCACTCACCCACACTACCGCGTCCGCAATTTCCCTCCAGGGGTTGCTCGTCGCTCCACCACCCCGTCCTCTTTCCGCGGTCTGCCTAATAGTAACGCTGCACCGCCTTCCGCCAAATGTTCGATACCGGCTCGTACCGGATCTCGAATTCCGAGCCAGCACAAGAATCAACCGAACCCCAACCACACCCGTCGCTCAATAACAGCTCTCGCGCGCCCGTCCTTTCGTCTTCGTCGACCTTCTCTCTCTCTCTCTCTCTCTCTCTCTCTCTCTCTCTCTCTCTCTCTCTCTCTCTCTCTCTCTCTCTCTCTCTATATCGTCGGTCTGGCACTTGGTTCGGATCCAGGTACCGGAGAAGGGCGCTCCCTCTCTGGCACGCGTTTCGGGTGATTATGCTTATCGTTTCGCCTGTTGCAGCCGCACCTCGCTTACAAGACGGCCCAAACCCAAAATGCCGTGCCGGCGTCTCATGGATCCCCGGGTCGCTGTTGCTTTGGACGTTTCGACGCTCTGGCCGTGTCCTGGCTCGAGGGGAGATACAACCCTTGTCCCGGCTTTCTTCGACGGCGCAAGAGGGGACAGGTGGGGTCTCTCTCTTTTTTTTTTTTTTCTCTCCCAAGGCTCCGGCCGTTCTCCACGCCCGCGTCCGACTCCGGCTGGCAAGCGATGTCGGGGGTCCGGCGAGGATGGCCAGAAAGCGGGGTCGAACCGGCCGATATCTCAGCCCGGTATGACGCCGAGTCCTCGCTCGATGTTGCAGCGCCTGGAAAAGAGAGAGAGGGCCGTAGCAGAGGTTAAGCGGTGTACTCTGTTTACGTTTTCAGCGTCCGGTACGTATGGGACCAGTGACGTCCGTCTGGGGCACAGAATGGCCGGCCGGCTGAACAAGATAACGACCAGCGTCACACCCGCGGAATGACAAGACTCGCGGGGCCGGAGGAAGAAGGGGGGGGGACAACAACAAAGACTTGCGTCTTACAAGGTGTCGAGAGACATGGCCGCCAGGGGACGCGAGGGCTCAAGAAGAAAACCCCGATAAAACAGCAAACTTGGAGGAAAGGAAACAACGCCGGAGGAAGAAGCAAGCAAACGGGGGAAAACGAGAGACATCATATGGCTCAAGACAAGAGCCGGGCGTGCGTCCAAGAGGGCAGGGGGAAAAACAAAAACAAAAAGAACAGACGTGTCAAAACATCAAAACATCATAACTAACCACTTCCGCCTCCCTCACGGCAGCCCACCAACCCAAACCTGTCCCTGAAAACTCAGCCAGCCGACGGGATAAAGTCTCAACGGGCCTTGCCGGGCAGACCACCCACCCACCCCTGCAGGTACCGCGGAGACGGACAGGCAGAACGAGACGGGAGGGGGGCTGCGGACGGCTGCGGCGGGATCGAGGCAACGCCAGCACAGCTGAGAACCTTGGAGGGAAAGGGGAGAGGGGAGAGGGGGGAAACAGCAGAGGCACACAGCTCCCTCTCCGTAGGGGTCCGTCTGCCCAGTCTGACCACATCGGACCACAGGCAGCGACTTGGTGAGGTACGACAAACCCATGCGCTCCCGTCCTCTGCGCTGCAGAAGGGGGGGGGAGGGGGCCCGGGCCAAGACTAGGACGAGGAAGCGCCGCACAGCCGCTTGTTCCGTTTGCTTGCTAGCGGCTCGACTTGGGGCTAGAACACTACACGCACACGCACACAATGACGACGGAGCTGTCGTTCGTTGGAGCTTCCAACCTTGGTTCTCGGCTGTCAGTTCATCCATACCAGCTGCCTTCTGGTAGGGTCTTTCGTCATGCCCGGTCTCCCGCGCGCAAGGGGGGGAGGGAAACATCGATTGGAAATGGACGGCCCGAAACCGCTCAATGGCACACTAGAACAACATGTTTCAACGTTTCATCGGACAAACAGACAAGCCAGGAGGAGTCCTCCATTCAGCCCTCCATCTCTCTCTCTCCCTCTCTCTATTTCTCTTCTCTCACCCCTTCCTAGCATCACATGCATCCCTTGACCGCTGGTTGAAGAATACCACGACTATTCAACTCTTCGCTCCTCGCACATCTCGTCGTCCATCGTCCGCCCTCCCCAAGCAGTGCCAACGACGTCAACACCGACAAAGGGCTACCACGTACAGGGACCTCCCAACGCTGCCTCGGCTGGCCTTGATAGGAACCACAAGGCTGCTTGCTTCCCTCCCTCGTGGTTTCGCATTGACCCGCGCGCGCTCTCTCTTCAAGGCATAACCTCCTACCCCCGCGCCGAGCCCCCCTACCCCCTTTGCCATTCACAACGGCCGACGCTCGTCAGCTCTGCATTCCCGTTGCTTGAAATTGAAACCCGGGACATGCATGCAAGCAAGCAAACAAGCAATCTGCTTGTGAATGGGTCCTGTAGGAGAGAGAAAGAGAGAGAGAGAGAGAGAGAGAGAGAGAGAAAGAGAGTGCGCATGGCTCGAGAGCCCGCTGTTCTCCCCCATCGGACGCACCCCCTTCTCCTTCAACCCTCAGAGCTCTGGACTCAATAGTCCGTCCTTCCACATACCCCCCCTCCCTTCGTCACTTATGCTGACGGTCCTCGCGTCATCCAACAGCCGGTTCACATACACCTTAGCTTCCACGACCCGGTTCGTCCTCGTCCTCGTCCCAAAAGCGGCATCGTCATGTCATCATGCCATCCCGTACCCCCTAATCCCCTTATGCCAGGTAACGAACAAATGCACATGGCTCGAAACACCAAACACTCCCCCAAAATATATAATCCCCCCCCCCCCGGTAGATATATAATCCCAGTGGATGTTTCGTTTCTCCCCCGTCCCCGTGCAACCCGCATCGTCGTTCCGGCTACACGCCTCACAAGATTCATAATCATCATCACCCTTCCGTGTCCCCCCGGTCCCTCCGCCCCCCTTGGTAGAACGTCTTCCGAGTGACAAAAAACGATGGCCTCTTTTCCTTCCCACAGCCATACATGGGCAACCCGGGCCCTCTAATTTGTCGTCCGCTTGGCAATGTCAAAGCCCATCCCCCCCACCTGCGGGAAGGAGCAGCGCTATTAATGGGTGCATAAAACCAGGCATTGACTGCGCAGTACCAAAGGCGTATCACTTTCTCTCTACCCTTCTACTACCTACCTACATCGTTAGCAGCTTCGAATTCCAGACTCATCTTTATGGTCCGAATTCTTCCGCTCTGGCAGAATCCTTGATCCCCCCCCCGAGAGTCATGCACGCCCTCCCGGGTGAAGGAGAGGCTCGGGTCAAGTTTCAGCCGATCCAACCCGCCTCTCGTCCCATCTACATCCGGTGTCACGACTCCAGCCCCTCTCCCCGCGTTGGCGGAAGTTACTTCCCCGAGTGGTGAAGAAGGCCAGGGATCCAGGGGTGGGAGAGAGCCTTGGCACAGCAGGCACCGGCACCGGCAGCCGGAAAACCTCACGTAACTTTCTTCATGCCGGCACTGAGCTGTTGTCGATCATACACGCCTCCGCAGACCACCGCGAACCACGGCGCAGCAAAAAAAAAAAGAAAAGTAGAAAAGAAGAAAAGGGAGAAGAAAAAATGGAATTTAACGAGGGCCGACGATCGCCTCGCGTCTGCTGCTATTGTATCTCGGTATTGATTGTTCTACCTAGCTATCCGTACCTCATCATTCGATGATCCTATATGAATATTGCCATGTGTGTATGTGCGTGGCCCGGGCTCATCCCCTTTCCACCCAGCACGGTAAATATACCTCGGATCCCTCGGGAGAAACCACACTCCCCCCCCTCCCCCCCCCCCCCCCCCCCAAAGTCTACGAAGGCTGCGGCAGAAGCCCAAGTTGTTAATCATCCATGTGAAAGTATTCTCACTTTGCCGAAAAAGATGAAATAAATGAAAGTGCCTCGACTCTCATAAATGATATCGAGTCGGATTTCTTCCCGTGCCTCATGATGCATAACAACGCCTACCACCCAATTTGGAACCTATTGACGTGAAGAAAGGAAGACGGGGGCGGGGGTCATCTAGACGGCTGCGATCTGAGCAAAGCGACAGATCTTGCAACGATGAAAATAAAACCCCTCGCGGCAGCGGGAACAACCTGCCATGCCATGCCATGCCAAACGCCATCAATTGCTTCCCTCGCAAAATGACAATGTAAACGACCGTTTCCCGAGCACAAGAACCAACGGCACGCCAGGGCCTCTCTAGTCCTCGCTGTCGGCGCTCGAGTCGTCCGAAGAAGAATCATCGTCGTCGACGCCGTGTGCTGAGGCACCGCTCATCTGCTGCAGCAGTTTCTCGGCCGTCAAGGCGCCATCCGACGTCGCCGGCGGGGGCGTGCCGCCGACTGGCGACGCCGAGTTTGGCTTCTTGGACGGACTCGGCACGTGGACCTCGACGCGGTAGCCGTTCTGCTGATAGGACGATGACGGCGGCCGGCTTCGCTCGCCCTGCGACGCGCTCGCGGTCGGGTCCTCCGTCGCGACCGTCGCGTTCGACCCGTTGAGCCCGTTGCCCATCTCCACCACGGCGACGGTCTTGATGGGCGTGCCCTGTCGCGAGTCCTGCGTCGCCATCGTGATCGTCGCGTCGCCGTTGCCGTTGATGCGGGCCCGCTTGTCCGCATGGACGTCTCTGGTCGGCGTCTCGACCGCGTGAACAAGTTGTTCGGGAATGCCCATCCTCGCGCGCTCGTGCTCCATCTCTTCGCGGCCGCGCCGCTGGCGCAGCCTGATGTTGTACTTCTTGCGAATGGTGCTCTGCTTGCAGGCGTACGAGTTCCGCAGGCTCGTGATCCTTTTCTGGATCTCGTCCGCGTCGCCGCCCGCCCTCTGGGTGTCGTTGATCTTGATCCTGAAGCTCTCCTCGGCCAGCCGCAACTCCTCCTTCAGTGCGTGGACCTGGCTCGCCGTCAAGTGGGCCATGTCCTTGGCTCGAGGTGTGCCGAGTGGCAGGCTTTCCGAGCTATCGGGCTGGGTGCTGGGCGGCGCTGCGCGGGGTGTCTGCTTGGCAACGGGAGGAGTTGAGGCGTGCTGCGCCGCCGGGCTGTTACTGACTGAGGAGAGGTAAATCGGGGCGGTGTCCGATGCTGGTGGCTTGGCAGGGGGGTTCAGACTAGTACCAGGCATAGTGGGCACGATGCTGTCTTTGTCGATCTCGCCGTTATCACCGCAGACCTTGTTTATCAGGTGATACTTTAGACCACCAAGAACACTAAGTGTCTGGGTGCAAAAAGGGCAGATGTACCTCTCTCCGTTAGGGCCTGGACGTGGCGCGGGTCTGGTGCAGATGCGATGCTTGACGTGCTGTGACGCATTAGTTTGACGCTCTCGTTGCACAACTGCACAACTTACATGGGCGTAAGCGTTCGGCGTCGGGAAGCCGCGCTGACAGGTCTGGCATTTCGGAACGGATGGATCGACCGATTCTAGTGGGTGAGGGGCCATTAGGGGCAGAATTTGCGCGACACTCTGCTCATGAGGCCCTGGCAGGTCATGGTGTGGACCGGGCTGGACAATGACGCTGGATTTGTTGCTCGGCACAAATGGGATGACGTGATCGTCCGAGATAATGTCGTTGGCGTCGTAGCCGAGCCGCTCAGCCCGCGCGAGTGCGTTGACAAGTCTGCGGGCCTCGATGGTGGGCAGGCGCGCCACCAAGGCCTTGTCGAGAAAGGTGTTGCTGGCCTTGGAGATGATCGCGTCGGCGACCTCGTCCAGGTCGGACTGGCTCATCAAGTCAACCAAGTCGTGCTTTGCCGCCGGGACGATGCGTGAGCCGAAGTCTCGGACAGCTCTGTGAAGAATTCCTTGGTCTGCGATATGCATGGTGACGTTCATCTGGACAACAGTCAGCGACGATAACATTTAGACATGGGAACTAGATGGGAATCCGAGCCCTCGCGTGAAGGTGACGGGCTGCTGTCCCCGAGTGGCATACGTACAAGGAAGGCCGTGTGGTAGTGGGATCCTAATAAACACTTCTCGTGGTTGTCCCGGATGGCGCGCCTGACAGCTTCTGGATCGCATTCCGCCAGGACGGCGGAGAACTTGGCGTAATCCTCGGCGAAGCGGCGGGCCTTCTGCTCATCATTGTTGGCGAGAGGAGATGATCGATTCGACGGCTGAGCAAGATCGGAAGCAACTACCGGAGCAAAAGGGTCATTGCCGTAGGAACCCGGGTTACGAGGATCCGGCACCGGCCCCGATGGGTACCTCTGCCGCTGCTGCTGTTGCTGCATCGTGAACTCCGAGTGCGCGGGCGAGGGCTGATGCGTGCCAATAAGCCCGGATCTATAAGGATTTGCCTGGGCAGGCGGCAGCGCCGGAGAGGCCATTGCGGAAGGAAGGTCTCGGGCTCAGTACCTCTCTCTGAAGGTACCCCAGATGGATGAAGTTGGCGATGCGCGACTCTGGTGGTTTGGCAACCACGTGACTACCAAGGAATAATCCAAAAAGGCAGGTCCGACGGCGACTTGGAAGGGGCGGGCGGTGACAGCTGAGCGCACGTCAAGTGCAACGGGGCAACTTGGCGACTCACTGTGCGCGGAATGACGCGTCTAAAATGGGCTTGACACGTCACCTTTGGAGGTTGTCGCGACTTTCGCTTCGAGTCAATCGGTCACTGTTGATCTGCGATTGGGTATAGAAAGGGGCAGGGGTCGAGGTGGTGGGCAATGTGAGAATGGAGAATGTGTGGTCTTGAATGACTCAGATGACGAGATATAGAGAGGTATGGGTAAAGAAATAAAATAGAAAAAAAAGAGGAAAAGAGGGAAAAGTTAATGTGGCGGGGCAGTATAATTAACAAAGAAAAGGGTAGAGTTTTTTTTTACTTTGCTTTTTTTGCTATAATTATTAGTTAGCGGCTGCTATCCCATCAGGTGCGATAAGGCCCCATCTCCACTTATTTCTCCGCACTACACTCACGTGATAACAATCCATGATTACCTAGCTTACAGCGTGGCTCTTTAAAGAGAGGGAAACTACTAGTACCTCTAGCATACGCAAGAATAGGCGTAAATAGAAGTACTGTACATACCCCGGCCTTTGCGAGGTCATAATTAGTGCCCACTGTGGAGATGGGGCCTTATCGCCCCCAATGGGATACATTAATTATATTGGCCAGTGCAGCAGGACTCACCCACCTTCTGCTGATTGGTCCTTCCTCCAAAAGCTCCACGTTAATCAGATGTGATTAGTGTTCTGAACTTAAACCCCGCTGTTCCGTGCTTTGTCAAGAATGTGCATGTGTCAAATGTGGCAAAGTTACACGTGAATTAACCAGCAAATGCACGGTTACCCCATGGTAATTTGTCAGGGAATGGGCAGTGAATCTGCCCCATTTTCCAAGTGATTCCACCAATCAAAGGGATAGGATTAGCTCTGGATTTCCCAACCAAAGGAATATGGGAATTTCCCTGTTCTCACAGGATTTCACCATAGTTACACATAACACAATCAATCAATTAACCATTACAATCCCTACAATTTAACAGCATGTCCAACATGAATCTTGCCAGTGAGAGCCGTTATGTCTCAGTCTAGACTGCGCACTACCTGTTACAACGCCCGCCTTGTAACACCTCCCAGAATGGGGCCTTTTACAAACAGAAATGCTTGGGTATGGCCTCTGGTCTCGCCAACTCTGTAGCCCAACAACGCCCTACCTGCAGATATAACTTTTTCCACGGGCTGGGGCGTTGTTAGCCTTTCAGATTTTCCATATCTACACCACTGAACCATGCATGTCCATTTTCTTCTCAGGATACTATGGCACTGTCCTTGACTTGTCCCTATCTATACGTAGCCATCAGCAAGACAGGGGGAATACCGTCCACACTCGCGAGATCTGGATAAAGCCAAGAAAGGAGCTAGCCAAAGGTAGCTAGCGGATATCCTAAAACAGCCAGCGTATAGTCATGGCGCTAAGCTTGGTATAGAAAGCGGTCAGCCTATCCTCCTCCTACCTGCCTACCTTCTGAGGCATACACGTAACCGGAAGGTACATGGGACATCGTAGATCCACACTAGTCTAGGCAATACATCCACGATACACGCACTTGACTTGCCCCAAGGCCTGACATGATACACAGACATGCACCGCCACGTTACACGAGCTGCGATACCGTCCTGGCTTGAATAAGGCTTTCAACATCCGTATAATTACCATATAACTATGTAAGTTTAGTCGTACTGGCTTTGCCCCCCCCCAATTAGTAATGTCATGCTCCCAATTCCTTATGGCCTCTATGGCCAGCTAGCCGAGCCCGGTCTCCTCCCCTCCACCTTATCGGTTCCCAAGGCATCATCATGGCAAAAGTCCGTCCCAACCCAGGGTATCATTTCAGTCTTTTTTTCTTCCTTTTTTGATTCTCAGCTACCCGCCCCCGTCCACTCAAATGTTCTCGCCGATGCACGCGAGCATCAGCCTCTCGTAATCCCCGCTCGTCTCGCCCTTGATCCTGCCCGACAGGCTGCGATGGTATCTGGCCTGATACGCGCCCTTGACGTTGGCCAGGAAGTTCTGGTCCCAGTGGAACCGCACAACGCGCGCCACGAGGAGGTGGTCCTTGGTGCCGAGACCCGCCATCGAGTCCTCGAGGAGCTGCGCGGCGTGCATGTACTTGTCGACGGCGTGGCGGAGCTGGAAGAGGAGCGCGTCCTCCATGTGGCCGGAAAACTCCTTGCACTCAACGTCAGTATTCTGAGGGAGGGGAGGGAAGTGGCGGGGTCAGACTCACTTTTTTGATGACATCCTCGAGTTTCCTGCGGAACTTTTGCTCGTACGCCTGGTTGATGGCGCGGATTTGGTTGTCGTTGCGGGTGCTGAGGATGCTGCAGACGAGCATCTCGTCGGTGCCGAGCTTGCCCTCGGTGGCCTTGTACAACTCCATGACGTCCGAGTCGACCTGTTGTGGTACGACGGGCGCCGAGTCCTCCGCCCTGTTGGCGCCGAGGACGATTAGGAAATGCCTCTCCGTTTTCATGCTGAGGTCGCCCTTGACGTCGTCTTCCAGGCGTCGCTTGAAGGTCTGCTGGTACGCGCTCTTGATGGCCTGCATGTCGGCGTTGGATCGTCCGAGCAGGATGTCGTTGAGGACGCTCTCCTTGGTGCCGACCCCGTCCATCGCCTCGTATAGGTTGTAAACGTCCGACCTAAGGGGACCGCGCACGATGGACACCAAACCTTTCTGGAACCAGCTGCTCGTCTCCTTCCTGACGTCCTGCTCGAGATCGCGCTTGAAGTTTCGGTTGTAGGCGGTCCTGATGGCGTCGATCTGCAGGGGATCCTTGGTTGCCAGGCATCGGATCAGCGCCTTCTCGTCGGTGCCGAAGCCCTTCATCGCGGCCCGCGCAGCCGCGGCGTCGGGCGAACCGTCCCACTGGATCATCTGGGGCGGGCCGTAGCCCACTGACGGGGGCGTCGGAGGTCCGTAGTGCTGCGGAGGAGGAGCGCCATACTGCTGGCCGGGCGGCGGGCCGGGCGGCGGCGCACCATAGCCTCCGGGCGCAGGCGAGTGCCCGTAGGGCGAGGGAGGAATCGGAGGAGGTGCGCCGTATTGGCCGGGAGGAGGGCCGGAGGGTGGAGGATATTGGCCGGTGGGAGGTCCGGCGGGAGGGGGGTAGTATCCTCCCTGGGGAGGATACTGGCTGGGCGGGGGCTGCTGGTAATAGCCGCCCTGCTGTGGCGGAGGTGCACCGTACTGACCGGGAGGAGGGCCGGCGGGCGGAGGATATTGGCCACCCTGGGGAGGATATGGCGAACCGCCGTAGCCAGCCTGGGGAGGCGGAGGGTACTGCTGGCCATAGCCTTGGCCATGCGGCTCTTGAAAGGCGTCAGATTGTCGGCGTCATAGCCGGAGATGGAGAAAACCAGGAGGAATGCAACTTACGGGCGCCGTAGCCGTAATGGCCTGGATACGACATTAAAGTGTCTCGGATGCGACGCTCAGAGTTCAATCGCGTGTACGACGACGGGAGGATCGGGGGCAGGCGGTGGTGTGTGTCCTGCGTCAGAGACGAGATGGGTGGGGTACTGGTACTGGTATCGATGGTGTAAGTAGGTGTAAGTAGGGGTCGTGTGCGTGGTGGTAGAGATTGACTGCGGGGCAGGGCGACGATGCAGAGAGTCGGAAAGTGGGATGAAGGAGGCCTTGGGAGGATGGGCTGGGCAGGTTGGGGTTATTTAACCAGGGCCAAGACGAATGGCCCGTCATATACATGGCATTATGTACAGTATTACCTGTGTCGCGGTGGCAGTGAGGCAATCCGTCAGCTGCTCTTCGGTCAAACCCCAACGGACCTGCACGCGGCGAGAGGCAAGACGATTGGGCTGATGATGGCCGCCGAGAGATGACTAGCACGCATAGCGGCTTAGTAGGAGCACGCGCCCAACGTCATGGCGAAGAGAAGCTCTGGGCGACTTGGGCAGTGCAACCAAGGTCCACAGGAGGGGCAGAGCAGAAAGGCGACCTAGGTAAAAGAGCCTTCTGTTTGCGCCGCAAACCCTGTCGAGCTCATGTTGCGCCACAGTAATGCGTAATCGAGGCAGGGGGGGGGGGGGGTCGGGGTTGAGGCCGCGCGGGTCTCCTCTCTCTCTCTCTCTCTCTTTCCCCCCTCTCTTGACCAGAGTCGCAGTCCGATGCGAGTGCACAAGGCAAAGCTTTGGGTGCTAGTTGCGTTGCGTTGCGTTGCGTTGCGTTTATCGTAAAGATGCGGGAATGTCAGGAACTGCTCTTGTTTTTGCACACATGATTAGCGCCGAGTATTATCCAAGAGGGGAAGGGGAGCAGATCGACAATGGCCCTGTTGTGTTGCCCTACCGGGGACGATGACCTGCACGATGGAGAGGGCCAAAGCTTCCCCTTGCCCATGCACGACACGTCTTTGGCACTTTCGTGTTTTGAGGAGTGCATCTGATGGAATCAATCCAGAAACGCACGCCCCAAAAGAGGATGAGGGAGGGCTAAGCCACAATCTAGGTGTTTTTCTGCTCAAGCCACATATGAGCACCGCCGCCCGCCACACAACTTGCCTCAGCCCAACCCGGTAAGACCCGGCGCATCAGCCACAGAATCTTACATAATCACCTTCGGACTTGCGATATGGAGTCTTTCACAGGTACGGATACGGATACCTAGAACCCCTTCACCGCGAGCCTTTTGTGCTTGTTTCAATGTAGCAACTGCCACTGTGTTTTTCCTTCATTTGTAACTTGACAATGTGGAATGTTGTATAGTTTAGATGGCGTCTTCCAAAGCCCCCTTCCCCTCCTCCCCCCCTTGGCTGCATTCCAACAGGAACAGGAACAGGAGCATCGGGTGGCTGGGAGAGAGGAGTCAGGGAAGTGAAGCCTCTCATTGGCCAAAACTATGTCTAGTTCCGCCCAGCGCGTGCATGGAAGCCTGCTAAAGAGACAAGTACGTACCCTGTCATCGTCCTTGCACCCCCGCAATGTTCACGACCCCTGAATCCGCTGCTTCTCCTTGTATTCGGATCCCGCAGCTGAAGCCTCCCAACCACCAACATTTCCCATTATCACCACCACCACCACCACCACCACCTCGTGTGGCTCCATCACCAGCCATCCGCGTTTGCTAGTGCAGCGCAGTTGAACCATCATGGCTCTCTCCCGCGTGCCGTACGTCTGTTTGCTTTTATTTCTCACGTCTCCAGTTTTCCTCTGTTCCCCCTGGCTCCTCGTATACTCGATCGACATTTGATATCCTCCATATTCCGTCCTGTCCGTGTCCGTTATCCAAAGCTGCACACATACCTACCTACCTACATCTGCATGCACCAGTACAAGCATCAGCCAGTCAAGCGTTTGTCCAGCATCATCCTCGAAAGAGTCTTTCGAGACGCAAGCATCAGCTCGCTCATCGTCGGGATGCGCCCCTCGGTCCCCCTCCCCCTGCTGTTGTCCGTCTCTACGGCCGCCAACGCCATCCCCCTCCTTGATCGTCTGCTGCATTTCCGTGACGCGAAGCCGTCAAAGACCTATTCGGTCGTCAATGTCGAGGGAAGTCCCACCACCGCCGCTCCTGTCGTCGTCACCGTCACCCGGTCGCCGGCTCAGGTCACAGTGACGCAAAGGATCACGGATCCCGTCCCAGACGCCTCGTCTGCCGTCCAGACAACATCCACATCCCTCATCATCGTCAATGTTGACGCCACTACGGTTGAAGCATCATCTACCGTGACCGTCTACCCGACTGTGACGCCCACGCCTGAGTCAACGCCTCCCCCACCCACGACAACCTCGACAACGCTGCCGCCAGCTCCACCTCCGCCTAGCTCCGCCGTTCCAGAGACGTCTTCGGCGCCTACATCAGACGCTCCTGGGTCCTCTCAACCTACCGCCTCGCCCACCAGCATTCCCACTCCGTCGAGCTCTCCGGATCTCTCCCAGAGTTTGGCATCTTCGTCGAGTCCTCCTGTTGCGGTGCCTCCTCCTTCAACTGAGACATCGGCTGCTCCGAGCGCATCGCCGTCAGCACCCGCGAGTTCCTCGACACCCACGGTCGAGCCGCCGCCGCCGCCGCCGTCGACCGAGACTCACGTGGTCCCCAGCTCATCACCGTGGGCCCCCGTTGTCTCCTCCACTGCCATCGCCCTACCTCCCCCATCGACGGGCACGTGGGCCGCCCCGAGCGAGCCGGCATCGACACCAGTCGAGCCGTCCACCGCTATCGTGGCGCCTCCTCCGCCAACAGCCACCCCTGTTGCACCTACTTACACTGCTCCGCCTGAGCAGTGGTCCTCGACCTTGTCTGTAAACACTACTTCGTCATTGACGTCGTCGACAATCTCGCCATCTACTCTACTCGCCAGCACCACGGAGTCTAGCATCTATCAGACCCCTACCCCGGTCTATGAGACCACTTCCCAAACCACGTCGGAGCAGGCGCCCAGCTCCCTCATCCTACCATCGACGTTCGTCACCAGCGTCTTCAGTGTTACTGCACCGTCCCCCGTCCCGACTTCCCAAAGCTATGACGACGGGCACTGGAACCCCAGCAAATATCCCGAGTGGACAGGCACCGCAAGTGCGACGCCTCGCTACCGCCGCCGGTGAAGCAGGCCATCTACAAGATTCCTGACGAGACGGCTTGCACAACGTGTATGCTTATATGTTCTTTCTTATTCTATCGCCACATGGCGTCCCCTCAGCATGGCATAGCGTAACCTGGTTATGAGTTAAACGAACAGTGCACGCTCTCATGGACGACTTGTACTAATGACGCCTGGGAATAATGGATCGTTAAAAGAGGAAGACGCCGACCTCGGACTGTGTGTGGAAAGGACTCACAGCAGCACAAAACCAAGAGCTGGAACGCGCTGTTATCCTCGGTTTTCTTTAATGTCTGTAATCAGATAGAGTGTGGATAGTCCAACGAGTAGTCGCTTATCATCCGTCCGCTGCATCGCCCGTGACAGACGCTCGAGCGAGCTGCTACATCAAGCTACAAGCAGTCGGCCGAGGTGTCAAAAAATCATTCAAGTCTATTGCCGACGCCATAGACTGTTTCAAACTTTGGTGCTTCCCCAAAGCGACTCCACGGAACCAGCGCATGAAGCGGGTAAGAAACAAGAGCTCGCGCCGAAACTCGGGCTGTCAACCGCTCCCAGGCATGAGGCCATCCATGTCCAGCGCGTAGCCGGATACCACAGTACATATGGCTGGGAAACGACCCCGTGCAATTCCGACCGATTTCTATCCTGGAAGTTGAAAAATACAAAGCTGCTCAAACTAACAAACTCGTCCCTCCTAGCCTTCCTGATGTCGACGGCGCAAGCCGACTCATTGGTCGACGGGAGCTGCGGGTAGCGCTCCGCGCTAGGAAACGCTAGCAATGTCGCCAACGCGGTGACACGTCGGACGTTGACGAACGGCTTCGTGGGATTCCCAGCATGTGCTCTTCCTCTAGCATCCAGAAAAAGAAGGAGAAGGGGAGACGATGAAGTCACAAAAGCGAACGGGAATCATGTGTGTCCCCATGTGTGGCTCGTGTGTCTTGCGTGCTTCCCAAGTCAGGCGTTCCTGCAAGGGCCCATGAGCCCGCAACCACTTCGAAGCTGTAAGGGGTGGAGGGCTCGCAACGCCTCTCTAACCGTGTGCTATTCGGTCTGTGCCACATGTTGATCGTGGAATCCACCGGGGGACCTGCGAGATGGACGGTAGTGCTGCGCGACATCCAGCCGTCGTCCCGGCAGGCATCCGTTACCTAACCCGCTCTCTCCATTCCTTTCAGACATCTATACCACTGCAGTGAGACATAAGGCCTAAAGTGAGAGTTCGCTCGGTGAAGACACTACAGCGTCGCCGCCCAATGGCGAAGCCACACGTTCACCGGCCCGGCTCGAACCAGCGGACAACTCAACGACCCAGGCCACCCACACCTGACACCCTCGGGCGCGACGGATACATGTTCTCATCCAAGACAATGGAGCGGGAGCAAACGGAGCTTGGGCAAGCGTGAACCGCCGCGAGCTGGTTGGGATGGGGGCGGAGGAGGGAGCGGTAGTTTGGGGGGGGGGACATCTCGCGACATAGAGGCTGTCGCCCATCACCTTCGTCATTCCCTCCGCTGGGTTTCGCGCTTGGCATGCCCTGGCATCGGGCACTCTTTGGCCAGGTTCACCGTAGCCCGTCGGCTGAGAAGTTGATGAACGGGTAAGCAATATAGAAGATACTGGGGCATTTGGCATGTGAGAATAATTCCGTGGTCAGCCTATAACCTCACGCCTACAACGCTTTGCCCTTCTCTCCCACTCTGTCTCTCTCTCTCTCTCGCATACACACACACACGAAGCTCTTACACCGATCTCACCAACCCCACCTCATCCTGAACTGCAGGCCTCTTTTCCAAATCACAAACGACATCCCTCGCCTCATTGGCTTTACCGCCGCAAGGGCGTGCTGTCTCTCCCCTCACAATGTTCCCTCAAGTCAGGACGTGTCGCCGCAAGGGCGCCCTCTCCGCCCTCCTCGTCTTCTTCCTCGTCGCCCTCGCCGCCGCCCTCGACGAGGCGACGGCGAACACGACCCTCCAGGACCTGAGCCACCTCTACCTCGTCCCGGACGCGCCGTGCGCCGGCCACGAGGGCCAGTGGAACTGCCTCTCCGACAGGTTCCAGCACTGCGCGGACGGGCAGTGGAGCGCCGTCCTCTCGTGCTCGGGCGCCGGGAGCGCCAGCGCCGTAGACACCGGATCCGACCCTGTCTCGTTGTGCAGCCCGCTGGGGAAGACGGACATCGTCGACTTTGAGGGCGAGTGCAGCGCGGCCTGGGGCTGGGGAGGCAGCGGTGGCGGCGGCGGCGGGTGGGGTGGAGGGGGTGTAAGCTGTAACGGGAACGGCTGCTACCGCGGCACCGGGACGAGGTTGGGCGCCGGGCCGTGGGTGTATGTCTCTATCGTCGGGGCAGTGGTCGTGAGGCTCTGGTGAGACACGCCTAATGAGGACGGAAGGGAAAGGGGGAAGGGTGTTGGTAGAGGCATATATCGTCGGTTCTTTTGCGGCGCATTTTGGACGTGGGCCTCGTTGACATTTATGCTGTTTGAGAAACCTCATCTTCACGGATTGTTTAGAGGCAGCCGGCGCTGCATTTGGCTTCGTGTTGTTACCGAGGGTAGTTGGCGTTTCATATCGTATACTCTTCATGTCAAACGTTCTTATCATTAACATCCGTTCCAAACGTAACGGGGGCGACCTCTGGAAGCAGAAATATGCCATGGACATGGTTTCTTACAACGGTCTTTGGTCTGCTCACAATGGAGTTGATGTAACATTGGTAGAGTCGGCTTTGATGTTGGTTATGGCGCATGGATCATTACGTACGTATAATCATCATCCGCTGCTTGCTCTTGTTGCATGGCGGAAGTATTAACGATAAGTAACCGATGAGTGGTTAAAGCCAAACTGAAACATGAGAAACAGAGGCTACCTTATAGTTTCACGGTCCAGGCCCTGTTGTGTCGAGAGCACCGCTGCCTCGTGTTCCGTCCGGAAGTATTTAACGTTGCGACTGATGGGACGCCGTAGATACATGATGGCTACTTGTCGGTTGTGGAAGAGCTATGCTGAAGACTAGACAGAACTCCAGGCCATCTCGAAGAGCCCGGACAACTGGATGATGTATTCACAAAAGTCGGGCGTCCCAACTGAGAGATACACCATTCATTGCATATCGGAAGCTCCTTACTCTGGCCCGTGAACCTCCACCGATGCGAGGATGGCAAGTCGTCGAACTACAAGATGGGAAACACAGTCGCCGAATACCATCTTCCCCACAAAAGTCAGCTTTATCGGGAATAACGGCAACGGTTGAGGCTGACATCAACGCCATAACAGTTTGGTGACGGCCCGCACCCACAGATCGTCCCTCCACAAGGCGAGGTTTGCGCTATCGTGACGTCACCCCCTTGGCGCATCAGAGGATCAGGTTTGATGCCAATTACAGCGGCCTCGACGGGCATATAATTGTGGTTTTCCAGAGCATCATCAGCCGCGCAAAGTATTTGATTCATGCTCATGCTATTGCAAAGAGCTATCGTATCAACCTGGCAATACTTTCCCCCTCTTTCCATCTTGAAACACGGCCAACGGATCCTCTAGTAGTCGGTTAAATCAGTCATATCAACTCTCACCATGGCTTCCAGCAACACCGCCACGCTCGACGCCCAGAACGGCAACACCTACCAGGCTCCGGCGACGCAGCCCGTATCCAGGGCCGCCGAAAGCACCGTCGGCGGCGGCGACGCGGCGACGACGCACAGCGGCGGCGTCGGACAGCAGATCAAGGGCGCCTTCGCCCAGGGACACGTGAGTAGTCCTTTCTTCACCCGTACCGCAAACAAACAAGAGGCCGGAGGAGATAGGCCCCCCCCCCCTTCCCCCCATCCGTGCTGACGAAACAAATGTGTGAACAGGGCGTCGGGGAAGTGCTCCGCGGCAAGTTCAACTCGGCCGTCGACACGGCGGCGGGCGACCCGCAGGGCCAGGCGAAGAACAAGAACGTCGCCACAGGCGGCGAGAGGGAGTTTGCGACCAAGGGTTTCGTGAAGAAGGGGACTCTGGACAAGGCGTTGTGAGTTCGGGACGGAGAGGGACGCAGGGTGGTTGCTCTAGCGTGTGTTTTTTTTCTTTTCCTCCCAGACTGTTCGGCAGGATTCGTGTGATACCACCTTTAGACATGCAGCGATGATATGAGACGTCTCTCTCGTACGACGTCACAGGAAATTAACTGCGTGATTTCAAGTGAGCATCCCCTATGTTCAGTCGTCCATCAGGGGTAATACTTCTATTAGACTGTAACCTGAGAGCCTAAGTCGCCAGGTACCGCTGGGATTGAAACAACTTTTTAGTACATATCTATCCTCAGAGGTTTCAAGTTAAAATAGATTATCATAATGAAGCAATACGAAGCTGTGCATTGAGGTTATTACTGGCCTTAGATGCTCAATCTTTGGGATATCATTTTCAGGTGCTGGGGATGTTCGGTAGGGGGTTTGTCTGATTGGTATTTCCGGTGGGCTTTACGCATCGAAAGACGGCAAAGCCACTCCAGATACCAGTCAAGATAAACCGTCTGGTTGCGCGTCACATGCCTTTTGGGCAGAAACGTAAAGACAGGTTCAAGACGAGACAGTACCTCAAAAGTCCCGCATGCCATTCAACAAACCGCTGGGAAATGACTTGGGTAATGTAGACAAAAAAAGTCCGTCAATGCCGGTGTTTCAGGCAGACAAAGGTTTGCAAAAAATAAAACAAAAGTGTTTGGTTGCTTTCCATTCATTTAACGTCAACTCATCAGAACAGAATCACAGACCCCCCGCCTGTTGTACAGATTGGTCGCGGCGCATCTTCACTTCTGGCTCTTTTTCCCGCTGTTCTTGATCAGCGCCGGATCGATCTCGAACTTTGAAAAGTTGTCGACGAGGTCGTCCCACATCTTGGGGTCGTGCTCGTGCTTCTCCTTGCTGTGCCAGGCGTAGTGGGTGATGGTGAGGGGCCGGCTCGTCTCGAACATGAAGGCGATGGACCCGAGAGAGATCTGCATGACGGGGGGGTCCTCCTTGGACGCCGCGGCGAACTGCTCGTACGCGACGCCGTGGGGGACGAAGCCGCACTCGAACGAGATGCTCCCCGGCTGGAACTCGTCGGAGCGGCCGCCGTAGTCGCCGTAGATCAGGCCCATCAGCTCCGAGGCGGCGTTCCGGTGGTAGTAGGGCGGCCGGTAGGTGTGGGACGCGACGTCCCACCTCGGCGAGAAGATGAGGAAGTCGGCCAGGGGCGCGTTGGGGTCCCTGGACTTGGCCGTCACGACGCAGAAGATGGACGGGTCGATGTGGTCGACGGAGATGGAGCCGACGTTGACGAACTTTGTGAGGTCGTACTTCCACGGGACGTAGTTGCCGTGCCAGGCGACGACGTCGAAGGGGCAGTGGCGCTGCGTGCTGTTGAAGAACTTGCCGCCCAGCTTGTAGACAATGTCCCAGGGGTCGTCCTTGGTGACCTCGTACGACGCGACGGGGTGCAGGAAGTCGCGGGCGTTGGCGAGGCCGTTGGCGCCGAGGGGACCCAGCTCGGGGAGCTCCCAGCTGGAACCCCAGACCTCGAGGATGTAGCCGCGCGTCGGCCCCTCGACGTTGACCTTGAAGCGGAGGCCGCGCTGGATGGCGCAGATCTCGCCCGGCTGCACGTAGAGGAAGCCGAACTCGGTCTGGATGTCGAGGGCGCCCTGCTGGGGCACGATGAGCCAGTCGCCGTCAGAGTTGGCAAAAGCCTTTTTCGTCATGCTCTTGTTGCACAGGTAGACGTGGGTGGCGACGCCCTCCCGGAGCGTCGGGTCCCCGGAGCCGGCCACGGTCTTGAGGCCCTGGACGAAGTCGACGTCCTGCCCGTCGGGGATTGGGAAGGGCTTCCAGGCCAACTGGGTCGGCGAGACGTGGACCCGGGGGTTGATGGGCATGAAGGTGGACTCCGTGTCCTTGTTGTCGGGGAGTTCAGTCTGCGCGGGAGAGGGGTCAGCGGCCAAGTCTGGCGGGCTTCGGCCCATGTTAATTGAAGAGAGAGGAGGGGTCCCGCCTACAAATCCTTGATGAGCCACGGCGGGCCGGGACCGGTAGAGCCAGGCCTTCTTGTTGGCGTGCCGAGGAGCGACGAATGACGAAGCCGTTACCTGCTCTGCGTACAGGCCATATCGTATGCTTCTCGGGCTGTTCTGGCCTCTCGGGATAGTCCCGGCGATGGCTTCGGACTCAAAACTGTTGTTGAAGCCGGGCTGGTACGTGTACGGGTCGTTCAGACGAGTTGCGAAGGACGGAATCGTCCCATCCTTCTGCGTCGCCGCCCAGTGGAAGGCGTTTTGGAAGTCCTTTGGAGTGAGGTCTTGAGCCGCCATGGTGAGTTGAGCGTCGAGTTTAACTTGGAGGAGGGAGAGGGAGAAGAGGGGAGAGGGGATCGACGAGGAGGGAAGAGAGAGACGATGACGACGGGCCACTGGAGCTTTTGTAGAAACCGGTGGCCCCGTCCGTCGCGGAAAGCTTCACTCCACATGGAGCTTGGAGAGCCGCTCCATACGGTCTTGGAAAAATAAGAAAACTAGCTTCGAGGCTGTGGGGCGTGCGAGCCTGGGCGGCTCCGACGCGAGTTGCGTGGAAGTTCAGACCGCATTATTTCCCACTTGGCGTACAGGGGGCCCGGCCTTCTCTGTCATGACTGACAAAGTGAAGAAGGCGGAGAAGGATTCGAGTTACAATTGAGGTGGTGACACGGTACTTTTTCCATGTGCATGTCGTGGTACCGGCTGTCAGACCACTAAGAGTAGCTTGCCGCAGAGATGCGAAGAGCTCGAGTGGCAGCCAAAGGCCATCAAGTAATACTGCTCAGTGACATCTTATATTCCGTGCGTTAAGAGGAGAGAGGACCGGGGTTATTTCCGAATAGTTCGTTCCCGCCCCCGCCCTCTTCCATCCGTGACGCATCAGTCTGTAAGCTTCGGCTCTTACCAGTATATTTCTGGCCGTGACGTATGGTTGGGGCTGGGGCCTGTCAGAGTAAAGAATGACTAAGATGCATGCACTCCTTTGATTGTTTGAAGGCGACTGCTGATGCTGGACAAGAAGCCCTGTAATGCATCGTGAAGAGAAGAGACTGAGGGATCCAGACCGTGTTACGTCCTTCAAGATACAGCCATCTTGGAAACTCACTTTGGCACACGCAGACGCTTGTCGACTTACTCGAATAGGTTTGTGACCCAGGGATAAACTCCGTACCTTGCTTGCTTCGCCTTTCCACTCGGCTCATCCCGCACAAACATAAGCGAGCGGCGCAGCTTCTGAGTGCTGAATGCGACAGGTCGGCATACGGGGGGGGGGGGGCATGGTGACTGCATAGTACTTGAGGCCTTGAGACGGGTTAAGCTGTTCTTTATTCGTTCTTTTGAGTCTTTTTTTCTTTTTTGTCCGGGTCGTTACACCGACGACGCTGCATGTATGTGTTGGCGTGGATCAGACACACGTTCAAGGCCAATGATAATCACTGGCTTCTGTTTCGTACCGCTCAATCTTGATCCCGGTTCACCAATGCCGGAACGCACGCATCGAGCCCCGTAAATATCCCTGCAATACTTGCAGCAAAAGTCCAGTTGATAATGACTTAGTGATCACTGGTGGTGCGCCTGTCTTACCGCGGCAGATATGGTCTTTAATGACAGTACGATAGGGTGAGGCGTCCCAACGACCTGGTTCGTCTTTTCTGTGCCTCGTTACGATTTATCCAAGGGTGAGATATTAAGCAACCATGAGAATGTCTTTAAGCATTGTGGTCTTTGGTCAGTCGGTCATCGCATTGTACAGGAGCATTGCATCGTCCGTCGACAGCCATGTCGCTTCTGGAGTTTTTACCTCCAACTAGTCGAACTATTAGAGTGTCGTTAAGTTTTGATAATAATAAATCAAGCTACAAGATGAATCCTGCCGACATACTTTTGGTAGAGCAAAGACACGTTTCTGGTCAGTGGTCAAGTTCTTTCCCCATTTTCAGTGATAACATATCGAGGCCTAGCTGTCTAAACTTGTCAGCGAATCCAATCTTGACGCAAGGATAAGCCATTGCCTATACACAACTCTTGGAAAATATTATATTGAATCTTAAAGCATCTCATTGTCAGTGTCTAAGACATTCCGATACCAGACCCGCATATAATTAATTATACGAATCTGCTTCGACAGACTGGCTACAGGTCGAACCGTAGAAAAGACCGCCAGGCGGCATCTATAGTAACCCATGTAGCCAATGTAGTCATGGACAGCGTTGTTCTTATATGCGACGCTCCATGCTACTATGGCTGTACATAATGATTAGAAACTCGCTGCCTTTGGACGGTGTAGAGTAAATGCTCGCCGCTTGGGATGTGGTAGCGTCTTGAGAAAGTGATAGAACAGCAAGTGGTTTATCAGGCCAATATTTGAGGTCATCCTTTGCCACTGATTAGTCACAATCTTTGTTTCTTGACACCTGAAAGCAATCGGTTTATGCACAGAGAACATTGAAGTCTTCCGGGGGGGGGAGCTTGAGGTTCATCACGCAAAACAATGTCTGCATCAGAGCAAGTCCGTCGCCGCCAGGCCGACAAGAACATGCAGCATGGCCCTTCAAAGCGGAAGGAAAGACAGTAGCGACGTATAGTAGTTCATGAGGTATGGTCAAATATTGATCGCCCATATATGTGGTATGGGGCATCTTGGTTCTCATATGAGCGCATCTACATGATTGTAGGATAAAGATGCAGGTTCAGTAAGCCGTACATATCACTCTGGGGTCCGTAAATAAAAGTTCGATCTCTAACTAATCAACCTGAAGTGAATAAGCTCCGGTGGCTGTTAGGGTCATGGTTTTGTTATTTCCCTCTAATGTCTGTGACGATGATAAGGCCATGCCTTTGTCTATTAACCCACAGCTATTGACACAAGAGAAGCACCGTGAATTCGCCTCACGGCGTCATGAGAACCCTTATTTCCAGGGTATTTTCAGAAAATATAATATTGGTTCATTCCTGCGTAGTCTTGATATTCCGACAACGTGGGTTCCGGCCGCCGGCATATACCGATATCATTATGAGGAGCTTCAATCGCAAAAATGCCGCTTCCATTTGACCCCTCATAGATATTGCATCAAGATGCACATCACAGCCATTGTGGGTTAAGTATGTCGTCCTCTTACGGCCTGCCGATGCGGGGTAACAAACCAATGGCTAACCTCGGCATTCCCTTATTCCATGTGGGAACCTTGGCTAAGACAAAGTTATCTCGGTTGTCAACAGAAGGGCTTTTTGATCTCTGAAACTTTTGCTGAAAAGTGATACAGCAACTGCAGCATTCTTCGCTTTCAAGAGGAGTGTTGTGTGATATACATTTGCTGCCCTTAGAGCATCGTTGCTCGAGCTCACGATGGCCTCAGCGACGCGGCAGTTAGAGCACCCTGTCATCGGAACAGTCAAGGGAATTGTGTCGAACGGTGTTACTCAATTTTTGGGCGTCAAATACGCGAATCTAGACCACTGGTTTGACAATGCTCAGCTTGTTCAGTACAACGGTAATGGTTTGAATGCAACACGCCACGGGTAAGGCAATCCTCTCTCATTTGGCACCATCCATCTTATGGCAAGCTAAAGCCATCACCAGCCCGCAAGTCATCTCGGATCCTGCGGGGGTCAACCAGGAACACCTGATCATCCAGAAAGCGATCCCAGTGGCCGAGTTCCCTGGGCTATCAAGCACCGAATGTCTCAACTTGAACCTCACAGTGCCTCTCGAGGTGAAAGACTCCCAGCCCTTACCTGTACTGGTCTTCATTCATGGCGGAGGATTCGCTACTGGCTCGAATTGGTGGCCACAGTATGACATGAAGCGTTTAGTCCAACTGGCAAGCGAACGGGGAAAGCCCATGATTGCCGCTGCTATCAGGTACAACGGACATCACAGCCTATAGCCAGAGCAGTAGTTGGCTAATTGAGTCTTTCACAGCTATCGCGTGGGTGCGCCTGGGTTCCTTACCTCCGAGGAGCTTCAAAAGGAAGGGTTCAAGAGTAATCAAGGCCACCATGACCAGAGAATTGCTCTTAAATGGATCAAAGAGTATATTGCTGGCTTCGGTGGCGATCCTCAGCAGATAACCGTGGCCGGTGAAAGTGCTGGTGGCAGTGAGTCTTTCCATCGAAAAGTCGAAAGGCCAGCTGGTCGCAGTCACATCCTCTGACCAAGTTAGGCTCAACGACCCGGCTACTCTACTCGAATGAGACACTGGCGACCCAAATCATCGTCTTGGGGGGTTGCCCTCCACTTCTTGCGCCGCTGGACGCGGCAGTTGCTGAGCAAGTCTATCATGACGTGACCAAAGCTTTCAGACTCGAAGACCTGTCATCGAGTCAACGTATCAAGGCATTGTCTGAGGTGTCCCCAGAGGACCTCCTTGCGAAGCTTGAAGGGGTCAGGCCGTTTCTACCAATCTTGGACGGAGATACGGTGCCCTTTACGCCAACATTCGAAACGTCCAGGGCAAAAAAGGTGATTCCCAGCGGGACGTCTTGCCGAGCCATGATGATCGGATACGCGCCGTTAGATGTACGCTCTGCCTCCCTCGTTGATAGTCGCTTATAGTTTTGGCTAAAAGTTTGACAAAATAGGCGAGCATCTTCGGCTTCGTGGGCCTCCTGCACAAGAAAGAAGGCATTGCCACCAAGTTCATCCAGTCCATCAGCTCGTCGCTATCGCAACACCCCGATGCGACCACGCGGATTCTGCAAGCCTACGAGATTAGCGAGGCTGCGGGCGACGACGAATCTCTCATCCGTGTCCTGCAATTTGCTTCAGATCTTGTTTTTCGCGCCTCGGCAGAGTTGTATGCGAAAAGCTTCCATGGCAACTCCTACTTGTTGGAATTTGCAGAGCGCAACCCTTGGGATGGTCCTTTCAAAGGTCACAGTACTCACGTGCTTGATGTTGCATTCCTCTTTCAAAACTACAATGAGCATCTCAGCGAAAAGCAAAGACAAACTGCCGAAGCATTTGCCGCTGATGTGATAGACTTTGTTCATGGTGAGGCTCCTTGGGGGCGACTCCGAGATGCCGCCGGGCGCATGATCTATGAACATGGGACGAGAACTTACAAGGAAGACGTGGCCGGCTCCGGGAAATATGACTGTGTTCTTACCCTGGGCGAAGAAGTTGGTCTGGATTATCTACTAAAAGCTTGGGAGACGTTCCTATTCTCTCAGTAAGACGTTGCTTTCGGTGCTGAAGCCGGACATATGGGTCTCAAAGCACCGATCCAATGTCACAAGTGCAGGCCAGTGAGGCGAGGAAGATTGGTTTTGAGCTTATTAGATGGAATAGAAACCCACACGAATGGGGCTACATTGGCTGTCTGTTTGGCTCCTTTGCTTGTTCAGCATTGATCACTGAGACCGCCCTAATACACACGGTCAAGTGAATTGTTGAACCTCGAATACGGTGGCATTCCTATTTCATCAAGCTAACCCAGGAGTGAATTTGCCCAATAAGGCGATTCCTCAATACTACACGGTTGTTGAATCTATTTTCGCTATTTGGAGAACATGGGAGATAAGCCTGACTGGGAAATAAGTGTACGTGTGCGGGGTCAATGGCAGAACCCAGCGCAAAGGATGCATTACTCATTTGGATTCTCCACTTTGCAACTGCGCCTTTTGTCCGGTGTGTGACGCTTTTTCAGACTTCAAGGCTTGAGCGGCCATCGCGAACATAATTCGGAAGCTTATCGGTGCCTGCAGAAGATCAGGATGAAGGCGGACCCTGTACTTGCTAGTGAGTCGCTGAGCTCGACGCTGCTTGGCGTTGGGCTTGAGCGCGTTGTCCAGTTTCGAGGGATTCCATACGGCGAGATCCCATCACGGTTCGCAGAACCCCGGCCGAAAAGCGCTTTGCCACGGGAGGTGAATTGTACTAGCTTTGGGTACGAGTTTTGGTTATTAATTTCGTGTGCCGTGTCACATTGTCAGTGACTGACTTGCTTTTATGATATTGTAGACCTCGGTGCCCGCAAGTCGCCATTGATGTTGGCCATCTCTTGAGAATCCCCAGCCAATACAAGCTGCCGCCCGAGCCTGAGGATGAGTTCAAATGTCTCAACTTGGACGTGACGACACCCAGATCATGTTTATCGTCAAAGCGCGAACAGCTGCCGGTTCTTGTCTGGATTCATGGTGTGTACACCTGACCACGAAGGGTGCCGCTTGTATCAACACTGACACATCTCAGGCGGTTCGCAAGCAGTGACCTTTGGAAGCGCCGCTTCTGGCGTGTGTGGTACGACTTTAACTCTTACTCCCCTCTCCGCTTTGTTCCTCGACTCTACGTGGGAGAAATGATGCGCACATTGGCACGTTGATTGACTAGAGATTCCCTTAGATGGGACACAAGTTGTGGAGGATTCCATCAGTCAAGGGAAACCGATCATCGTTGTGACAGTTCAGTATAGGCTGAACATCTTTGCGTTTGGGGACGAGACTAGTTCGAAGAATTTGGCCCTGAAAGATCAAGCCTTGGCTTTGAATTGGGTTCAAAAACATATAGCTGGTTTCGGAGGCAATCCGGTACTGCGTCATGGATCACTCCTGTCAAAAGACTTCACTGACGTTTCTTCATAGGATAACATTTTTCTTGCAGGGGAAAGCGCCGGAGCGGTGTATTGCCATGCACACCTGGTAGCTGGCGCCCCCATCAGAGGCGTCATTCTCTGCTCCGGCTCTCTGTACCTATCTCCACCCCAGTCAGAAGAGAAGGCCTTCATTTTGCGTCAAACTTTACGAAAACACCTTCAAGGTGCGGGCGATTTTGAGATTGACACCGCTCCCGTGGATAAATTGGTGGAGGCCCTAGAGTCGTCTGGGATACAGTCTTGGTTCTTGCAGACGGATTCCGCGCTTGCAGACTGGCAGACCAAAATAGGAGTAGCTGAAAGGTTGATGATAGGCGATGTCCAAAACGAGGTCTGTGTCCTCCCTCTCCTTCCGAGCTGAATGACACATTGACTTTAGTCTGAAGGCCGTAATCTGGCGAGAGGGTGTGTGGGCAACAGATAACGCCGCCGTTGTCGATGCGTTTAATTTAGCTGGCGAAGACCGGGATGCATTGAAAAGGGTGTACAACATTTATCCTGACAGACCCTCCTCTTCCAAGATTGGAGCTTTGGATTTCATCAACGACTATAAATTTCTCCTTCCAGCCGAGAACGTTGCTCGGCTGTTCAAGGCTGCAGGCAAACCGGCCTATCGTTACCTGGTCGATGAATCGAATCCTTGGCAGCCGTCAAATGGCGCTCATCATGCTGTTGACTTGCTTTTCCTCTTTGGGGGGTTCGACCTATCCTGTTTTCCCTCTGCAAAAAAGACTGGAGAACACATGCGTGAAGCGTTCATCGCGTTTATTCACTCCCAAGAACCGTGGAACCCTAGTTGTTATGCAGGATTTGGGCCATACGGATCGTTTCAGGAGCTCGATAGTGCTGGCGTTGGGTGCCGAAGGCGAATGGAGGCGGCAGAGTTCCTGCGAAGTGTCCCGTCACCAGTCCTGGATAAGGTATTCTTTGCTCTCGCTGCCGGCCGAATCAGCTTGTCAAACTGATCCGACTAGCAAAAATACATGTTTACTAATGCGAAAGAACGCCATGGTGTCTAGCCATGGTTGTGTAGCTCATCTTCTGTGTCCATCATCAATGGCGGTAACGGCATACGTTTCGTCCCGCTAGCGGTTGTGTCAGGTTATCCGCATACCGTTCGATTTCTGTATATTGCATAGTTGTCGACTGTTAGGTAGACAATCTGTGGGCCGTTGGGTGTCAACAAGAGTAAATTGACGCGATCTAATCAGAAGTATCCCATATGTGGAGATGTTGGCTGTTACGTCGTCAATGATGAGTGGTGTGGGTTTCACGGATGTTTGTGAAGGCTGAGCCTGGTACACGTTATCGTCGATGTGGAAGCATGACGGCGTTTTCCCCGATCGTGGCACGGAGGAAACGGCGCAGCGTTTGCCCCAATAATGGTATCCTAAACTTCATGCTCAGTCAAAGCTTGAGTGAGTGCGGACCAGTCAGTGCGCGTGTAGTTTTCAGCCCTGAGGACATGACCAGCTGAACTGTCAAATGCTGTTCAACACCATGAACTCACTTGGTCGTGGAAGAGGCATTTAGAATGAGTGAATTCTACGTCGGGCACCATGTGGTTTATACAAACCACTCCTGGTAAATTGTGTGAGACTCGAGAGATCAAAGGTCGTCGTATCTTTCGAATAGTGACTTGGCCGTCATCTACAAGCATTTCCATCTCAACTGCTGGGGCAGCTGCTTGATAAAGGGGTCATTCCCGTTACGACCATCGAGAACACATCGTACCTAGCCACAGACCCCTAGCACCACGCATTGCGCTTCTCCGTGCAGCAATCAAGGTGTCACACTGCACTGGGCTCAGTCACAATACTTGGCAACGTAGATTCCTCCCCAGTCAATTACGTTGGCCCATGTCTAGTTGAACCTACACTATCTGCCCTATAAGAAAGATGGCCTGAATTGTATGTTCGCACTACCCAGCTTTAACTTCAGGCGTTGATCTACGATCCGTTCCGAGATCTACCCGGGGCTTGCCTGTTATATCATGGGTGACAGTTACAGGTCAGAATGACTATACATAGTGAATATAGAGATAAGGGGAAATAAGGAAGTGGTCACAGATATTCCAAATCTAGTGACATGAGATAATGAAGTTGCTCATTTCGTCCCTCAGTATGGACATGGGATAAGCTTTTAACACCTTGTTTGTTTGTTTGTTTATAGGTTAATCGCCGCAACCGCTTTGCGAGACAAAAGGTTCTCACGAATGTACTTGAGTTTCGACGAATATGATTATTCACGGACTCGACTTCATGTTTTATTGCTAGAGCCGGATATTATGGCGGCCGAGATCACCAAGGATTGATAAGGCATGTCACTTAAGGAAAAGCTACCGAGCTTGGAGGACCAGCCAGTCGCTGAGGAGTATAATTATGACTCGGATGCTCTTAGCCTAACGAGTACAAGATCATCGTTAGCAGCCCACCATGAGGTATAGTCAGCCAATAGCCTGCGAGCCTGAGTCGTAATTTACGTAGCCCTCAACGCGCGTTCCGACAATCGTCACGCGACTGGGGTTTCGGCCTCACCGACAGCATCGTCTGAGTGCGGATCTGTATGCCTGACATGCGTCGCTGCAGATGGTGTCGGGTCATGAATACTCTGTCCACGAAATGCATGCCGCAAGAAGTATCTGTAGGGGGCCAACTTGGCGTATAGCGAGAATTCCCGGCGCAGGTCTGCTATCCTGTCCACCCTGAGGGTTTATGGGCTCCTGATAAACTTCTGGGGAATTGCAAATTGGAGTTGACTTGATCAGGAGGTGCTGGAGTTGGATGAGTTTGGATGACAGGGCACTCTGATTTGCAATCCTCTGCCCACTCGGCTCTTCTGTCTGAGCACTTGAGCACTGGTGCACGCTAAACTCATCTTCGGGGGCCGGGCACCCGGGTTAGGTAGTAGCTCATGCCACGCACCGCTGGTTGGCTCTGTGCGTTGGATAACTAAAGATGAATTGTCAATAAGCTGAGTTTCTAGGAACGTGCCAGATGTATCATATCGTGACACCGGGCGAAAAGGTCTCGCCCAAGCCCATTATCTCGTAACCTTTTTAGGAATCCAAGTCGACCGCTGAACGACGTTGAACTTTTCGGGCCCTGGCGCGGTCTGCTTATATACCTTATCCCATTGAGTGCCAAGTGACCTCACATAACCTCGGACCAATAAGACTTCAGCAATCCAGGCTGACTGTCCAATAGCTGTCAGTAATTGTTTACAGAGACCCCCTTTTGGGTTATGTGAGGTCATTTGGCACTCAATGGGATAGTAGTTGATACTATAATGACTTGTAATTATGCCCTTTCTAGGGCAACAAGCGATGGTTAGTGCGTAAGCTAGGCACAGGAGCTGTTTAAACAGGAAAATCAAAGTTGGTCAACCGAGCGTTGATGGGCTTGCGGGACTATCCCTGCAAGTTTTCTGTTAGCTTTGTACGACCTCGGTAACGAGCAGTGAGATTGTCGAACGACTCAGCGCCAACGATGAAGTTGACTAGTCTTGTATGGTACTATCACCTTGTAGCAACCAGACACATGGGCCTGTGAAACTTTCTTAGCGGCACATCTCGGCGCGATCCGATTAAACGTAGGTAGGGCTTTTATTGTATACGCCCAGATGTTTATTGAATAAAGGCAGCCAAAACCGTCGGTGGGGTTGCTGAAATAGGAAGACATAGTTTATATGATTACCAAGGTTGAGCCTGGTTTCTTGAGATGCTTCCGCCCCAAAAGATACACCTGAAACCACAATTGCCCGAAAAAGAACTTGAGGTGAGGCCGACTAAGCGTGAATGATGGAGAGGTCCAGTAGCTTCATTCACAGTGACCACGGTCAGGATTTCGCCGAAAACCTGAATCAGGCGACATCCTTCAAGGCCACCGGAAGAGTCCTCCGTCATCTTGGTTTATACTAACCATTAGGTCAAGAAAAAGGTTCCCGGGCAGAATGCCGTGATGAATTCGTTGGAAGCCAGCACTTGATAAAGAAAGAGATTTGTGGCTGGGCTAGAACCTGGTTAATACAGGTATCGTTCTTGGGCAGAGAATGACGTCGGCTAGCAGAAGCCGCGCAAACTCTATTTGTATGACGTCGTATGTTTTTTTCCCCTTTCCAATTCATTGTTCCGAGTCTTGAGCCGAGTCTTGTGCCCTGAATGATATGTACGTCCAGCAATGAATTGGTGTTGCCGTCACTGACAAAAGGCTGGCATGAGGAACGAGTGTAATGGATTCGTTGGAGCACGATGACTCTGGCTTGCGGCAACACCGGAGTTGCAAACCTCGAACCTTTTTTTTTTTTTTTTCTCTTCTAAACTGACTTTCGACCAAGAAGACGGGAGGAGCCACCACTTCGCCCTTCTATCGAGCCCGTTCGCAAATGTGGCTGTGATCACGTTGCAGCTAACAAGGGAACCATTAAACTGTATGATGCCGAGACGCACCGTCTGCCCAGTCCCAGCCCCTGCCGGCTTGGAAATTCTGCCCACGCAGCAAATGGCCGTGTCTGCCCATCGACTATCCCTGCTGGACCAAGTTAGGCCGGCGTTTGAAGGGCTAGACTCTGGCGTCTTGCCCTCCTCCTCGCTCTGCGTCCTGCCGCTACTCGCTCGCTCGGATGATGCCCCTCGCACCACACCCACCGAGCCACGGTGCACACCACCCAGATACCTACAGGTACTCGGCCATAATACACACGGTAAACACCCATAGACCAAGACATGTCTGGCTGATCCATTTGGCACAAGTCGACCCCACCCCCGAAGCAAGACGGGGAGGTAGGTGGACCCTGAATATCTATCTCTTACATACTATTATCCTGTTCTCTTCTCCGCCATTAAAACGGTGCCGGCCTCCCACACTAGACCGTTGAAAGCCAGTGCCTGGTGCTGCCACGAAAAGCAGGCCCAAGTCATGATACCCAGTGTTTGACGGGTTGACCACGAACGAGACGAGCTCTGGCCCGTCTCTTCTTAGACAGTTTCTTTTACACGTTTCCCTCCGCTGTCGGCATCGTTTTCAGCCCTTTGGTTTTCCGCGGACAACCGCCCTGATTGTCAGAATTCGGCAAGTTAGGCTCTATAGTGCGAAAGGGACCTGCTTTTATCCTTCATCTTTATTCTACTTTTTACCCGTCAACTATCTTCCCTCGGCCAGCTCCAACCGCCAGCACCGGACCATGGCATCACCTGAGGAGCAAATGGACTCTCTGCGTGAAAGCTTTGCTACCTGCAAAATACCATCCGTGCCCGCTCGCTACGGGATTATTCCTCGGGTAACCTGGTGAACCCAGTGCTCCGGTTTGAAGCATTCATCCAGGATGGCGAGCCCGGGAACCAGGGGAACTCACCCCGCTCTCCCGTTGTTTCGGTAAGCCTTCGTCTTCTTTCTGTTTGTTATTGAGGGCCGAACCGCGCTGGCGCCAAGGTGCGGTGTCCGCCCCCCCCTCCTCAAACTGATGGACTCCGTTGCACGGTAGCATAACACAAAGTCATCGGCCAATACCTACACAAAAAAGCGATTACCATGCAACTAATTATTGTTCATGGGCTTTTTGTTTTCCTATTGTCAAGCGCGGATAGTGATTGCTCGAAACGGGTTTCGGCTAATAATATGTAACCAAACCCTCAGAAAATGGTAGATCTGTCTGGCATTATATCACAAAATGCAGCAAACAGCCCGAATACGAGCAACCTCGGAAGAGAGACTATCGAGAACAAGACTCCTCCTACCTTTAGCACACAGACGACGATAGCAGAAGGCCCGTCAAGCAGCAGCCAGTATAACACACTTGTACTAGCACAGAGGGCGCCGTCACAAGGGCCGGAACTACAACCGCAGCCCGAAAGACCCGATCCGGCCTCGCAACGAAGAGGAACGGGAGCCCTACGGCCTCTCCAGGGAACCGGCCGGGTGATGGAGGATGAACCAGAGAGCCAGCGGCGGATGCAGGTCGCGAGCAACTTCCCCAAGCGCACAAAGACCGTGGCGTCGGACCCCGTCTTCATCCCGCAGCAGTCCTCCATTGAGAAGTTCGTCATCAGCATCTGGGAGCAGATCCACGGCGGCATCAGCCTGGACCCCCAGAGCCTGCTCGAACAGTGGCAGCTGACGGCCACGGCCGCGACGGCGACCATCAACAACGCCGGCAAGATCCACGTGCCCGAACAGCTCGAGCTCGGGCTGCTCCAGGCGCCGGCGGCGAATGGGACGATGGCCGACATCGACATGGAGGGGACCTTCAACCGCAGCAACATCTTCTGCCGGAAGGTCACGCAGGCCAGCCGCGCATGCCGCTCGATCGAGGTCATTGTCCAAGCGCGGTGGATCGAGCACTTTGACTCGTACGTCGAGCTGCTCGCCATCACGAACCCGGGCATGTCCCCGACCAAACGGCGCAAGGCGGCGCTCATCGAGGCGTGCAACGACTTTGGGTGGTCGGAGAAGGAGCTGCGGAACAAGATGGCCATCTGGCGCGGCTACAAAGAGATCAAGGACGCCGGCGGGTGGGCGGCGTTGGTCTTCGCCGGCATGGGTCTCTACCGCTTCTGCAAGTACCGCGTCGGCTTCAACTCGGACAGCATGCAGCGGCTCCGGTGTCTGCGGCCGCGGATCGAGGTCGCCGCGGACACCCTGCACCCCACATGGCGGCAGCTGCTCATGATCGTCGGGGAGCCGGCCCAGCGGCGCTTCAGCGGACACCCTCACGACTGGGTGGTCCGGCAGGACGGATCGGATCCCGTGCCGCTCCGGTCGACATATCTAGAATACGATCCCTACTTCAGCTTCGAGCAGCTGGAACACTCCGTCATGGACATGAGCGCGTGGGGGACCGAAGACCCGCGATGGGTGCCGCCCATGAACGCGGTGGCGTGCGTCCAGGGGAAGCACACATGTCACCTGTGCGGACAGGAGCAGTCCGAAGACCCCAAGATCAACTCCTGCTACTGTTTCCCGACGCTCTTCGGGTCCGGCGGCCGCAGCCCGTGTCCCGTGCAGGTGTTCCGCACGCTAAACGGGTGCAACAATGGGCTGATGGCGCTTTGCCCCTTCGACCGCGGGGCGGCGATAGGAGAGTTCGTCGGCCTCATCACCAAGGGTCTTCAGAACATGGACGTCATGGACAGCTCGGCCGGCATGCGGGCTTATCAGATCTGGCAGGGCCGGCAGGGCAACTTCACCAGGTTCGTCAATCACAGCTGCAAGTCCAACGCGCAGTTCCAGCGGTTTGTTTGGATGAGCACGCAGCGCATCGTCCTGGTGAGCAAGGGTATCGAGGCCGGGCACGAGATCACGGTGGACTACTCTGGGAGCTACTGGCGCGGCCTAGACAAAAACTGCCTCTGCGGGGAGTCGTGCTGCCGGTACAGAACTGCGCCACGGTGACGATGCTACCCCAGGCGCGAGGACGAAAAGGATCATGACTAAAATGGCCAACGTTCTGCGGTGCGGGCTTGGGATTAGTCTTTGGGGCGATTAGGAAGTGGACTAACGCCACGAGATACCTCATTTCCGGTAGTTGATCGATCCGAAGCCTTTACCGCTTCCCAAACCAGTTCGTGGTACACCAGAATCATCTGAAGTAAACCATCTACCTGGGCACCGTCCTCCCCCGTCTGCCCACATCCCGAAGGACCCCAGTTGTGTTTTGCTTTGGGGGGGGGGGGGGGGGGGGGGGGGTGGGGTTGTAAACAGTGTCAGGATTTGAATCTCGCCTGTCCGGCAGCCTCTTCTGCATAAGGAAAACTTTGCTGGCCTTACAATGTCCACCAGTCGTTGTCCGGATCGGTCAATTTGCTGGTGTTTGTGTCAGGCTAGCGGGTTCCAGATCTTGTTAACGCTAAAGTAAAGTGGTCAGGACATTTTACATCCCTCCACACCTCTTGAATCGCGCTGCTCCAACTAAAATTGCTCGGGTCGCTCATTTTACGACCTCTTCCTTATCCTCTGAGGCTTTTCTATCGCTTTATAGTTATGTGTACGGAGTAGAATGAGCCTTAAAGCAAACATACCCGGTGGGCTGGCCCTTCACCTCCCTAGCTCCTCGGCCTGTGCCGACTTATGGGATCGATTCATGGCGGTCCTGGTGTCGTGCGGTTTCTGCTCTGGTGTCGCCGTGGAGTCGTCCGGGGTCTGAAAGCCCTACCTAAAAGTCCGCGAACGACCTTGGCAGAGACGGAGATGAGGTGTGGCATGGGTCTCCATCTCATTCCCGTCGTACCATCGATAAGCTTCAGTGTGCGATTGCGAAAAACGGTAAATACCGACGAAATGAAGCGTTCAACCGCTTTGAGGCGAACGTACCGAGTATCTCAGCTGTCAAGGAATCCTGCAGGGCAATTCCCCCTTTTGGTCTCCAATCAGAACCGAGCCCGGGGCTTTTACCGAGAGAGCCTTGGTCTCAAGCGAGAGCTTAGGCGTGGGATGGAGGTGGGACATAGCACACTTGATCGACTAGTCCATCATGATCCGGTCTTCTGTTCGTGCTTGTTGCTGCTGCTGCTGCTGCTGCTGCTGCCGCCGCCCTTGGCTGCATGTCATCTTCCTCTCGGGGCTTGGTAATTCGCCGGAACGATCAAGATAGAATATGGCTTCGTATATGGCCATGACCGCCGCCAACTGACGATGCCTCTTCTCCATTTGCGTGTTGTGATTGAACAAATATTCCCATCATCCCAAAAGCTCGGGGGTGTGCCGATCAGGGGAGCCAACTGAGTAGGCCCCCCATGGACGACCAAGAGGAGCAGCGGGACAGTCGCGCAGCCGTGGATATCGATGACCCGTGCTTGCATACATACCTCCTCAGAGTATCAAGGTCTGTCGTCCGAAGGCCAAGGAAAGGATGTGAGCATCTTGGGCATTTCTTCGAGGCTGTGCACCACCCCACACCCCCCCTCCCCTCCCTCCCTAGACCGTAACGGTTCGTCTGGCGCTGCGTCAGCGCTCTGATCCATCCCGCACTTGACACATGGCAAATCATCATAGCAAATCCCGCTGTGTATATGCACAGTTGTCCCCACATCCTCGATGCTACCTGGCTTCGAACCAGTCAACGAGATTCACAAGGTCTTGTGGCAGTCTCGTCTCATGCTACTGCAGGGCGAACTGGGTAGAAGCTTTCGGCACCCTCTTGGGCAGCTCTAACCGGACTAGGTCTGCTCCGCTGACTTGTGTTGACCGTGTTGCAGCTACACCGTCCTAGCCAGCTTCGTCCCATCGTTGAGCTATTCAAGCTTGTCACTTCTCTCATGCGCCCCTCGATTCGCAGAAGACGGTACTACACGGTCTGAATCCACTTTCAGCCTTGGCTGGGGGGGCCCCTGAAGGGAGTCGTCAAGACTAGTTTCTCTTTGATGTTTTGGATGATTTCCAAGGAAGTTTCTGTGACCCCGGGGACTGAGAAAAGTCGTCGAGCTGCGAGTGCGTCTGGTAGGTAAGCCTACGTGACTCCTGTAATAGCTGATGTGATGCCGAGGATGCCGCCTGCGAAGGTAGTTATGCGGAGACACCGTCAGGCACCGAAGCAACAGGAAGCTTCTTTAGTGCGAAATAAACTCCTTTAACTACTGGCGATGCTTACGTCGGTCTGACTCTCGTACTTTCGTGGCTTGGCACCACATTGTCCAAGCATACTCTGTTATTTATCAACATGTAGCACGGCTCCGTATTCATTCCCCTCTGGAAAGATCCTTTTTCATCGGGAGCTTGTAATGGGGCGTTGTTGGGGCGCATGAGCCATCTACTTTGTCAACCCTGTTTGTTCGTCGAGCCATTGCCTGAATTGCAGCTGACCTCCGTCCTTCCAGAGTGCCATGCCCTTGCCATCACCCACGCGCAACGAGCACTAGCCGAACCAATCTTCTGTAATCATCCATCGAACGGCCTACTCGCGTGTAACCTTTTTTCACAGTCGTTACCGTGCCGTAGCCGTATACATGACAGCCAAGGTCGTGGTCCGTGTCGAGGCAAAATCTGCAAGCCGACATCCTGGGTCTGGACATGCAGAAACGACCCGGTGGCAACGAAGAACGAGAGGTCAGAAGACAGACCGAATGGCATGCTCTTCTTTTCGGTGTTTGACTGTTCGTTACTGCTGGCGTTGGCGTAACGTAGACTGAAAATAGGTGCGTCAGTAAACTCTTCTCAGCAACACACAACGGCGTGTCCATGCTAACATTCAGGCAGTGCTACAGAGAGTATAGTAACGGAAACCGAAGAATATGATTCCTATCCATCGGTATTTGCACATACAGCGTACGCGAAACGCATGATTGCACGGCAGCTCACTAGAAGGAGCAGTGCCGCTGCTAGTGGGAGTTCCGCTATTGCCATTACTGCCTGCCTTGTGGTTCCAGGGATATCAAGATAGGTAATACTGGTTTGGGAGTTTCTAGAGACGCTGTCTCATTGGGAGGGATTTTGTAGCCCAACTCAACGGCAGACGTGTTGGACGAAGTCGAGTTCTTTCCTTCTGATGACAGAAAGGACAGCAAGAAGAGCGAATCGGCAATGAATCAAGTTACTGCAACATACAATGCATTCAGACACATGCAGCTAAGAGTGTCGGATAAAACTACCGCCTGGAAAGACGAATACATTGATGGAGGTCGTGCGATCAGCTGCAAGGGAGTGATTAAGGAACCGGCAAGTTAATCTCGGGAGCCATTTGCGAAGAAGTTCCCAATCAAATCTAAGATGGTTGCTAACATGATGTGCTAGCAGGTTTGTTCTCGGTGTAAACGCCGACAAACAACGGCTCTCGGGTCACCGGCGCAGTAATGCCGACTCTGGCGTCGAAGAAACAAAAACTGCCAGAGGCCACACTGCGATCTACCAGATTCTCCACGCCGTTCAATAAGGGGTCTGGCGACGACCAAATGTCGATGGGCAAGCTTGCTTCTGTTCCGCAAGTCCACCTGTGTTGCGTACGCAAGTGTAGGGACAAAAAGGCAGAATGCAACGAGCACGCAGCTAACGACCTGATAGTCTGTAGGCATTGCGTCAGGGCCAAGAGACAATCACATGGCGCCTTTGGACTACGAGAATATAAACAGTTGGATCACTTTGAACGCCGACATTCGAGCCCCCGAATCCGATTCTATGCGCGATCGCTAACAGAAACACGTCTCGGTGGACGCGAATTGCCCTTGACGACGGTGCGGGCTTATGGGGATGACATCCATCACGACAGCCTTACAAGGCTCTGGAACAACTATATATTCGGCTCAATCGGTTACGGGAAAGGAAAAACGCTGCAAAAACGGGCCAATAACGATCTCGGAAGACTATATAAACGAATCAGGAGCCGTCCCGGGAGCCCGGATCCTAGCTGCTTGGGCCTCCTTTCCCCGCTGGCATGGGGACTTGATCGGACGGCTGACAAGCCCTTCCAGTCCGGTAAAGTTGTACTGAGTAGTGCGATTCGTCACACGCGGAGAAGTGTCTATAGAAACCCCCCCCCCCCCCCCCTTTTGCCGATGAATGTCTCGGAAGGGAGAGGAGAAAAACGAAGCACATATCCTCGCCGAGCCCGTGGAGGGTTTCCTCAACGACTCTGAGCGACACTGTATTCGAAGGGCCGTTTCCCCTTTCCGTACTGCGTACTAAGCTGATGCAACATCCGCCCAGTGGGCTAGCTATGGCGGTTTCGTCCCACAACGAGCCGCGGGTAAGAAACAATGCAGCTCAACAATGCTATCTCGCGAAACAACGGATCGACCATGATACTACCGGAAGTTTACAATGATCTGTCGATGTTGCATGCGGGCTGAGCAAGTAAACGGGGTCGAGCAGTTAAGAGGGCTGAGTCTGATAATAGGGAAAACAATGTGCTCTTTTTCCCGATTAGGAAATTACCTGCTCAAACGCGCGCACGCCCAACGCTCGGTACTGCGCGACAGTGTAACAGGGCAGTACAAAACCACAACGAGTACTTCTTGATGATAGTTCCTCGGGGGTTTTCTTTCTGTGATTAAGAAATCTTCTGCAAGCCGGAAAATTGTGTCTGCCATCTCAAAAACGTGGTCCTCCCAAGTACAAATCACCAAAACGAGCCAAAGAAAGAGAGAGGAAAGAACGATAAAGAAAGAAGAAGATCAAAAGAAGAGAAGAAAAATACGAGGTGAAACGACAAGATGCGAGGCAGAGGACAGAGCAACTGCAGCGGCTCGAGCCGATCAAGCGCCTCGGTCGCGGCGACGGGCGGTGAACAAGCGTGAGCGAACCCAGGGGGCCGCATTCCCGTTGAGATGGAATAGAGAGCGAGCATATGCTGACGTCTAGCCCTTTTTTTTTACGCTTTTACAGGAGACACTTCATCTTTGACAGAGGTTCGTGGAATCCAGGACGCAGCATAAGGGCGCAGCTGGGCCATCTTGGCTGGTGCGCGCGCGCGCGCATTACATACCGGACTAACACATCTGCCCATGTCCAGACTGGTACCCGGACCTCCCGCTGGTGATCCAGGCGAACCAGCTCATCATCGGACGCCTGTCGCTGGGCCACCCGATGGCGGAGCTCGTCGAGGAGTCGGCCAGGAACGAAGCGGGCTGCATCCCGGGCACGATGGCGGCATACTTCCATCACGCAATCACGCTGGAGCTGGCATGCCTGATGAGCAACGACACGGTCCAGATGGCGATCGTCAAGGGTGTGAGGGTATGAACCGTCGTCGGTCTGGGCTTCTTTGGGGGTTTGGCGTCTGTCTCGCCGTCGTGTGGGAAATGGGTTGGCTTATGCCGGGGCGCATGGGATGGGACCCGTGCCGTGCTTGCTGGACGAGTACGGGGTGTACAACATGGGCAATGACGGACTATCACGGGAGTTTCTTTAGGTCCAAGGGAATCACATTGGAGGGATGGCGACTTGGGCGCTTGTGATTCTGATGACTTGGTTAATGAATTGGACATGATGACCATATGTCGTACACTCTCGCTCATCAGTTGATCAACAAGCCGGAATGGTTGGGATAATATGTAGGATGCTAACTGAGTGCACTGGTATTAGTCGTAGCGCGTAGTTTCCGAGAACACTCGAAGTGACGAGCCACCACACATGCAGATTGACCATATATAACCAGTCTTGAGACCCTGCAGACCTCTGCGACCCTCGCCCAATATTGGACGGCATGTCGCCCGAATGACATACATTGCCTTACAACTCTGGCATGGAATCGCCGGGCGAGCAACGGACGAGTGCAGCGGCCCGGAGCGTGGAGCGACTGTTAGTGTACCTAAATGTGTCGGCGGGCCAAGCGTGGCGGTGCCGATGACATAATCAGCCACAATGTCCCTTTTAGGATACACTTAGGTAATCACACAGCCACCTTCCCCTGTCAGCATGTACAAATATGGCAATGCACACACTGTACGGATACGCGGCTCGGAGACGATACATGGCGTCTCTAATTGGCCCGTCTTGTCAAAGGAAAAAGGGACCTACTTAGTAACTGCACTCAATACCGCAAGGTAGATGGGTACCTTGGTAGATACCTAGATAGGTAGATGGGTACTTACCTTGGGTACTTGCGGATGCCTGGGGAGGTAGGTACCTACATCTCTACCTACCTGTATCTGTATCTGTAGGTGAGGAACTCACTGACGCTGCCTGCTGCACGGAGGCCGGCGGCACGGCTGTACACACTGCGCGGCACCACCTCCTCCAGGTTTAGTGCCCATCCATGACAGATGATGAACTTTCATGTTTCGACATCATCACCACCACCACTATTTTTTCCTACCTCATCCTGACTATCCAGCCTGCTCGTCGCTTGCGGTTATGACATCGTCGACACGCACCCTTCTTTAGCTGTCCATAGTCTCGCCCACCTCGTCAATGTCTGCTTGCTCAAAAGCGGCATCCATGGGCACCCCTTCTCTTCCGTCATAGTACATTTCGACTGCGTTGCTTTGCTTTGCATTGCGTTGCGGCAGCTTTCCACCATTCATTCCTTTCCAGCATCTCCGCCTGCGTCTGGCCGACTCCGATATCACTCGTTACTCCTTCCCACACTGCGACGGGTGTCCATAGACGCCTCTCCCCCTCGAGTACCTGTTCAACCCACCCTGCATTCCGCCGCTGCCCGTAACCGCACCGGCGGCGACGACAACTGCGACGATGCCTTCCGATCGCGACCAACGGTACGAATCCGTACCGCCCATCCCCAGTTACGATGAAGCCCTTGCGACCGGCGGCCCTGCCGACCCAAACGAATGGCAGATACCACGCTCGCCGATGGACGGTCGCTCCCAGAACGAGACCGAGTCGCAGTCTCTACTCAACAGAAATGGCGTCGCGACATCCTCGCGCCGCCCCAACGGTTACCGCCCGCCAACAGTCGAGTCCGAAGACGAAGAAAGCTCATGGAGCAGCGACGGCGAGGGCGACGAGACCGCCTACGTGCGCAGAGAGATGCAGGAGCTGGAAATGGGCCATCCCGACGACAGATCGCGCCCCTCACTATGGGGCAAGAGGATACCCTTCTCCCTCTCCCTGCCACAATGGCCGTCTTGGCGATGGCGACTGCCAAGGCTGCGCCCGACTATCCGACTACCATCCGGCCCGAACGAGAGCTCCAACGATACCAACGATGCAAACGCGAGGACGACGACGACGACGACGACGACAACGACGAGACTGCGCATCACATTGCCGCAGTGGGACAAGGATAAGACGCGGACAGCCATCATCATCTTCGCCCGCGTCTTCGCCGTCGTCTTTGTCATGGGCATTCTCTACGCACTTTTCATGAGCGATCTTTTTACCACCATGGCCAGGCGCATGAACGGCGGATTGCGCTTCAACCCCGAGGACGTGCGCATGTATATTCAGAACAACGTCGAGGACCGCAGGATGAAGGCCTCGGTGGCCCATTATACCAAGTACGCCCACATGGCAGGAACCGAGGGCGACTACGCTTTGGCCATGGACGTCGAGTCCATGTTCACTAGGGCCGGGCTGGATTACGTCAACATCGACGAGTACTACGTATACCTGAACTACCCCAAGGCCGGAGGACGGGCGGTGGAGATACTGGGCGACGACGGCAAGGCCAAGTGGGCCGCGAAGCTCGAAGAGGAGGAGGTTGGGGGCGAGGCCGCCGGCCATCAGACCTTTGTGTTCCACGGCCACTCCAAGTCGGCCGACGTCAACGGGCCCCTCATTTACGTCAACTACGGCTCGAGGTCCGACTTCAAGAAGCTAGCCGACAGCGGCATCGACACCAAGGGCGCCATCGCCCTCGTCCGCTACTACGGCTCGCAGGAGAGCCCTGCGCTCAAGGTCAAGGCGGCCGAGGAGGCGGGATTTGCCGGGTGCATCGTCTACAGCGACCCGGCAGATGACGGCTTCCGCCTCGGCGACGTCGCGCCCAACGGCCGCTTCATGCCCGCCGACGGCGTCCAGAGAGGCTCCGTCGCGCTGTCGAACTGGGTCCTCGGCGACCCCTTGACCCCGGGATGGGAGAGCAAGAAGAACCTGCCGCGCATGAAGCCCGAGGAGACCAAGGGCCTTGTCAAGATCCCGAGCCTGCCCCTGTCCTGGCGCGACGCGCAGGTCCTGCTGCAGCACCTCAAGGGCCACGGCGAGCAGGTGCCCAAGGAGTGGGCGGGAGGTGTTCCCGACGTCGGCGAATGGTGGACGGGCAACCTGTCGTCGCCAATCGTGCGTCTGAAGAACGACAACGACGTCGTCCAGGAGAAGGGCATCTGGAATGTCTACGGCAAGATCGAGGGCATCGAGCAGGACCAAAAGTCCATCATCATCGGCAACCACCGCGACGCCTGGTCCTTCGGCGCCACCGAACCCCACTCGGGCACGGCCATCATGATCGAGATGGCGCGCATCTTTGGCTCCCTCGTGGCCAAGGGCTGGCGCCCGCTCCGGAGCATCGAGTTCATGTCGTGGGACGCCGCCGAGTACAACATGATTGGCTCGACCGAGTTCGTGGAGCGCAACGAGGACCTCCTGAGGCAGAACGCCTTTGCCTACATCAACCTGGACTCGGCCGTCGCCGGCACCGAGTTCCACGCCGCCGGGTCGCCCGTCTTCAGGCAGACCGTCTACCGCGTCATCGACCGCGTCTTTGATGCGAACCTCAACGCCACGCTGCGCGGCCTCTGGGACCAGCACGGGTCGGACCTGGAGGACCTCGGCATGGGCGGCGACTACGTGCCGTTCCAGAACATTGTCGGCACCAGCGCCCTCGACGTCGGTTTCCGGGGCGCGCGCTTCCCGGCCCAGTCCAGCTACGACAACTACGAGTGGGTCAACCGCATCGGCGACCCGGATTTCGCGTACCACGTCATGATGGGCCAGGTCGTCGGCCTCCTCATCCTCGAGCTCGCCGACAGGCCCATCCTGCCGTTCGACATGTTGGCGTACGGCAACCGCATCGAGCGCTACGTCAACGACCTGTCCAACTTTTGCGAGCACAGGGGCGCGAGCGCGCAGAGCAAGTTCTCGCTGGAGCCTCTCAAGAATATTGTCAACAATGCCAAGGACAACCTCAAGGCCTTCGCCCTGTGGGAGATGGCGTGGGAGAGCACCGTCATGGGCGGCGGCGGCTACGAGACGGGCGAGATGGGCGACAAGCGTCTCCAGTTCAACAACCACATGGCCGACTTTGAGACAGCCTTGCTCGACCTGGAACAAGGCGGCGGCGTAAGTTGGCTGCAGCCGGCCCCCTCCCCTCTTCCCCCGATATCGACACACCATGCTGACTCTTTTTCGCATCTAGATGCCCGACCGCCCGCAGTTCAAGCACGTCATATTCGGGCCCCAGGCTTGGTCCGGCAACAAGCCCGTCACCTTTGCCGGCATCCGCGATGCCGTCGAGGCTGGCGACTGGGAGCTTGCTAACAAGATGGTTGAGAAGACGGCGCGCATCATCAGGAACGCGACGAACATGCTGCAGGAGTGGAAGAAGAGCGTCGAGAGCTGAACACAGCCAGCATCCATGTTTTGAGCCTCTTTTCTTTTTGCTATTTTGCTTTCTTTCTTCTTCTTTTTTATGCGGGGAGGGGGGAGCTTTTCTTCTCTTTTTCGCACTTCCGCATTTGTATTTCTATATCGAGACCCCGCGGGGGATTCGTTTCCTCCCTCGTTCTCCCTCTCCGACCAACTGCATCGGAGCACCAATCGTTCCCTCCCTCGTTCCCCCCCTTGGCCACAACCACATGAGCTGGGGGGGATGCGGTTTGGGGGGACAATAAGACAAACGGCCGCGGCATCCCGCCGTCGTCTCACGACGTACCCAAAAGATTTCCTCTCTGTGTATCCCGCCTTTTTTTTTCGTCCAAGGACACACACACCACCTACTCGGGGGGGGTGCAGCACCCGCCGGCCTCCTCCCTGTCAATTCCCATGTTATTTCTGTTGCACGGCATTGCAAGGAGTTTAAGGTTCTCTTTTTTTTTTCTTTTTTTTCGACTTCCGTTGTCAAACTGCAAGTTTCTTGTTCCAAATCTTATCCAATTCCTCACACACACACTCTCTGTCTCTCTCTCTCTCTCTCTCTCTCTCTCTCCCCGGTTCGTTGATAGATGTCGGCGCGGTGGCAGGTCAAGGAACGTGGGCTCGCGTTGATGTCACTTAACCAGATGACTAGGAAAATAAAATAAAATATGAAAAAAATAAAGTAGAAGAACATTGCAACGTCGATCGCTCCCCTTTCGCTTGGCCCCTTCCCCCTCCCTTCGAGAGCTATGGAAGCAGAGGAGACGGAAAATGAAAACGGGAAAAAGAAAGACTTGAAACCCCCTGAAAAATGTACTTGATATGCGGGGTACCTGGCGCGGTTCTGAAGTCGCCGTATGAATCCTGACTGGTCTCGATGACACGAGAGGGAGTGAGACACACACACACACACACACACACACACACACACGCACGCACAGAGAGAGAGAGAGAGAGAGAGAGAGGAAACGTATACATACTCATTGAGGGGGGGACTGATAGACCATATGACCATATGCACATGTAAGAGCGGACGTTACACGGTCAAACGCAGCGGAAATGCCAACCGCCTAAAAGCGTATTTCATCGGATCGATCCACAGCGAGCGACGTGTTTTGGACGTAGAATAAAAAAAAACCCCCATCGCTTTCAAATGGGTGACGTGAAGAAAAAGACGTGTACAGCATATGTACAATTAAGAAAAGGCTACTACACAGCCTTTCACCATGCAAAATGAAGATAAAATAAAAGGTTCTTTTCTCCCCCTTTGCTCTCTCTCTCTCTCTCTCTCTCTCTCTCTCCGTCGTCAACATTGCTCTCATCCCCGGACACCAGCGTCTCTCTCCTCCTCCTGGTTCGTTGCATGCATGCGCCTATCGTATGAACACTTCTTTCCCTTCCCTGTCCTGCGTCTTCCGGCATCGACGGGCCCTTTGCCTACTCCCCCTCCCCCTTGGCCCTCCGCCGCTAATTAAGAAAAACAACAACAACAACAACAACAACGGCTTCTAGTCATGGCTTTCGTTTGCATTCTCCCCTGCTCACTATCTTGTAGCATGTCATAAACTGATCAAAATGAGTGGACCCTCGATCAATGACCCCTTTGCCTCCCTCATTTCGGGTCGAGGACGATGCCCTCGTACTGCCGGCCCTTGATGCTTTCGAGAATATGGTAAAAGTGGCGCTTGCTGTTCTCGACCGAGGCCGAGTCCTGCTGGTTGCCTGCGAGGTTGGAGTGGATGAGCTCGATGAGACCGTTGAGGTACTTGGTCGTGACCTGGCGTTGGGGTTAGAAAACTGCGACATGGTCAAACGGGGGCATAGCGAGGCTTACCGCTGCGTTTTGCTGCTCAAAGTAGTAGACGTATCGGTCCAGGATCTCGACAAAGAGCTCAATCGACGTCGCCGTCTCCATGCACGAGTCGGCGACGCGCAGCGCTCTCTGGAGACATTCGAGCACCCTCTTGCCGTCGCGGTACAGCTGCGACGAGTCAGTATTGAGCATGGCATCCCGAAATGTGCTGTGCACCCAGGACTTACCCCGGTCTCGTCCGTCTCTCCGTTGAAAGCCATCGGCGTGGCCCACCAGAGGTGGCTCGCGAGGTAGACGGCGCGGCACTGGTCCGGCTTCCGCAGGAGTTTGCTGCCGTGCTGGGCGCACTTGGTGATGAGAGTGTCGTAGTTCTCCTTGCCAAAGTTCCTCGTCTGGTGCAGCGCCGACGCGATGACGCAGACGGCCTGAAACTGTGCCTTGGAGTCCGAAATCGCTTCTTCGTAGACGGTGAATGCTTGAGCGAAGAACTCGTAGGCCACCTCCTCGAAGCCCGTCATGTCGGCCGTCTGCCCGGACGCGCAGAAGAGGCGCAACGCCAGCTCGGCCGCGCCCGCACCGTTAACGCGGGTGTACAACGTGCTCAGGGCCGAGTGCATGAACTTGAACAGCGCGTTGCTCTGGGTTTCCCAGTTGTCGTCGTAGTGCTCGCGCGCCTTGAAGCGTCTGGCCAGCTTCATGCAGGCCGTGATGAGCGGCGGCGTCGTCGTGCGGATTCTCTCGTTGCCTTCCGAGTAGGCCTTGCGAGTCATCTGCAACAGGCGGAACTGCGTGTCATTATCTTCGCCGTTGATGAGGTGGACGATTCTGGCCAGCCAGCCCTGCTCCTCCATCGTCTCGTCCGTCTCGACGGCGCGGCGCTGTGCGACGCCGGGGTAGTTGGAGGGCGCCTGGGAGCCCTCCTTAATGAGCACCTTGAGCACCTCCAGAACATTCTCCAGCTGGTTAGGGGTCGAGATCCGCGTCTGGTCACGGAGGAGGGTGCGGGCCACCTCGCCGGCGACGGCGCGGCGTGTCGGGTACGACTGGGACTGGAAGAGGGGGACGTAGGTGGGGAGAGAAAGGGCGGTGAAGATGGAGAGATATCGGTCGAGGGGCGCTTGGAGCAGAGCCAAAAGACTCTGCTGAGCAGGGGGCGAGTGCAGATCGGCATTGTTTGCGTTTTCTCTGACTTTGACGGTCGCGTATTCCAGGATCTGGTTGACAAAGTCGAGCCGTTCGGGGTAGATGTTGAGGGCCAGGTTTGTCAACGAGCACAGCAATGCTATCGTGTCCTGGATGGGCAGGTGCTGCGCCTCGACGAGGTTCTTGACTTGGCTGAAGAAGATCTCGTACAGCTGGACGTTCTCGGGGATGGCCTTCTCTGACGCGCCCCCTTCGCCATTTACGGCAGTGGCCTCGGTGTCTGCAATGGACGGCGTCGGCTCCTCTGGGGGCGGGAGGTCCTCTGCTGCGCGTGCTTCGTTCTCGCTGGGCTGGTTGGCGCCGTTGGTACCGAATTCGACGGGTTTGCTGGGGTCGTGCATGTCCGCGTGGCCGCCGGCCGAGTCTTGGCCGTCCTTCTTCAGGCTGGTCTTTTCCAGCAAGGCTGCCAGCGCCTCCTCCTCCAACTTGGCTCGGTCACCCGCCGCGTCGTCCTTGGACTCGCGCTCTGCGTAGTCCGAGAGGCGATCCATCAAGCCAATGACAATAGCCTTGACGTTGACGTGTGGGTTCAGTCGAGAGACTGCGCCGAGGAACTGGTCCAAGGTGTGGAGGTGGAAGTCGTCCGGGAACACCTGGGTAATGACCTCCAAGAGATACTCCTGAGCCAGAACGTCGCGACATTGTACGACCTGCTCCAGCAGAGGGGCGAGGATGCCCGACTTGTATGTCTCCAGGTCCACCAGCTGGCTGAGCCGCACAATGTTGCTTCCGACCAGAAGCTGCAGCTCCTTTCTTTCTCTCGTTCTCTGTTCGCGCTCGCGGGAGTGGCCCTGGTGCTGCAGACGGACCCAGAGCTTGTTCATTTCGACAAAGTTGGTGAGGATGAAGTTGATCGAGTCGGACAGGTTACCCTCGGGGCCGTCGCCGTCGCCCGTGGGCAGGTAGTCTCTGGCCTGGCCCGATAGGTAGTATCGGAGGAACAGCCCGCGGATGGGATGCTGTACACCTCTGCTCATGTCCATCATGTCCTTCATGAGTTCCTTGACGGGCGCGTCGGGAATCGACATGTAGGCAGTGCCGACGGTGATCATAAGGTATAGGCGCGGGACGATGTTGCCGGCATATTGGACGAGCTCGTAGAGATCGGCGAGGTGGTTCACGGGATGATTTTCTCGAAGGTGGACGGACAGGTAGCGCAAAGCGTCGAAGACGGCCATGTAGAGCTCGTAGTACTGCTTCGGGCCGAGACTGCTCGTGCGCAATTCGGAAACCAGGGTAGAGCTACGCGCAAAGGGACAAAAGGGTTAGTATGGGCCATTGAGGCTTATCACGACGATGGGCGAGGTCTCTCTCTCGAAGAGGCTCTGCGGATCCGGCGGCAGAGGATGACGTACCAACACTTGAGGGCATCCATGAGCTTACTCGGCGTATCGAGGCATTTCCGCATGAGTGCAGTTTGTTGGCGCACAGCGACTAGGGCATCCTCCAAGAGGCGCGCCTGGTCTTCAGGCGGCACCGGAGTCGCAGACATGTCGAGGTAGAACCGGCGGGGTAGCTATCGATCGAGGCGATGTAGAGGGGGGGGGGGGGGGGGGAGGGACGGGCTTTTTTAGTAGAAGCTCATGGAGGGAAGAAGAAACGACTGCTAGGCGCGGTAGAGGGGTGTGTGTAATGGAGCAATTGCGCAATGAAGCAGGGACACACAGTTTCGACTTGTGTCGTCGGCGCGGGCGAGGAGAAACAGAAGTCGGGAGGAGTGAGGTCGAGTTGGATGTGTTGACAGAGTCAGGCTGGCTGGCTGGCTGGCTGGCTGGCTGGCTGGCTGTGGCTCCAGGCAGGTTGCTGCTTGGTGAGGTAAGGTCGGGACGGCGGAGCTCGGTGCACTGGCTATCAGTGGCTGGAGAAGGCCACCCTGTAACGGTGTGGCTGGAGCTTGCGACAGTTGTCGCCAGTGGCAGGCTGGAGAATCGGGCTGCCTGGATGAGAGATTACCTAATACACTTGGGACCGCTAACCGAGCCGCTTACGTCAGAAAGCTCTCAGAAGTTGGAGTAGATTATCACGTGATACACACACGGACAGGGCGGGCAGGGGCCACCGTCCGGAAGCGGTTCCGGTTCCCGGCGCAGCTGCAGCAAGCAACTCAGACTGGGAGCAGAGCGGTGTTGCATGGGCTGTCTTGTCTTGTTTGTCTCGCGTCGCAGTCCAACAAAGTCAAGGCTCATGAAATAAGATCAAATCTGAAAAAGACGGCAGTTGTACCGTGCGCCGACGGAGATCTGTGCAGCTCGAAGCAAAGCCCGCAGTACCTAGGTGCCTAGGTAGTTTACCTACATTTGGAATACCAACAAACTCCTGTCGTTCTCGCTCATGTTCGTCTGGAACCGACTCCTAACAATGCCAACCAAATCCGTTCTTTTCTCCGTCTTACCTGCATACCTCCAGTTCGTCCTCTCTCCCCACCTATGCTGAACCCCCCCATGCAACAAACAGTGTGTTCAACTATGCCACACCCCCCCTTGCGAGGCGTTCCCAGGCGCCCCTCCCCCAATTATTCAGGCCGATGAAGCAACCGCCGCCGGGAGTCCGCAGTCTGTCCGTAGAAACTCGACCAGCGCCGTGCCAATGGAAGCCGAGAAGGCCGCGAACAAGATGGTCGAAGTCGTGCCCGGCGGGCGGAGACGGCGCATGTGGGGTATAATCTCGAGCTGCTGGATGCCCTCGACCCGCTGCAGCTCGGCGATCCATTCCATGCTGTCGTGCTTGATGAGGGCTAGGAGGCGGAGGTCCGACACCCCCAGCTGCTGGGGCCCCTCCCACGCCGCCGCCGGCTCGCCCCCCTCGACGACGATCCTTACCTTGGGCACCATCTTGTCGAGCCCCCGCAGGTACTTGCACATATTGGCCCAGTCCTGCCGGTCGCTCTCGCAGTTGTACAGCGGCCCTTCCTTGCGGACCGTTATCTCTCGGATCATGGCCCGCGACTGGGGCGTCAGATCCTGGAGGAAAGGGACGACGGCCTCGACGTCGCTGCCGAAGTCGAAGCCGTGGAGGCCGTACAGCATGTGGCTCGTCTCGCGGTGCATCTGGCGGTTGACGGCCATGACGGCGGGGTGCATCCTCGTCTTGGACGCCAGGTGGTACGTCGTCTCGAAGCACTGGCGGTGGAAGGACCTCTCGACGATCCGATACCGCGAGCGGCGATACGTCTTGAGGATGCTGCCAGTGGGCAGCTGGTGCATCGCCTTGTTGCGGACTGCGAGTCTGCCTTCTCCCCCGTCGTCGAGGAGGTGCTCATAAATCATCATACGGATTTCGGCGGGGATCCGCATCAGAGGCGACTTGTCTTTGTCCATTTCGTGGGGTAGAGAGAGGGGGGGCGGGGGTCGAAAACCTGGAGCGGCAGAGCAGGGACAGGAAAACGTTTCTTCGAATCACTTGTGATGTTGATATCTGATCACAGCACAGCTGCGATGACAGGAAGGAAATACCAGACGCGCGGCGAGATAAGCAAATGTAACGAGAACGCCCTCCGGAACTACAGAGGTGCGCCGTCGACTGGTCTTTATGAGCACCCTTTTTCCCTACGCCAACCCCATACCGAATTGGTACAAATACGCGCAGGTGGTCCGAATAGGATCGGATCCATCAAGGTGCTGACATGGACGTCGTCTCCGACTCCCTGCAATCACCTTCCGCCTCTTACTGCTTACTTCTTGCATGGGTGGTGTAGAGTACACTAACCAGCCCAGCTGCTAGCATCAAGTGTGGACACTGCACTCAGTCAGCTTCAATGTACAAATGCAGAGGTCCAGTCACCTCGACCCCCACTTCTGTCCGACTCCCACGATCCGGCCAGGCTCGGCCGGCCATCAGCCTCCAAATGGCTGGGTGCTATTCTCCCATGCAGGCGACAGTTGATCAGTCACCACATCCTGCTCGGTCTAGCTTGAACTATTCCGAGAGCCGAAGATCTACATCACATCTGACGCCTCCCGCTTATCGGTTTTCATAACGTACTGGGCCCTTGGGTCGCATGCAGGGCCACTTTGCCAATAACCGGCACACGGTCTAAGTGGTCAGCCTCAGCTGACTGTCTCGTCACAACTTGGCTTTCGGTAGCTTCTGCTGACGAGAGATCCGAAGAGGTGGGGGGGGGCGAGGGTGTTGTTGGCTCTTCATCATGAGCATCTTGGGATTGACGGCCAGACATACATTATACGAAAGCCCTTCTGATCCATCACGGCCAATATCTAAGCTTTGAGCCTTAGCTAATGGACCTGAACTAAACAGTTTGCAACACTTTCCGAGGTCCAAATCATCGGCTCGACGAGCCAGCCATACAGGACAAAAGCCGCCTCGTCCCGGGCCGTGCTGACATGGAGAGAGAGCGTGCTGGCTTCGCATTGCTACCATCACGAGGTAGGTGCGGGTATTCAGACAAAATGAAAAAGGAAAAACCTCTCGGCATGTAGCTCTTGAACGCTAGCACTCTGCAGCATTCGAGGAAGATGCGGTGGAAACGAGATTGTCGCGGTGGAGCAAGACAGCTCCGAGTTGCCATCTTGAGCTGCAAAACAGCGCTCGGTTATCAGCGCCTTGTTGGCTAAGTGGTATAGCGTCTCACTAGTACTCTGGTGTCATGAGAAGATCGGCGGTTCGATTCCGCCACGAGGCATCATTTTTGCACCCCCCCACCCACCCCAACCAAGGGGGGATTATCATGCACATACTCCGTATGTATTATATCCTCCTGTATATTTGTTTGATGGCTTTGTCTTCCCTCGTTCGTCGGAATGTTTTTATGCTTTTACCATCATCCTGGTAACGTTGGCCATTGTTTTCAATCCAACAACCCTATATATACTGCAGATAGCGTCTGCTTTCTGACCCTCCTTCGATAGGCAGGGCTCAGAGGACGACTCTTGGGGGGTTTTCTTCTTCTTTTTGCCATCGTGGTGTCGCCATGTGCATCGCCGACCAATACCTAAGACTCCATCCCAACACGCGGCGGCGCAACAGTTACCGACGATGCTATCTATCCCAACGACACGGACATGTAGAGACAACAACATACCTATGAATACTTACGGGTACAGGCGACCCAAACAGGGGATCCGGTCTGTTCACCTGAAAAGGGCTGCCGACATACCGTTGAGGGCACCCCACCGAGATCCAGTCTCGAGGGTTGGTCCTGGTCGAGTCGGAACAGACGCATGGCGGGCTGTGCAGAAGGTTTCCAGGGTGTCTCGAAAATCCTAGCCAAGATTCAGGGATCGCCGCTGCGCCCCAGCAAAGTGTGGGTGACGACCGACCCCTTTGGGACCTGCGCGGGCATTTCTTCCATCGAGTCTGCAGACCGAATGTGCTGCACATTTGACGATCCACGCTCGTTCCCTTTTACTCCGTATACGCCTTGCATCGCCGGGACGGGACGAGTGCGGAATGGGAGCATCTTCCCTCTGCTAGAACGCAATGTCACCAAGCCTGGAAAAAGACACTAGACACTGGACCCATTCGTTACGTTGTCTTGGCCCTACCTACCTACTTATGGCCAAGCAAAACGATGCACGTCTCATTACCTATGCCCATAGGTGACTTGTTTAGTTAAGGCCGTTACAGATTCATCAAACAGCCCGGGGCGGGGCGGGGGCCATTCTACGTGCTGGCAGGAATGAATGACGGAGATGCTGGGTGTCGTGAGTGTTCTCTCACCTCTTTGCATTCATTTAACATCCCATTAGGTCTCGCGTGTTGGCTAGTGTACGGATACACTGTCGGCAAATCCGCCCGATGACAGTTGCTCACAACTCTTTGCGGTGAAGCCGGCTTGCCGATCTTGATCCTTGATCGGATCAGTCGGTCGTTTTGCTCCAACATGCTCATTCGCCACTGGGCGTACACGTAGTGCGCGCTAGGTATCGGTATACCTAGGTAGAGCATTCGTCGCTGCCCTCCAGCAACAACACTTCCCAGTCGGGGAGAGTCCGTCCGTCGTATCTGTCGATCAGGACCATTCTTGAGAGCACATCAAGTAAACAAGCGCGGGGCCGCACACCGGTTAGCGGCGCTTCGACTCCTCGACTCGGGCTAGCGGCGGCGACCGTACCATGGTAAAAAGACCTCGGGCGAAGAAGACCAGGGATCCAGAGCATGATTGCGACATGTACTATGTATGACGGCTGTGGATCATCTTCCCCTGGCCGCGCCTCGTTACGACTCGTGGGTACACTGCGGAGACTCAGTCTGATAGGTATGTACACATGCGCCGGAGAAAGAGAGAACAGAACGGCTCGACGGCCTCCCAAGACCAGGTCGATTATCGTACCCATTGCTCGAGTTGTCGTGTCCCGTCTGTACCCCGGGCCCCCTCCCCTAGTTCGAGATCCTCGGCGTTCCCTGCCATCGGATTGACAGTTGGGAAACCCTTCCATACCATATCCTCAGAGCCTGGATTGGACCTGGCCTCCTTCATCTTTTTTTGACACTTGGACTGTGCTTTCGTCTTGTCTGACTTGGACTGCCCGCTATCTGCCAAATCCGGCCTCTTCTGTATCCTGTCCGTCGTCGATCAAAATCTGCCCGACATTGATGTCCTGGAAGGCCTACAGCTTTTGTCCATGACCTTTTCCCCGGACCGCCATTCCCACCAATTGGCCCACTCAGCGTATCACGGCTAGCTCGGGAAGACCCCGTAACGATCCCAAGGGACTCTTTCGGAAGAAAGGAAAATCACGAAGCCAGGAGAACCGACGAGGCAACAGTCATATCTTGCTCTGCTACCCGTACGGTGGAAGAATAGAGGGGGGTCACGCTACCCGGCGGACCACGACGCTCTAAACACACTCGCTCCCAGTGAAAAGGGAAGGGAAACCATACTTACATACCATCGACCGATTCTTGTATCACTTCGACAACGAACCACTTCGCACCACTTTGAAGATATTCGCCGCCCGCCGGAAGGGGGAGCAAGCACACATAGGTAGCAGTCGAACATTAGCAAGGCCTTCACATCAGGCACCCGGGCGACCGCGGCGATGACGGCGACGTCGGACCCCAACCCGATGACGACGAAGCGAGGGGCGGCGCCCCTGACGACCGTCTTCACGACGCCCGACTTCTGCAACTCAAAGTACTGGACCGACACCATCACGCCGCCGCTGTCGAGCGTCGTGTGCATGCCGCCGTCGTGGCACCAGCTCTTCGACTACAGCTGGGGCTTCTACTCCCCCGGCATCTGCCCGACCGGCTACACCGAGGGCTGCGCGTTCCCGACCTCGCTGGCCTTCACCAGCTCCAACGGCGACATGGGCCTCGGCGGGCCCGTCATCGCCGGCGAGACGCCGAGGTTATGCTGCCCGACCGGCTACACCTGCTACACGGGCGAGTCGGCCTACAGCAAGTGCATATCGACCAAACCCACGACGACATTCTACGACATCAACAACCAGCTGACGTCCCAGCTCGCCCTCGTTTACGCCATCCAGGTCCGGTGGCAGGAGTCGGACCTGCCCTTCCTCCAGACGAACCCCACGGTCCCGGGGGCGACGTATACGGCGCCCGCGTCGGCGGGCAGCGGTGCGTCGGCGACGGCAAGAGCAGCGGCAACGGCAACGGGAAGCGCATCAACAGCGACCGGATCGACGACGGCGGCGGTATCGGCCATCGGTTCGTCCTCGGGGGACGACGGCAGCAGCCGCGGCGGCGACGACGGCGGGATCTCGGTGGGAACGACGGTCGGGATCGCGGTCGGCTCAGTCTTGGGGACGCTGGCGCTGGCCCTCCTCGGCTTCATGTTCTGGTGGCGGAGGCGGCGGAGGCAGGAGGCCGGCGCGCGAGAGGACGACCATCACGGCGGCGACGTCAAGTCGCACACCCTGACGCTCCCGCACGAGGGGCCGTCCGGCAGGACGTCGTTGCTGTACGCCATGTCGCCGACGACGACGGGGCGGCCGGGGACGGGGACGACGGTCGGGGACGCTCCGCCGCCGCACTCGCCCGCGCCGACGCAGCTCGACTCGACCAACGTGATGGAGATGGGGACCACGGAGCGGCCGCAGGAGCTGCCCGAAGACAACGAGGTCTATGAGATGGAGGGCGACATGCCGGGCCCGCCGCTGTACCGCGAGAAGGAGGGGTGGCCTCTCCGTTGAACAAGGCCGGCCGCAGACGAACGCCCCCCCCCTCTTTCTTTTCCCCCCTCTGGCCATGGACAGGGACGGACTCTCGCTGCTGTCGCATCGTCCGAGAATTTACACATCATGTCTTATATAATTCAGCGCCGGAAGCTCTGCGAGGAATGGTTGAGATTGCAAGCAGCTCGGGGGAACCCCTCGGGTCCTGGTACCTTGGGAGGGGCATATGCTCCGAATAGCAGCAAGAATAGCGATTTTTAGGGATAATTCTAATCAAATACCACCCTCAGCCGTGTTGCACACATTCGGGTTATAACGTGTAGTCGCCGCCTTCATGCCGAGCCTGGGATCCGAGTGGTCTCGTCGAAGCCTCACGACCAGAGAGGTTTTCTTGGCCGCCGACAAGGCGTCCATCGACTCGTACCTGGAGCCGGTACAAGGCACCACCGAGCCGGTCATCCCTCGTGGCGACCTGGGCAGTTTCGTCCTAGCCGTCCAGCCGGCCGGTGAGAGGGAGACGGACGACGGGCGACGTGACCAGAGGAGACGGGGAGCCGGGGCGCCGGCCGACGAGTTCGACGGAACCCTCAGAGTGCTCGGGTCGATCCTGTTTGACGACCTGTGGGCCGGCATGTCCGATGGTGCGTACAACTTGGAGGACCTTGCCAAGATGGCGGAGGTTCACCCGCGTCACGTCTACGCCGGCCCCAGCGTGCCCGTGGAAAGGCAAGGATGGCGGGAGGTACGCTGTTGGAGTTTGACAGCGTTCAAGTCATTCCAGAAGTGGCGGGCTTTCTGACGAGTAAAGCCTTGTCAGTTTCCAAGGGGATGGCGACGGAACGATACCGTTAATATAATGCTGCAACGACAGGGGAAGAGACACACATTTCCCCAAATCGAATTGTAGATGGGGTCTGTAAATGTTCAACCAAGCACTAACAACGTACCACTCACTGCATGGACACGTCAGGGGCCTGCCATGTAAGCAGCAGCAGCAGCAATAGCGACGGCGAAGTGTATTAGACATGGCCGCATTGGCAGAACATGTCACGGCTCGCGGCATCAATATGGAAACCAATGTATCCTATCGCCTGGATAACATGGACTCGATGGCCTTGTTCACACTCGCAGGATAGGCGGACACTGCCGTTATCGTGGACGAGGAATAGACGTAGAAAAAAAGCGGATGGACGTCAAATTCCGACGCAAGTTAAATCCATGTCCAACTTCCAAAACCAATGCTCATGATGCTAGTATTACAACAACACCGCGCGAATCATGACTCCGTGTCCGAGACGGCCGTGACATCCCTCCTGTGCTTATCCCAAGGGCTCCCCCCCTTCTTCGTCGGCGTGTCGCCGTGGTTGCTCGCAATCTTGGTGTCCACGGGCGCCTGGCGCACCTTCTCGCCACCCTGACCACCTCCCGTGCCGAAGAAGCCCTGCAGCTTCGACCCGATGCCGGAGCTGTTGGAGCTGCTGGCCGTGTCGCCGCCGCCGCCACTGCTCTTGCCTCCGCCGACGGCCCCCGTCACCGTGGACGACCCCGGGGTCATCGACGGGCCGTGCGTCTCGATCGCCCGCGTATTTGAGTTACCACCACCGTAGCCGCCGCCGACCTGGCCGGCGTCGTTGGGGAACTTGTCCTTGGGGCCCTTTGGCGCGCTGCGGCCGTTCGCGCTCGTGCCGCTCTGGTTGCCGGAGCTGAGCTCGGCGCCGCCGGTGTTATTGTTGAGGCCCACGCCGGCGCCGCCGAGGCCGTTGTCGCGCTTCGCGTCGGCCGCGCGTTTCCTGCTCTCTGTCGCCTTGTCCGACGTGGTCTCGTCCGAGTTCGGGCGCGGCTTGTCGGTGTTGGCGATCTGCTGCGCGGCGTCGCCTGAGGTGTTGGAGGGCTGGCGCATGTAGTAGACGCCGCCGCCGACCAGGGCTGCGGCACCCATGAGCGGTACGGCCAAGTTTTGGCGGGACATGATTGAGTATGTGGTGGTGTCAATGATGATTTATGAGATGGGATTTGAAGATGAGATGGTGGTGAGAAGCCGTAGGTTGAGTATGTTTATTCACCTTCTCGCAATGTATAAGGCACGATGAGCGGGAACTGGGTTATGAGGCATGGTGGAAAAGGGATGAACCCTTGCCCCGCGCTCCAGCTTCGTTTTAATCCAACATCTGCTCTGACGGGGGCATGCCATCATCAGTCATTTTGGCAGAATGCGCTTGTCCAATGCGCTCACGCCTCATCTGATGCGAGGCGCAAATCGATGACAGCTGCTCGGGTGGCCGATGACATCAGTATGCGGTGAGACCGTCTGCGTTTCTGTGGGTGATGGACAGGGACCGCCATCGATGATGAGTCGATGATTCGTCAATGGGATCATTTCAGCCCTTTCTTCTGTGCTCCGACCAAGCGTTTGCTTAGTAGTGAGACACATTGGCTAGGTACGGTACCAACCTAGGCTTCACAAAGCTGGGACTGCGTTGGAGACTCGGGCTGGATAGAATGGAGCTAGAGCAGTTGTTGGATGGTTTGGTTCCAGTCTACACTACCTACAATCCCGCCATTCGACCTCGGATCAGATCTTCCATCTAGTTAGTGGCCGGCCTCATGTTCATGTTCACGTATCTCGGTTTGTTCCGGGTCTGGGCCTGGAAGGCCCTCCAGAGGGGTGCATTCGGTCTGGGGTTTAACATACTCATCCATCTAGCACACTCTCGCTCTCTATACACTTATGTATACTGTTAGTACTTCATCGTCACCCCCTGCTGCTCCATCCAACTCGTCCCCTGACCGACACGTTTCCTCACATAGACGCAAAGCGCCGCTGCGAACGACGCGCCGAAACATATCCCCTGTAGCACCGCGAACCCCGTCCCGAATCGCACGTCCATATCCCCCGCGCCGTGTCGGGCCAGAAAGCTCTTGATGAGCAGCCCGTTGAGCGTCAGCACAAAGGGCGGCAGGAAGGCGGCGCACGGCAGCAAGCACCACGTCCACAGGCGGTACCTGTCCCAGAAGACGGCGGGGAGGGCCTCGATCTTGGCGCGCGAGCCGCGCGGGCACGGGCACACGCGCTTGAAGAAGGAGAAGTAGCACTGGCAGCGCAGCCAGCTGGGGCGCACGGCGACGAGGACCTCGGCTACCAGGACGAAGGCGAGGACAACGAGGGCGTAGGCGAGGGAGATGTGGGACAGCGTCGCGGGCATTATGAAGAAGCTGTAGCGGAAGTCCTGGAAGTAGGGCGAGGCGCAGGATCCCTGGCCCCGGAGGCAGCCCCAGTCGTCGGCGGGCACCGAAAGGTCCTGGCCGATGGCGGCGAGGTCGGAGGGAAGACGGGGCGCGGAGCCGAGAACCCCCGCCTTCGAGGCGCCGGGGTACTCGTAACCGAAGGAGGCGGCGAAGTAGCTCATCGTTACGAGGTAGGCGTCGGACTCGGGGGAGGGCATGATGCCGTCAAACTGTGCATGTCAGCCACGGGTGAGATGATTGTATTAAAACATAGTTGGCGACTGACCCGGACGACAGCCAGGCTGGAGAGGGCAAGACGTTCGGAGCCATCGCCGTCGTGGACGACCCATTTGCCAGCGGCGAGGGTGAGGACCTGGATGATGGTGACCAAGACCCCCAGGCCGTAGGCGAGGCCGAGAAAGATTGTGCGCATGCGCTGCCGCCGCGGGTTGAACGGCAGTGATTCCTTAGCCTGACTCTCCATCCTTACGAATTGTTGGTTTTTCTTAGTACGCTTTTTGAAGTATCCCAGGACGACGCTCCGAGGGCCGTCGATCGCCAACCTGGCTGGCGGGAACGTCTTTTATCAACACCCGGCTCATATGGACCCTTGTCCTTCTCTGCCGTACGCAATACCCTGTCTTTGGTATGGGAAGAGGACCACAAGCCTCGAATCGGGGCTGAGTGTCTAGCGCGCGTGCCAGAGCGGAATTCGTGTTCCAAAATTGGTTCCTGGTCGTAAGCACTAAGGATTCATCAACCCATCAACCTGGTCAAATCTCTCTCCCTGCGGCTCGTGTTGCACATGCTGTCAACGCAGGTCAGTTCAAAACGGCGACTGGGTCGATTTGATGTTGCAATATGTTTTGCATCTTCTCAGCTTCTTCAGTATATTTCCCGAAAGCCCTGGAAACCCAACGACTGTGCTATTCCTTGGTCACGTTGTGCGATATGCTATCTACCGCCTCTACATTCATTCGTCGCTGGTTTTGGCCATTAGTAGCGTTGTCTTATCGCCTCGGAGTTCCGCACGTATGCCCATGCCCCCCCTTTACACCGTGGCGACGGAATTCCGCCGCATCAGAAACGAGGCCTTTCCGAACTCGCCTCCCTGAGTCACTCCTTGATCTGCTGCTTATGGAACACGCCTGCGGCGATTCCCATTGTCAGTTGCGCATGTCCTCGCCATGACAACAACATCTGGACCATTGCTCACCCTCGATCTGCGGCATCCACCCCTCCCGCTGCGAGCAAAAGAATTCGCCCTTGGGCGGCACCTTGTCCGGCTCGTCAAACGTCCCCCACATTATATACCGGAACTTGTCGGCGGCCTGCTCGCCGTATTCACACAGGAAGGCGCCGCAGTTGTCGCAGAATTCCCGCATCACGCCGTTCTCCTGCCGGAACTTCTTGGGCGCCCCTTGGGTGTAAGAGAAGCCTGCCAGAGGCACCTGTCGAAGCATCAGCCGTACTTGCTCTTCAAAGGTCTCAATGAATGTGACGAGCGAGCGGGGGGGGGGGGGGGGGGTGGGTTGGTCACACACCTTGGTCGTTAGACCGTAGTTGGTCCCGAACGCCCTCTTGCAGCTTGAACAGTGGCATAGCGACGTCCTCGCGTCTTCCGCGGAATCGAGCTTCGCGGCATATCGTACTTTGCTGCAGACACAGCGGCCGTTCAGTGTAGTAGGCATCCTTGTTCTTGGTAGGTATATGTGAGTTAGAGAACTTGGGTCTTTGCGAACGAAACGGAGAACCCTGATGCCCTCAAGAATATCAAATGCCGATGGTAGTTATTGGGATTCGAGTGTCTGGAAGAAATCTCCAATAACCATTAGGCGATCAGTTGATTGCTTGCATGCGCAAGGTCATGTCCATGTCCGCTCGCAATATGTGGAATGACTCTCTTCTGACGTCACGATCCCCGGTGACACATTTGCCTTTGACTGATCTTCCAACCAAAGAGAAGATATTGTCATGTTTTGTAACCGACATATATTATGCAATATCGTCGCCAGAGCTGTATGGCTCTTGGCTCTCCGTACGAAGTCGCACATCTTCGCGCCGCTCAAGGATGGCACAGTGATCTCGTGCTCTCCGGCACTCAACGCCGGAACATCACCGCCTCAAGGGAACTCTACGTTTTGGCCAAAGTCCTTCCCCAAAGAAGGACCAGGGAGTGGTAATATCACAGGCAGTAGATCCATTCGCGCTGGTCTGGCCGGTGTCTATACACAACACGGATAGCCGCAGCGGTGGACCCCCGGCTTGATTTCGGGGTGCCGGAGCCATTCCGTTCCCTATGAAGGCTCCTGTTCCTAGTTCAATGACAAGAAATTACCCCGAAAGGACCGTCGTGAACTCGAAATAGTTGCAGGCCACTGCGGAAAATAGTCCGAGGGCGTCAATACTTCTCGGGAGGAACAGAAAACGCCTCTACCAGCCTCTGCTGCCATGGTGCTAGAGTAGACTGCTTTACGTGAGGGCCAGACTTTTGCAATGGTTGTGAGCCGCCATAACGAATGGGAAGTTTCTACAAAGCCAAGTCTAGTGCACATGAAACAGGGCATACACACAAGATCACAGTATATACGCAATTCTTAAATCAACCAAGGCATCAAACATGGGAACTTGTGATCGTGTATTGTACAAAAACATGCCGAACTTGCCCCCAAGCCCCTCACGAAGATCATTTCCAACACTAGATAGCCCGCATCCCTTACTTGCCGATCGATCACTATGTACGTATGAATCTCAGCCATGGCAAAGAGCATGTTCGCGTGAGGATACCCGCGCCGCAATCCGCCTCGAGCCGCATGTGCGTCATTCCTTGCCTCTGTTTCGTTCCTCCAAGCCGCGAGTATCATGACGAGTTACGAGCGCGCGGTGCAGTTGTGATGGGTGTCTTCTCCCTCACTCCATCGGATCCTCGCGTGCTTCAGCCTTACTGCTTCGTATCCGGTATGGATACTGCAATAGCCGTCCATATGCGCCCTGACCTCCGGTCAGAGGGGTATCGTGTCAAGCATTTCGGCTGTACGGATATCCTCACCACCGAGTGGACGCGGGGTGCGTCTCACAAGGCTCACACCAGGCTTCGCAGCCCTCGAAGCCAAAAGACTGTCGGATTCTCATTCCCCAAAAACGTCTGCTGCATCGTCCCGCCCCGCCGGCCTAGTCCTTCGGTCGATAGACCACCTTGTCTCTCAGTAACCGCGGCGTATCCGGGTCGTGGCTCGGCAGGACAACAACGTCGTGGCGCCTCGCGTACTCCTTGATCCTCCTGAGGCTCTCGAACGCCGCCTCCGGATCGGTGTTGGCGCCGTCCGGCTCCTCCTTCTCCAGCACGCTGATCGCGTACGTCGCGTCCCCCGTCAGCAGATACCTCGTCTTCGTCCCGTCCTTGTTGTCGCCCACAACGATCAGCGAGACGTGTCCCGGCACGTGGCCCGGTGTGTCTACCGCGACCACCGTCCCGTTCGCCGCCAGCGCGCAGGACCGCCCCCACGGCCCGACCGCGCGCCCCTCTTCGAAATCGAGCATCAGGGGCTCAAAGTTCTTGGGCCAGCGGTCCGGCGTGCACCCCTGCATAGCCGCATAGAGCGGGTGCTTCCCGAAGGCGTCCCAGTGCTCGGAACCGACGTAAATCGGCACCTCTGGCGCCGCGACGGCCAGCTCCTCCAGCCCGCCCGCGTGGTCGTGGTGCAGGTGGCTGATGACGATGAACTGCAGGTCCGTCGGCTTGATGCCCCGCTGGCTCAGCTGCTCGACGATGCCGTCCTCCTTGGTGACCTCGAGCTTGTTGAGGAAGCCCGGGACCGGGTTCCAGCAGGGGAAGTAGCCCGGCTCGGTGCAGTGCGTCGAGACGCCCGTGTCGAAGAGGATCGGCCCGTTGGGGTGGCGGATGAGGAACGCGCCGAGCGGCATGGGGCCGATCCATTCGCCCGTGAAGGAGCGGAGCAGACGCATGGTGATGCTACGGTTGGTGACGGGCTGGCCCTGCATCGGGTTGCGCATCCACACGTTGCCTGTGGTGATGAACTCGAGCGAGATTCTGTCGTCGGATGCCATGTTGGCGACTGGGGACATGGTGGCCTTGGGGTTCGTCGCGATCCTTAGTTGTTCTTGGGGGGACCTTTGACCTTGGTGGAAAGTCCAGTTGCGAGATTGGAGAGAAGATGGATCCTCGAGTTTGCAAATTCTGTCCTTAAAGATATGTGGCGTAGCTTTACTTCCTCATGGGTAGTCAACCCCTTTGTATGCCGACATTCCGGTCCTCGGGATAGATATCTTAGGAATTTGTTGCCGTAACCTAGCCAATAATGGGAATTCGGCTCAGCCGTGAGCTCCGCCATCCTCACTTCGCTTACTGCAGCCGTCGATGCAAAGAGCCCATTCTGATGGAAGCGAATTCCTTCAACTAGGCTGACGGCTGACATATGACAGGGCTACCTGATGGACAAGAATAAATCATGCGTGAGACAGAACCCACGACATGCCGGATCGGGATCCCCCTTGCCTTACTAGGCGTCATCCAAAGGGCTGAACCCCCTTGATTTTCGGTCAGCCCACCGCAGCCGATTAGAGATAAGGGATGCCTTTAACAAAGACGCAGGGACACGGCGACCATCTGAACAAACAAATAAAAATATGTGTATTGGTGGTGTATTTACTTGGGGGTAGAAAAGCTAACGTCAACTCCCCGCTGCCCCAACTCCTCAAGTATGTGCATGAATCCAACCTCGGGTGTTTTTGCACCAAGATATGTGCAGTCGAAGACGATTCACCGCAGCAGAGCGTGCACGGTCGAGTTGTAGTTGTCGACGCAGGGGCCGAGGTAAGTCGACGTCAGTGACGCCGTCGTGTTCTTTGCCAGCGAGGCGAGCGCGCTGGTGCCGCAGCGGAGGCCGAGGACGAAGGCCTTGTGCATGGCGTCGGCGAGGAAGGGCGCCGTGTGGGTGTGGCCATTGGGGTAGTTGGCGTTGACGATCGAGGCGCCGAGGTTCTTCATCGCCTGTGCAGCGTACTCGCCGTGCGGGACGAAGTAGTAGCCCTTGGACGGGCCGCCGAGCTGTTCGACGGCGAGCCTGGGGGTCGGTCATGTCAGCATCGTCGTCGGCGGGATCTGAGCCGAGGAGGCAGGTAGCTTACCAGGCATAGTGGAAGAAGCGGTCGTATCCCCATCCGTAGGTGCCGCTTTCCCAGACGTTGTTGGGGGTCGCAGACGAAATGATCACCTTGGCCCCCGCTGCATTAAACTTCTGTGCGGCATTCTTGAGGTAGGCCGGATAGGTCAAGACGGTCTCGGCGACACCGCTAGAACCTGTCAGTATACTTCTCACCACATGTCAAAACCAAACCATGGGGCAGCTCACTTGTAAGTAGTTTGACAGGTCTGGGCACCATCTCCGAAGCAGTCAGTGCGGCCGTTGTCGGTGGGCGTAAGAGAACCGCCGTCATTGTGTCCAAACTCCATAACAACCCAGTCGCCGGCCTTGACGAGACCGGCGACGTCGTCGAAACGACCCTCGCGGGTGTAAGAGCGCGCGCTGCGCCCCCCGATGGCGCGGTTGTCAACCTTGGCTCTGCTGGAATCGAAAGAGTACTGCAGGTACGGCCCCCAGCCCTCGGTGCCGCTGCCGCCGCCGCCCTTCGCCATGGTGCTGTCGCCGCATAGGTAGATGGTGGGGACGGACTGACGCTTGTCGATTATGTCGCCGTCGGCGGGAAGAGCGGAGGCCAGGCCCAGGAGGCTGGTCACGACAGCGAGGCTTGTACGCATCTTGTCGGTGGCAGCAGAGGGAGTTCGGACGACCAAGTGTGTAGTTCGGGGTAGGCGAAGAGGAGTCGTAAGAAATGCCAAAATGCTTCAACAAAGGGTATTCTCTCATATAAATAGATAGAGGCGGACCCCGGCTGTTCCTAGTAGTAAACAAGCTTCCGCGCCATGTAGGATGCGCGGGGAAACAAACACACCCCATCTTCAACCAAGTTTGCCGGCACGACCTTGTCACAGCGACTTCTATTGTTGGCCGATGCCTCCTTCTCAGTATACCCAATATCGACCACACCTACCCCCAATAGGAACCTCACTATATTATCTTTCTGTCCTAAAGAGGAAATCTCTGACTTTTGGACCAGTGCGTCATGTAGGTTGCCGTACCTGCCCCCTCCCCAGGTCCCTCTTGGGCGAGACTGACTCGTCAGATATGAAGGCGGGGTACATGTGCTTCTAATATCGGTCCTACCGTATAGTAAGTTGCGGTGCCGGGTCTTCGCCGGGATTCCCCAACTGTGGTTTTGCCTATTTTGGTAGGTATTGATGCAACTCAACTGCCGCAAGCCGGGTAATAAACAAGGGGATGGTGGCCTCTCTTACCGTCTAAGTTGAACGCTATTATTACTCGGAACCATGCACAACGATGGTCTGATATAGACGAACCTCATTTACCCTCATTTACTGTTCAGCCGACTGCCGAGCTGGCGTTGCGATGGACGGAGAGACCAACGCCGCTATAACACTTCCTATCAGTTCTAGGCGACGCTCCCAGGCGGACAGGGGGCCCGGAATGCGATACCCGGAAACTCAAGTTGTTGGCGAACCTCACCGCGACAGCTGGGCGCATACAGTAAGCCTGCCTACCTCCAGAGTTGCATCAAATGAACTCGCTGTCTGCTATGTAGTCTCAGTAGTCTGTACGCCAAGGCCACAATAGGGGACCGAGGAAGGTGGAGCTTGAGTCAGATTGCAGGCCGGTCAGATAGTCTTGAATTTATTACAGTGGGGTGCCACAAGTCTCCTGACACCTCATAGTGCGCCACCTTAACTACGCTATAAATAATACACTATATCTTAATATATTAGGTATAAAAGTAGACTATAGAAATTATATATAGTCACTTAGGTATATATACTATATTATACTACTTGTCTAAAGTATTTAACTTATATAATAGTAGATATATAAAGTCTAGAAATAAATTGTAAGGGGTTGGCCTGGTTGCCCTTTATAAGGCCATGTGTGGTGCATTTCAGGCACTTGGTGCCTGAACTGATTGATCTTTTGGCAATGCCAGAATGGTCTATTGACAGGCGTGGCACACCACCCATACCTTTACATAAATAAGTTTACGTTTTTTACTTTTACCTTAAGATAATATAGTGTTCATACTATATTTATCCCCTATAAGCTTACTATCTCTAGAAAGTAAAAAACACTATACTTTTTTTTCTTTTTACCTACCCTAATAAGTAAGTAAAATAAGTATATAAATATTATATATATAGAGATTTAGTAAGGCTACTTAGTAAGTATTTTTTATTAATTTTAAGATATCTAGTTAGCTTAATATTACTTATTATAAAGTAGTGGTTTTGGTGTATACTGTGTATATGTCAGGAGAGTTGTAGCACCCCACTGTAATATTGTTGCAGGGTCAGCCGATTGGTCCACAACCCCCGCGGCTCGTTCAGTGCACGGAATTGAGGCCAGTCATTTACTGACATCTCATCGCGAAAAGAAAAAGTTGCAAGCCATTTGCCTTCTGTGTTCAAAGAAAAACAGCCATCTGACCTGGTTATCTATGTTTCAGCAGGCCATGTTAGCTGGGGACGATTTTGGTGTAGTACGGCGGCGTGAAGTCGCAGCTCTTCTTGCGGAAGGGTGATACATTGTTCCAATCAGTCACAGGCCTTAACCTTCTCTGCCCAGAGATAGTGAGCGCCGGGAGCGAATCTAGAGCACCTGCCGTATTCAAAAGTAGAGCTATATGAAGACTGGCTCAGATGGTGATGGTCCCTTGGATCGAATCTCAGAAAGAAGAGGTGATAACCCACGCGCCGCCAAAGGTAACACCCTGGACATGGTCGATTTTTCTCCCGCTATAACCGTAGAATGGCGAAAGTGGGCTCAATAATATGCAAGTGAAACAATAATGCCAGCCAGAAGGGAAGTCATCTGCAGCGATAGGCTCCGTGTTGATGTGGATGGCAGCCAAGGAGTCCATGGTTCCCACGTTGGTCGGGTTCACACCTTCAAAGTTGTAACCGGGGACCTGAGTCCTGTTGTTGGTGATGATCTCGTAGAAAGTGCCTTGATGAGGGAAATGGTGTAGCTCGCTGGATCTAAAGCCAGGCAGGCGAGCAGCCCGAGTGTTTCCAGCGGTGCCGCCACCCACGACGGCGCAGTCGTACTTGAAAAGAGCAGCGTATGAGCGACCGACAAGTTTTGGAACAACTGCAGAGAACGAATATGTTTGCCACCTCTTTGAATTCATGCAGCCCATGCAGATAAAACTGCGTCTTATCTCCGCGGCGATGCCGTTGGCCTGGTTTTTGTACCGTCTTCGGCCATGTTGCCCGAAACCCGGACAACGAGCCCAGTGGCCGGCCCGTAGAACTCAGTAGCGGTCCACTTCTCGCAGAACTATTGTTTTTACATCTTGGTGTTTAATGAGACTGTTACTCCCTCCTCTGGCAAGGCGGCCTGGCAGCGCCTGTTTACTGATCTGCTAGGCCAATGAATTGATGCTTCTGCTCCCTGAACGGCAATTCCTATATGTTGGTGCACAGCTTTGAGTCACTGGTCAGGCAGAAACCAAGCCCCGGTGGAGCTTGCGGTGACACCTAGACGTTTATCAGGGTTGAGATAAACACCCGTCGCCTCTCTTCAGTATCTCACAGAGCTCATATACGTCACTTAGTCGCAGAAGAAGCGACGTATTCGATGAGGTGCATTTATTCCAACAATATGCCATTATTAAGCCAGATATTTACATGAGAAACACTGCTTCAATGCCACGTGAAATGCTTATATACGCTGGAAGGCTCACATTGGGTCTTTGTAGTATTGATGAGAGGTTGAAGGGGTAAGCATGAAAGATACAACTTGTCTCTCGCTCGTTATCGATCTATTGAATCCGACACCAGTTTTGGTCTCCCCAATATGTGAGATTTGGTCTTAATGACTGTGGCTGAAACAACCAGACGTTGTTTTGCATACATGCGGCTACCTACGTAACCGCGACCACAAGGATTCTAACGTACTACGCGTCCCATGTGACAAGGTCCGCAACTTAGTACTGGAACTCCTGCCCGACGAGCTTCTCACTCAACTTCCACAACCTTTCAGCCTCAACAGGACTGGTGCCCCACGGCTTCACAGTTTCAACCCAGGGATCGGCGATGTGCGAATTCTCCAGGTAGGCACCGTTATTATCTGCGAAAGAGAGTTAGCCAAACGCCATCCTGGACAGGGAATATTAACAGGAAATAACCGTCACTGTGCAATGACTGGCACCAATGTCAACATACCCTTCAAAGACGGCTCGAAAGAGGCGTACACGTGAGTAGCAGAACCCTCGTCCGGGGTCTTCCACTTGAACTCAGCCCAGCCCTCCTTGTTTCCGAGAGAACGGTCCATAGTCGCTGCAATGTCACTCAAAGTCAGACACACGCTCTTCGGATGGCACGGGTTGAGATTTTGAGCTCCCAGTCACTTACTGAGACCGGCAAAGTCGCTACCCCACTCAATGTGATTGGCAAGGTTCGTGCCAATGACGCCTGGATGCAGACTGAAGGAGAGAAGGCCGCGCTTTCCAAGCTTCTCGGCGAGGGAGAGGGAAAACAACATGTCAGCGGTCTTAGACTGGCCGTACGCGACCCATCTGTTGTACGTCTCCGCCTAGAATTATCGTTAGAACAGGAATTATTCAGAAGGGGGAAAGACGCGATCCTCATCCCACCCTAAAGTTGTAATCGTCCCAGCGGATATGGCTCATACGATGGCCGTCACTGCTAATGTTGACAATGCGAGGCGTGCCTGCGGCGAGGACCTTGTCGATTATGAGGTTGGTGAAGAGGAAGTGAGCAAGATGGTTGGTGGCGAAATGGCTCTCGTGGCCGTCGGGCGTCAGCTTATAGTCGACGGCCATGATACCGGCGTTGTTGACAAGCACGTCGATGAAGGGCACGTCATCCCACGACAAGACAGTCTCGGCAGCCTGTCTAACGGCGGCCAGGGATCCAAGGTCCAATTCGAGAACCTTGGTCTTAACATCGGGATTAGCGGCCTTGATTTTATCTGCAGTCTTCTCCGCCTTGGCTGGGCTGCGAGCAGCCAGGATCAGAAGAGAGGGTGAAGCTTTGGCAATGGCCTCGACGAAATTGGCGCCTAGGCCGCCGGGTGAGACACCAGTTGTCAGGATGACCTTGACCTTAATCTCAGAGGCCAAGTCGTTGACGAGGCCGCTAGCGGTGGCCGTTGCGTCGTACTTTGAAGGCATCTTGGTCTGGTCTTTGTTCTGATGGATAACAACAAGCGTTTATCTGATGGCTCCTTGAACGGCACACGCATGTGATGGCATTATAAGGCCGGGATGGTCAATTGGCATGGAGAATGTCATTGATTTATCAAGCACGCGAACTGGTAGGAATTATGAATGCGCTGAACATATCCCCGAATCCAAATCGGATATAAGAGGGACTGGCTGATCGGCGTTATTCCAGCGGTTTGTAAGCGGCTCATCTGTAGCCTCCGGAATTAGTATAATGGGCGAGTGGATAGGGCCATAAGACTCTGCAGATGCAGACGCCTGTGGCATGGAGCTCGCTCATTGGAACGATAAGCTTGTTTTATAGCTGAACGACCTGCAAAACTATCCCTAGCGCATTCCTGCAGTTCGGTCTGTCCCTGAGTGCTGCCTCGTCTAGTGTTCATGCAGAGCAGGCTCGTCAGTAGGCCCCGGGACCGTTCGTTTAGTCATTCTATAACGTTAGCCACAATTACCAACGACTGTCTCATCTCCACTGCCAAGCCCTGCTCGTCCACCTTGATGCGGAAGAGATGCAAAGTGTCTATACACATCTGTGTAGTACTGCTGTCCGGCAGCTCCTTCGCCGTCACAGCAAGGAACTCGAGGATATTGCTGAGTTTATTTCCGCGATCAGTGTGATTCATATCCTGCACTTATGACAGAACAAATGTGCCCAGTCGTGCTGGTCTAGCATGTTACGGTATTTTTCTCATTTCTAAAATATCCTATTCGTTTTGACATCCGCTGGATACAAGAACGCTCCGTTTCTGTTCCTGCGACGAGATCGGTACATCTGAAGCAGGATTTCCCTTGAAGAAGTTGACTGGCTTCAAGCCTACTACTATCTTTTCACACGGAACGACCGGCCAGTCCTCGCTGCGCGGGTTATGAGTTGAGCCGAAAGTATGCCAAACCACGATATCTTCATTCTGTACCACAGACTCCCCATCCCTCTCGCGCTGCTGGATCCAGGATGCAATACCGTCCCCGCCGGTTGACTGCATAGTGAACTTTCCTGCTGGGAAAAGCTCGTCATCCCGGTAACGTGTCACCCAGACCGCATGCGCGGCGTACTCTGCACGCTTTCCATGCCAGGAGCTGGGATGCGCGATAAGAAGCTGGCTATAATGCGGCAAAAGCTTGAACCCCACCGGAGTACCAGTCGTTGAGTTGATCACGCTTTCGTTGACAATTTTTAAAGGTTCGGTTGGTGTTGAAGTCCAAATCAACACCAACTTCTTTTTCAATGGGGTCTGACTTGGTGACGAATCCCACGCCGAATGGATTAGAGTTGTCCGATTCTCCAGTGAAAGGCATTGGGTGAGTCTTTTCGACCATTAAAGAATTTCGATGTCCATCAATAGCAGGGGTCGATCCTCAAGCAGAATATGTGCTGATGATAAGGTGTCAAAACACCGGGAGCCACAACAGTACCCCACGGAACCTTTGTGTCGAGATCGATAGGTGCTGTGGACATTATCCCCGTGGCACGAACTTCGTAGAATATGGATCCATCCTGCTGGAAGTAGAAGAGGAAGATGTAATCATAATTGCTGACGGTGATGATTGTCTGAAGCACAAGAACTCTTTACCTGGCCACAACAGCATTGCCAGTTCGAAAGTTTGTATGCTTCCACAAGATACCATCGTCGACCTCGTGACAGCAGATGACGTTGGGCATCTTCAACGGTTCACCAGCAGATGTACTTAGCCATCCGTCAAAGTACTTGATGTGGCCCAGGCAGTCACAACCTAACTTGAGGTTATTGGCATTGATTCCCGCACCGTCGTTCCCTAGATCGAAAGCCGCTTTTCGCGGATAAGGGAATCGAGGGTCGCCGTATGGCACAAACATCTCGGCAAGAGATAGGCGGTAAAACAGACTGCGGCCTACGAAATGCACATCGTGCAGCGTCATGCCTTCCCTGTAGTTGAAACCAACTCGCAAAGCCCACTTTTCCCAGGTGACATGGTTTCCGTCGATATTGAACGATGGGCTTTCCGGCTGGGTAATATTGTAGGGTCTCGTCGTTGTCCTACGTTCTTCGACCAGATCCGGATGATACTCGCTGCCTGAATGAGCCTTTGCCCGATCAAACTCTTTCGACACATTGCTGATCTTCTCATGCTCTCCAGAAGGCAAACGGTAAATTCTCACTACCTCGAGGGAGTTGGAGACTTCGGCACAGATGTCTAACGGGTAGGCATAGTAGTTTGCATCCGGGCTGTCAGAGAAATGCATCATGCCTAGATCAGTGAGATCAATGATTTCAAGCGAAGACGGGTGTATGACTTACCATGGTCCATCGGTCTTTCATGTCTATCATGACGTCCGTGGCATATTTCCACGGTTCGACAACTACTGTCGCACCCTCAGGCAGCCCCAAAGTCTCGATCTCATTTTGCACCATTTGATCTGCCAGACACGCCGCTGCAACCTGGGCCATAAACTCAGTATCGATATACGAATGTTTCCCATGGAGACTAGTGTCTGAAGTAACAGTTGAAGAGTCCAAATTCACAATGATATCATGCAAACAATTGTTGATGTACGCCTGAATCCTGGCGCCGTGCTGGGCATACTAACATCGTTCCACTGGCATGTTTACCCTCAAGGAAATCTATCAGTTCCTTCTTGGGTGGCTCTGCCAGAGAGATAGCCCTAAAGAAAAACCGCGCATTGTCATTTGATTTCCGAACGACTGCAGCTGCCTATGCCCGGTCAGATGAAAAGAAATATCAGCTAGGATTATTTTTTATTTTCCATGAATAACACTTGGCCGGGTCGATAATTCTCTCCTAACCTGGCTAATCTCATCTGGGCCTAGTGGATCGAGAGGATGGGCCTTTCGTGGAACGTCGGTGCCTCCCATGATATTGAGGCTGGTAAGCTACTGGAAGAAAGTTGGTTGGTAGTGGACATGGGGGGAACCAGACGCCAAATGATGAGATGTTCCTCTGGGATTAGCTGGGTTTTAACTTCAACGGGGCGCCTCAAGCGCCGAGGGTGGCACATGTGGCCATCATCTCTGACGATGAGATGTGATTTGGAGAGATAGCTGTTCCCCGCACTGAGCGCCGCTTGAATAGTCCCCGAAAGGTAGTTAAAGCCTTGAAAGTGGAGAAATTCGGCTGATTGCCGTTCCACAAAGGTAAGGAATCGTCGAGGGCGTTGCCGATCCTCCGATCGTCGGTCTGGTCATGGTCAAGGACCAGCCCGAGTCACATCCCACCATCAGTGCTATCATTTCTACTCCTTATCATCATCTTCCAAGTATGTGACTGGAAAGTGTTCAGCGCACACACCGGAGAAGGCCGGAAAAGTTGCAACAGAAAATAAAGAGTGGGCAGCAGGATGAGCAACGTTACTGAAAGACAACGAATATAGAGACTAGGAATACTCATATTATTATTGCATCAAGCTTGTGCCATGATATGACACGACCAAAACAGTGACTCAACTAACCCTAACCCCGTGCTTTACCAGCCAACCCAGTCCCAGAATCGTTCAAAAGATTCCGCATAATGTTTCAAGATCAGATAATAGCTCTGAAGATGGTTCGTCCATCCAGTAGCAAGGTACGGGCGGCGAAGAAGCAGCCGCCGCCAAGAAATATAACCGCCAAGTAAAAGCCTGAGAGCGCCATGCCACCCATACTGTCAAGCATTTGTCCACCGACAGGAACGGTCACCAACAGCGAGAAGCTGACGAAGAAGTTCATCGTACCTTGAGCGATTCAAGTCAGTCCATGATACAAACAAGCCTGTGGGGTCGAGAAGGAAGCAAACTTACCAACATATCTGCCATAGTCTTTTGGCTCGCATGTCTTCCCCACGCAAACTACTGGCACATTAGATACTAATCATGTCCAAACCTGTGCAAAAGCACTCACCTGGACTGCAGGACAAGAACGATCCAGATCCATAGCCCCACAGAGCAGCAAAAGTATACAAAGCCCCGATGTGTTTCGTTCCAAAAGGCACAAAAATAACGCCCGTGATGATGATCACGATAGAGATCATAGTAATTAGGAAATTCAGGTGTCCCAGTCTGTCGCCTACCATACCAGTCGTGATGCGTCCAAGGCACGATGCGCCATTGAGGATTGCAATGAGACTGAATCCGACCTCGGAACCAAAGCCAACGGCAATCGCAAACGTGGGTAGGAGACCAGTAACACCGAAGAGAACGAATTCGATAAGAAAGGCGCCCATGGCGATGAAACCAAACGGAGGTGATCGGAAAGCCGAGAAATTGATCATCGCCCCCTTCCTACCCCTTGTCGCTCCGGAAACAGATGCAGATAGGCGAGGATATGGCAGGTAGCATATCATGCCCAGGGTCATTGTGCCCATTGCGAGGAAACCCGTGACTCTCATCGACCATTGCCAACCTAGCCGGGGCAGAATCGACCGCAGCAGCAAGGATATAGTGACACCTCCAAACGAAGACCCGGATAGAGCACACCCATGGCAAGTCCTTTGCGGCGGTTGAACAATTTCCCGACGGCAGCAATCGCAACGGTTGCGGTGAGAGCGACAGCGGTGCCTCCCAACACTCCAAGACAGAGGATGAAATGCCAGTACTCCGTGCATTCCCCCATAGCGAAGAACACTGGGACGTATAGTGCCACGGAAACAGGTCCCAGGAACTTCGTGCCGTAAGCGTCCATGAGAGGCCCTGTTTGTATGCCGAGAAACAAGCATAGTGACATGAAGATTCCGATGATCCATCCTAGGTCGCTAGAAGAGTATGCGCTGAGCTGGTTTTGTTGGAGATGGGACTGGACAGTGCCGACAGTTTGCATAAAACCTACAGTTTTCATCAGACCGGTGATCGTACAGATGGGGAAGAGGAAGTGAGCTTTACCATAGGATGGGTACAGAAACAAAAATGAACCGAAGACGCAAAGCCACGCCAACGGGCTTGACTCGGGATCCCGATGGCTAGAACCGGGTGTATAACTCTCGATAGCATCTAGTTCAACGTCTTCAGGCATGGCAGACCTAGCAGCTGCTGTTGCGGCGTTTCGTTCGAGATGGCTCATCATGTCTTCCTGATTTTCCGAGTCTGCCGTGAAGATAGAATATGACCAGACTTTTTCCGGATAGAGATTCACTTGCTTCTGAACTCGTTCATGATTCTCCTCAAAGATAGGATGTGCGCATCCTATAAACTATGTGGGGCACACTTACGGAGATGCATGGCCAACGCAGCCCTTCCATAGTGGCATGATATATGATAACTTAAATCGCCCAGCCAACCAACCTACATTGATGACGGGTCTCTGCCAATAGTTTTAGGAGATAACTCCTCGAGCTTAAATGGACAGTAATTGCCTTACTATTCATTAATTGGCCCAGTTAATCAAGATGCCGTACGGAGCGATGTTTAACTATAACACCAATCCAAACAATTTTACCGCCTACAACCTTCTCGTGTGTCTTGAGTCTGGAAAACTTTTAAATGACCCTAAAGAAGTCTTCATATATTAATGAGGGAAACAACGAGGGAGATACTTGGCTGCATGTTCTCGGGGAAACTTTTACATTTGAGGCTGTTGGCCACCAGGGCTAATTAGTCATGACGCATTCACGAAACAGCGGAAGTCGACCAATAGTTCACTGTGAGTAATATATATCAGGAGGGTTCCTGAATATATTGTGTGATTGGTCATTTCTTGATTAAATACATATTATCATTGCCTATTTAGGCACTAAAATATCTACAAGTATGAGGCCTCGACCAAAAACCCAACGGTGAACTTGGAGTGGCGAAGTACAGCAGGCCATTGAATGGTGTCGTAGCTCTGTTAATATCAGTTAGAATAACTTCAAATCAATGGGGTTGCTTGAAAGACTACTCACGTCGCGGGAGCTGTGGATGTAAGGAGTGGAAGTGTCAATAGGCTCATCGCAAACGTAGGCAGCGGCTACAGGTACAGGTTAGTAACCGTTTGAGAAACACAGATATACGCGCTTCATGGCATTGGAAACTTACGGAAGCCGTTGGCGCGAGCACTGGCGTGGTCGGAGCATCCGTATCCGCAGGTGTCGCTGGTAGGCGTGCTGCCAGTGTACTGAGTGGCGATGAGACGGACGTATCTGGTCAAGCCGGCGTCAACGTAGTCGTTGTACACGGAGACCTTGCCAGAGGGCGAGTAACCAGCCATGTCTTGGTTCATGACGGCGAGCACCTTCTTGCCAGCGGACTTGTAGTTGGAGAAGACGGCTTGCGAGCCGAGAAGGCCGCCCTCCTCGCCAGCGTAGAAGTGGAACTCGAGGGTGTTCTTGGGCTTGTATCCGGCATTGGCGAGGACGCGCAGAGCCTCAAGAATCACGACAACACCAGATCCGTTGTCGTCAGCTCCCGGGCCGCGGGCAGTGGACGAACCGCCGGTGGAGTCAAAATGGGCACTGACAATCACTGGGTAGTGTTAGTTACCACGGACGGGCAGTGAAGATAGCAGGAGGTCCTAAGCTCACCCAGGTTGGAGCTGGTGCCAGGAATCTTGGCGATGATGGAAGGCTGGTTCCACGAGTGAGTGAACTGCGAGACGGTGATGGCAGAGTTGGCCGCTGCAACAGACTTGACCTGGTTGAACAACCAGGTGGCAGACTGAGTACCGTAGGTGGAACGGTAGTAGCGGTTGTAGAAGCTAGAGCATGGTCAATACATAAGCCAAGGAATCATGGAGGAAAATAATAACGTACTCGGTCAATGTCTTGAGCCACGACTGAGGCTGGGTAGTGGAGACCTTGGCAATCAACGAGTTGGCCTCGTCGACGTGGGACAACGTTGTAGGGTACGTGACGGACTGCCTGGCCTCGAGGACGGATTCAGGCGGGGTCGAGAGCACAGAGAGAACATCGATATCCTGTAGTTTGTGAGTAAATGACAACATTGACCTCGCAGTAGTTCATGAGACCTACGGTGATGTCGGTGATGTCAATGAAGCCAATGTTCTTGTTGACGTAATTTTCGATCTTCTGCTCCTCCGTGACCCAAGTACCAGGATCGGCCTCAGAAGTCTTGATCAAGCGGAGCCCAGGGTTGACCTGAACCTCATCCGTGGCAGGGGCAGCCAGGACGACCTGGGAGGCCGCAAGAATGGCCAAAGCAGCGTTGAGATGCATCCTTCAGGTTACTCTGGATCTGGAACGTCTGACAGTGAGATGTGCAGATGCGACGACGCGGCCAAGGATTTCTTCAGGCCAAGAAAGGGAGACGGGATTCCTTTAAATGCACACAAGGTGGCCTCCGGACCCAAATAAATCATCGGAATGCCTCTCTTCTTCTCTTTTGGGCCTGAGGGATCGCCCAGTACGACGGCAGGACCCGTAGGCCCAAACAGGCATCTCATTAGCCGACGGCATTCGCCATCGCCACAGAGAATATTGAAAGTGAACAGAAACAGGAAGCCCGTTAGCAGAGAGCCCACAACTGGCATTGTGTCTCTCGGGGCAATGATGAGCTTGTGGCAGGAGCATTTAAGCTTATCATAACCGCCAAGGCCGCGCGAGCTTAAGGAGCTGCCAAACTGAGCTAGGCTCGGCTGTTGACCGGGTCATCGATGCTACCCCAGCCGGTATTCCCGCCCACAGTGACCAAGCCTTTTAGGCATGTCATTGGAAGCCGCCAAGAATTCAATGTCCCTCTACACAGTTATTGCTCTTGGCAAAGTCAACAATGAGAAACCGAGCTATTTTCCATGCAAAAAGGGGTTGAGAGAATGGTCGGCACTCCATCAAAGAAGCGAGGAATGTAGGATCTAGGGGGGCTAGCGTATCTGTTACCAAATTATGCAACGTTATTTAATGGTGGAAATTTAGAGAATGACATAGGCTCTCAGCCTTTTTGAGTCCGGAAGTTGTTTTGGTGAAGGGAAGAAAGGCGCAAAACGCTCATAACGCTAGCAAGCCACCCTTACCGCCATCAAAAAATCGGGGTTTACTCGACCAACGTCACTGATGACCACGTTCGTTCTCACTTCGGGTCATGACCCAGCATATTGAGTAGCTGAAAGATGCAGGGGGATCGTTATGTCAATTGCAACGGAGTTATGAATCGCTTCATATCCAGCGAGGACATCCACTGCTAGACAGCAAACTCACGCCGATACCGACAATATTGCTATTTCTGGAAATGTCCAATAATCCTTCACATGACTCGATACGCTGCAGATGAGGTGGAGCTAACAACGCTTGCTACTCAATACTCGAAGACAGGCGTCTTACTGATATCTTTCTAACCTAAAATCAAAATCACACAAGAGTATTTCCAAGAAATGTATTTAGAATGGTATCTTCGAGGGACGTTGATCAGTCTCAAGCCTGGAAGCGTCTCTTGAAATTTTTCCCGCCGGATGCCAGCGCTGTCATGTTAGGGTTCCCAACCTTGATAAACTCCTTCTCGCGAGGCAGAGCATCAATCACATCATCCGGGAGGTTGAGAGTATCTTTGACGACCTGTTTGGGAGTGAGAGCCAACCACTGAGCAACGCTAATGTCTGAGAATCTCGGAGCCTGGAGGACCTCGAGAAAGATGACGTCCTCGGTGCCGGTGTTTTCGATGTAATGACTGTCGCCGACCCTGATGTAGCCTATGTCGCCAGCCGTGAAGTCAAAGGTGCGAGAGGCTTCGGGAGCTTCAAAGATTGTTATGCGCCCGGAACCCTGGAGGAAGTAGTTCCACTCGTCGCTGGTGGTGTGCCAGTGGATCTCACGCATGGCTCCCGGTTGGACGACCACAAGGGCGGAGGAGAAGTTACTGGCGATGGGGAATGTCTGAGGGTCAAGGATTTTGACGGAGCCTCCAGGGACCTGATACGGCTTTTGTTGTGACCAGTGATAGGTGTAGGAGTCTGCGCCGACCAGAGACCCAGCCGAAGAGGTTTGGTTCTGTTCTTGGATATCCTTGGGTGGGGGTGTGCCGTTGAAGATCTATTACTGTGTTAGTCCCGTAATTCTTCGAGGGGGGGGGATACGTTATATCCACCACATTGATGAACTTACATAGAGCTGGTCTTTTGGTATTTTATCAAATGCAGATATATCTGCTTTGAAATTCTTCGAAAGCACCGACAGAGGATTTCGGAGGAAAAGCTCAGAGGCAAGGAAGGTATCCTCCTCGCTGAATCCTCCATCATCAAAAACAAGAAGAAATTCGGCGCCCTGGTCAAATGCCTGGATGCTGTGAGGAACACCCTTGGGGAAGAACCAAACGTCCTGGTCCAGTCAGCATAGTACGGCTTGGCTTTAGGCAGAAGCAGGGACTTACACCAGCGGTTATATCGTCTACAAAGCTTTTACCGTCCTCATTCATCGCGGCAATACGACAAGTACCCTTGAGCATGAGTGCCCACTCGGCTGACCTATGCCAGTGCAATTCGCGGTAGGCGTTGGGCTGCAACCTCATATCGACTCCGGCCATGCGCGAGGCAATGGGAAGCACGTCGGTGTTCTGTTGGCGGGCCCAGCCGGCCCCTGGTTGGCTCCCAAGACGATTGTGTGAAAGTCCTAGGGGCCACATCGCGTTCTCTACATCGCCTTTATCGGTGCCTGGCGGGGCGAAGATATCGGGGTTTAGCTTCTCGTACGCATAGGTTCCTGCGAGACTCATGTGTTAACATTTCGGGCTACCAGGATCCCCTCCACTGTCGCCGGGACTTATACACACTTGGACCTGGATCCGGTGAGCCCAGCTCTCCGCGGATGGGCTGGGGAACATCAACGCCGTCAAAGTTGAGGTAAAGTCCGAGTTTACCATCAGCTTTCTGGCCAGGGACAAGCTGAACGTCGTTGACAACGGCGGAATCGGACTTGTCGGGGTCGGGAAGCGGAGCGTTACCCCCAAGAAGCGAAGCATCTCCTCTAAGGCTGCCGGTGGGAGCGGTCACGGATGAAATGGGTGGGCTGACACCTCCAACGGGCCCCTTATTCTCGCCATAGTCTCCCATTCTGAGATCCTTATAAGTTGATACATCTAGCCTGATTCTTACTACGGGTACTTACTGCGGAGCAGGAATAGCACTTCCCTTGGGCAAAGCTCCAAGCAGGCCGACGAGGAAGATGCCGTGCTTTGGTATAAAGATCATGTTGGCGATACGGAGTGGTTGAAGGATTGGGGACAATGGAAGATTAGTGACAAGGTATGACGTTCCAAAATGAGTTGTTAGATGATGCAAAAAGATTCATAGAAGCTTGGGGGCCCTGGTGCTATTATAGCAATTAGAGTTTCCTGGGCGAGACGAAATAGCTAGCTGTTCGAGCAGCTCTGACGGAGATACCCGCTGCCATCCACCAACGCCATGCTCTGGTCATTTTAGTTGGAGTAAGCACACTTCCCAACCTCATGTAGGCCGGGCTTGACACTTGAGGCTCTGGGCGCATGTGGCTTTGATGACGCGAATTCGCTTTTGTAGCTCCGTAGCGAACGTTACGGCGGCTCAGACTTGTAAGCGGTAGACCCACGCACGGCTATCACGGCACTGTCATCAACCACACACATGTCGACTTCGTTGAGTCTCGATAGCCTATGAAAAAATGCAGCACTTACAGCTCGCCAGATCAAGTAAGGGTCTAATATGACGCAGTTCGCTGCCTTTCGCAGAAAATTCGGCAAGCCCGGCTTTCCTTGAACAGCTAATGTGACTATACCAAACTATTCATTGACACTTTCACTTAGCGACAGGCTAAAACAAGGCAGGGAGGTTTGGGATGCCGATCTCTTTGGGCGCCATAAGTCGGCATTGCTCTGATCTTTCAACCCGCCTCACTCTCCAAACGCGGCGGTTGGCTATTCTTTCGTCAGGTATAGTCACAGAGCCATTGAGTCGCACACCGCATAATATCACTGTGCTCGCGATTTGTCCAGATTGATGCAGCCCTACAGTGTGCACTGTACATGGCTGGAATCGTCGGCTTATTCATGCGCCAGATGTATTAGTCATGGCGGATGATTTCAAGCAGGTGATATATGATCTTTGGGAAACATCGGTGTTTCGCGGAAATCTCGGGATATAATATAGCCTCGTGTCGTCGGTGCCGCCGGCTCCTAACTCCGAGCAGAGAGGCTTGACTCAATAGCTGCACAACACACGGCTTCCCTGCACAGATGATACTTACTGAGACCAGTTCGCCTGATGTAATTCTTGACGGAAAATGGCGCGATATGCTCTCATGCTCTCATGCTCTCATGCCTCAACAGCGTCCGTGTATAAGCTTCGGTTCAAACATTTGTTTATCCCAGGAATAAAGATATCTATTTTAGCTTTCTTCGAGGTAATGACTTAGCCTAATCTTTTAGAAGGGGGGGGGGAGGCAATTTGAGCCCGTAGCAATATTCCTCTTGTATTACTGATCTACCTCGGCATTGACGTATGCTTCTCTAATCGAAAGTCTGAAGCTCAAACGGGCGGTATCAGGAAGCTGCGAGCTCAACGATTACCAAGAACTCCATGATATCTCAAGAATTATACATGTTTCGAACCACGCATATGCCTCCCTTTTGATGTGCGCATTCGGAACCAAGGGGACTTCCGTTCTGTCAATCTTTCAATGTGCCTGCCGTAATGAACAGATGAAATAAGCACAACTATGAATCTCGTATGCTGCACACGTCAGATAGAAGGGTGTTGTTGGCAATGTCATGATGTGGTCGCGGGCCTTGTCATACATCTGGTTAGGGAGGATCGCAATCTCATTCAACATACAAAGCGGTCTCTGTCAAGGTCGCACAGGTAGATAGCAATGGTCTAACAGAGTAAGAAAAAAGAATGGCACAAGTATCATGTCCGACACTCAACACAATGGTTTGAGTATCACGACCTTACTCAGACTACTGAGGCAATACTCACAACTGGGGCGCTCAGAATAGTGCCGAGCCGGCAACTTACAATGGGCGACCTCCAAATCCGGGCATGGGGCGTGTCATTTGTATTTACTTTTATTTGGTATTCATATTGTATCGCGATCCTGGCTACGTGAGTTGTTTATGCTTTCTGGGCCTAGAGTGATGCGCCAGCGAAGGGTTTCTCGACTTTCACGCTGCGCGGGTCTCTTTCGACTTCGTCTGCGACGATCAATCAGCTGCAGCCAAAAGGGGCGCTACGCCTCTGCAGGCAACTTTAGCGAAGGCAGCCTGCTCAAATTCTTGCTTATCTGAGTGGCTATGCCATGGTTTCTTAGGCAGCAGCATCACGGCTTCACCAACTTGGTTTGGAGCATGCAACATATGTAAAGTAACAGCTACCAGCAGACCAGAGACCTAGCCGCCGTCGTAGCATTCTTGCGTAAACCTAGAATTCTTACAGCACCGGATTTCCTTTCCCATAAGCAGAGGCAATGCGCCAAGACGACTTTATCGACAAAACGGTCGTTCCGTTGGCCACGAAGTGGTTGGAAGAGTGCGGCGCAAACCACCCGTCATGTGGTAAACCAGCACGCCATAGCACCGTGTTCTGTACCGACAATTCGCTGCTGATAAGCGACCTGGAGGGGAAGGGACTGGTTGCGACACGTCTCCTTTTCTTCTCTCTCCGTCCGGCGTCGGATGAAACTGATATTGCTCGTCTCCAACTTTCCGAGTCCCTGAGCCCAGACACGCGATATGTTGCTCTCAGCCATCGATGGGGCGCCCACGAAACGTGTTGCACTACCTTGGGGAACCTGAAGGACATGATCGAGACAGGTATCCGGGTATCGAAGCTGCCGGCTACGTTCCGCGATGCAGTCTACGTCGGACGGGGGCTGGGGTTGTCCTACATCTGGATTGACTCCCTTTGCATCGTCCAGGACGACAAGGAGGACTGGAAAAACGAGGCGCAACGCATGGCGATTATCTACGACAACGCAACCTGCACGATTGCTGCGAACGATGGCCTTGATAGCGATTCAGGACTCGCCGTGCACGGCTCCGGCCTCAAGAGCACCAACATACTTGACTCGCGGGCCTGGGTGTGCCAGGAACGTATGGTATCGCCACGTTCGCTCATCTTCACGGGGGGTTCCGTCCTTTGGGAATGTCGCGAATGCGATGCTTCCGTCACGAGCCCCGGCCTCGAGTTCCGAAGGACGAGAGGTGCGGAAGAGACTCTGACCCACCCGAAGGACATATTCGTCTACTTCAGAGACTGGCGTTTGCCTCTGAAAAAAGAGGAACCGGAGAGAGTGACTGAAGTTGAGGATGACGATGACAAGGGCTCTCAAGAGGGTTCAGAGAGCGAGCAGTCCGATATCGAAGAAACAGAAGAGATACCGAAGGCTGACGCGGGAGCTCTGGCGGACACCCGGCCGAGGCGTGGCAGCAGTGAGCAACAGACCGCCTCCGAGAAGGGAGAAACCCAAGAAAACGGCGGAGACGGTACAGGAAAATATGAAAATGATGATGCTGCTTTTCAGAAGACATTATATTCGCGCCATACGACCGATGGAATCGTGTATCACAACGGTACACCGGAGCCGGATCCCAACGCCGCCCCAGCCGCCGCTTCTGACCTCCGTCTGGGCTCGGAGGACGCAACGAGACGCGCAGAAGCCATCGTCTTCAATCATTCCGAGGAAGGGCGAGAATCACCGGAGCAACCCGACAGCGAGTACGACTCGGATGGATACCCCGCCTACGCAGGCGGCTTGCCAGGCCACGCGGCAAACTTGTCCGTCTTTCTCCAAGGCGGTAGGACGTCGAAGCCCTACAGGCTTTATCCAGAGGACCTCCGAGAGGGTGACCCGGACCCCTTTGGCGATTTTTTGGTCGTCGTGACCGACCTTGACGACTCCTTACGACTGCACTACTGGCCCTTCCTCAAAACGTGGTGGTCGTTCTTGTCCAACTACTCCCCGCTCTCCCTCACGTACGGGTCAGACAAGTTCCTGGCGATCAACGGTATCACGTCGGTCGCACAGAGGTGGACGCATTTGCGGTCTTCGTTCGGCCTCTTTTACCACTTCTTGGAGGCGGAGCTCATGTGGTACGTCGACCCCGACGGACCACCGGGGGCGAGACAGGAGAGCTGGCTCGTCCCGACGTGGTCGTGGGCGTCGACGAGAAACGCGAGGGTGAAGAATGACGTGTATGAGCGATACCCGCTTCTCGGAAACATCATGATCAAGCCGGTGATCACGCCCGCCATGGGCACAGCCTTTGACCAGCCGCTCCCCTTCGCCGCCTGGATGGCCCGGAGGTACCACTGCATCGAGGTCAAGGGAGACCTGAGGAAGGGCGTGGTCACGGCCGTGCAGGGGGCGGACGGCAAGACCAGATACCCGATAGTCCTCGACAGCGTGGGCAGGTTCTCGGACGAGGAGGTGTACGATTTCCGGCCCGACTGCGCAGAGGACTTCCCCGTCGGCCAGCCTGTGAATGTGCTCTACATGGTGTGGTACCACTACGATGCAAAGTACTTTGGGCTCGCAGAGTACATCGACACCGGCTTGGTTCTGAGGCAGATGAAGGGCGAGGCCGAGATCGGCATGTATGAAGAGGATGTGCCCAAGTCGTTCTTGAGCGACCAGCGCCTCTTCAACAGGCTTGGGTATCTGGAAACGAGGTATCCGGTTGGAAGCTTGCGGGATTCTGATTCCATGTCGGAATTAAATTGGTATTTCGCGAGGCTAGCTTGACAGTCTTTGCCGAAACCTATAGCAACACCCTCAATGACTGCCTCCTAGTCCGAATCCTTTTCGAGGTACCTCAACACCCTGTGGTAATGACTCCATGTTCCTCCTCATCGACTACGTGGTGGCATGCCACCCCCGTCCCCCGAGTTCCATGCCCAGTCTGTGTCTCGGAGCTCGACATCTCGTCTCCCCAGAAAGGGTAGTTGTAGCAGTAATCGCGCGTAATCCACTCACCCCGCAAAACCTCCATGTATTGATTCGCCCTCGTTTCATAACACCGGTTCAGCCAGGTTTTGTTGCGCAATCTTTGGTTCTGGAGATACTTGATCCGGCGTTGGAGCTTCTTCGTGGACCTCTTGAATTTGAGGATGTTGCCGTTGGATCCGGCACCTTTGCGGAGGCTTTGGAGATTACTGTAGTGCTGGTCCAAGACCTCCTTCACTTTCGAATCGAACTCGGCCTCGAGGGCGAGGCTATCTTGCGCTTGCTCTTCCAGAAGCTGCATTCGGTTCATGCGCAGCTGATTTTGCTGTCTGATCGCCAGGCAGCGTGCGCGCCCGAATCGGAAGGGCGGGTGCCTTTTGCTTCGACCTAATCTCTCGATGGCGTCAAGCCCAACGTAGCAGCCAAAAGAATTACAGACAATGGGTGCAGGGCAAGGGAGGGGGCCCAGGCGGTTGATGATGTGGTTGAATATTATGTGCATTGCGTGATTAATAGAAGACGAGATGAATTGTGGTTGCTGGCTTAGGGGACCGGGACGGCTTATCCAGAATGCTCTGTTTGTGATGGCGTTTGACGCAGTGATGTGATCTGGGATGAAGTATGAGGAATAGGTTTATTTGCAAGAAGAAATGCCTCGACCTGACTAGTTATGAGCAGGATGAAAGGTTTCGGAGAAAGAGTATGGTGGGTGGGTTATGGCCGGCGGCTTTGTGGTGTACCATGAGGCTATCGCCGTTAAAACCTTACTTCATGATGTTCCGTGGTCCAGTCACGATCAGCCTCAAGTCCATCCAATACCCTCTAAGCTTTGAATTAGACTTAGGGTTTACCTTTTTGAATTATATGGTCACTTCAAACTGTCGCCATCTGCGTCGAGAAGTAAGCAGGAAGTGCCAGAGACACATACAACTTCTTCGGCATCCTATGTTTCTCCAGTGGATGGGTTCGTCGTGCCTCTGGTTCACCGAACTAATGAGATGACGGGTATCCAACCCTGACCATAGAAACCACCCAGGCCACGTGAGAACTGTGGATTGAACCGAAGAGAGAACAGCGAATACCGCTCCTCTCGCTTTGCGGAGTACAATAGTGTCAAAGTGAGAGGATAGTTTAGTAATAACCAGGGATACTCGCGCGAACACTTGTTCTCACGCGTCACAACTCAATTGACAACTTATTTTGCCATGTGTGTTTGCCATCACCACGTTTGGCGGCAGTCAATAATTTATGCGTCTCGCTCGAGTAGCCATCAGTCTGTATAGAGCACCCGTTTGTGTAAACGATCGAAGAACACGATGGCCTTGTAATAGGCCATGCAATTACAAAATCCCCAGGATATTCAATCAACCCCATAGGAACTACAAGATAAACGAATGCCGTCCGGCTCATCAAAATCGGACCGCCCAGTGAGTGTCCTCAACCACGGGCAAAGTTTATGCATGAGCCTCATCATTAAATTGCTCGACTCCTTGTTTCAACACAGAATGGCAACTCCATAGGCTGGCGTTGGCGCACGGTGAAGTCGTCAGCCAGACAAGGGCCGGAACCAGGGAAGCATTTGAGTTATACCAGCGGACAGCAACTCACGGTCCGGTCGTTGCTGTGACACCATCCTCGCCTCGCCTCCTGTCCATGACAGTTTCTATAAAGCCGGCGATTCCAAGGGAGATGTTCGATACATGACCCCTCCCCCCCCTGGGATTAGAAATTCCCCGATTAGGTCCGCCGCCTTCTAACCGACTCATGCTATCCTATTCGAGCAGGCCTTTCGAACAAGCCACGAGACAAGGGGACCATGTCCCGTTGGGCTGCGACGGGAAATTGGACAGACTCGAACCCAACGTGATGGGGCGGGCCTTGTCCACAGGGCATGATGACCCGTCATTTCCTCAAGAGGCCCGTCCCGCTACACACCGTCTCATCGCCGCCGACACTTCGCGATAGCTTCACTCGGGTTCGGCTTCCATAGTACCGTAGGCGCGGTCTGGCCACGTCAACCAATCACACGCATTATCGATATCGACACCATCGACCAGGCAATTAATGAAATGGGAGGGAGCCGCTTATCTTGTTTCTAGAAGCAGCTCCGGCGCCCTCCCCGAGTTTTTCGATTTTTCTTCTTCTTTTTTTCCTCGCATGCAAAAATAGAATAAAAAAAATAGTTAAAACGCATCTGATATCAGGTGGGGGCCCGGGAGTGTGGTAGGTTGCCGCGAGTCCGCGAGCGTGGGGGGGCTCAGAGAACAATGACAAAAATGACAGTACCTATCGTATCCTGGTTGATCGCCGCACGGCCTGGCAACCCATCACGTAGAGAGGAGGGTTACGAAAAGTTAGAGGGAAAAAAACAAAACTGAGCTATCCGTGTTGTATGCGTGAGCGGTCAATAGTTTCCCACCTCTTGCCGGCCGGTCGATGTAGACTTGTTCCTCGCCTGAACTTTGTTTTGCATGCGTCGTCCGCGTGTCCCCAGGTCAGGTTTCCAAATATTCGGGCCTTTGAGGGATGTCTGTGAAACGATGAGTTTGTCGGTACGGGCATCAGAGCGACGGGGCCGTCCACCGTCCGGGTCGCGGACGGGGGAAAACAAAACGGTCAGATGTTGAAGACGCGCGTCAACCGTATGACGCTCGTGGGAGGGCCGTCACATGGGAAAGCGGGATTTTCACATGCGTCGCTGAATCACGACATATACCATACTCAGGTTGCTCGAGTCAACCTCGCATTACCTCGCATCGGTAACGAGACCTAGACGGTTCTTGTTTTTTGCCCCCGTCGTCGCAGTAGCGCGGCGGGTAAACATGAATCCCCCCCTCCTTACATGTTCGCACAGGATGACGCTCGTCTCATCCCGAAGTCTGGCCCGGATGAGATCGTCCAATGCCGGAATGACACTTGACCATGTGCCGCGCCGGAAAAGCTTAGCGGTCTTGTCCGCCGTTGATCAAACCTGCACCCCCTCCCTGGTAAGCGTACCATGGTAGTTGGCATTCGTACGGACACATCGCCGGTTGAACCGTCTGTAAAACAGAGTTTCTGCTGGCGTACGGCCTGCTGCAACTCCCGTCGTCTTTTGGTGGGCACGAAACACACACACCGCGAGATGGCCCCGATACCGCCCATGTTTCGACCGTCTCGACGAGTGAAGGAGACAAAGTCTCATCTAAATTTGGTACACCAGCCCGCATTTCTCTCTCTGCATCTCTCACTGCCTTTCTCACTGTTCTGGACTTTGGGTGGAGTCGTGATACACAGCATCTGCTTTCATCAGAACCTATCGTGGGCGAACATGAAAATCAACTTTAGGAAAAAGACTCCACAGTTCGGAGCTCTTCCCGACCCAGGGCATGCTGCCCACCCCTTTGCGCACATCATGGGTCAAAGATTACCAGAACGCGAACAACACAAGGAAATGCACACCATCTTTGCAAACGCCATACGTGTGGACGGAAGGGAGAGAAGGGGGCGGCCTACTTTGGCTCGAACGTCGTTGAGATGGACCTCACGATCACGGGGCAAGAGAGCGATATGCGCGGGCAAATCGCGCGTTTTTTTTGATACACTATGCCACACCCACCCTGCGAGGACTGGACATCCTTTTTCTTCTTCTGGATCCGCCGCGACGCGTGAAGGCGGTGCGTGCCCTTGGCGATGGATCTGGCTTAACGGAACCTCCGTTTCCTCCCCTCGGGTCCTCGTACCAAATCCCGCTTAGGAAACAGGGGGGGTTCCGGAGGAGAGGAGAGGAGAGATACCTGAAAGGACGGAGAGAACAGACAACAGAGTGGCAACTGGGGTCTCGGGGGCGACTTTCATGTGGCATGGGGCTTCCGGGAAGAGGTAGGCGAAAAGAAGCGAGCTGTGTTGGGAACCATCTGGATCGTGAAGCATCGGTGGCGGTGACTGGGAGGAAAATGATAAGGAAAAAAAAAAACAAGTAAAAACAAAAAAAGGGGGATATTTGAGAGGAAGAAAACGGAGCAAGGCTCGGGATGTCCGGATTAGGCAAGCCGAGAGGGAGAGACGTGGGAAGAGAGACACACGCTAGAGGAAGCCCACGAAGGTGCGGCAGGGGAGTCCCCTCTCCCCTTTTGTCATCACTGGCACGCACAGGCGAGACACCAGCTGGAACGGCCGATATACCCACTCCCCAGTGGAGAGGCTGAGGATTTGGCGGCACGCGGGCTGAGATATCGGTGGAGGATCTCTCAGTAGCACAAAGCCGGCACCACTTAGACTGCATACGTGGTGCACATAATCCCAGCAGCTTGTCTTGTCCTGCAGCCGCGGAGCTTTGATTGTATCTTACTTACCATGAGGGGCATGAGGGGAGGGGGGGTTGGTTAGAGGGGGAAAATCCCCATCTTCCTCCGCGTCGCGGGTGAGCGGTCTAGAACGGTGGTCGAAACTCCTCGCGGGAGGGGAGGGGGAGGGGGGGGAATGAGATGCTGGTCGTCTGGTTCGCGATGGTTGGCGGTTGTTTGTCGTCGAGGGGAGTCGATGGTCTCTCCGGCTCCGGTGTCCCGGGCGGCACGGAAGGGCGGACACACACACACACACACACACACACGCACACCGCATACTCGGCACAAAGTTTAGCACTGGAGCAGGTTTTTGGGTGACGGATAGCGCGGCGCGGTCCATGGGCGTTGCATTGTGGTAGGGAATAGGGGGGACATGGGGGATATAGGGGGAGCACCGTGAAAAGGGTCTTCACAGCCTCACTCAGGATAGAAACGTCGAATGTCTGACGAGCAGATTACCTCAAGGATATGAAGACGGTCGCGCGCGTTGCTGGCCACAAAGGCCGTTGATTTGGTCATGGAGAGATGAGGAGCATCCGGAGGGGGGCCGTCTCGGAACAAATCAGGATCGCCAACTCAAAGACAGATGGCAATCCAGTGGGCGTGGCTCTTCGTGTTCATGTGGGTACCGCTTTGCATCATCAGCCAAGGGTCGGTCGTTCGACGGCGGAAGATCAACGAGCCAGTTGGAAACGAACCGGTGAGCCTCTAGAACGTACCATCGAGTTCGTGATGGGCGGTGGCACACGTACGATGTAGGGTACGTAACGAATGGCGGGAAGTTAGGTGTCATGCTTTGGGTCCGCAGGAGCACCTATCCTCCTCTAACTGGTAGTCTCTCAACCTTGGGAAACGGTCGAGACCGAGGAAGAGAACCACCAACAAAAAGACTAGGTAGGCAGGCTGTCCAGACCGTTCATGGCACACTGTCCGAAGGGGTGGGATGACTTTGTGCGACGTGTAACTGTCGGGACTACGTCATGCTTGTACGGTCGTGGCTGCGCCAACGGCTGCCACCGTCATCGCACCGATGGTTCGGGAATCAAGGGACGGGCGCAGGGAATGAGTGAAAAAAACCAGGAGGGCTGCAACTGCAACGCACATGTTTGCGTTCGGCCAGGCTTATTGTGCTCAAGTCCTGTGGTTCGAATGTTTGTCCCGGTGACATGGGAGGGGGGGGGGGGGCACCACATTCTATGCCACGGCGAATCCAGGCACGCCTGATAAGTGCCAGATCGGGGAGGGGTCTGCGTCACCCGGAGCTGCCATGAGCCTGCTGCCAGGGGACTGCCCTGCTTATTTCGCTGCTAGTCTCTAGGTTGTCTTGAGGCTCGGCCAGGGGGGGGGGGGGGGGGGGGGGGTGGAAAGAGAGAGGAGGGGATGTAGTGTGGTGTAGGGAGGAGGAGGGTTTTGAGAGTCATTGGGCGAAAGAGGTCCATTTTGGAGACAGTCTGGACTTTTCGATGAACCTGTGTGTGTGTGTGTTTATGTGCGTGAGAGATACGACCATGTGTGAGATTTACGAGATGAAACGAGTTCCGGCTTTACTCCGATAAGTTGACGGTTGATTGGCGACGTGTGACACATGTCACTTTTATTAATAGAAAGAGAAGATGGCGTTCGCTGGTGTCAAACCTTTTTTCTTTCTTTTTTTCTGCAAGGCGTTTGTGAGTGAGAGCGCCTCAAACATGAGATAAATGAGTCAAAACGGGGACGAGCTTCCGAGAGAGAGAAACTCAAAATCATGCGGCGAGGATCATGGTTGGGCGCGCAGACGGATGACGGCATTCTGGCCCATTCTCTTATCTCAACCGGCCCTACGGAAGCGGTTTCGCATGCAAGATTTGGCCATCGATCACATCTGCAACAGCGCTACGGTAGTGGCGTGTGTGTGTTTGCTGTGCTTGTTCTTGGCCGCCGGCCGGCCACACATCTTCAGGGGACATGCTCGAACGGGTTGGACGGGACTGCCGTGTGGTGAGCGTGCGAACGTTCTGTTGGGAACAAGGGCCATGGAACCAGCGAGGGAAAGCCGGGATGCCAATGCCCCTTGGCTCGACGGATAACCTGTAATCATTTCCCGACAGGGCTCAGGGTTGGATGGGCTCTCTCACTCTCCCACTCACACCACACACCACACAACCACACAACCACACACACACACACACATACACGAATAATAGTATTCCGAGTTCCTGTCGCGTTTGTAATCTCACCGGTGCTCTATAATGAGTTTCATACCCACTCGCAAATCGCATCTCATCTCACTCAACTCGCCTTGCAGGCTGAGGAGAGCATAGAGGCTCAAGCTGATCACACATAGACACATGGGCGCGGGGGTCGATCAACCGATGATTAGTCCACTAGTGTACGTCGTCCTGGTGCAGGACACGGCACGGGTGGCCGGGCGCGACAGCGATAGGCGGTCGGCCTGCAACGCAACTAGGTAGGGCGGGAAGAAGCAATCATGGGCCCAGCGCAGCAGAGCTTCACTTGGTTCGGTTTGGCTCGGCAAGAGTTCGCCGCAGGATGGATATACACTAATACATACGGAGTACCTACCTAGTACAGGTACCGTAGTAAAGCAAGTAAATACGGATACACTCGGGGTGTGAGCTGATGACGGCATGGGGGTCAACGCGGGATGGCACATGGGGGTTAGATACTGAGACCCCCAATACGGCCAAGGGAATCAAGAGCTCTCAGGACGCAGAGAATGGACAGCTAAGGGTTCCTGGCAGGGATGAGGGCAATCTTGGACGGCTGGAGATGATCAGGCAAGGGCTTCACTGTTTACCCACGGATACTCACATCACAGCTGCGACCAAGTATCGTATGTACGGATGTACACCGCACGTTTCCGTACAGGGAGGTAGGTACTTGTATATTTCACATACTCAGTACGCTGCTATGTAGGTACTCTTGCTGACATTCTCTCTTACCTGCTCAGTTGACCGGTTGCTCGACTCGACTCCTTCAACCAAGGTCTGCTTGAACTCTCTTTCTCTTTTAGTGAAATGAAAAAATGAAAGAACAAAAACTGGTGAAGCATATGCCACTCGAGTATTTTCCTTTGCATGCCAATTTGTCCAACGGAAGGAAGGATTCAACAGGAGCTTCGGCGGCCGGACCCACTCTGTCTGGTACAATGCCATTTCCATCCAGCACAAGGAAGGGGATAGAAGAAACCCACCCCCTTCGACGGCGGCTGCGACTGCACCTTTTTTGTTTTCTTTTTTTTTAAGCTACTGCAGAAGGGGCAAGAGTGCGTTGCGTGCCGTGCAAGAGTGCGAAAGAGGAAAGAGGTACGTACCCAGGTCTTACCCCCTCTGGTTCCCTCTTCCCTCTTCCGTCTTGCCGGCGGCGGCAGGCACAAACAACCATGGCAACTGCAGGCGCAGATCAGACACACATACGGATACCTTGTATGTGTCGTACCTACCTCTACCTGCCTTACCTTTGCAAATTCATTCTATCTGTATCCGTATATTTCGATTATCTTTTTTTCTTCTCTTCTTTTTCTGATTATTCAGTGTTTTTCCATCCCTTCCTTATTTGAACCACACACACGTGTATCTGTACATCACACCCTCAATTATGCATCTATGCACGCCATACATACACTCACACACACACACACACACGCCTCTCGACGACCCTCTGCTTATCGCCGCTTCCACCGCACCACCGTCCGCTTCTCTCCACTTCTCTCTGACGACTGTTGTGGACCACACACACCCCCCCTTTCGTGATTTTCTTTTTTCTTCCTCCCTCTGGCCCCGCCAGCCAGTCGGGTCCGTCCAGTCCGTCTTGCTTGGCCTACCTACCTATCCAAGTTGGAAATCCACTCTCTTCCCTACTACCTACGTAGGCGCAAAAGATGGCGGTGCTCTACCTACTCTACCAAGACTAAGACTGGCTTAGGCACGACAGGGCAGGGCAGGGCAACCGGGCAAATCGCATGGCACAACAGGGCATGGCGGACGGGATTGCCTCCCTGATCCATGTTCCGAGACCACCACCATGAATGACCTCGACCCATCCTGAACTACCCTTCCTTCCTACCTACCTACCCGTGGGCGTGGATGAACTGACTGACTGCACTCTGCATGCGGACGGACGTCGAACATGGTTCAAGGTCAACGGTTCCACGCACATGCCCGACCAAACCATGACCAGTGGTGTATACCAAACATGCCTCTCCCTCTCCACCCGCACCAGATAGACATACGAGCCGCTCTATGATGGAGAGATTCACACGAGGCGGCAAAGGTGGGTGCAAGTCTTGGGCGATAACGCAAAAAAAGCACTCCAGACCCGGTACCGTCTGCATAGCACGCACCGGCCCAGCGTCAAGGGCCGAGAAACACCAAGCCCACCCCCATCGTGCATCTCACCTCACCTCCCGGCTTGCCTGGCTCACTCGTCGCCGCCGCCGCCGCTATCGTTGCTTGTGCCTGTCCATCAGTCTCCAGTTCTTTCCGTTCTTCTCCCCCTTCTCCATCCGTCCATCCCTACCTCGTCTACTTCACTTTTCGCCTCTCATTACCTCCCGTCTCTCCGCTACTTCCGCCTGCTGCTTGCTGTACTCCGTACACTGCGGATACTTGAACTTTCAAGCTCCAGCTCCCATACCTAGATCATCCCCCCCTCCCTCGTCCTTCTCCCGTCCCTCCTTCATCCGAACCCTTCAACTTCCGTCTTCCATTTCCATCTTCTTACACGATGGCGCCTTCTTTTCACGAGTGCTACCGCCGTAAGGTCCACTGACGACTCTTACCGTTGCAATCACTCGCCTTGCCGACGGTAGATACCTGGCTGGACACACGATTCGTCCATCTCACAAGCATCACAATTAGCAGCTCTAACCATCACCCCATATCGTGCCGTCACTAGTTGGCCGCACCTACTACTAGTACTACCGGAACACACCAGAATATACTGTTTCCAATAGAGAGAGGGAGAGAGAGAGAGAGAGGGAGAGAGAGGGCTCGCAAGGACAGGCAGGCCGACCGCGCACCCAGACAGACACGACGCCAAAGGCAACCCCGACGCCGACCAACCGTAGACGACGATCATTTCCTAACACCGGCACGATGTCGGGTTCCCCTCAGGGTCTGGGGACGAGCTCCAACTCGAGCTCCAATGAGTCCCCGCAACCTTCTTCTTCTCTGAATCCTTTCAACAGCCCGCCTCAAGCTCAGCAAGGACAGTCGGGAAAGCTTCTCACTCCGCCATTGCTCCATCCTGCCTCCGCGACCCCACTGGCCAAGAAAGAGAAGAAGAGGGTCGGTTTTCACGGTGACGACCAGCCTCAGCTATCTCAACCAGTGACCCGGCCACCCAGCATCGTCATAGAAGACGACTACTTCGCTCAGAATATGTCTCCCGAAGCTAACCCCTTCGACACACCGCGCCACGATGCTGATTCTACCCCAGCCGGCGCACCCGATGCCGGTGAGCTGCGCCGTGCCCTTACCCAGGTTCTCATATTGGAAAACCAAGACAGCAGTCGTCCCGAGATACCTGCCCGGCCCCGCCCCGTGCTGCGCCGAAACACCAGCTATGACGATCCCCAGGAGAGGGAAAAGGCAGACCTAGCTGAGCGGACCGCCGGCGAGCGCCAGCAGCGTTCCGGCCTCGAGGCTCGCCAGCGAGCCAACCTGCTGGCCGTCAGCGTCGAGAACTACGCCTCGCCGGACCGTCGCAGCTCAGTCGATAGCGGCGTCACCAACCCCTTTAGCGATGATGAGGAAGCCGACAGGGTTACCGGCTTGAGTACGGGAGTGGATGGTGCAGACGACCGCCGCAACGTTCGGTCTCGTCCCAAGAGGAACTCCCAAACGGATGCCGAGGACCTCGTCCGATCGCACACAAAGCGTGCGAAGAAGAACGTGCGCGGGCCGAACGATTACTTCAAATATCAGCCACCACCCGGCGTCCGCTCTGGGACAGTAACCCCCACCTTGGAGCAGTCTTACGCCCATGACTACGTCCCCCCACCCAAACAATACCAAGGCGGTATCCTTTCCTCCCTTCTCAAGCTGTACAATGAGAATGGCAGCGGGAGCAACAGTGGACGGAACACGCCGGGATCCAACACCCCGGCCACCGCAACCCCTAGCCACTCTCCGCCCGGCTCCCAGCCGGCCTCTGCACCCCCTTCGGCCCCTGGCTCGCCTCGGCCCTCGCGCCCCAACAGTGGTTTGTTCAACTACCACAAGAAGCAGGGTTCTCGTTCCTCCATGGCCCTGGCCGAGCTTATGAAGTCGTCGTCGGCCATGGCCGGTCCCGCCTCGAGCGTCTTCAGCCAGGGATTCACGGAGAAGCTCAAGCAGGAGCCCCCGTCCAGGCCAAAGAAGAAGAAGTCCAGCGTGTGGGGTGGCTCGTCGCCCAGGTCATCCAAGTCTGCCAAGACTGAAGATAAGATCCGAATCACCAAGCACATTGCACAGATCTTGTCGCGGCATAAGTATCTTGTCAAGCTTTGCAGGGCGCTGATGATGTATGGTGCTCCGACGCATAGACTCGAGGAGTACATGAAGATGTCGGCGCGCGTACTCGAGATTGAGGGCCAGTTTCTTTACATCCCTGGCTGCATGATCATTAGCTTCGACGACAGCGCAACGCACACAACCGAGGTCAAGATTGTTCGTTCGGCGCACGGCGTCGACCTGGGCAAGCTGCGCGACGTACACGACATCTATAAGCAGGTTGTTCACGATCTCATCAGCGTCGACGAGGCCACCGTCATGCTCGAAAACATCACGAGCCGCAAGCTGAAGTTTGGCAACTGGACGCGTGTCCCAATCTACGGACTCGCCAGTGCCTGCGTTGCCCCTTTCGCCTTCCAGGGTCGCTTCATCGATCTGCCCATTGCCTTCATCCTGGGCTGCCTCCTCGGCTGGATGCAGCTCATTCTCGCACCGAGCAACGAGTTGTATGCCAACGTCTTTGAGATTACAGCTGCCATCGTCACTTCCTTCTTGGCACGCGCTTTCGGTTCAATCCACGGTGGCCAACTGTTTTGCTTTTCTGCCCTGGCGCAAAGCTCTATTGCTCTCATTCTACCCGGTTACATGGTCCTCTGCAGCAGTTTGGAGTTGCAGAGCCATAACCTGGTGGCTGGGAGTGTCCGTATGGTCTACGCCATGATTTACACCCTCTTCCTCGGATACGGCACGACGATCGGCACCGCTCTCTACGGCGTCTTGGACAAGCACGCGGAATCACGAACCAGCTGTGAAAACCCGCTCGATCGGAAGTGGTACCTGCTGTTCGTGCCGGCTTTCACCCTCTGCCTTTGCATCATTAACCAGGCAAAGTGGAAGCAGACGCCGGTCATGGTCACCATCTCACTTGCCGGGTTTCTCGTTAACAGCTACTCGTCCGACTTCTTCGTGGGAAACGCCCAGATCTCAAACATGCTTGGCGCACTCACGGTCGGGCTGCTAGCTAACCTCTACTCCCGACTGGGTCGCCACGCCCACAACTACTTCCTTGACTTCCTTGACTGGTGGGATCTCAAGATGGCCCCACGCTTCGTCAGCGCGAGCCGACGTCGTAATGAGCGCCCTCGCCCGGACATGTATCAAATGTCCGGCCAGACCGGCGCTCGTGCCGGTCCCGAGGGCGTTCACACCCCGGGTGGAAACACACCCGAAACGGCACCCACCTCACCAGTCGTCGAAAGGTTCTCCGAGAAGGACAAGGCGCAAGGGGTCGTCCCCGAGCGACAGCGGACTGTGGGCTACGGGCTTGCTGCGGCGGCCATGCTGCCTGCGATATTCGTGCAGGTACCTAGTGGTCTTGCGGCTGGCGGGTCGCTCCTGGCTGGTGTGACGTCGGCGGACCAGATCACAAACAACAACGGCACTGCGACGCCGCCGCCCAGTACCTCTTCGGAATTCAACAACTCGGCTTTCGCCGTTCTCCTCAGCGTCATTCAGGTCGCCATCGGCATCACTGTCGGATTGTTCCTGAGTGCCCTGATAGTATACCCGCTGGGCAAGCGTAGGAGTGGCTTGCTCAGCTTCTAGTTTGTGCGCAGCAAACCCTTATTAGCTCGGCGCAATTTTGATTTCTTTTGTTATTGGATACGGGGTGTAGAGGCAACCCGGGATTTGGAATTGGGTTTCGGTACAAGACGGTTTGTGGATACAAGGAGCTTTAAAAGAGCAAGCATATAAACGGGCGGCATGGCGTTCGTGTACGGGTTCAGCGTTGCTTTGAGTACAACGGGTTCGACTCTCCTACACCCAGACATGGCATATCATATAGCAGAACAGCTAGAAGAATGAGACAGACACACCAGAGGTGGTCAAACCTCCAGAACATCACTACCAGCTATCTCCTGCCTCCTGTGTTCTGCATCTAGTGTGCCCCCCGTCCAATAGGTATCATGGGCTGGTGATGATCGTGTCTTGTAGCAATACTTGGTTGTCGGGGCAAGAAGACCTCGGACCTGTTCCGTTACCCGGCACATATCGTCTTGGTGTGTCTAACTATATCCTTCCAGACGGGACGACGCAGTCGCGAAAAGGGGGTGCGAGGCAGATCTTGTCTTCCCCACCCCCAATCGAAGGATGGCGATCCACGATGGACGGGCACAGCAACATTAGACAAGAGGTAAAGAATTATAAGCACCGGTTTTCAACGTCTTCTGGGGGCTTGGTTCACTCGGAACGGATGGAGGTTCCGGGTGTGGGAAGAGAGAGACGCGGGCTGTGTGTGTGGTGTTGATCCGTCATCAGGTCCGGGCTGCGGGGCTGGCTGTAGACATCCGGCCTTGGGTAGAGGAGGGGGGTGTTTCTACTGCCCTTTGCGAGTGTGTGCCCGGCGTTCGGATGAGTGAAGATGGTGAAAGTATGCGGGAGATCAGTGAGTAAGGTAGTAGGATAGCTAGCACACACACATACAACCAAATCACACTACAATACCCAATGCCGTTGTTGCTGAGCGGGATCTGGGCTTGTGTGCCAAGATTAAGATTGTGTGGTTGTCTGTTATAAGGGGAATGCTCCTCGATCAGACCAGCAAGGTCTGATCAGGGCTAAGGAGTCCAGGCAGTGGGTAGAACGATTGTAGTCACTATGATGATAGAGTCGTGCTCAAAGGTAGGGGGCTACTTGAGGGGGTTCTTTTCCATGATCTTTCTATCTACGGTTCCTCCTCGGGATTCATGACCCCTGATCAGGCTGGGACAGCCTGAAGATGGTAGGCGGCATGTGAGGAAAGCTCTCCCTCAGAAAACCCAAAAGTCCTGCGCCGTCCCCATGGGCAAAGGGCAGCGATGAGGTGCAATGGGCTCACGGGTGCGAGGGTACGACGACGGAGGTCATAAGCCGCAATGGCTCATGGTTTGGGCTTGGAGAGATTATTGGGATTGATGCCTTCCAGCAGCAGATACCGCTGTGTGTTGCGTCTTCTGGCTGGAAGGGGGAGGGGGCTTGTCTCCGGGCTCCCCGTTTTGGATGTCGGTCCCGAGCATAAACGAGCCCCCTCATCTGGAAGGGGCTTTTGTACGGAGGATGCTTGATACCCGGAGACAAGTTCGAGCGGGCACATGATCGGTAGTCCGTGATTCCTCGGACTCACACTTCCTGCCAGAGCGCGCGATACTCGAAGACCAAGGCCAGTGTTGAAGGAAGCCCGCGGGATGTCTCGGCCCCCATTGAGGTGGGATCGTCAACCTCCAGGAAGCTCTCTCCGAGGTCCCGGGTGGCGGAGTCCTACAATGATTCCCACGAGAACTGTATGATGATGAACGATGGGCCACACCAGAGATATCATGCTCCCCTCGAAGCCCGCCCTCTCCTCGCGGCCCCGGAGCTCCATCGCAACTCGTCGTCGCCATCTCGCCCCCCGGCGCCTCGCGCCGGCTATCTGTCATGAGTTAGAGCACACACAGCAGGACATGTAAGAACAGGATCGAGAAAGGCTTAATCCTATGCAAGTAGAGATGTATAGGGAAGGGTCCTATACATAGGTAAGTCATGAGAATAACGAGTGAAACGCCACGTGATATAGCACATGATAATCAACCTAATAGGTGCTGTAGGAAGCTATAGTGACACTATCGAACCAGATACGACCGGAAGCTCAAAGATCAAAGGGGGGCGCCGCGTGTTATCCCGCACGAGAAACAGACGGCGAGCCGCACATGTCGTCACCCAGATGCAGCACGTCCGCCTTCATAGCAAACTATGCACCTCACCGCCCAACGCTCTTCGAATCCAACCCCCCCGGGTGCCCTGTTTCTCGCATCGGGCTCCCGCAGGCGTGCGGCGTGCAAATGGTCCGATCCCTTCAGCCCCAGCTCACGCGCCTCGAAAGAATACGAACAGTAGAGGAAACACACGCTCATGTCTGGTCCTCTAGAGCGGCAGTGGCGGTCACACACACGCCGCTCGTCCGGATGCCGAGGGAATCAAGGGGGCGGGGGGGGGGGCATCGAAGCGCCAGAACGAGCGGCGTTCCATCGGAGCCTGTCAGCCAAGAAAATAAAAGGGAAAAAGGCCACGGAACTCGGGCAAGCGGGAAGGATGCGAACCTGGCCGTAGCGGTGTTTAGCAAAGCAACGGACAACATCCGACGGAGGCCAAGACGCCAAGCGGACTAGGCCTCCCCCTTCCCCCTTGCTGTTTTCTTGCCATGTCAAAGTCCGCTCCACGTCGGCGTCTCGCGCGCGCGCGCGTGTGAGAGCAAAAATCAAGTCTTCGACGGCCGGGAAACCGGGAAGCGTGAGTAAAGGTGGATTGGGGGGGGGAGGGGTGCTTGAGTTCAGAAGTGGAGGAGAGGTGATGCGCCGCCGCCTTGGGCTCGTTGGATATCGTCTCAGTGGACTGGAGAAGGGGAGGGAGGGAGGGGGACCCATGTCCCCCGTTCACGAGCCTCGAGGCCCCGTCACGAGAGCGACATTTTCGATGAAAGAAAGAAAGAAAAAACCGGAGCTCTGCCAAGCCGTCGGGTTCGCGATGGAGCCAGAAGCGCGCCGGTCTTCTCTCCGCGTGTGTGGGCTGTCATTTAGGCTTCTAGGTACTCCGCATCGCTCCCCCAGACCTCCACCCGACGTTCCCCAAACTATGGGGGGAATGACTGGTCTGGAACCAGGACACGGAGTTGGAGCCCGACTACAAACTAGATCAAGTTGGAAGACCGGGGTGTGAAAAGAATGGAGAGGGAAAGGGAAGAAGATGCTGTTGGATGGTTCAAGATGGGCCGCCCCATTGAAAAAACATTTTAGAGATTTGTGCCTCTCCGTCCCGCTCAGCATCGTACGACTATCATCTCGGCGTGGGCCCGCGTGCCCACGCAAAATACTCTCTCTCTCTCTCTCTCTCTCTCTCTCTCTCCCTCTCTCTCTCCCTCTCTTTGTTCCCCGCATAAATTACGTCTCGCCGGAGAGCAAGGAGCAGCCAGCAACGCGAGATTTTGACAGCTAGATCCGGGGGTGTGGGAGGAGGTCGTTCTGGTACGGGGGAAATGAACAAGGTGGAGGGGGGTGCTATGCGGAGTCATCTACAGGTTGGACGGTTCCCAACGAGAGAGCCGCGCCGTCTTCTATGACCTTGACGGCTGATCTCGCAGGCTTTTTTTCTGGCTTGCCCGGGATACGGGTGGCACAGCCCAATGTAGCCCAGAGAGAGAGAGGGGGGGGGGGGGGGGGGATCAAGCCAAGGAAAAGTGAGAGGGGAATTCGCATACCACCAGAAAACAGAAGAAGAAAACAGAGATTTGCGTCCCCTTTCTACAGTATATTCCGTAGGTACAGCGATTACCCCCCCGCATCTGCAACGACACTGTCACCAACGCCGGCATCTGAGCCAACTCGCCGCCGCCTCCAGGAAATATATTCACATCGTACCTACACTGTAATAAGTTTACCTACCGATGCTTGCTCTTGGACCGCCCCTCCCCTTCCATCACTCCACCGGGGAGAGAGGCGGCGGCGGCCCACCAGAATTTACGTAAAGTACTATGTAGGAGTGTAGACGTCAAAGCTCAGCCCCCGCAGGTTCGGGGGGCGGGCTGTGTACTCGCTCGCCAAGGGGGGGACGACATATCACACGCTGGTGTAGAAGAGAGGGCGATGACTAAGGTCTTGTGTTTTTTTTACAAGCTTTCACGCCAAGCCGCTGCATCAGTGTTGGCATCGCTGGGCAGGGAAGCTTGTCTCAAGACGAGCTGTCGTGATGTGAGACATTGCATCGCTGTGGTCATACTGAAGATCTTGAGGGTCGCGTGAGCGGGGGGCGAGGAGAAGGGTTGGAATGGGCTAGGTGCGTCAGAAAGAGACAGAGGAGACCGTGAGTGTGAGCGAGTGAGGCATATGGTTTAAAAGTTTCTACTGTGTTCAATTCAATCATGCTTCATATGCGCCTGTGGCGCTGCTAGGGTATTGTAACCGGCTCCCCGGCTTCCAGGAAAGAGGATTCTTTTCCTTCTTTTAGCCTCCTCGCGTGTGTTCTTCGTGTGTGCACATCGCCCACACCCCTCCCCCAATGATAACCGGCATACAGCATATCGATAATAATAAAAAGACACCACGATAGACTTTCTTGTCGCCCAGCCCAGCAGCGACTGGCTTACTCCTTGTGCGGGGCTGCGTTCTCAACGGTGGCGGCCCTGATGCTGCCCTTCTCCTCGTCGTGGTCGTCCATCTCCTTGGTCTCGGCTACCTCGCCCTGGACGCCGGCGACGGCGTGCTCAAAGCTGCGGCCGCGGCGCTCGGGTCCGAACATGGTCGTGATCACAATGCCCATAGCGATGATGGCCGTCGCAATACCCATGACCGGGCCGTACGCCTCGACGCTGTGGCCCGAAGGCGCCCTGACGAATGTCTTCTCCGCAATGGCGTTGACGATCTGGGCCGAAGGCGACGAGATCATGTTGCCCAGCTGGTACGTGATGCCGGGGAACGAGGAACGGAAGGCCGGGGGCGACAGCTCGTTGAGGTGGATGGGAATGACGCCCCACGCACCCTGGACGAAGAATTGCATGAAGAAGCCGCTGGCGCTGAGGGCGCGCTCACCCTGGGGCAGGATCCAGGCCGGGATCAGGCAGGCAGACATGAGCGCCGAGGCGATGATGGCGCGGCGACGGCCAAAGAACTGGGACAGGTAGCCGATGATGGTGCCGCCGACGCAGGCGCCGGCCTTCATCAGGATGGAAGCGCGGGACGCGCCGCTGTTGTCCATCTCCTTCTGGGCGATCATGAAGGTGGTGTACGAGTCTTGCGACGTGTGCGAGTAGTAGTTGAACCACGTCATGAGAATGATGCAGTAGACGCACATCTTCCACTCCTGCGCAAGCATCTTCTTGGTCTCCCTCCAGAAGGCGCCGGGCGAAGCCGTCTTCTTGCCGCGCGCCTTGGCCTCGAGGAACTGCTGGGACTCGGGGAACACGATGCGGACGAGACCGACGGCGATGGAAATGCCGGCGGCGATCCAGAAGACCGTCTTCCACGTCTCGACGCCACCGCCGACGCCGAGGTTGGCGCAAGCGGCGAGCACGTAGCCGAAAGAGTACCCCTGTTGGAGTATACCAGACATGAGACCGCGGGCGTTGGAGCTGAAGACCATGTTAGTAGGCGGTTTCTTGACGCGACAAAAAAAGACCAAGAGTGATGAGGGCAACGTACGGGCAGTGCTCAAGAGCCATGGCAATGGCGTTTCCGTAGACTCCTCCCATGAAGAGACCGAATAAGCTGCGCACAGCCAGGAACTGCTGGAATGTGGTGCTGTAGATGGTGGCAATCTGGAGGAGACCGAGGATGATCATGTTGGCAACCATGGGCCACTTGCGACCATACTTGTCACCGGCCAGACCGAAGGCGGCGGCACCGATGGAACGGAGCAGAAGGGTTAGGGTGATGGCCGTGGTGATGTCCGTCTTTGAGCGGTCGTAGTACTTGGCCAGCTTGGTGGTCTGGATAGAGAGGGCGTGGAAGTCAAAGGCATCGGCTGTCCAGGCGCAGAAACCACAGATGAAGAAGAGCCAGTCGCGAGGGCTCAGCTGGGCCATCAGGCTGATGGGGTTCTTGATGGGGTCGGGATCCTGCCATTCCGTGAGCGTCTCGCCGTCCGGGGTGACGACGACAGTACGCTGCTTCCAGATGAAGAGGTCTTTCAAGGACTGCTTCGCCGTGGCCAAGACGCCCTTGGCGATAGGGTCGGCGGGCTGAGCGGTTGGCGTCGACATGGTGGACGTCGGTGTTGTGCGGCTCCCGACTCTATGTCAGGTTTCCTCAAAGGCCGTCAGAGTGTGGTGAAAGAGGAGGGCGGGCAGTTGGGGGGAGAGAAAGTGTATAGTTGAGATGAGGGAGGACGGATGAGGCACGACTACTGATTCCAATAAAGCAAGAAGAGATGAAGGCGGCGCAAAGCTCCTCATATAGTCGAGAGCAGCCTCGATAGCCCTTCCCGTGGACGAATCACCAGCCAGTTCAGCGTGTCGATGCCAAGAGCTCACCAAGCAAGGGGGTTGTGGATAGGATGGTTTCGAAAGAGAGCGTACGGAAACAAAGAGCTACGGTGTCGAGGGTCAGAGCATGGCAACTCGCCCGCGGTCTCGAAAACGGATCATCTTCCACGATGGAACACTGCAGTGAAGCGTGATGAGTAGTACAGGCAGGTCAACCAATGGCGGCAGGGAGTGGGCATCTGTGATGGATGCGTGGGGAGGAAGTAGCTGACGATGCGGGGTCGGGTTCGGGGGAAAGGGGCAAGGTGTGTCTAGCACGGAGTAGGATGAGAGGAGAGTCATGGAGCTAGGTAGAGCTTTCTAGCGGCTGAGTGACTACCTAGTCGAGGGACAGCATCAGGCAAGTGGAAACGAGGGAGGGGAGGGAGGAGGCGGCGGCAGACAGGGGAGAGGGAGGCAAGGCCGGGGGGTCGGTCTCTGGTTCATGGTTGTTGGGAGTTTGGACCTTTCAGAACAACAGTTACAAACAGTCGGTTTCTGAGTAAGACAGTCGAATTCCGAACGGCTCAAGTCCATCCCGTTCTAGCACAACCTTCAGGCGAGGTGCTCCAAGGCTACTTGACAGAGTTCGACTATCTGAGCGTCTTAGGCCCACTCAAGAGTCGACAAACTTGTAAAGAAATGTCGGTGGGTTTCTAGCAGTGCTCTTCAGCGTACTTAGTGCTGTCATCCATACTTGAAGGAATCACTCATTGCGTTGGCAGTAGGTAGTCGGAGCGAACCCCGCTCCGTCTTACGATGTAATCCCAAGGATTCATACTGTACCACTAGCTTGGACGCTTTGGTAGTCGGACATCTTCAGGCGCTGCGGCATCTTGAAAAGATAAATAGGTCCATATTCGTCAGGGCTGTACATATCAAACTCAATGCTACCGCAGTCTATAAACATAGATAGCCGTGTGCTATCGTTGGTGTAAACGCCCCTTCGTCATCGCGTGTATTGGCGGGGTATGCAAATGTTCCGGTGGGACACTTTTTCTAGGCCACATAGATCATACACGCACTACAGTAGAGTGTTGGGATACCGGTAGGTACTGGCGTTGGTGTATTGCATACGATGGCGTCCGCGGCCAGGCAGGTAGACAGATAGAAGCAGCACGCTATGTGATGTGGGAGACGGACGGCCTTCACTCCGGCACATGATGCATCAACCCATGGAGGACGAATGGGGTCGAGGAGCATGGGACACGGCATGGCAGCCACCGGCGGCAGGGACATGCGGGTCGAGCACCGGACTGGACGCACGTCGGACGAGGCGAGTTGGTTTGCGTTTGTAATGACGGGCCATACAGAGGGATGAGGCCCCGGTTATGCCATGTTCACGCACCTACGTACGGCAAGGTAGGATGAGATACAGCGGAATCCCGCGCGCATATGGGTGAGTCCACTTGGAGTCGCCGGCCAGACACCCTTTTGACTGCACGGAAGAAGGAAGATCGGGCTGCTTCTGGCGGGAGAGAAGAAGACGGCGACCACGCACTAAGACAGACCACGACGTAGTTGTGGGCGCACAGCATATCCCCACGTGTCCGGTCTATTCCATCATTGCTGCTGGGTGTTGGGCATCTGTCTGCCAAAGACCAAAATAGGAAGCGGCGAAACAGATGATGAGTTTCGTTTCCCTCGGCGAAGGAGACTGTGACTGATTCGTTGCGGGCTCGTATACCATCGAAAGGGCCGGCCTTGCAGACCATTGGCGGCATGTGTTACCCTGTTGGATCTAGCCATGTTGGCCCATGTAAGAGACGAAGGCAGATAGACGGATGCCAAGAGTATCTGGTAAGCAGGGCGGAACGCTAGGAATAGCAACGGGGGGTTTGAAAAGTTGGTGAGCGGCGCCAAGAATGGTCGTGGCAGGCAGAACCAACAGACGAGTAATCAGACTGAGAGGAGGAGTAGAAGAAGAGAGAAGAAGAAAAATCAGAGGGTCGACACCAGAGAAAAGTTTGCGCCTCACACGTCCAGGAGGTCTTGGCTGTCCGTGTTGGGTACAGCGTGTGTGTGGTCTGGGGGGGGGAGGGGGGGCTGGTGGTGTTGCATCACCAAATCCTTCAAATGGAGAGCAGAATCATGCCAAGTTTATGAAATGTGCCGAGGGGAAAGGTGTGTGAGAGAGAAGGAGGAGGAGGGGAAACAATAAAAGCGACGGCGAGGAAGAAGGTGAGTCATCTTGCCTCAGGTACGTGGGATGGTATCTAGGCAGGCACCTTAGGTAGGTACCTGCTTGTTGGTTCGGGTCGTTGGGTCAAGGTTTATGGGAAGGAACGACAAAGGGGGAACCAACCCCCAAGGAAGGTGTTACGGGTGGCCATGACCACCACGCTTGCCTTTTTGCTGGTGCTTTCTGGTGCGGTGCGGGGCGAGCAGAAACGGGCAAGGAGGGAACGAAACAGAACGGACTCATTCACTGAACCGACAGAAGGCGCGATAAAGAAACACCGTCGTGCCTCGCTCGCAATTACCTCGTGTCCCGTGACCAAGCACCCCGTCTTTCTTCCATAGCCAAGCATCAGTAATAAAAAGAAAGTGCGAGGTCGGACAGGGAGGGGGAGGAAGAGGGGGGACATAAGCAACATGCCAACGAAGCGCACCAACACTCGATTCTCCCCCAAGACTCGTGGGCAATGCAGCTCAGCAGGTGTGGGCAGGGATGTGGTTCTCTGTCTCTGGCGGCAACATGTAAGCCAAGACACAACGGTTGATGACTGTGCCAAGAAAGTGCTTGTGTCCGTCTCGGCAAGCCCTCCCGTTGCGCCAAGTTGCTCGGCGCTGCGAAGAAAAAGTCGCCGCATTCTTGAACGAACTGACGACGTTCACGACCATCGCTGATGAGGTGAAGTCAAAAAAGAAGCCGAGAAAGAGGGACGTGGGGAAAGAAAACAGGTGACGTTGTTTCGCGCATTCCAGCCCGCCGGTACGGATACCATGGATGGATCAAACGAGCTGTTTGTTGACCCGCGACAGGTAGGTGCAAATACCCCCGCACAGATTGGGCCGCCAATCACCAATACGGGGTAAAATGTCAGCTCATGGTCGACAGACCACCGAAAAGAGCGCTTGGGTCCGGTTCCACCGTAACAGGATAAAGGGAAGGGCATGCGTACGGTAGTATACGGAGCAGAGGAGACGCTTACTACTAGTGCTGAGGAATTAAGCTTAAGGGACGCGATAGTTGGTCTGGCGCTAACCACCAGCTATCCCTGACTGGCCGACTCGGTGAAGCATACTAGGCATTTACAGGGCTCTACAGAGTATGATGGCGTGCACAATGTCTCTCATGCGCAGCATCTCTTGGCCAATGGCACGGTTCATCATGGAGGGACTCGGAGTGGGAAATTCGCGCACGGATCTGCTCGTGCCGTAGGCGGACGAACTGTCAGTGGTCCATGATGGGGACGGGTGACGTCTCCGTTTTTTTCACTCCAGATCTTCGAAGCTCTCTCCATCCTCCCCATCCTCTCCATACTCTTCATCTAGATGACCCAGGGTACCTATGTATCTCTCCCCCCCCCAGAAGTTCGCAGCTCTTAGGCACTTTCCTCCGTGCCCACGTGACGTTCATTGGCTACTTCCCTGCCGGAAAGGAAACCAAGACCCGTACGGAGTACTTTGGCAGGCACGACCGGGGACGACCCCACTTTCCTCTCGACATTTTTGACCATATCGCAGGCGCCTTCGTCCCCGTCCCCTTACCACCCTCCCGCCCGGCCAGTGACCGTCAACAGTCACCCATTGACTCATATTCTTTCTGTCACGTGGATGCCCACATTCTTCTTCCCCGGGCTGGGGTCCAACCCTTGGTTTTCCGTCTCCAGTATGGCCGGGGATTGACTTGCTTTCGGTCTAGTGTACCTCATCGCTGGGCTGGGCATTGTAACCAGGCCAGATATCAAACGATGCGCCCGCAACATCGCGACCTTTGCCAAGACATACATGGTTTACCCAAAACATGGCTTTCTTTCGTCGCTAACTTGCTGCCCGCCAGTGGCAATGTCAGCCCTCACCCGAGCGATTCGTATCTTGGTCCCTCCCTTGTCGCGTACAAGCTAATGTAGAGCACAGAGTAATGCCCGACCAGCTTCGACATACAGATACGACCAGACCGACCCGGCACTTGACCTCTCCGAGCGCCGTCGTTCGCTCGCCTCATCCAGCCGCCCGCCGTGCAGCCGTGTCTCGCCTAAACGGGCTTTCCCTAGTCTAGGGCTCAACCTAGACGTTTGCCGTACTTTGAAAGACACCAACTGTACATGATAACGGGTTGATGGCCGCATCCTGTATTCCACCGTCCCCGGCACTCCCCGCTTCCCCAGCAACATCTCTTCGACCCAAGACCCCGAATCTGTCTCTGCGGAGACGACGGGTCCATCATCCTCGCCCACCGGGCACTTTTCGACATGCGTCTGTCTGCACCGTCGCCCCGCTCCACTCCCATCACCACCCACCACCACCTGCTCGGCTTACCATGCACCACCGCGTAGCCTGATCCTTACCGCAACGAGGCAAAAACATCTGCAAGCCCATCTCCCCGGTGTTTTGGGATACCTTTCCAGCCAGCCATCCAGCCTCCCCCCTCCCCCTTCCATGCCGGCATAATGGCTGTCAAGTGCTACCCTGGGAACCGTTCTCGCAGCAAGTTATCCACCAGCCGCACGACACCTAGGAAACATGCAGCGAATATGTCCACATCTTCGCCGCCCGGTTCGTTGGATTTGTCTTGTTTCGCTGCCCCTAAACGGCGGTGAGCCGCGAGACCGGTTGCGATGCTGTCCACGTGCCACCGAACGCGAATCGCTGACCCATCCGTCGCTTTTGACCCTCGCAATTGGCGGCGAGAGGTGTTGCATGTCCCCGGCCAATCGCGCATATCGCACCAGGCCACCAACCCTCGGTCCTCGGGCCTCCGCTTGCCCCAGCCGCTGTCTCATTTCCCATACCAACTCAAGTCTAGCCTGAACAGAACTTCTAGAAGCCTAGGGTTTACGAGGGCTATGGGCACGTATTTCGGGAATTGTGTCTTCCACTACCTAGTTTTACTAGTATAGGAATGTCGTCCGCGACCTCGTCGCGAGATATGCCTAATGGAGTCATCGCTAGTCCGTTCAAGTCACCTCTACGTCGGAGAACACCTGGCCTGTGACACGCCGCCCGTGCTGCCTGCAATGCTGGGAATAGCATGCGACAATAAACGTTCCCACACTGCGCGTTTCCGTGTATTTCAGGGTCCATCACCCAAGCACCGCATCCTGTCACTGAGACGGCATGGCAATAGCACGTGAAAATAGCGCACAGCCATTCGTCCCAAACCAGTCGTCTATGGTACTGTTACCTCCAGCCGGATCCCTTTCCAACGCCGTTGACGCGTCCGAAGCTCGAATATAAGAAACGCCAAGGCCCCTAGCCTGTTTTTCTGCTTTCTTGGCCTCGCCTTCGCTCAATGTCGCCAACGTGGCCGCTGCCTCCTACTTGGCATCGTACATGTCAAGCCGGTTACCATGATAGGGCATACACTACTAGGCGCCCGACCATGAATCGCGACTCCGCTGGAGAAGGAGAGGCTAGGTATCGGCTGACTTGGCTCACGCACCATCGACGTGACCAGTGAGCTTGTCATCTAGCGTCGGTCGGCTCGTCCCCGACTGCACCCACCCAAACCACACACTCACAAACACACGCATACACCACACCTCGAACGATCTGCCGAGCGCCCTTCGGCTGGGCGGGCGGACTTGTCTCCGGAGCTTGTCATCGTTCCGGAATATCCTCGCGATCCCCAACCGAAGCAAGGTCGCCATCCCTTCGGTGGCGGCTTCGCATAGGCCATGCCTACATGCCGTCAAACATTGGCTCGCCGTGATGGCCCATATCCCACCGGGCATCATCATGACGAACTGAATCCTATAATGAAAGGTACTCGAATTTTGGATATCTTGTGGATCCGGAAAAGTTCCCGCACTTCTACTACCAATCACTTGGAAGCCACCCAGGCCGCCGTCTTTTGCGGTATGGCAATCGCGGGTAGGAAAGAGTCGGAACGGAAAGAACTCTGATCGAAGCTTGGCTCTTGTAAATATTGCCTTGGCATCTTACGATGTCGATCAGCCAGGATTGCTCCGTGTCAAGCGGGAACAATCGCCATTCAGGAGTCCCGATTTCACCCAGAACACGTATCTTGTATCGACTTCCCTCTCCCTGCAGTTAACTGATATTTCGAGATGCCTCCATCCAATGCCCGGTTGCTAACCCACAAGTGCCTTATGTGTGCGCAATGGCGACTGACCTCATTCAACATCGGAAAAGACGGTGGCGAGCGAGCCTAGGGCCTTCTGTTGCGGGTATACGGATGATTTCCGGACAACCGAGTATCTGACAGAGCTTCCCCAAGTACACGCCTCCCGTTGAGGGGTGCAGAACGCATATACCTACAGATTTTGATGATATGGTAAAGTGGGGAGAGTAGTCATTTGTTGGGTGCTCATCAGGGTGGCAGCACTTCGACGCGTGCTGGTTGTAATGATTAGAGGTTCAGTCATGCTACTACGTGATTATATAGCAGACACGGTCCAGTGCCGAACGCATGAGCTAAGCATTGCTGTAAGCTGCGGGTTGACCGTTTGAACAACCCTGTCTGAGAGGGCGGAAGGGGCCTTGTAATCATGGAGTCTCGGCTTTGGGCCTCGTCTCTTTCCAGATGATGTTCCTCTCCGATGTGGCTACTGCCTACCGATGGTCGACTAGACTTGGCGTTGACTGCATAGCGCCCCTGGACTGGAACTCATCGGCGCTGCCGGTAGGAAATGTGGAGATTTCCGGGCCGATACGGCTTCTGGGTACGGCCGGCTGGAAAGTGGGAAAGTCGAACCTTCCCGTCAACGTTCGGACGTACCATGACCCTGTATCGTGGCTTCTCTGAAATGACAATGAACGCTCTCGGTTCGTCTGTCCTTATCTCGCCGCCTTATTCAACAGCATCATCCATCGACACGTCGCGAGTGGCGCTCTTTTGAGCGTTTCAACTTGGCTAACTCTTCTTCCTGGGCAACTATCGCCGCAGAGGGCAAAATCAAACAGGGTATATTCATACACCCTTCGAATTGTCACGAACCCTGCTATGTAAAATGCCTTTTCGTCGTCAGGATTCTAATCTGCGCTCTTGCAGACGCCAGGGCCAGACCCCCCCACACGTTCAGCGATGAAGGACGGCCACGGCCGCGATCGAGGACGTTCGCACCGACGGATCCCCATGGAGTTCAACATCTTCAACTCCGGAATCGCCGAGACCGCCGACAAGCCGCTGTTCTGCCTGAGCAACGACGAAGAGCCCTCGGACAACCACCTGGGCATCAACCTGCACGCGGGCCCCTTTGACGTGCACCCCAAGATCGCCAACCTCACGCACCGCACCGTGGTGCGGACCGGCTGGGAGACGATGAAGATGATGGACGTCGTCCTCTTCGAGACGGCGGCGACGACGACCACGACGACCACGACAGACAAAGGGGAGCCCGCCAAGGTCGTCCTCGAGCAACAGATGCCCTGGGGTCCGCTCGGCCGGTTGCTCCGGTGGAGAAACGCCGCCGCCGCCGTCCGATGGGTGTTCACCATGCGGATCCCGCGCCGGGAGGGGCTGGCCGACGTCGACTTCGAGTGGCGACACAGCCGGGGGCTCACGATCCGGCGGCTCCGGGGCGCGGACGGGTGGATGCTGTGGCGGAAGCGGACGGCGGACGAGGTGCGGAAAACGGGCGACGGGGGCGACGAGCTGGTGGCGCTGGTGTCGTGCAGCGGCTCGCGGCTGCACCTGGGCACGCGGTTCGCGTTCGCCAACGCGGCGGCGCGCGGCGAGCTCGGCGACGGCTTCTCGGTGGTGGCGCTCATGTCGGGCATTGGCGTGATGCTGGCGCAGAGGAGGTCGCTGGGGGGACACCGGTCGACGCGCTGGAAGGTCACGAAGGCGGCCGGCGGTCGATGCTTCCGAGGGCGGCGATGGCGGAGAGACGGGCGCGCGAGGCGAGGGGACTGGCTCGACGCGATTGCGCTGATGGACGAGGAGGTCTGGGAGGCGGAAGAGCCGGGTCGGCCCGGGCCCGGCCGCTCTGATCGCGTCAGGGCGTGGAGGGAAGAGCAGCGGCGGGCGTCTGAGGGGTCCGGGGGCGTCGGCGGGACGTCACGGCTCGACCCGGTCGCCTCGAGGCCACGGAGGGCGCCGCAGCTGCTGCCCGGGACGCCGAGGTCCGCCAAGACGACGCGGCCCCTGTCGACGTCGACGCGGAACGGTGCACTGACGCCGGGCCGGCGCACTGCCTCGAACCGCAGCCGCTTATACGAGCACGAGAGCGAGCGTTTCGTGGAAAACCCGGGCGGTATCCACATCTGAAAGCACAGGCGAGGGGGCCAATGAAGACAGACGGTGGTCGAGTACATAGGCTAGAGTGTATCAACAAGAGTCATTGTTACGAAACGATGCTTTACGAGTGCCGTCTTTGCTTTCACAGGCCGATATGTCGCACAAGGAAGAGCCTGCGAGTTGTTTGTTGTTTCATTTCGCGACTGGGCACCCTGATACGCCGAATAATTTTGTATGTCTACAACGAGCGAGGATGAATCAATGGTATGGATCTAATCTTTTTTCTTTGACCTATCAATATGTGTGTGTAGCTTTGCGACCTAGGCCATCCCGTCCGGAACACACCCGTAGACTTGGCCTTTTCTTCTTCTTTTTTTCTAAAAGAAAAGGAGAGAGAGAGAGAGAGAGAGAGAGAGAGAGGAATTCGGAAAGGGGGGAAATATAATCAGTTTCGATTTCCCTGCTTTACACAAAAGCAGATCAAAAGCACAATTTGGCTTTCTGACGCGGTCACGATATGATCAAACGGTTTCTCGCTTGCGCTTGCATGCAAGCATCCAATCCAATCCAAACGCCGTGAATGCTTCATCTGCAAAAATCCGTTCTTTTGGCCGGCAGGCCAGTTCCCCTGATGGAGCTTCCGGCACAGAAAAGGCCGTGTCGTTGGTATTCAGTTCCGGCCTTCGGTCTGCCGCTCCTCCTCACCCCACCCACCCCCGGGACCCCACTCGCGTAAGGGCTAGGGAATGAATGATAATGTCTAATTTCGATTTGAGGAAACAAGCCTTGTTGGCTAAGTGGTATAGCGTCTCACTAGTACCCTAGTGATATGAGAAGATCGGCGGTTCGATTCCGCCACGAGGCATGATTACATCTGGGCTGATCGGATCGTATTTTTGCACATGGTGGTTTTTTGCCATCTTTTTTTGCACACATCTGAGCCGGGGTTGTGTGGGTGGCTGGGTTGGTTAGTACCACGATAACTTTGATGCCCTGCTAAGGTGGCTTACTGTGTGTGTAGCCGTGCACCTCGATTCTCCTTGAGCCACATTAATTATGGCTCAAATTACATACAATTGACACCATTCCGCCCGTTCCACTCTATACACAATACCATACATACATACATAGATCATCTAAGGGCTCGTGATGATGCAAACTTCCTATCTATCCCCCTCTCATCCCCACCGAACCCCAAAGAGTTGCAGTCAAGCTACAAACAAAAACCACCATGGTCTTGGGTCACAGGCGGGGCCATTCATTGGTCTGAAAGCTACCCCGCACCATCAACACACTCAGTGAGCCCGCGCGCGCGTGGGGGGTTTATCTCGCTCGACAGATCAGGCTGGTCGACAACGTGCCTCGGCCAAGACAATAGCGGCCGTTGGAAAGGTATCCCCCCCTGGTCCTCAGTTACACACACACCCAGAGAGAACCCGCAGTTCTACGCATCATGTGCATGTGATGATAGCCCCCGCCGTGATAGCACGACGATGTCATTGCTTCTGCTGCTAACCCCCCGCGGCACAGTAACAGCGGCCATTGGAGGCGCGGGAGGAGAGGTGTGATCAGGGTGCGGTGCTATGTGATGCGGGTTGCGGGTTGCGGGAATCGTGATTGATGTTGGGTCGATTCCGCGCGAGGAGGGACAGCCATTCCCGTCGGCTAGATGACTATAGTATGCTTGCTGTCCGCGGGCCTCCTTTGTCAATCACTGTATCCAGTCATTGATCCGGACCGTATTGAGTCGAGAAGCCAGATGAGAGAGCTAAGAACACACACACATCCAAGACTGGGTTCTAGTCCGTTGTCTCTCTTATCACTACCGCCGTCACCAGTAGGGCAGCATCAATGACGACGTATCCAAGATGTTTTTCAAGTTGATGTTGAAATCTCGCCAGGTTCCATCGCCTCCCCACTGGTCTGCAAAAACTTCCCCCAAATCCAGTCTTGCGTGTTACGGCATTGGACGAACCCCAACTGTCAGACCACCCACCCTCCCTCCGCGTCGTCCAGAACGGCATTGTGCGCCGTTCCCCTCACCTTGGCATCTCCAACTACCTACATGCAAGGTCGTGTCCATTGGCACGCGGGCCAGCGGTCTCCGTTGACCGATCAGGAAGCTGGGAGTGCCTTTTTGTTTTCTTTCTTTCTGTTTCTGTTCGGAAAGTAACCTGGTTCCTCAGATAGATATCGCGAAAGCCAGGATTGAAATATTAAATATAGACATGCCTTACCCCCCAGCGCACGTCGTTCATTGAGGGGAGGGGGGAAAGGGAGAGGGAATCGGATTGTTGCGCGCCTGTGTAAATCAAGAGACAACGGAAGAACTCAGAAGAGTTGCGAGACAGAAAGGTCCCGTTCGACGAACAATATCGCGCGCAATGATGCTGCTGCTGCCCAGGCTTTCCGGCCTGCTTTCGATCGGCCTCCTGGCCAGCGGAGCCGCCTCCGCGGCCGGCGACAGGGAGGGCTTCGTGACGGTCAACGGCACAAAGTTCCAGCTCGACGGCGAGGACTTTCACTTTGCGGGCAGCAACGCCTATTACTTGCCCTTCACCAAGGTAAGCGAGTCTTTGGACAGTTGGGAAGTCGGCCGAAGACAGAGCGCGGGAGGTCGAGATACGGTCCTTGGAGAAAGAAGAGAACTGACGAAACGGTCTTCCCTTACAGAACCAGTCAGACGTCGAGGCCGGCCTGGCGGCCGCGAGGGACGCCGGCCTCAAGGTCATCCGCACCTGGGGCTTCAACGACAAGAACGCCAGCTACAACCCGAACGGGCTCCCCCGGTACGGCGACGAGGGCGCCGGCGACACCGACGTCGTCTTCCAGCGGTGGAACCCCGACGGCACGTCGTCCATCAACGTCGGGGCCCTCGACGGCGTCGTCGCCGCCGCAGAAAAGGTCGGCGTCAAGCTCGTCGTCGCCCTGACCAACAACTGGGCCGACTACGGCGGCATGGACGTGTACACCGTCAACCTCGGCGGCAAGTACCACGACGACGTGAGTGTTTTCCAGCCCCCCCCCCCCCCCCCCCCCCCCCCCTTCCTATCCTCCGATGCTAACTAAACACTCTCGGCCTCTCCCCTAGTTCTACCACGTCCCCGCCATCAAGGACGCCTACAAGCGCTACGTCACGGCCCTCGTCGCGCGGCACAAGGACTCCCCCGCCATCATGGCCTGGGAGCTCGCCAACGAGCCCCGTTGCGGCGCCGACGCCGTCCGCAACCTCCCCCGCAGCTCCAACTGCACGCCCGCGCGCCTCGGCGCGTGGATCGCCGAGATGAGCGCCCACGTCAAGTCCGTCGACCCGGACCACCTCGTCACCTGGGGCGGCGAGGGCGGCTTCGACCGCGCCTGGAACCTCGACTGGGCCTACAACGGCGCCGACGGCGGCGACTTCGACGCCGAGCTCGCCCTCCCCGACGTCGACTTCGGCGTCTTCCACTCCTACCCGGACTGGTGGTACAAGACCGTCTCCTGGACCGACGCCTGGATCCGCGAGCACGCCGCCGCCGGCCGCCGCGCCGCCAAGCCCGTCGTCCACGAGGAGTACGGCTGGCTGACCCCCGCCAAGCGCTTCCAGTTCACCGGCCTCATCATCCTCACCCCGCGCACCGAAGTCCTCGCCCGCTGGCAGGCCATCGCCCTCGAGGAGGGCATGCCCGATATGTACTGGCAGCTCGGCTACTCGGCCTACTCGTACGGCCGCAACCACGACGACGGCTTCACCATCTACCTGGACGACGCCGAGGCCCAGCCGCTCGTCTACGAGCACGCTGCAAAGGTCAATGCTCTGTGAGAGGAATGAGGAGGGGAGGGGTGGAGGGGTCGGCGCCTGGCTTGTAGGCATGGCTATTCGAATAGATGTAGTCGCAAAGTCAATTTCGGGATATATCGCTCGCTAAAAACGTCCAAAGACAATCGTGACCGGCTTCCCGAGCTCATCCACTGCGTGCATCTCTCTCTCTCTCTCTCTCTCTCTCTCTCTCTAATACCTTTCGCCCATCTCGTGATCCCCTTCCACCTGTCGGTATTGTGCACTTTGCCACCCCTTCTGGGCGCGCTGCTGCCTCCGCTCTTCCGCCTTCATCCGCAGCCCGAACACAATGGCCTCAACGATCTCCATCGGGTTCCACATCTCGACTAGCGCCCACAGCCCGCCCGGGCCACCGGAGTATGTCTGGGGCGCGTACGCCTCGTGGTCGCCGGCGAGGGGCCGGCTGGTGCGGTCGCTCCCGATGACGTAGGGGCTGTACGTGTACGCGTGGTGGAAGAAGGCCGCGATGGGCAGCATCTCGAGGCAAATCAGCATAGATGGGATGCCAATGCGGAGGTCCGCATCCGTCAGCGTCGCGGTCGGTTTCATGGCACCGGTGTCGCGCAGAATCCAGAAGATGATCTACGAGGAGGGGAGGTTAGGGCTCGCGTTGGTTTGAGATGGGTACCGGGGAGGCCGGCTTACATTCTCAAGGAAGGTCAGAGTCACCACTAATTTGAAAGACGCAAACTTGGCAATTGGTCGATGCTCTTTTAGCTGAGACTTGAGCTGCATGAAGAACCGGAGCACTGTGATGAGCGCGAGCGTGAGCGAGGCGTTGCTTATGATGGACAACTTCGGGTTGTTAGCACCGCTCCAGGGTCCCGAGTACCGATCTATGGGAACGTATGCTTACCCATAGCTTGGCAAAGTGTGTTTGACTTGCGAACTCGCAGTATACACCCGCCGCCTGCGTGATGGCGGTCACAATGGCCACCAGCAGAGAGACGACGGGATACTGAAAGACAGCAAACCACATTTTCTGCGCGAGCGTCAGGAAACCAGATTACACGACGTCTGGGCACGGAAAAGAAGGGGGAACAAAAACCCACCCTGAACCATTCGAGGCCGTTCTCCTCCCCGCTGGCCGCCTTCTTGTTCTTCACCGTGAGCGCGGCGAAGAAAACATCCCGGTGCTGCTCACTGGGCGAGACGAACTCGCACAGCAGGAGGAAGAAGGTGCCCAGGCAGATGGCCTGGACAAACTCGAGCCACGGGTGGAGGTAGACCTCAGCCGTCGGGAAGCAGAGGGAGAGGAAGGAGAAGATGGACCAGAACGGGATAAGGAGCGAGATGCGCAGGATCCTGACACTGTTAGAGAAGGGCCCTCCTGTTGCGCGCCATACGTCGGGAGGGGCATGGGGGTTCATACTTGATCTGCTCGTTGCTTTTGCTCAGGTGGGTCGCATGGAGGAACATCAGGGAGAAGATGATGAGGCAGGACGCGACGGCGAAGCTGCCAGATAGGATCATGTTGAACGTGTGGAAGGACATGCTGCCGAATAAGGGTTGAGATGCATCTAGAGGTTGGGTACGACGTTAGTCTTTGATGCCATCGGTATGGGATCCATCAGCTGCACCGACTTTCCGTGAGGGAGATTTCTGGGCAAGCGTCTTTGGCCGAGTCGCCTTTGGCTCTAGCCTGGAGTAACGCAAACATCGCTGCCGGGTGTCGATTGTTGTTGACTTGGGACGTTGAATCAGACTGATGAAGCCGGAAGCAACATGTTTGGAGAGTCCAGCTTGTGCTTTTATTCTTCTTCGTCTTCGCCCCGTCAACAGGCAGAAGCGTAGTGTAGAGCCATTTCGGGTCTTTCACAGCGTCGATCACACGAGTAGCTGAATCCTTTGTCGCTTGGATGCATTCACAGCCCACCAACAAGCATCAACTCCTACAAGCCACAACCCAGCTATCCAAGGTGGGCGCGCCAATGATGCTCGACGGTTCGGATCCATGTCCTCATAAGCTCGCAAAGGCGCGCCTGGAAAAGATCTTTTGTATTGCGCCCCCTGTCCATCTTGTTGGTGGCTGACCCCAACGACCCAGCATAGGGCAAACCATGACCGTCGAATCGGTTTCCCCAATCGTGAAGGTGGACCCCAAAATCGAATTCCTCAACCGCAGCGCTGGACCCTCGAATGCATTTCCCCATGCGGTATCGCTTGTCCATCTGGTTGGTGAATGAGCCCCAATCCACCCAGTATTCGAGGACCTCGAATGCATTTTCCCCATGCGGTATAGAGGGTGGCTTGTCCCGGCACGCAAATGCCGTATTGATCGACGCGAACCCACCAGTGAGCGGGCCTTCGCCTTGGAAGGCAGGTCAGCACTAACGTACGTCGAAACAAGCTTCGCTGTCCCCCGAACCCACCGATGCCAGGCTTTCGATTTGATTGCGGGAGCCTAACAGGACGATAGTCTTGCGGCCGTTTAGCCGTTTTGTGACGATGGAGGCTGACGCTTGCGGCCCTAGTGGGGATATCGTAGAGCAGCCAATACGACTGTGGATGAACTGGTGAACCGAAGCGCAGCAGAACCTGAGGCTGTGCGTTATCATCCGCCGATTAGTCGGCCACCAGTGGAACAACGAACAGCACAACGGAGGCAACCGTCGACTGCCTGTTCTTGGGTCATTGCGTGTGACATCTCGGATACGGTTTGTTGTCATGGCATGCGACCGTTCGGCCCGGCTTTGATCACGATACACGGCAAGTAACCTTGGCTGTTATCCATGTCATCAACCGGAATGCCCTTCAACGCCTCAAGGGGGAAAAATTCAGCCAATCCTGGCCGCGGCTCGAGAGCCGCCATTATCCCCTGCTCCGTCCCTATCCGCAGCAGCGCCTCCCTCGCCGCCACCCGCAAATGGGTCGGCGTCGTCGGGATGATGTACATATGGGTAAGCGGCCATATCAGCCGGACGGCATCATTGTAGGCAGTCAGCGAGTTCGAGTCCGCCCTGGGCGCCTTGCCGCCCAGAAACGTCGGAATGGTGTCGAAGATGTCCCGGCTCGCCGCCGCGATAGCTTGTAGGCAAAGCTCTCTACGTAACTGCAGTGCTTCAGGGCTGAAAGGGCAGTTGGGCGCGTGTTCGACGAGGTTGGTCAGCAGGATCATCATGTGATGGACCTTGATCTGCGCGCTGCGCCATGAGTTCCAGAAGTACTCGAACGTGGGCGCGGGTCCTTTTTGATCTTCGGGGGCTGCTCGCATCCATTCCGACATGGCGAGCTCTGCGTGGTTGAACTCGGACAGGAGTGGCTCATACGCAGCGACGGCCCGCTGCGTGTCCCCGCTGCGGACGACGGGTACCAGCTCGGATAGCAGAGAACACGTCGAGGAGATGGAGCGCCCAATTTGCAGCAGAGGAGCCTCGAGGGGGCGCATAGTCTGTTCTATGATGTTGAGCCAGTGATCGAATTCCGGGGGGGAATGCATGTTTGTAAGGGTGTACTGTATTTGCTGGTGTGGTGTGAGTGAAAAGAATGCTAACAGACTCGATGGACTGGCTTACAAGAATGTTGTGCATGACCCAGAAAATGTGCCGACCCGTTGGTGTGTACAGCTGGCGGTCACCTCTTGCGCGAAGGAGGCTCAATATTCCTTGGCCGTGGATATGCCAGGGAGACTCGGGAGCGAACCCTCGTTCCTTGGTTGTTATGAAGGACCGCCGCCGCCCCACGTCGCCCATCAACAGCTACCAAAAGAAAAACTGTCAGTGCTTGTCCGGAAAAAAAAAGAAGAGAAAAAAAAAAGGAAAACTCGTTTGGCCTTGGCAGGTCAATATGATGATGAGTCCACAGGACTTGCCTCGTAGTTCCCGAGCATCCAGACTGCCGCAATTGTGAGATCGGATTTGTGCGCCTTGGTACTCATGATGGCCTCCTGTACCGATGCCAAGGCGCTACCCAGAAGTTTGGAAAGCTCACGGTAGTCCGTTTTCGATCTAAAGCGGTTGATCATGTATGCCCTGGCGCAGACTTGGCCAGCAAGAGCGAGACAGTGGTCGGGCTGGACACGGCTGAACATTTCCGGAAGGAAGTTCAAACCTGGATAGAAGCTGATTACAAGCGGTATAGCCTCAGCCGTCCAGTGTTGATGGACGGGTCGCAGAAGAGGCAGGGGAGGCGTACCGGTAGAGCGGTATCCCGAGGCGTCTGATTGCTGGGACGACGCGGGCGACGCGGGCGAACCGGGCGCAGAATCAACCGCCTCAAAAGCCGGCGGCGAAGACACCGGGTGGGTCTGTTGCTGCTTCTTCCGTCTCCGGTCCCTGAACGTCGCGGAATCGGTGTGCCGGAAGCGCAGCTCGTCGTCGTCGCGGTACCCGGGACACTGGACCCCGTACTTGACGCACCTCTGACATTGAGGCCTGGCTAGATCGCACTGTTTGCGGTTAGTTGCACCGGAGACAAAATAAGAAGAAAAAGAAAAAGAAAAAATCCAGCTCTCGTTGTCAACGAAGGGGGGTCCTGCAGGTGTTTCCTCACCTTGACCCTCCTTTGGCGACAAAGGTGGCAGTTGGGGCTAGGTTTCCCGATGTTGGGCATGTCGTGCTGGGCTTGTTGTTCACGCGGCCAGTTTGGAACAGGGCTCTTGTCAATAGCCTTTGGGACTTGGCCAGATGGGGAACGAGTTCGGGCATGCAACTATGATGTTCTTGGCGCCGTCCCAAAAAGATACCATCGGCCGACGACAAGCACGAAGTCAAGTGTGGGGCCGGAGGCCGCTCGCTGTAAAATGATTTGTCATCGGTACTGAGCCTCCCAGATGGGTTAGGCAGCAAGCAGCCTCACCGATAAGATAACAAGACTGGGTGAGAGTGCTGCTTGAGGTGCTCACGGGTCCGATTTACGCCGTGGCTTGAGCGACTGAGCCATGGGGTTATTGAAGCTATGGCTTGCCATAGTAGCGGCGCTGTCAGGATGGGATTCACTGTCCCGCGACATGGAGTTTGTTGGATGCCATGTTCCGACCTTGGGTTTAGAGAGGAAGGACATGGCAAGCCTTCAAAGAGCGATACGAATACGGGGAGAGGCTCCATGCCAAGGCGTATGATTGGGCCGTGGTTTCAGTGCAATAACGCCCGTGGCGCATGAGCAAGCCGAAGAGCATATGGAGTTGAGACATGGCCGAATCCCGTCGACGGCGACAAAGCCGATGGCCGAGAGCGCATTTGGTTTGCAGACGGGAGACGTCATGTAGCTGGAACAGACAGACAAGCGCGACGATCCCAAGAAAATCCAGATGGCAGAAAAGGATAACGCACGCATGGACCGAAGCTGGGATGTGCCGTGGTCGGGTGGAAGTGGGAAATGCCTTCGGAAGGGGTGGCTCGCGAGCATGGGAAAAATGACACCATGGATATGACGGATGGTTCGACTGGAATCTCAAGATCCCGAGTAACCCGCCCCTGCCCTTTCCGTGCGCACGCACCACATTTACCTTTGGGGCTCCGTCTTCGGAAAGCACGACACACCGATTTGCCGACATCTCGGAGGGGAAGGAGCTCTGTTGACATTACGGATACACACCTTGGTATCCGTGCTACACTACCTAGGTACCTCGGTAGGTAAGGTAAGTGAGAAGGAGGAAGGAGGGGGAGGGGGATAGATACGTACCTACCTACCTGGTATCAGTGAGTGGAAGGAAGGAGGGAAGGAATTGGAAGCAACCCACTGCAGGCAGCTCAACAAGTTTTTTTGGAGAGAGGGGTAGAGATGAGACTGCGGGCCAATCAGCGCAGCGAATTCATAGCAAACCAATGGAGATCAACGGGCAGCACTGACCGAGATTGGCAAATTGGATCGAGGCAAGAGCGCCGCCGCCGCCCTGCCTGCCTTGTGTGTGTGTGCCTGCCACACGCGACAGATAAGCTACCTGATAGTAGTGTAGTCACCTACGGTAGTGTACCTGGTGTCACTCGTGTCGCCCATGCCATGCTGCCATGTCACTAATGTTACTCTGTCTTATTTGACAGCTTTTGGCACCGGTAGATCACGCCACATCACCGCCTCTCAAAAGACATCGGTACCTAGGCGCGCGTACCAAGGTACGATTCTTCGTACCGAACGAATGAACACAAGGTTCGCTACAGCGGTAGGCAGTACGGACACTATCTCACGATTTCTACCCAGGCAGGGAACGAGTGTTTGTGACTGGCTGGATGATTCACCCGGCCCCGGTCCAGATGTACAGATGAAGTCTAGCGGCGTGTGCAATGAATCGCTTCGCCCCTGGTTTGGTGGTTCCTTTTTCTTTTTTCTTTTTTCTTTTCTTCGTCTTTCTTTGGATTTTTCTACATTGTTACCTCAGGTTACCATTCGCGTCGACACACACACACAAAAGCAGAGCGGCAAAGTACTGCGCTGCACTCCGCTGTATCCTGGCAGCTCCACCACCAACCAACCTGCCAACCAACAAACCCTCCCGCCGGACCGAATAATGCTCGGCTTGGCTCAGCACAAAAGTGACAAACAGCCTTGACTAATCTGGATGGAGCAACCGAAGCCAGGGTAGAAAAATGATCCTCGTCAGTTTTGCCCCTGACCTGACCTAAACCCGAACGCCGCGAGCGAGCGCAACTCGGATGCAACATCTCACGGATTGGAATTATCCCCCTCCCCCCTAAAGATAAGCTTTCAATCCTCTTTCAACTACATCGCTACCTCACCCGAATTGACTCGACTGCCGCCCACACCCGTTGCAAGACCGCGAAACCCAAAGAGCGAGAGCGAGCAAGAGAGAGAGAGAGAGAGAGTGTGTGTGTGTGTGCGCGCGTGTGTCTGTGTGTGAGTGAGAGTAGTAAGAGAGAACCTCCTGCTCGCCCATCATGGACGTCGCCCTCGAGATCCTTGATCCCCTCGTCTTGGACAAGGCCTACGCCTACTTCGTCCCCGCGCCCAATGCCGTCTCTTCCAATGCGACCGGCGCCGCCTTCATCTCCTCGTCAGACTGGAACTCATCCACGACCGCCTTATCACCTCTCTCGTACGGCTCCGCATGGCCGCGCGACAGTATCCTGCGCCAATGCATCTCCCTCCTCATCATCACCCAGATCGGCGCCTCGATGCTCTACTGGATCTTCAGCGCCCTCTCCTACTACTTCATCTTCGACCGTCGCCTCGAGTACCACCCGCGCTTCCTCAAGAACCAGATCCGCCAGGAAATCATCTCCTCCATGAAGGCTGTCCCCGTCATTGACGTCCTTACTCTGCCCTTCTTCCTTGCCGAGGTCCGTGGCAAGAGCTTGCTCTATTTCAGCGTCGACGAGTACGGCATTTGGTGGATGGTTGTTTCCGCCCTTCTGTTCATTGTTTGGAACGACATTACCATCTACTGGATTCACCGCCTCGAGCACCACCCTTCCATCTACAAGTACATTCACAAGCCACACCACAAGTGGATTGGTAAGTCTCATCACTAGCCCAACAACATGTTTTAACGTGCTTTTCTCTTTTTTTTTCCCTTCCCCCTTCTGCCGTCCCATTGCTTCAAGCGACTGACATACCATGTTTCCCATAGTTCCTACACCCTGGGCTGCGCTCGCCTTCCATCCCGTTGACGGATTCGTCCAGTCCCTGCCATACCAGTGAGTCAGCCCTGCCTCTAAACATGTCGACAATTGGGTGTCGATTGGGGGGGGGTCACCACACCTGATATCTCACACGTACTGACATGTCGCCAGCGTCTTTGTGTTCTTCTGCCCCGTGCAGAAGTACCTCTACCTATGCCTGTTCGTCCTCGTCCAGATCTGGACCATCCTCATCCACGACGGCGACATGATTTCCGGCCACTGGCTCGAGAAATACATCAACAGCCCCGCCCACCACACCCTGCACCACATGTACTTCACCGTCAACTACGGCCAGTACTTCACCTGGGCCGATAACTACTTCGACTCCCACCGCGCGCCCCAGCCCGATCTGGACCCCCTCCACGAAGCCCTCAAGGTCATGCGCGAAAAGGGGCTGGTGGATGACAAGGGCAACCCAATCCCGCAGGATACCAAGAAGCATCAGTGAGAAGGGACGAGATGCGTCATCATTGGATTCCCTTGTTTTTGTTTCAAGATTGGGTTGTTAGCGTTGGCTGGCTTCGGCCAACCATTGACCGATAAAAAGCATGGCGGCACGGCGAAATGTTGATGTTGAGATGAAATCTTCATTTCATTCGGTGGCTGGGCTAAGAGAGAGCCTCGGCCTTTTTCTCATCAACCGTAGGAGTTCCTGGCGGACATTTATTCCCCTCTCACAAAATTCATGGCGAAGGAGGCATATCATATTACCATAATCATAATTCATCCGAGAGCATACACGTTCTTAACCATTCATCTTATGAGGTACATCTGCATGACCGAGCAAAGTGAGATGCGTAGTCATGGCATGGCGGTCTCACGTGAGATTGCGCACGCCTAATCGCACAATAATCGCGAGGGCAACTCAAAATGCCCAAAGTATCCAACCTGCGAAACCTTCTATCCATCTTTTCGTGCCCATCTTACTCACGCTCCCAATGGGATGAGAGTGAGTGGCCTCAGCGCCTCCCTTTCACCTCATCTCACACACTCCCGCACCGACGCCCCTCCCCGGTGGCTAATTGAATTTTTTTTTTAATTTCTTTTTTGTCTTTCTCGATTGTTTGGATGTCAGCCGAAAGCCAAGGTTCGGCACACTCCAGGCTGTCGAGTCCCCTACCCTCTCCCATTGATTGACTAGCCATCGGTAGGCTTTGCTTTTTTTTCTTTTCGTTATCCCGAGACCTCACTCCCGGCGCCAGCTCGACCGGGACGCCGGGACGCCGGGACGCAGCGCACCGGGGTCGGTCCCCCTCTGGCGCTCTCTCACCCCCGCCACCGAACAGGGACGATCGCTCTCGGTTCTCTGCGAATTGCCATGCAGCAGCAGCCTAACGGGGAGGGGGGACGGTAGAATGCATCCTCCCCCCCCCCTTCCCCCGTCCCCCCTCCCCGCCATTCCTTACGTGGAAAGTGTGCATTATGCAGTATGTGATCTTATCTTCTTGCCGATAATCTACCCCGCCGGAAACCGACCACCCGAATTGAGGCAGGTGGTGGAGTCAGCCGTCGTCGTTGAACACGGATGACGCCTCCGGGGTGCTGCTGATGCTCCTCGCGAAGGCACTATTCAAAACAACAGAGGAAGCGAAGACCCCCGTCCCAGGGTATCACGAGACTCGCTCATATACATCCCGCCGATTGCTCAATCGAAACCGAGTGGCTCTTTTCATCTCATATTGCACACGCGCCTTATATTACCTCCCTCCAGAGAACATGCTGATTCGTGTGACGGACCTTACGGAGGCAGACATCCCGGGGGCCGTGAAAGCCGTACAGTACGTGGCACACTTTTATCATCGATAGCGTTACAGCCGGCTCGTATTCTTACAAAAACGAAATGCGGTCAAAAGGCAGGCTTTCAGTGGAGACCCGTACAACGCCTGGGTCTACGACCAGTCCAAGGTGAGTGTTCTTTTTTTTTTATCATCTTATTTTTGTGCCGTCGGCGGCTCTCCCGCGCGGCCGAACACACGGTCCACCATAGCCAAACGCCGAATATCTGACCGGAGTGCTCTCATGGGTCCAAGGGGAAGGGGGAAGCATCTCACTGATACACCACCGCCCGTCACCCAGTTCAGCCCTGAAAGGAACTACGCCTCGCTTGCGCTCCGCATGCGCTGGGGCATGCGCAACGGCATCTTCCACGTCGCCAAGGAGGAGGGCAGCGACGCGGTGCTGGGCGTCGCCATGTGGCTGCTACCCAAGCCCGCGGGGGCGCCGCCGACGTGGACCGACTGGCTCGAGGGCTGGCGTCTGTGGCTCGGCCAGCTCAACTACAACCTGTGGTACGGACGGGGAGGGTTGAATGTCAAGGTACGTCCCGTCCCGTCCCGTCCCGCCCCTCCCCTCGTCGATATCAACCCCTTTCAATACCCCTGACGGTAGGAGGGAGAGAGAGCTGACGAGTCCTCCCTAAATAAGAGATACTACATCTGGAAAGACGCGCAGGCGAAAGCCCAGCGGGACCTCTGGACCGACCCGCGGGGCTACTACTTCCTCAACATCATGGTCGTCCTGCCCGAGGCGCAGGGGAAGGGCGTGGGGACCGCGATGATGAGGGCCGTGACGCGCCGGGCCGATGCCGAAGGGGTAAAGTGCTACCTCGAGTCCAGCAGGGACGTGCCCAACACGGCCATCTACGGGCGGTGGGGGTTCGTCGTCCAGAGAGACATGGTCTGTGACGACGCTGGCGACGCGATCCGGCTGTTCAGCATGATCCGGGAGCCGGGAGCCGCGCCCGGGGACGGGAGGGGACGGTCGTGAAGGGGAAAATGCAAGCCTGTTGCGTAACGACCAGCCCATGATGATGTGTGAGGAGCGAGATTGAAGGAAACAATAATAGTATCTAGCCAACGGTGTGCTACATACTAGACACTGGACCCACCATGTGACTGATACGATTCCGTCCGCTCAAATCCTTACGCAACCACTTTCGGATGTGGTATTCCTAAATGCTTGTGCTAAAACGTATGTCAATTTCGAGGTTTTATTAATCAATTTAGACATAGCTGACTTGCAGTAATTACGCTGGAGGGAGCGTTCTGGACAGCATCTGTGGCGATACTTAATATCCCACCCCATTACCAAGATAACTCTCCTCACTTATTAGAAAACAGCATACTAGTTAGCTAGATTGATTCCAGCCTAGTCTGAATAGTCAGAGGCAGACATTGTACGGTTATCACAAAGGGATGGCGAGGGAGAGGGTGCCGTAAATGAATGGAGGGGTACAAAGGGTGCATACTATTGTGAGTTTATCATTTCAGGCAGACACACTACTTACATTTGAGGCCATGAGATGTGCAACATGATGGGGCACTATGTTGAACTTATCCTCTCCTTTTAGTAGTAAAAGATCATAATGTGACCGTATGAGTATGAAGTCTTCCGTGACATTCTTGATTGCTGCTACAAATTGCTTCAGTCCGTATCCTTTGCATTTGCTAGTAGTACTTGACTCGTACGGACATTGAACTTGGGTCAACCGGTTTCAACCTATGAACAAGGTTTGTAGATGCAGACGTTGCTAGTCATTGCAGCTGTTCTTGTTTCTGTACGGTCACGTGGAAGTGTTATTCCGACGCTGTCATCATAAAAGTCCCTGTCCACAGGCCTCTATGGCTCGTTTGCCTCGACAGTTGGCGAAATCCATGTCAGCCTCATTGTTGAAAAAACCGCATTCTGCAGACTTCCAGACTTACTCTAGATACCTAAACTTCTTAATAGTAAGTACTACGAGTTCTAGCGGTCGTCTATGCACGTAATACCGAAGATTTCCTAGTAAACTGGTCAGTCACATCGTTGGCCATAACACCTTCGTCGCAGCCGGTAGCGAAACGACACTGCGAAAGGTAGAGACCTGACAGGTCTAGGCTGTTCCTAACCGTCACATAGGAAGCGTATTCTTGGTTCTGGTAGATTGTACTAAGCTAGCTGTAAAGATCCCCAGAGAGGCAGACGTCCTCAGCATTCTGTGCATGATGTTGACTCTCTGAAGCGTAATACTGCGCGGCGTGTGTGGCTAACATCTTAGTGAGTGGCTGTGTTGCTTGGACGCTTGTGAAAGGCAGGGCTATAACACGTCTGTTAATACCACCAGGGGTGGACTTGGTGGTTGCCCGTCGGTTTGGCGGGTAGGGTGAGAACTCACGGGAGGAGCGTGACACTGAAGAGAAGGATCGTGGAGTGAAAGGTGTGGTAGGTGCTTGAGGCACAGCATTGGTCCGCTGATCGGGGGGATAGGATGGAGGGGCGAAGTGCTGCTTCCGTGTTACGATCCAGACCATCATGTCTCGTTGACCGGATCCCGAGTTAAGTAGTCTTACTACCATGTTCATCTTATCAATTTAGGGCTTGTGAATCTTCGCCACTCAAGCCCATATAAATGTCCATCGCTGAATAAAGATGTAACTGAGAAAAAAGCAACTCGCATCCTAATGGGCAAGTATGGAAGGCGATAAGAACTGCCCTATGTACTACTTCTGTATCGAGTACTATCGGGTTCCTGTCCTGTATCCAAGCCGAGATAACCCGATTTAATGCGTGCTATGCTTTGGAGATGCTGAACGTAGACCAGCCGTCGCCGGCTTGTCGTCCCTCTTGTTACTATCTCTCAGCCCCGTCAAAGAAAACGAGAGGGCTGACGTTCGCGGCAATATTTGAACTAGTTCACGCATTCATTTGCTGTAAGAAGTCCGAATCTAAAGCATGTCATGGTAACATTCCTCGGTTGGTTTAACGGATATAATGCCATTTTTACGATCTTCCCGAGAAGATTTATTGCCGAGTTCACTTGTAGCTGAAAAAGAAAAAGGAACATACGTATGCAGCTGCAAAACAAAAGTACAGTTCTTGATATGCCTCTAGTCCCAGTCGGGAGGCAATTTCGGCCAAACTTCCCAGTCCACTACATCCTCCCACCTCAAGCTGCGTTGGGGAAGCATTGCAGGCAGTCTGCTTCTAGTTCGATGGCGCTTCCGCTTGCTGCCCTGGCTTTTCTTCTTAAAGAAAGGCGTCCTCGCTGCGTCAGCCCAGAGTTTTAGCTTGTCTGGCTCTCGGGCACATAGCAGCGCCACCTCTCTCGTTGCAAGAGCATCTTCCAAAGCAGCGTGAACTCCACAGCCACCCTTTTTTGGAGGATTCGCGAATCCGGATTCCCAGGAGCTCATCGCAGAGCGTCTTCAGGCCCCATCTCTTTCGAATCTTCAAATTCTTTCCCAGCACAGCATCGGCAGTGACAATAGCCGAATCGATGATTCTCGAGTGAGAGACGTGTAATACCTTCAAGTCGCTGTAGACTGATTGTCCGATGAGGATTCTCTCCTTATCAGCGAATCGCCAAAGCTCAGCACGAGCAGCTTCCCAGTCATGCAGGACCTTGTTTCTGCAACAGCCTCCCGCATACTAACAGTGCTGATACCGGTGATATCCTCACGCCAGTCTATGATAGGTCTTGAGGGATTGACAAGACAGCTCTGCAATACCTTGCCTGAAAGAAAGTCGATCATTGTTATCTGAATCAGCTCATTCTCTCCCCTACAAGTACTACCCATCTCACAGTCTAGCACTATGGCTGCAGTCTTAGGCGCTGATGGGTTTGTGTTGGGACACGGGAGATCGGTTCTGGATTTCGGGGTGGAATCATTCTAGAGTTCAGTATTGGTTGGCAGGCTGTATCCTTCCTTCTGGAGGCGCTCTTCTGAATGGCATAGGTCTGAGGGTTAAAGTCTGATGCTATTTAGTTCGGCAGCGGAAAGGGTAGTGTACGCGATATCTCGGTAAGTGAGAGACGGCACTGACGCAGACGAAGGCGGCTCACTGGCTATGGTCGCTTTTTGGGTAGCCTCAGAAGCGTCTTTCATCTGAGCATGTTCATTCTTTGCAGAGTCTGTAAGAAAACCCTTCTGACAATGAGCGCGTTCGTGCTCTTTGGATAGTGTAACGGACGACATGTTGGTGCAAGGCGCTTCTAGCTAATGATCTAGCAAGGTGAGCGCAAGAGCAGGAACGTTCGGACTGTTGCGTCGAACTTGGCATGAAATGGTGCTGGTTACATGTATTTAGGCAATTTCTGTCTACTGTCGCCCTTACGATATCCAGCGCAAATCCGCGGGAAGAGAGAGTTGTTGGTATCAAGAACCTTATCAGAAGTGCTATTATCGAACTACCCATCAGGCTACTTTCACCACGCAATCATCCCAGCAGGAAGACAACAGGACATATCATAATGCTGAACTGTGGTGATGGCAAACCAGCTATCGGTCGCGTGTGATAATTTCGGTTTCAAGGAATCTTCGCCCTATTGGCTAAGGCTTCAGCTCAACAGGTCTAATCTCTGCCTGGGCATAAGGTGTTTTCATAGGCGGACAGACACTGTGGTAGCAAAAGAGCCAGGAGACTGCAATATATATTTAGGTGATGAAGGCTTAGCAGACACCTCTTTCCCGGCTTACATAGTAAGATCGGTCTACCTCATTTGTAACTTCTGAATTCTAGAGGGCCTCTAGAGTCATCATCTCGGGGTATGAAGCTACGACGAGCAGTCCCAGCTCCGCATGATCGTGGCGCGTTTAAGTAGGACTAGACCCTTTCCAGCCTTTTAATCGATCTAAACGCCGAAGTTGACCCCCTTTCTTACCGGAAGACAAGCGCACCTTTCCACCCGGGTTATTGACAACTGTAACGGAGGGGAATTCTGAGTTGTTTCTGGCGGATCCTGTTCCCACCGCACCGTGAACCTTGACTTTCTCAATAAAAGCAGTGACCTGCAGAAGCAGAGTTATTACGAGTATCAGCCCTCTGGAAGTTTCTCCGACCTAGTCCAGAATATTGACTCTCGGAAGCAATGATCGACTTGGCAAATCATCGAGACGCTCCAGGAAAGAAGGATTGCCGCAAAGACGAGCCGTTAATTACAGGCAGCAATTAACGCCTAATACATACTGCGGCACACACCCCAGTTTCGCATTACTACAGGCAAGGAGTAAGCTGCAAAACTTAGGGCCTGATCGGCACCGCCGATATCATTTGACACTTTGGATAAGGACTGATAACGCAGACTAAGCACCACCTATAACAGCTATTAAAGCCTAAAATTCACTAGATTAGGAATATAACCATGCTGTATCCTCCTGTTCTAAGCCAAGTGTACTATAATTTAAGTTTAATAGCACCTATGGCTGGTGCTTAGTCTGCGTTATTGGTCCTTATCCGAAGTGTCAAATGATATCGGCGGTGCCGATCAGGCCCTTACTCGAAGAACTACTGGGCTTATGGCTGTGGCAAAAATGACGGAGTTAATTGCGGGCAGTAAATAACACCTAATATAACCTGCAACAAGGTTAGGATTGACACACACAGGGGTGGGTAGAGATCTGGAGGGAAATATGAGAATAGTCCAAGTTCCGCATCTCCTGCCAGATACTGCGTCTTTAGAAAGCGTGACTGTTACCGACTCAGCGCCATCTTTTAAGAAGAACATAGTTCACACCGGAAGAAACGTTTGAGAAAATCTCTACTTAGATGTAGTGCAACCGTCTTCATTCTATTAGGGTACGATCTATCAATATACCTGAGCTTCAGCCCCGACAGTTACTTGCTCCTGAATTCACATGAAAGGATTGAGCTGTCGAAGTTCAAGATGCTTCGTCGAAGGAGCTACGGAAACTATGAGCTCACGCATCAAAGCAACTTTTGCATCGCCAGCAGAGAAACAGCCAACGACAACTACTTGGCTGCCGTAACAGCAAACGGGTTCGCTGTGAACGTCCCGTTGGGGTCAGCCTTGGCCCTCGCCCTCCCGATTCTCTTGTACTTCTCTTCATCCTCATAGTAATACTTCCAAACCTTCTTGTCCCCCAGGTTCCAGTCGCCGTAAGAGCCCCACAGAAGGCGCTTGTCTTGCTTGCTGAAAGGGCTGGTGGGCCCGTTCATAAGAGAGTCATTCGTAGCCTGCCAGTCTTGGGCGATCTTCCTCGACTCGTCGTCGTCCCGGTAGAAACAATCGAGTACTTGGACGACGGTACTGTCTCTCCAGCTATACGAGGTGCCGTTGTCCTTGTTGAGGTTGAACATGGAATGATCCCCCCCGAAGCACTGGATCTGCACTGCAAGCTTGCATCTCTGATAGAGCTCGAACTCCTTGTCACCTTTGTGGCCCTCGATTGCCGACTTGGGGTTGTAGATAAGGTCGATGCGATCAACTGCTGCCTGAACCCAGCTGTCTTTGACGAGAGTTCTAGAGCTAGTTGCGTACGTCCGCTTTTCGTAGGGGAGTTCGAACTCGCGCTCCTTTGGAAAGATCCATTGACCAGTCATATCGGCCATCTCCATGTCAAGCTTCTTGTATTGAAGCGCGATTCCTTTGAGGTTTTTGAACTGGCTGAACCAAGCATCAACGCTTTCATCGTATCTGTCTGTCTTGCTGGTAGGGCACCATTGAGCATAAAGTATGATAGCAGCCGGAAACTTGCCCTCGAGGAAGTTTGCGATATCTTCTCCAATCTGGGAGTTTATCAACTCCTGCATCTTGCTCCATTCTTTGCCATCCTGCAGCTCTTTGAACATTGTCGCAATGGGGAAGTCTTGGCTAAGAACACTGATACAGAGATCGAACCCACGCGGTACGGAAGGGTCGTCAGCCATCTTAGCAACAGCGTTAAGAAGTGTACTGAGCAACTCTTTGTTGTACAGCCAGAGGGCTTTGATGCCCTGTGGGTTCCTGGAGCCATTGATGCCAGGGACGTCAGTGATGTAGCTCTGGGACTTGTAGACCTCAATGATGTAGTGTGTGATGATGCCGAAGTTGCCAGGACTGCCGCCAAGGATGGCCCAGAAGAGCTCCGGGTCGCTTGCCTTGCTGATGTCTCGAATATCACCATCGTGAGAGACCATGGTAATAGTTCTGATGTGGTCGCCGAAGAGTCCAAAGCTTCGGGACAGCTGGCCATAACCCCCCGTTTGGCCATGTCCTCCAATGCCAACATAGGCGCACTGGCCGTGGGGGACGAAGAGTCTGTTGTGCTTGAGATAGGCGTTCAGCTCAAAGTTGCGAATGCTAACGCCGACGTGAACCAATGCTCGATCATCGGCAATTGGGTTTGCGGGTTTGATGACCATGAGATCCTTGTAAGTGTTGGACAAGTCGATCTGGATATTCTTGCCGGTGGTTGATGATGCGCCACTGTACTGGTGACCACCGCTCTTGACAGCAATGGAGATGTTGTTGTTTCGGGCAAAGTTGACCGCCTTGATCACATCGTCGTCATTTTTGGGCCGGACGATAAGATCCGGGTCCATGCCTCTGTCTCTCTTGTGGGTTGAGCTGGCGTACTGCTGGTTGAAGAAAGCGTAGTCTCGCTGCTCAAACTCATCGCCATCTCTAGAATATTGGAAACCCTCAAAGCCCTGAATGCGAACCATGTTTACGAATGCTTGAAGTGGATGGATTAAGATGATGATGTTGTGGGTTGATGGTTAGATGGTCATATGAGAACTTGAGGTGGGCGACCAGAGGCTTTTATGGATCGATTTTACCCTCACTTACTTCATGTAGCGCTTTCTGCCTCGTATGACTCTAACCAGCACATTCGTCACATCGTGGCTGATTGCCTATGGCTTGGCATAATGCTGCAAACCGGTCCGACGGGGGTATGATGGTTGACAGCTGCAGAGATGTTGCAGTCAGCCTTGTGTCTTACAGTAAGCTGGTAGAAGTTACTGAACGCGGCCATATCTTCAATTGCACTGTTTTCACTGGCCGCTGTATTCTTGTTCAGGCATCACATGCTTCCTTCCAGCGTTGAAATAACAAGATTCGCCTGCATTTTCAAGGTAATAGCTTGGGAACTGAAGACTGCATGAGACATGTCATCCGAGCTGAAAAGTCCGAAGGAACCTAGAGACTTCTATTCCACGGATACAGATTAGTGTGCCGTGTCTTGTAGTCCTCGAGGTATATCATTACAAACGGCTGCCTGGACAGTCTTCAACGGTCTTTACGGAGCCCACACAAGCCTTTCACGTCACACCAGCCCCTCAAATGTGACAGGAATGGACTTACCGCAAAGGTTCACTGGAACTGAATACGGATTAGGGGTTATTTGAGGACCGTAGTATTTGTGCTAATATCTGGCCCAGGGTCCGCCTCTTTGCGGCCTTTCGGCGCTGTGTGTACTCCTAGTGCTTCAGCCAAGTCGTTCCTGAGACACCAGTTACACAAAATCTAAGTACTTAGGCACTGTGTCTGAGGAAACTCCCGTAAAATCATCCGTACAACTAACGAATCTTCAGCGGTAGGTATTCGTGGACTTAGCTCATTGGCTGACTGGAACGAAACTTCGTTTAGGCGACGCGGGCACCCAGTTGAATAGATACATGTACAGAGAAACGAAGTACATTTACTGCGATAAAAAAACCCAAAATAACACAGAGGCTCGAGGAGCATTATATTCATAGGCAGTTACGAGTACAGCGCTATGATGCAAGTGACTCTCAAGGATGGTCTTTGGGAATGTACATGGGCCTCAGTCACAAGTAGTTCCTAGCTGTTATCCTCCCCAACTACTACAATCTTGTGTAGACCTGAGTGTATAGAGTATACTCCAAACTGATGTATAGATACGTCAAATCACTGGTCAGACACCCGGAACGGGAACTCGGCTTCCACCATTCGTGGCCAATGTCTTAGGTATCTCAATCCTCCACAGTAAAAAGCCCCGTGCAGTTCTGCTCAAGTGGAAATACTATAGCCAGGCGCCAATTCCACTCACGCAAGTCTATAATCACATGGAAACGGGCAGTGTGAACCTCAGGAACTGTTTTCGACGGGAATGTACCTGATCCAATCACTGGCAATGAAACGGAAGTACAGTAAGACGAAGGATCAGCCCAACCAACTTACGTTGAGCAGTGTCTCACCAAAGTAACTTTCGGTGTCAGTGACCCCTCTTAAGTATTACGGACAGAGCCGGTGTCCGTTGGAGGGCGGTGGCGAATATTCATCGCTGGATAGGTACCTAGAGTGGTTCGGCGGATTGAGCGGACCTGGAAAACGTGGCTTATGGAATGTCCAAGTCAACTCCCAGGGGCCCCTAAGAGGAATGCGCATTCGGAACAGCCCGCTTACCCTTTCAGCTGCACTTACCGAAGCATGGTAAGCTCTTTTGACATGTCAATCACCACGAGGTAGTGCTTGACGTGTTTCACGAGGCTATGTGCGTACGTACGGAACCGGATGAGTAAAATAAGACCCTCGGTTGTGCTCATAAAGGCACTAGAATTATCTGGTTAAAACACAGCCCTGATCAGCATGAGAGGTACGGATAATCATGTCTCACAGCGTAACTGCTACGACGCGCAAGCGAGGGGAACTGGCTCACATGAGGCGGGGTAAAGACCAATACGATATCCTGCAGCCTCTGTGTCCAGAGGTTGCTCGAGATGCCGTATTGCTGCCCATCATCACATAGAACCGAAAATACTGATTGCGAGCTGGGTACAAGATTTGCTTGTTAGATGCGCCTGGTTATCAGCACTACAAGCAAGAAGTAATATGCATTCCAAGGCGACTAATACGAAAGAGGCTACGTAGGAGACGGGCTGGTATGCTGACGTACGAATGAACATGCATATGAGTATACAGACGATCCCGTGTTCCCATACGTCCGGTTACGAACAGCTGAATAGATCTGCCCAGCTTCCGCATCAGTTGATGGGGCAATGGCTGCGTGGCCGTCCCGGCTATGGGTTTCTATCAGCCCCGTAGAATGCCTTCGGGCGCGTCTGGAAGGATCCTTGGCTGGGATCGGCATTCCCGCGTCGGCCGCCGATCCCACCAAGGAATGAATGCGAAAAGCAGAGAGCTTGGTCACTCCGACACTGTTCCATCCATATGGGGCCTCGCTGTGCTGGTCTTCGAATTTATCCGGAACTCGGCAACTACGGCACCAGGTAGTTCGGCAACCCGCCATTTAACCAAGACCGGATGCGCACCACTAGTGTGCCGCGAACAGACATTTTGATCCCGACGGGAGACGGCGAATCCCGTTGGCGGAGAAAGTTCATGTACGGATACAAGTCCCCCCAACTCCTCAGCCCGACCCCGGGAGTAATTATATTATGTGGAGTCATCAGCTATACCTGGATGATTGCGAACAAGCACCGCATTTTATTCTACCTATGTTCTTTTTGCTTTTTCTTTTTTAATGTGATGACCATAAATCAGATCTAACAGGCTGGGTTCTTTCTGTATTTCTTCCCAGTCTCTCTACTCAATCATACTTGGTTAGCAGTTCCTCCTTTTTCGGCAGCCGCCCTGAGGACCTCTCTCACAGACATGATCTAGTAATACAAGGAGTCCAGGGTATACGTTCACATTGTTGCGATATACTATGGGCTAGGACGATACTCGCACCCTATGATATTCTTTCGAATATAACTCCTCTTCTGAATGCTTCAACCTTCGACCCTAGCCCGTGCCGCTCTATAACAGAAACTCTCCGCACGTGACCGATAATGAAGCTGCATAGTAAACGAGTCCGTGTCCTATAGCGTTAGTGCATAAGGTGCTTGGCCAGCCATTGGCTTGTCGACACTATCAGCAGCCCACGGGTTGGTTCGTGAACATTGTAAAGCACACACTGTACAGGCAGGATCCTTGTCGGGAAAGCTGGCATCCTTACAGGCTCGTGAGTTTGCGGCTTCGGTTCAAGTGAACAGTCAGCATGCATCACGATGGATGGATCTGGCATTCTTCTGGGTTGACACGGCCAGTCCTTTTCAGGGGCTTGCACGGATTGCAAGGCAAGTAGATCACAGGGCCCCTGGAGTCTGAAACTGAACCTCATAACGCGATGTATTATTCTGCGGATGACCTCGACAAGCGTCAAGCTGTACTAGCGTAAAAACAGGTTCAGAAGAAGTAGAGGAAAAACATATATAAGAAGTGAAGAGGTTATACATGTCTGGAACCCTCAGTGTACAGGGGTGGTGGTGCGTACAGAAATATTTGTAACAAGTGAAAGTTATATATGTCTGGGACCCCTAGTGTACAGGACGGTGGAATTCGTACGTGTCGACGCACTGCCGAGCTTCACGGTGACAACGCCCTTGGCTGGGACGGAGACGGAGACGGCCGGACCGGAGACAGCGACCTGCGTGACTGCGAAGGTGCGCGTGTTGTCAGTGACGTAGGCGGCGGCCGCACCGGGGACGAACCCGCCATTGAAGGAGACCGAGGCTGACTGGGCCGCGGCGCCGTTGTTGGTGAGGACGAGGACGACGGAGCCGTCGGTGTTGCGGACGGCGGCGGTGAGGACGCCAGAGACGGTGCCAGAGGTGGCGAGGCGCATGGCGCCAGGGCGGATGTAGCGGGACCACATGGCGAAGGCCCAGAAGTTGGCCGAGGGCGTGGCGGTGGCGCCGTCGCGGGTGTCGACGAGGTGGCTGTCGGACTGCAGCTGGTTGAGTTCGAAGCCTTCCCAGTAGAGGTAAGCCGACAGGCGGGCGTTGACGATGCCGACGGCGATCTTGTTGGCCCAGGTCATGCCCTCGGTCGGCCCGCCGTTGTTGTACCAGGTCGTGTCGAAGGCCTTTGTGATGCCGGACTCGGTCACCCAGGAGGACAGGCTGGTGTTGAGGGCGCTGTCGGCGTCGCCCGAGTAGGTGTGCGAGGTGATGAGGCCGAGGTACTGCTCCATACCGGCCGGGACGAGGGCGTTGGTGTACTTGACCGTGGAGCCCCAGCCGACGGCGTCGCAGCAGGTGATCTTGGTGGTGAGGCCGGCCGACTGCAGTGTCTGGTGCAGGGTCGGGATGAAGGAGATGGCCTCCTGGGCGTTGAAGCTAATCTGCATTTGGGAGTAGCTCGGTCTATGTCTCCCCCCCCGGGGGTGCGGGTTAGCTTTCGGCACCGCGGGAAGCATGGACAGACAGGAGAACATGCAAAGCTGCGTGGGTGCAAGGGGTTGACGTACGAGTAGTCCGGCTCGTTGAGGAAGCCGACGTGGGTCACGTTGAGCCCGGTTTGGGCGTAGTACTTGATGTACTGCGCGAGGAGGTTTGCGTAGGCCTGGCGCCAGTCGCCCGAGGCGCAGGTGTGGCCGGTGGTGCCGCAGAGGTATCTTCACAAGAGGTTAGATGCTGTTAGCCTCTCTTTCTTTTTTTGAACTTGGGGAAACATGATGAGAGTTTAAACAAGGAGACCATAATGTAGATCAAACAGTGTAGGCAACTCTGCTCTCTGTCTCTCTGTGGGTTGTGTGCGGCGGCGTGCATGTATGCGTACCCAGCTGTGGCCTCATTCCCGCTTGTCTTCATGAAGCCGGGGGCGCTCCAGGCGTCGGCGTAGATCTGTTCCACGCCGTAGGACACGGCCTGCTTCGTGAACCACACCTGGCCGCCGTCGTCGCCGTCCCAGACGTAGGCGGGCTGTCCGGTGGGCGAGCCGGGGCTGACGGGGAGGATGCTGTCCCCTCTGCCGCCGGAGCCGATGCGGTTCCGGATGATGCTGAAGCCGGCGCCGGAGGTTGTGTTGAAGAGCAGGTCGAGGGCCTGCTTCTGCAGGGCCTGGGGGGCGTTCTGGAACTCCTTAGCGCGCCCAAAGGCCTGGGAGAAGCCGAAGCCGTCGATGGGCTGCAGCGTAGTGCCGGCATCCACAGTCACTTGACCAGAGGACAGAGTGACCAGGCACCCCATGGCGGCGGCAAGGGCAGCAAGGCCGACCATTTTGCCGTGTAGGGTTGGGGCCGTATGTGATTGGCTCGAAAATAGAGAGAGGGAGGAGAGAAGGGGGCGGAAGAGAGAGCGAGAAAGAAACCAGGGGCCGGGAAAAGCGTATCGCCCCAATAGCAAGAGAATAACGAACGTAGGTAGTAGGGATCTCAGCTGCTGTACGGATACTCCTGTAAATCTGAGCTGAGTTCCTGGGACCTTATGTCTTGGCGTGCAAGATATATGTCGATCTGTAGCCCTAGGAAGCTCACCCGAGTACGGCGCCCTCGGCTTGTTCCCTTTTGGAACGGCAGGGAATTCATTGGTGGACCATTAGAGTTGCGAAAGCGGTACAGCGGAAAGGCATCTGGAACCAAGCAAGCAGGCCGTGGTCATTTCCAGTAAATTGATCAGGGGCGAGTCGCCTTGGTTTGGTACAACGGCCTACAAAGCAGAGGGCGAAGGGTTCTGGTCTCCTTCTTCTCCGCTCGCCCCCTCCACTTTCTTTCTTTTCGAGGATTCGACTTACAGTGAGACCTTTTCTCTTTCTCTCTTCCCCCCCTCCTTCCACCCCTCCTCGTCTGTGATGGGCTCTGTGATGGGGGAGGTGGGGTGACAGCGAAGGATTGCCACGTTGTTAGGGTTATTGGAGGGGGGAGTGTAATACATAGTTGGTATAGGTATTACCACTCACCGTGCGATGCTAAGCTTTCCGCTCAACCTCCTGAAAGCTTGGAAGCATTGGCGCCTGTGCGGTTCGTCCCATTGACAAGACGCACATCCTGTCTCTTAACAGGGCTTAGCAGATCTTAGTAATTAACTTAATTGGTGACGGCATCTTGAAGGTTTACTCCCAAGGCCATACAGTCGCATAGTTAAGCATGTATTTGGGTCAACCCCTACTGCTTCGTCTCAGGCTTGACGCTTCTTCTTGCTTTCCTTCCTGGCCTTCTTCTTTGTCAGAAGTGTTCAGTAGACAGACAGACAGCTACGCCTTGGGCCTCAATACCCGCTCGTAGATGACGTTCGGCTCTCTCAATGCCGGCAGTGTCACTGATAGATGGGGGAAGGGCCCCTTCCCCATCTCTTGTTCTGTCACATTTCACCTCAAGTGCCGTTCGAGCCGCATGATTTGGGGAAAAAATCATGAAGGATCACCGTCGGGTTGTCGAGGATAGAGCAGCTGACTATCCCTCAACATTCCCTGCGGCCCAGCAAGACAAGACGATTGGCGCGCCTGACGTGTTCGTCGTACGGAACCCAGGGGGGCATAACCAGTGTTGGAACCAAAACTCGCCGCCGTTCCAAGAAGATGACGACGGAAAGCCCTCCCTCCCCATTCCCTGCGGCCCACGTTGCGAGAATAGTGTACCCGAATCCGGACGGACGACGGGGGTCAATTCTCCCTTCGACAAATATTTAGGCAAATGCTCCCGGATAGTTGAAGGAGTGGAGGAAGATTGTGGGTTCAGACCCAGAAAATGGGCCGCTACCAGAGATTATATCGATGCGTTTCATCTATGTTAATTCCCACGAATGCGATCCAGACCGTTTTCCCCACTCCACAGAAGCTTGGTACGATTAGTTCTTCTTGGTTCTTTATGCGAAACTCTCGTATTCCGTTCGCACTTTTGAACGGACGGGCCTGGCTACGCAGGAAACCCCATGGATCTCCAAAGCTGGGTGGAAATCTGCTTATTGCTTCCCCCTCGTGAGAGTCATATATATGTCATGGGTTATATATATAGGTATGATCTGCCGCCGACTTAAACAAGCTTTTTCTCGTTCTTCACCTTCAAGGCCTCTCTCTCTCTCTCTCTCTCTCTCTCTCTCTCTCTCTCTCACTCCCTCACCTCCATCGCCAACCCCGACACACACTCGTTCTGCATATACTTGGTACACAGTAGAGGCCATCCGACATCATGAAGACCACCGGCATCCTCTCGTCGGCGCTCCTGCTGCTCGCCTCCGCCGGCGACGTCGCGGCGCAGTGCCAGCTCCCGACCACGTACAAGTGGACGTCGTCGCAGCCCCTGGCGCAGCCCAAGAACGGCTGGGTGGCGCTCAAGGACTTCACGTCGGCGCCGTACAACGGCAAGCACGTCGTGTACGCGACGACGCACGACGCGGGCACGTCATACGGCTCCATGGCCTTCGGCGCCGTCTCCGACTTCTCGCAGCTCGGGGCCGCCAGCCAGACCAAGACGCCCTTTGCCGCCGTGGCGCCCACGCTCTTCTTCTTCCGGCCCAAGAACGTCTGGGTGCTCGCGTACCAGTGGGGCCCTACTGCCTTCTCGTACCGCACGTCGACGGACCCGACCAACATCAACGGCTGGGGCGCCGCCCAGCCCCTCTTCAGCGGCTCCATCTCGGGCTCCAGCACCGGTCCCATCGACCAGACCGTCATCGGTGACAGCCTCAAGATGCACCTCTTCTTCGCCGGCGACAACGGCAAGATCTACCGCTCCGAGATGCCCATCGGCAACTTCCCCGGCAGCTTCGGCTCCTCGTCCCAGGTCGTCATGAGCGACACCACCAACAACCTGTTTGAGGCCGTCCAGGTCTACACCCTCAAGGGCCAGCAGAAGTACCTCATGATCGTCGAGGCCCAGGGCTCCGGCGGCCGCTTCTTCCGCTCCTTCACGGCCACCAGCCTCAACGGCACCTGGACCCCCAACGCCGCCACCGAGGCCAACCCCTTCGCCGGCAAGAAGAACAGCGGCGCCACCTGGACCAACGACATCAGCCACGGCGACCTCGTCCGCTCCGACCCCGATCAGACCATGACCGTCGACCCCTGCAACCTGCAGCTGTTGTTCCAGGGTCGCAACCCCAGCGCCGGCGGCAGCTACGACCTGCTGCCCTACCGCCCCGGTCTCCTCACCCTCTCCAAGTAGAGTCCATGAGACCGAGGTCGACGGCTTGCCGGGGGCGATTCTGCAGAGCCATCTCGGGGGTGAAGGATGATTCTGGAGAGGCCGTCGTTCGGCTTTTTGCACATTTTCAACAGTGGCACATACTTTTTCTTCTTCTTGATTGCTCCTGTAAATACCTTATTATCTGGACATAACAATTTCACTCTTGAGGGCCGCACCAGTCGGTCTTCCGCTTACATATATCTCTACCCATTCTGTCGACTGTGTCTCCCACAGTCCGTCTCTTGCATGACGTATTCGCCAAGGTGAAGCTCGCCGTGAACTTTGGGTTGGAGAAAAGGAGGACGAAAAGGGACGCAACCCAAAGCGCCTAGCGCGGCAGTCGTTCTCCGCGCTAACACCAGCAGAGGTCGGGCCGTCGGAAATAGACAGGTAGATCAAGGCCCCGTCTCCTGGTTGGTTCCAATAATGCGGTTGATGAGGTGATTATGCACGTTGATTTCTTGGTACCGACCGATACTTCGCCCTCTGCGTCGTTCCGATGCACGCCACCTACGTCCAGGTGGTTTGCTCCACCGTTTGTGTGGCGTCACCGTTGATGCGACTATCGCTAGACGCCGAGAGCCACACGGCCACTCGCCTTCCGGAGACATTCAGAGAGCGATATTACGGTTTGTCCATTCTTAGAGAGAGCTGAGCCAGCCAAGTTGAGGGTCTCACGGCTTCTCAAAGTTCGACGCCTGCCGACTTCTCCATCCTCCTCTTGATATAACGTGAACAGTGAAGCGCTCAATGCGTTCGGGGAGGCTCACCTAGCCCAGCTAAAGCAAAGGCTTATCTGACCCGCGTGCTTTCTCATGAGTTGACGCGCTAGCAAATACGGAGTACGTCTGACAGCGACAAGATCGAAAACCCCTGTCTCTAAATCCTTATGGTGTTCTGCGGGGTAAAGCATCTCGAGCCCCTGGCCAAAAACAAAAACAAACAAACAAAGTGATGGGATTCTGACCAGCGCATATCGAAATTCGAGGGGGGTGAGCGAGCCCGCCATATCGATGCAGACGCAGGCCAGACGCCCCCCTCGCTCGACAGTCACCGGACGAGGTCGCGATACCGCGCCTCGGGCACAGCTGTCTCGGCTTCGCGACTTTTGGTCTCACAAAAAGGCAGAAAGCGAAGGGCGAGCGGACGCTCACCGACGCCGCGAAACAACCCCGCCCCGTGCACGCTCTACAGCGCGCTATGGCGGCATGATGATGATGCAGCCCGCCTCGGTGCGTCCCATCCGCGCCACGGGAGCTCTTTTTTTGGCCTGGAGGTGTGTGTATGCCTTCATTGGGTGGGCCTCTCGTCCGTGGCTGATCCATGGCGGTTGGCAGATCTCGCGCCGTCGGGGGACGAGAGGGATGAACCGGACGAAGATCGGTCCACCGGCATCTCCCCACCTGAGTCCGAGAGAAAGTGTGGATGAACGAGGCCGCTAACACGACCAACCGGGCCTCGGTCCCTGGGGCCCGGGCGCATGACGGCAGTCCGGTTGACCAGGAGCCAGACGCGTATACGTGCGACGCAGATGCGGAAAACCCATCTCTTGTTTCCCTTGGCACCACATCGGGCTGACGGACCCTCTCTCGTCTGTCCTGTCAGCCGAATTATAAACCCCCCTACCAGGACCCCTTCCACCCCGAGTTCATCCTGTACTTCTTTCGTATACAACTGCCAGCATCCCAGTTTGATCAAACATCGTCTCCCCCGTTCCAACTCATACCAACTCATCAGAAATCATGGCTAGCCCCGCCGGAAACATCTCCTTCGACGGTGGGTAACCCCGCGACCCCCCCATGAGAAACCGTCTGTGGAACGAGATTGCTGACTGACCGTGGCTCGGATTCTTGCAGACTTCCTCGGCCTCGAGACCGCCATCTTCGAGTGGGCTGACAGCTACGACTCCAAGGACTGGGAGCGTCTCCGGAAATGCATCGCCCCTGAGCTTCGCGTACGTGAACCCCTCATCTCGCTCTCCCACCCACCCTCACTCCACCCTCCCTTGCCTTTCATGCAAACATACTTCACATGTCACATTTCAACATTTCACACATCTACAAAGCCTATTTGAACTGACCCCCCCACGCCAGGTCGACTACCGCTCCTTCCTCGACAAGATCTGGGAGGCCATGCCCGCCGAGGAGTTCATCGCCATGATCTCGGACAACTCCGTCCTCGGCAACCCGCTCCTCAAGACGCAGCACTTCATCGGCGGCACCCGCTACGAGCGCGTCTCCGACACCGAGGTCATCGGCCACCACCAGCTCCGCGTCCCCCACCAGAAGTACACCGACGCCTCGCGCAAGCAGGTCGCCGTCAAGGGCCACGCCCACAGCTACAACAAGCACTGGTACCGCAAGGTCGACGGCGTCTGGAAGTTCGCCGGCCTCGCCCCCGAGATCCGCTGGTCCGAGTACGACTTCGACGCCGTCTTCGCCGACGGCCGCGACTCCTTCGGCGCCGACGACGCCAAGACCGACGTCAAGGTCGTCGAGAAGGAGCTCAAGACTGCCGTTTCTCACTAAGCAGCTGGTGGTATACTGATGCACACACATACACATACACTTGAACACACACACACACACGCAAATACGCTGCCACACTCACATAGGCGTATGGAAATGAGGGGAAATAAGTGAATACCCCAACCCCTCCGGTCATGGGAAAGGCGAAGTGGGAAACGTTGTTTTATCGGGTAAATACTTGGCATTATGAGAATAGACATGAGTTCGTCTGCACATGTGCATGAAGAAATGACCACTGCCATCACCTACCCATCATCGTTCGCATGTTTCCCCTCGGGGGTGAGTCTGCGAAAAGAAAGAAGCTTACTGTGAATGTGAAATTACTGGATAACAACACTCTCAGTCGAAACTCCTGGAGTCATGTTCATGCAAAATTACTCTCCTCATATCTCAACTATAGCCAAGGCAGCCTTAACCCCCCTCCCATCAGGAACGCCTCTCGCGGCGGCGGTGGGCAGCAAGAGCCGACCGGAGCCCCTCCTTGAGCACCCAGCCGCCGTGCACACGGGCGATCTGGACCTCAGGCATGCGCGGCGAGGACCTCGGGAGGGAGTCGACGTTGGCTAGGGTGGGGCTCGTGGGCCACGGCGAGGGCATCTGGAGGGAGTCGGCGTCGCGGAAGCGGTAGGGGCGGGGAGCCGGGGGAGGTGAGGCGGGGGCGGCAGCGGCAGCATTGTCTCTTCTCTGTGGAGTGTGGACGGCCGCGGCAACCGAGTGGCCCGGCGCCGGCGGGATCTGGGACGGGATATCAGCCGGTTCCGAGGGGAGGGCAGTGTTTGGGGCGCTGGGCTGAGCTGGACTGGCGTTTTGGCCGGGGTTAGTGCTGTTGTTCCGAGGGGTGGACATATTGGTAGACTCGTTTGGGGAGGGGGTTAACCTGTGAGGCGCTGAGATGGTTGCTGCGTGTGTGTGTGTGTGTGTGTGTGTTTGATAATGTTGATGGTGGTGGTGATGGTGGTGATGGTGGTGATGATGAGGGGAGTGATATGGCTAGGTCACCCATTGATTGTTATTATACTACATGATGAGTTCCGGATTTCTAGGTGTCAGTTGTTTGATTCCAAGACGTTGTTCTGAACAATGTGGGCAAAGTAATGGTGCTTTCTTCGCCGCTCCCCCCCACAAAGCATCGATGCTGTCTTTGTGACGATGACCCGTTTGTCCCATCAACATCGCCATCCGAGGCATCAGAAGGCTTTGTCGGGAACCATTGAGATGCAAATTTTGCTATTGCCAAAGCACATGTCCACCATGAAGCTAGTCTTTGTTACTCCGTCGTCTTGCGGTATGCTCTACTGTCTTTAGACAACCAGATTTGTCTACCACTGACAAGTCCAGCAACTGGCTCAATTAGAAACAGTTCAGACACTTGCGACGACTTTTGGAACTGACAGTGATTCAAAGACGGCGAAACGGTTCTCATTTGGTTAGTTAGTTTAACGGGTCCAGCCTTTTCATAAGATGAATAAATCCTTGACTTTTGCGGATGATTGCGTGAATGTTCCACCAGACGCGCCGTCTATTTGACCTGTGACCAGTGACCGCGACGACCCTACTATAACATGGAATGACATATATTTACTTGGGCATATACAGATCAATAGAAGTACTGAGCGACCCTTCTTGAACGTGCTGGAATGGTATAAAGAGTGTGAGATTGCTGCAGAGACTCGTAAGCAGCGAGGCTTCACAATGGGTTCCTTACAGTGAAATGGTCTATATTGGGGGGTAGGGGGGTGACAAAAACAAAGAAAATATAGTACGATTCATCTATTCCAGTTAAAGAGAGTTAAATATACAATCCACTAGTGGCGATGCCATATTGACTCGCTCGTCTTGCTGTTGCATGTAGACAGACAGACATGTCACTGTATATTATCCAGCGGCCGTCACGTGCCCCGCAGCGGAAGATGAAAGAGCCCGAAAGCCCGCGTCGCACTTTTGGCGGGGCAGAAAGTGGAAGAGACACGGGCTTCGACGGAGACAGCCAAAGTCCATAGCTTCGACGGGTGGACTTGGAGAGCTCCGGCGGCCGACATCGTTCACGATTGACTTTCTTTTAGGAAATCGAAACACCAGTTTTTTTTTACTTGTTCCCTCGACGGCCCCGCGGGCCACACACACACACACTGTCGACCTACCAATATCATACTCGCTCACGAAAGAAACAAAGCGGCCAGTATCCGAAGCAACCCTTCGCAATGGACTACGTGGACAAGCGACTGCAGGAGGAAGCTGTGAAGCCTCAGGACGGATACAGGTAAGACAGCTCCCTCGTCCTCCTCCCCAGTAGCCTCTCTCTCTTCCTACCCTCGAACCTTTCCATCGGCCTCTCGTCTCCCAAATGGCCAGGACCGCTAACGTCTCCCCTCCCCTCCCCAGCAACGACGCCTTCTTCACCCCCCTCAACATCCTCGTCCTCCTCATCCTCGGCTACACCATCTACGTCTTCCTCCGGCCGACGCCGCCCCCGACGCTCCCTCGGGAGCCCCCCGCGACCGTCTTCCGCGTCTTCACGCCGCGCGCCCTGCTGCCCTTCACGGGCGAGGACGGCGGCCCCGTCTACGTCGCCGTGCGCGGCCGCGTCTTCGACGTCACCGCCGGCCGCAACTTTTACGGCCCCGGCGGCCCCTACTCCAACTTCGCCGGCCGCGACGCCACCCGCGGCCTCGCTTACGGCAGCTTCGACGAGGAGATGCTGACGGCCGACCTCGACGGCCCGCTCGACACCGTCGACGACCTCGGCCCGGACGAGGAGGAGGCCCTGCGCGGCTGGGAGGAGACGTTCGAAAGCAAGTACCTCGTCGTCGGGAGGCTCGTCGCCGCCGGCGAGGAGGACGACAAGTGAGGGTGGGGGCTGGAGAACAGAACGTTCCGGGAGGGAGACATGTAGAAAAGAGAGGTTTTTTTTTCTTTTTCTTTTTCTTCTCAAGGGGCGAGGAAAACAAAAGGCCCCGTCTGTCTATTACGGGCAAGAAAAGCAGCTGTCGCTATCGCGCGGCTCAGTTCCAATGTTGACGGCCAAGGGAGGGCCACTGGCCGCTGCCTCGACCGTTGTGTGTGGCCATCGTAAACCCCGGCGGCGGGCTCATGTGCCGTGTTCTATTTTCGCTTCTTTGATTGCCTTCTCGAGAACTCGAGTATTGGGTCGAGGGCAGCAAGCAAAGGGATACGATACGGGCACTTTTTGAACGTGACGTCCGGTGTGACGCCGAGAGCAGGCAAACAATGCGAGACCGGGTTCTGCATTCATTCAATGAGCCGATTAAGAAGCGAATCCAGCTTTCTTCGCACCCAGTTGATGTGTGACTAGCAAAACAATCCCCGTGGTTCATCTTTTTGCGACCTCTCAAAGCCCACGTCCTGACGCTTGGAGTGCAATGTAAGTATGGTATCGCGCCCTCAACACACAATACGGGCATGATGCAAGGGTTGCTTTCAGGGTTTACGGGGTATTATGGGTGGTCAGTCTTTACCGCCTTGGCGGTTGAGGCGTGAGAGTGAGAGATGAACGGGGCTGACGGCGGTGGCTGGGGGCTGCCATAATCCTTCCTCTCCGCACAGGCAACGCTCGCTGGGCCAAACATGTCAGGTCAGGTCATGTTCCTCTCCTTGATGCGTCCCGAGTGGCCGGCTGGGGGAAAAGGCCGAGTCCTCGTGGGTTAGGGGCCACGAGACGGGATGGATGGAGGAAATGGAGGTGTGCAGCAAAACAAAACTTTGCTCATGTCAATGATTGATTTGCTGATTCCCTTTTGGACAACAGCAACGGGAACGGGCGGACATTGTGAGACGTTTCCGTCACGATCCGGACGCGCGAGTTGCTTCTCACTCTTACGGATACCTCTCTCTCACTTCTCACCCATCACAACGCCGGATCCGCTCTCGTGCTTTCAATCTTACGGCACAGGCTGCCTCAATGGGGTGTTGTCGTGTCATTGTTCTCACCACTCCCTCGAAGAGTCCAGTCTTGGGGCTTTGTTTCTCTCATCTCTCTACACACACACACACACACACACACATACACACACATACACACAGCACCTACAGCCAGGCCGTTCGACTTCTGCAAAAGGAATTGAATGGCTGGCGAGAACAATGTGGCTGACGCTATTTTCCCAGACGAGTTTGGGCTTGGGAACCACTAAATTTAAATTTAGTCACTCCCCCCTTGGCTCATCGAATTCGGCCATGGATGCAGATCCCACGGCGCCGCCTCGGCTCTTGTCCCGATTGTACCTCGAATTTCTTCCCGTGCCACTCGAGACGGAGAGAGATAGAGACATGGAGAGAGAAGCTCTTTCTGCCGTGACAGCTCGGAAGCACAGCCCCTGGGCAAAGATTACCATTCGTTCCTCGCTCCCTCCGCCAGTCACCTTGCACCAAACGTGTCTTACCGTCTCACACACCCCCTCGGCCAAATAACACCACATGCAGTGTGTCACTCCTGGCTTACACACACCCGCAGCTACCACACGAGATGCTCAGCCATCAGCCTTAAGAGAAAGAAGGGGAGAGGGAAGGGTGGAGGGAGGAAGCCGAGCGAGGTCGAGAAAGGAACAAGCTCATTGACGATGATCTATCTGTCTGCCTGCAAAAGCACCGCTGCATCATCACCCACCCTTCTGCCCACTCCGGCCTCAGCCTCGATCCGTCCGTTGGACGCTAGTGAAGCCGTCCATTCCTTTGCCCTGTTTGGACGCGGCCAACCGCCTCCTCTGTCATCATTGTCGCACTTTTGCTCCTTAAGAGCGTCCGGCTGCACCTCTCGCCCGTTCCCGTCGTCCTCTTGTCTTGCTGTCTTGGTGTTTTGATTCTCACCTACCAATAACAATAACAACATCAACAACAACGACAACAACTCCAATCGTCAATCTCCAACGACAATCAACCGATATTCCTGCTCCTAGACCCCGAGTCTGCTGGTACTCACTGGGGTCGGCCAGTTCAGATCAAAGACGACATCGATAACGACGAGACGTCAAACTGGTTGCCGACGAGGACCTCACATCATGGCGCCCGCACGGAGGAAGACCCCGGGGTTCCTCCCCCTCTCCGCCCCCCTCATCCTCCTCCTTGCCGCGGCGGCCCCCGGAGCCTTGGCAAAACACCAGAACAACTTCGACCTCTACCCGGCCGCCGCCCAGCCCTGCCTGTACGCCGCGTCCGACGCCAGCCTCTGCGACGGCGACACCGTCGCCTCCATGAACCAGTGCCTCTGCAGCGACGCCCGCGGCGGCTTCGTCACCTCCGCCGCCCTCTGCATCGGCCGCGACGCCAACCCCACCCTCCGCACCGTCTACCAGTCCATGACCACCGCCTGCTCCGACTCCAAGACCCCCATCGCCCTGACCCAGGACCAGTTCCTCGCCCTCGGCGCCCGCGGCGCCACCGCCTCCTCCCTGCCCGTCACCCCGTCCGCGACCACGCGGCCCGCCTCCTCCTCCTCCGCCGCCAAGCCCACCACCTTCAAGACCACCACTGGCGGCGCCACCGTCACCATCACGAGCACCCCGACGTCCTCGTCGACGAGCGAGCCCGAGCCCGAGTCGTCCGGGCTCAGCACCGCCGCCAGGATCGGCGTCGGCGTAGGAGCCGTTGTCGGCGTGGCCGCCCTCCTCGGCCTCGCCGCCTTCGTCTGGCGCCTCAAGCGGATAACCGAAATAGGTGGAACAATCCTTGCGTCGGCACGATCCCTTGCATAGGGTGTCAGTAAACCGTCATCGCGCGGCGCCGTGCCACTCTGTCGTGTTCCTATTTTCTTCGCCCTCTGCCCTTGGTAGAACTATCAATACTACTGAACACCGCAGTGTAATGCAGCTGATTTGATAAGTCTCACCGTGTCGTTTAACAGAAGTCAACGGCAGTCCGTCTTGGGGGTCATTATGTTCCTCACTAACAGTGCATTGACAGTTACTACATACGTACTCGCCGTCCGCGGGACCATTGCAGAAAATGGGATCTAATTTTCAATCGCGGTATGTACCCGGAATAAAATCGGCTCGGTCCGCAGACTGGACTTTGTATCATTATACAACTCTAGTCGGATCCATTGCTTGTTGGGTAATCTGTGTAATAGGCGCCTGTTTTACTGCTGCACATGCTTCAGAAAGGCAGCTACCGCCCCCTGCCGTCGCCGCCCAGGAGTACAAGGGCGAGTACAAGCAGCCCGGGGGGAGGCCCGTGTCCGAGATCGCGCAGGCCACCAGCCCCGTCCCCGGCAGCGGCGCGCAGACGTGGGCGACGACCTCGCCGCAGCCGCCGTACGCGCAGCCTCAGCAGCAGCAGCAGCAGCAGCATGCTTGGGGCCACCACCCGCAGGCCACCTACGTGCCTCCGCCATATCAACAGCATCAGCATCAGCAGCAGGACCCCCAGCAGGGCGGGGTGTTCGAGCTCGCCTCGATACCCGCGGCCTTGCCCCCCCAGACGTCCCAGCCTCACCCGCCGGACGCCGTGGAGATGCCGGCGGCCGAGGTGCAGCCGCGTCCGGCGAGATACATATATCCCTCGCAAAGACAATGAGGATCTTGTGTGAAAAGGGGGGGGTTGAGGGTGAGGATGATAATGGGACGTGTGACCCGAGACAAGGGCAGGGCGTGTAAAATACTTTTGATACCATGGGCGGCATTTTGCATGGACGGCGGAGGCCGGCGGCGCACTCTCCGGATTCGGGGCCGGGATTCATAGACACTGGGATACAGGATAAAAGCCACATTTTGGAATACATTGGTATCACGCTTCGGCGTGTAGGAATAATATATTCAAGCTCATTTTACGGAACCGGAAACGGAGATTCAATGGATGTGGACCCATATTCATCGACTTTTACCCATCAGCTTGAACTTGCTCACGTCAAACGAATTCGAGATCTATGAAGACGGGATGAGAGAGGGTTTTGACGTTGTAACTCCCCTACATCCAGGACGTGGCTATATATGCTTTTCTGTGCACCAATGATTTCTCCGAGATCTATCTGTCTCCATATGGCAACTTCTTCGTTCCATGTGCAACATCTGGGTGACCGACCGCTCTAGTCCAGGTCCTTGGAAACCCCCGAATCCCCCACCATATTGCCGCCTCCCGCCGACTTCGGACGCCAGTCGCAGAAGCACCAGCAGCCCGAGGTCGGCCCCTCGCAGTTCATGTTGCGCTGGCTCCAGGTGAACCGGCCGCGGCCGTCACACTTGTAGTTGTAGGGGGCGTAGTAGCAGTAGCGGCGGTCGACGGGGCAGGCGATGTCGCAGTCGCGGCGGCGGAGGGTGACGGTCTCGCCGGCCGAGACGACGGCGTTGTGCTCGTCTACGTTGTCGTGGCGGGCTCCGGCGGCCGCGGGGGCACGGTGTGCGGTGTTGTCGGGGTCCGTGGCAACGCCAGCGGTGACGAGGGCGGCCATGCCGGCGAGGAGGAGGACTTGTATGTGGTTTTGTGAGACGAGTTCCAGTCAAAAGGTCTGGGGAGTGAGCTCACAGCTGGTCTTCATCTCCAAGACCTAAAAGTGTCTCTTTTCTTCTGAAAGGCAAAGTGACGGAAGAGTATTGTTTGTGGAAGAGACAAAGCAAGGAGGCTCGAGTGAAATACGGAAAGATAGTGATGGAAAGGAAATGAAGGCTAGGGAAATATGTCGGCCTTTATCTGCAAGCTGTTGGTTGAGGTTTTGGCTATCAGATATATAGTTCTCGAAGAGAAGAGAGGACTTGCAGCAAACAAATGGGCAAGAGCCGGCTCCTTCCTTCCACCATAATCATGAGCCGGCTGCTCTTGCCTCCATCACTCTGAAGCTGAACTGTGGCCCAGGGAAAGAGCACCGGGGGGTTCTTGCCTTTTTTTCCACTGGCAATGACATCACAAACCAGATTTGATATCAATCATTCTCTGTTTGTCGTGGTTTATGGTTTATTTCCCCCATCTTTCATCTCGGGTGTGATGATGATGACGACGACGACGACAACGATGATATGGTGCTTAGGAAGGCTTTGTTACGGTGCAGGCAGCAGGATGAGCGTCGTGAGCCACTTGACCCGCCACCTTACACGGCAAACAACAAACATGGCGAGCGGCTTCTTGCATGGATTCATCGTGATTGTCCTTCTCTACAAACTCGATGCCAAGTTATGTTCCAAACATACCTACTCGACGCCCCCCCCCCCGTGTTTGCGCAGTTGTGGCTTGTGTCGGGAAACCGGCGGTCAGGGGAGAGTGTCTGTGGTTGATAGACAACAACTTCCCTACTACGTCACAAGCCTTCATCATCCGTTTGGCCAACAGGAATCCTCGGGCTTGTTTGCTGGTGGTTAATATGGATATGGGTAAGGGGAGGAAAGAAGCCTGGCACACTCCACTCACCGTCTTCTCGGTGTTACACACAATCTTGGGCCCGGCGATCTACTGACAGGACCCCCGTATCAGACTTCCGGGACACCGCATGCAGAGGAGAACCATGGGAGCTAGGAAGTCAAGAGCACAGATATAGGATGACGAAGAAGAAGAAGAAGAAGGGGAGGAAGAACAAGAACAACGCTTAATTAGCCACCCTATCTTGGACACGTTCCCTGCCAAACATTGTCGCGTAAGTGATTCCAGAGGTATAACTACAATGAATACACGTTAAGAAACATATGAAACGCTCCCTTCTAATGCTTGTTTGTCGTTAAGAAAAGATGAAAAAGGAAAAAGTCAAAAAAACTCAGACCAACGCCCCCCGTTTCCGGCTTTTACCCCCCGCCGCCGTCTTGCCGAGCCAGGCCGCCTCCTCGTCCAGGCGGCCGTAGTGCGTGTCGACGATCTCCTGGTCGAGGTAGTTGAGCCGGTGCCCGCACCGCGTCCACTTGACGTCGTGCGCCGTGGCCGAGTCGTCGCAGCACCCGCCCCAGCAGTCGCCGATGCGCTCGATCACCGACTGGTACCTCGCCGCGCCGCTGCGCCGGCTGCGGTCGATGATGTTGATCATGGACGGGATCGCCACCTCGTGGAACACGTCCGCGCACCCGAACACGTGCGACAGGAAGATGAAGTCGGCGAAGAACCGCCGCGGCACGTAGAAGATGTCGGACCACCCCACGCAGAACTCCTTCTCCTCGACCGCGTAGCCGCGGTTCATCCGGAGCACCTCGCCGTTGGCCGCCACCACCATCTCGTTCAGCTTCAGCGACCACCGCCACCAGTCCGGGTACGTCTGCGGGTCCGTCATGCACATGTACCGCGGCCCGTAGCCCGCCCCGCTCGACTGCCGCGTGTTGTGCGTCGTCGGGAACCAGATGGACTCGCGGTTCGTGTCCACCCACGCCATCGGGTCGATCCACGAGTCGAAGTGGAAGTACAGGAGGCCCTCGATCTCGGGCTGCGTGTCGAGCACGAGCTTCATCGTCCGCGCCACCTGCATGTACACCGTCTCGTGGTGCGGGTACTGCGAGTGCGTGAGGTTGTGGTAGTCCGCCGGCTTGTCCTCCATCATCTCCGGCATCGAAACGTGCACCGTGTGGAAGAAGGGCTCGTACTTCATCAGCAACGGCACCCTCTCCGTGCGCTTCGAGTTCCACCGGATCATCGCGAGCGTGTTGCTGAACGGCGACGCCGAGAGGTTGCCCGCCCCGTTCGTGATCTTGTACGGCTCCGTCTTCTCCGTGAACGGCGGAATAATCTCCGCCGGGGGTATGAGGCAGTGGCCCTCCGTCTCGTCTCGCATGTAGAGCCTGTATTCGGGCGTGTGCGGGGGCTCGGCCACCGTTGCGAAGGGTACGATTCCTGCGCCGATGACGCCGGCAACGGCCAACAGGCCGAGCTTCAGCTTCTGCCGCCGCGTTAGTCTCGTCTCACACCCCTCGAAGCGTCTGAGCGGGACCTACCTTGAAAGACCCGGACGGCGGGGGGGAGCCGGGCGCCCTGTACTCGATTGGAGGTGCGAAGTGGTCCTTGGCGGGTGCGAACTTCATGTATGCCAGGGTGGCGATGAGAATGAGGGCCGTGCCGGGGATGACGAAGCTGCTATATTGTGTCGAATAGGTAAAGGCAAACGTCAAGAGAAGAACCACGGCCGTCACATCGTTGGTGAACCATCGGGTCCACGCATCGACCCCTACCACAAATCAGCCACCGGCATCTGGTATCGCGGGTTGGAAAGGGGGAAAGGAAAAAGAAAATAAACAAAGGCTTACTCTTGTACGCAACGGTGCTCGCCATAGACACAATGGTACCCAGAAGCACTACCGAGACGGCTTTGCCGTCGTAGCCGTACAAGAACCCGGGCTCGTAGACATTGTGATACCGGACAAGAATATACACAAAGAGGTTGAGGACCGCCCCCATCGCGCCCAGCACGACGCTCGCGCCGTTCGCGCCGACGTCGATGCCCTTCAACAGCCTCTCGCCGTAGATGTCGGACAGGGCGCTGAAGCTCGCCTGGGCCACGAGGCTCGTATACAGCCGGAGTTGGTACGTCGACGCCCTCGTGGGGTGCTGCGGGAGGTACTGGGACAGCACGAGGCCGGACGTCTGGAAACCTGGTCAGCCGAGGAGTCCCCGAAAGCGGCCGTGAGCCACCCCCTGTTTGCGTGTGCGCGTGGGATTTACCTGGACTAGAAACGCCATCCACCAGGTCTTGGGGCCCTTCAAACCGAAGACCGGTGCCGTGACGAGGGCAGCGCCGACGGCGATTCCGCTCTTGGTCAGATGGACGGTGCCGGGGTCGACCAAGAGCAAGTTGACAAACATCTATACGTCAAGAGTCAGTCGCCGAGAGCACTATTCACCCGAATGCTTTCCCCCTCCCCCTCCTCCAAGGATCCATACCAGGTTGTTGCTGAGCATCTGCAGCAGAGCCACCCTCATGAAGGCAAACCTGACGTCCGTCTCTCCCCACACGTAGCGCCAGAGCGTCTTGACGCCGTCGATCCGCGCACCCAGCGAGTGCTTCTCGTTAATGGCGGCGAACCTGCCGGACGACGGGCCGTCCTCTGCGTCGACATCCGCCTCGGCCGAGGTGATGCTGCTGCTGTCGAGCCACGAGTACTCTGCGTCGGCACCGGCGCGCTTGCGGATCTCGCGCTTCAGCAGCAACGCGGCGCCGGCGAAGCGGAGCATCTCGGATATGACCAGGCTCGACGACGGCGAGAAGTTGAACTGTCCTCGCTCGCGGGCGTTCCAGAGGTTGACGGCGGCGCCTGCCTGGAGCAGCACTAGTCCGAGCGCCGCGAGACACGGGATGAGGCCGACGACGCCGGAACCCCCCGCCGCCGCCTGGGCGCGGCGGACAAGGGACCGGGTTAGCGGCATGGCCGGTCGGTATTGGGGTTGGATGGGTCGTAGAGGGAAAAGAAAGAAGAAAAAAAGAAAAGAGAAAAGAGGGAAAACGTGGGCGACGCGCAGATGCCTGTTGATTCGTAGGCGCTCTCTCTCTCTCTCTCTCTCTCTCTCTCTCGTTCCCTTTTCTTTGTTCTTTCGTGGTCTTGGCTGTCAAGGGCGAAAGAACCACGACTCTACCCGCGCGACAAGACCGCTTGTTTGTTTTTCTTCTTTCTTTCGCCCTTCTTTTCGGTTGACGTCAGCCTCGGTGAAAAAGAGAGACCAGACGGTCGGCCCTCTCGGCTTGGGAGATACGAGCCGCGGCGGGGCGATGATCGGCGTTGTGAGGGAAAGTATCCGACTTATCCCAGTCTCGGAGAGCCGTTAGCACGTAATGGATAGGTAAGCTTTGCTGACTGAGTGGACCTTTCAAGCCTAACAAAGACCAGAGAAACCCGTCCAGGGGGATCGCCGGGAGGAAGTGGTGGTGGGAATCCCTCTTGACTATATACTATGCATGTGTAACCAGCTCTCTCCTTTGTCCCAAGGGGATGACCGTAGGTATTCCGATCCCAACGCTTGGATTAAACTAGATTCGCAGATGTCAAATCTAGAATTGTCTTAAACCATGTATGACCTTCTTACTTGGGTACTTGTACTTGTAACCGGGGGGGGCTTGAACTTTGCCCCGATACTGTGTGTGGTGTTTGTAGGCACCTCTGCTTTTGCTGATCCCCCCTTTTGACGACAGATTGATTGATTGATCGCGCTGCTCGTCGCTCGCAACGTTCAGTCCACCAATGTTTTTGCACGGTCCCCCGTCAACTCTTGCGCGAGAACGAGAACGAGTGGGCCGACGAGATGACCCTTACAAGCCTGCCTGGTCAAGATGCACCGTTGCCTTGGCGTATGTGTATCCGTACCTCGGATTCCACATCCATACCCTGTATACCAATAATCATGATATGCAAAGGTGTCCGTCCATCCAGTGAGAGAACCATGGGATGGCGTCCTGCATGTGCTTGTCTGCAGCAGCTTTGCCTGATTACTTGGGGCGACGGCTGGTCTGATGATAGGTAAGGCCCACAAGCCAAACAAAACTGCGCCTCGCCCGGACTCCCACCAAACTCTCGGGTCAAAGGGGGGATGAGAGTTTGTGATGGGCGAATCCGCGCGCCTTGCCACAAAGCTTCCGCCCTCGTCGTCTGCTTACCTTGGGCGCTACAAGGCCTTTGTGGCCTTGTCCTTACAAAGGAATGCTTAGTAGCACACGCACGGGGGGTTCGAAAGAGGACACGTCTTCGGTCCATAAATCAAGCTTTCATAGCGAGTCGCAGAGGCTGTCACGGAATGGCGCACCTGAAAGGACGGAGCCTGCATCCAGGAAAGCCAGGCCTCATTGTCAGCTTACGCCAGGGCGCGACCCGCGTCTCCCTATTGGACCATGCCATTGTCTTATCATTCAGCGCCAGGGGCGGAGGGGCCGACTTGACCAATCTCGCCAGGGGCCCGCGCCCCCGGCTCGTACTCCAACTTGTAGCCGTCACGGCACGTAACGCTATGTAGCTACAGGGCTGGGGTAGGATTCGAGGTATGAAGAAATGCGACAGGGTGAAATGGTGAGGTGGGGGCTTGGAGAAAAAGAACATTTCGAGACCCTCGTATGAGATGAGACGAAACAATGTCTAGGTGTCTCGGTAGAAACACAGGAGCCGAGACGGTCACCTTGGGTTCCCTCGCCTCCCCGCAACGACGACTGCCGGTGCTGACGTGGCGGAATAGGAACGTCAAACGAAAACAAAATACTTTGATAACGTCGACCCCGACGGCCGAAGGGCGGATGGGGTGTGTTCCGCCTGCTTCTGACGGGACTCCCGCAGCTTGTCACCATGTTCCCAAACTACATGGGGAGGAGTATGAAACACATAAAGCCAGTCAATCCAACCCAAGATCTGTTGCCACACGAGACAACCTCAATCAATACCTACAGAGAGCATGGCATAAGACACATGTGCGCGCGCGCGCGCATGCATACCGCTAACCAAAGAACGGCGGCGTCCGGCATGGCGAACCGGGGAAGCCCCGTCAGGTTCGCCTGGCTGACCGACGACAGATGCTTATTAGATTGTTTTTGAGCATCCTTCTCAGTTACCTGCTTCTATTCTAATCCGTACCATGTCGGTATATCCTGCGCGTGCTAGTGGAGCGAACAGGCTAACTGACGTGCGCGAAGGGTATCTCTCAACTCCACCGCATCAGGGGAGGGAAACCCGATGGGGGAAGAGTTTCCGCGTGGCCTTTTTGCCCACGCCACACATCGTATCCCTTTTGAGAAGGTCTTTTTTCTAATCCGACATCCTCGCCGACACCCATCGTGGTCCTCGCAGGAACCCCCATTGCCAGTCATCCGACCCGACGGGCTACGTTCCCATGTGTACTATGTAAGGGCGTCTCCCTTCGTACCAAGGTACTAGGTAATCCAAGTCGGTCCCCTTAGGGTTGCACAGGTACATACAATACACAAGGTTAACCATACACGGTCGTAAAGAAACACAGTGAAAGTATCATGCCCGCGTCTCCCCTATGCTAGTACCAATAGTCCACGGTTGGAACACGGCCCTCTGCAGATCGAATTGAGGCCACGGCTCCAGCCATGTGACGTGCGTATCTTCATCGCAGTGCGTCCAGGCACGACCACTAGCATCTTCTCCTCACCGCAACCCCCCTGACCCGTGGGGGCCATCCATCCATCCAGCCGGCGTTTACGTCTGCCTCGCTTTAGCGCTCGTCGGGTCAGGCCAACATAGACTTTACTCTGTCGCTGTAATCTCATGTTTATGCGCTTGCTACGCATCGTTCATACCTCACATCTCGTTGGGATTCTGTGGCAGCACAGTATCATGGCGATACATGGCGTTCCATGTGCAGTGGTGATTCTCTTACATAGTAGGAGAAACTCCGCTACCAAACGAGAGAAATATCCCATCGCTGTTTGAAGCAGATCTTGAGCTACCAGGTAGAGGCCTGGATCGATCGGCGGCACCGAACCCCTCGCCCGAGTCACCGACTCACACAGGCGGCCAGGTCATGCGGATCATCAACGTCTCATCATCGGCAATTGGCGATGCTCATGGCGCGGATCGCAGGTCTATCAGCCGGCTTTCTCATCGCTTAATATATGGGATACCTGGCTCGATCTTGACGAATCGACCACAATCCCGGTAAGTTGGGCGGATGAACCTATCAAAAGAGGTATCTCGCCCGTCTTGGCCATCTGATGTCGGGAGCCATCCGGATATACAGGTAGCACGGTCTCAACGGTCTGAGGGTCCTTTACGAACCTCAAAATATCCTCCCAAGTCCATTGCGAGTGCGGCTATTCAGACCGTATAGTTTCATTATGCAGACCATAGCCCACTAAATCCACCACTGCCGCCGCTACCATAAATAACTACATCTAAATTACTACTACTAGTTACCTTCGTAGGTGCCCACCTAAACTAATCAATTCCAATACCAGTAATCGTCTAGCAGTGCTCTACAAAGCTGTAATGATGGATACGCTGTTGCCACCTATGATTATCAATATGCAATCGTTGATCTGGGCGTATTATTGCCTCCGGTGCTCCAAAGTGGACTACGTTCTGCATAACGAAACTATACGATCTAGATAACCGCACTCACTGTCCATTACAGTACTATTACAAACTCGGCGAAAAGGTGGCCGCAGGGCTGCCTCCCCCCCCCCCTTTCCCAACCACCAACGGCTACTATAATGACGGTTGGTTATCAACCTCACGGCCGGCCATCTTTTGAATCCCAATAATCTTTTTTTGGAATCGGGAATCGTGTTTTGGCTGACCCAGTTCAGCAGTGTCACCCGAAAGTAGTCTGATGTTTCCCTCCCACATCGACATGGCCCGACAGCGGTCTCCCAGTTCGATCCAGTGAGCCACCGCAGAAAGACAGGAACGATTGTGATACCTGTATTGGCCGAGGACAGATGAAGGCACACCGGCCGCCGTTCACCATCAGTAGAGTTTTCCACGGGAGGCCGGCTTACCACGAGCCCAAGATGTGCCGTCGGCAGTAGTTCGTGACTTCTGGGAAGGTTGAGGAATATTCAAGCCGTAGGACAGTGAAAAATATTACGTGGTCGGTTTTCTCTGTCGTTGGCGAAGAGGCTGTTCTTCAGAATTCGCTCTACAGCCGCCTGCCAGGTATTCAGCCCTAGTTGAGTGTTGAGACGCAACTGATCCCGCCCAATGGTCTCGATATGGCTCCAGTTCAAACCCATGGGCCCTTGATAGGTGCCGTCACCTGGTTCCTTTGCTTCCTCAGCGGCGCTTTCTTAGCTCTGCATCTGTACGCAAAGCTGAGCAGAGGCCAGAAGCTGTGGTGGGACGACTATATCATGATATTCTCCCTGGGCAAGTCTATCCCGTCTTTAGCGGAGCAAAACGGCGGACAACTTCAGAAACTGACTCCCTCGCCAGATCTGCCTCTTCATCGAGTCCGTAATCACACAGATGAGCATCAACCTCGGGTTCGGGCGGCACTACTACGACACCAAACCGCAATCAAACCTCTTGACGATCGCACTGTACACCTCAGTCGGGGCGTCCATATGCTGCTTCGCCTCGACGGGCAGCAAGGTGGGGTTCGGCGTGACGCTTCTGCGGCTCCCGTCAGGCTGGTACAAGGCGTTCGTATGGTTTGCTGTCGTGACCCTGACCGCCGTCATGCTTCCCAGTGCCACCATGACGTGGTTGGAGTGCCACCCGATGCAGAAGGACTTCAACAGTCAGATGGAAGGAACCTGCTGGGATAAGTCTGTGACGCTTAACTACGGCATCTTCAACGTTGCCTGGTGCGCCTTCACGAACTTCATCTTGGCCTTGATTCCGTGGAATCTGATATAGGGGATGCGCCTGAAACGGTATGATAAGATTGGTATCTGTTTCGCCATGAGTCTCGGATGGCTGTAAGCATATCCATTATATTCGTTGCGTTGCTAGCAGCTGCGGATGGATATTGACTCGGGTGTTATAGGACAGGCGTATGTACCATCATCAAAGGCGTCTAACTCGTACAGTTGGAGAAGGACGACTTCTTTTGTGGGTGATTGTTTGTTTCGAGGGCTAGCTGGACTTCGGAACTGACGGTCCCCCATAGTCAACGGAAAAGATGTCACTATCTGGACTGCCGTCGAAACAGCCGTTGCAATAATAGTGTTGGTTTCACCAGGGGGGGTGATACGGTTAACCGTACGTATCAATAAGTAAGTAATAAATAATAGGGGTAAATACTAGTTCTAAATTATACGTTAAGAAGGAAAACTATTATAGGATTACGTGGCGAATTCACTACGTAATATCCCTGTGGATCCAGTGGATCCACAGCAAATTAGCTGTAGTTATTCTAACTAATTAGCGTTAATCTATATTACTAATATCTAGGTAATAGTTAATATTATAACACTAGTAACCTTCTAAAGTGCTATAAATTATCCTTATTTTCTAGTTATCTATAAAAGGCCTAAAAACATAATAAAAATAAAAGGCTAAAAAGTATTTAATACTTTTTATATATATAATTTATTATGTATATAAAACCTATCTATTTATCTATATCTCTAATTAACTACTATTAATTAACTACTTTAGCGCTTTATTAAGTAATATCTTTATAAATCTATCTACTAGGTTATCCTCCCTTTATATTTATTAGATCTTATAAATCTTATGTTACTTATATAACTAGTAAAGCGTTATAATATTAATTATAAGTTACTTCTTCTTAGTAGTACTAAGCTTTATAAGGCACTTATAGAGGGAGTATAAGTTAGTATAAAGAATTATTAGGATTTATAGTAACTTAAGGTAGTTAGTAATTATTATAAGTATAATACTAATTATATAGGTAATATTAGCGCTAGTAACTATACTATAGACTTTAGAGGCTAATATACTATATATAACTCTTTTATACTTTATTAAGCTAAAGTAGATAATATTACTAGTAAGTATAAATTTCTTATTATTAGTAATAAGTTATATAACGTTACTTTTATTAGTAAGTATAATAATAAAGCTAAGTTATAATATAAAATTATAGTTATTTATAAATAAGCTGTTAATAAAGATAAAAAGCTTTATAGTTATAAGGTTAATTAGCTAAAAAAGTAGGCTATAGTTAAGGTAACTTATTTACTACTTAATTTAGTAGTTAAGAGCCTTAATCTCCTCCTCTATAGGCTCTTAGTGTTATATAGTAACTAAATAGTTAAAGTAAGCCTTAGGTTAGTATATTAATATAATATACGCCCTATAGGCCCTTTACTAGATAAAATCTTACTTAGTAGTAAGTAAATTTATATTAACAGGCTAAAGCTTCTTGCTTTAATCTTTTTAGTAAAAATTTATTTTACTATTATAGCTAAAAAAAAGTATATTACTATTAAAGGTAATAAAATTATTAATAGTTAATAGTTACTTAGGCTTTATAGTAAAAGTTACTTTCTTAAGCTTTTTCTTTTTATAAGTAGAGAATTTATTATCTATAAGGCTAATTATATTATTTATCTATATACTAATAAGGCTAAAATCTTTATTATTAAGTAATAAAATAAGTAGGTAGGGGTTAAAGGTTAATAAATTTATCTAGAGATTCTCTTTATAATAGTAGTTATATATAGCCTACTAGTAGGTGTCTGCCTTAGTAATACTATAAAGCGGCTTTATTACCTTTATAATAAAGTCGCTAGGGTAAAGGTAGTAAATTTATATAAGAAGTCTTATAAGAATAATATAGTTAAGCGGTGTAGCTAATTAGGTATATACCTAAGTAATATTATATAACTAGAGGTAAAATCCTTATTATAAAAGTAAAAAAGTAAAAGTAAGAATTAGTTACTAGGCTATTTATTAGATTATAAGTAACTATATAAGAATTATTTTTTTACTATTATTAGTATAACCTTAGATAACTAACTATAATTTCTTATATAGTTACTTATTTTTCTTTTTAACCTTATATATTATATATAACTTAAAGATCTATATATTACTATATATTTTCTTATTATAAGTAATAATATAAAATATACTATAGTTAATAAAGGCTTTTACTTTTACTTTATTAGATTCTTTAAAAGGCTTACTAGGCGTAGTAATAATACCTTTTTTATATAATTTAATAGTAAGTGCGTAGTTAGCTTCCTCTTTTATAGTAAGGTATATATTAAAGACGTTAATAGTAAGGTGTATCTTATAAAAAAAAGTAGTAATTAGGTTCTTTTATAAGTAGCTATAGCCTTATTATAGGGGGGGCCTATTATTAATAATAATAGTATTATATACTTCCTCTATAGATTTATTAGTTATTATAGGTTCTTCTTCTTATGCTTATATAGGATTATTACCTCTTTTAGCTGTTATAAGCAGTAGCGCTAATTAGTCTTCTTCTTATACTATATAGTATAGCTTTACTATAGTAATATAAAAATTATATAAGCTGTAAGGTAATTTAATAGTATAAGTAATACTATTATTAGTAAGTAAGTAAAATAGGCCCTACTAGCTATCTTTTTTATACTATATATAGATAAGTAATTAAAGAGGTAGCGCTATAGTATTTATTATATCTAGGCTATTATATATTACTAGCGTATTATATACTTATCTCTTTATATAGATTTACTACACTATATTTATAGCCTTTTTTACTACTTTAGCGCGCTATATAGTAAAAGGGGCAGGTAGTAAATTATTTATAATATAGAGGTATACCCTAAAAATAAGTAGAGTTAGTATAAGGCTATTAGGGCTAGTAGTATTATTAATAGCTTTAATAGCTAGTTAAAAGGTAACTTTAGGCTTATAATTACTATCTATATAAATAATCTTATATATATAGTAAAAAGCAGTATAGTATTACTTAACCTTATTAATAAATTAATAGGCCTTAATAGGCACTTTATTAACCTTAATAAATAACGTATAGGTAGTATATTTAAATTTAGCTATATAAAAGTTTAGGCTAGTGTTAATAGTAATCTAATTAGGTAGCCTAAGATATATATTAATTTAGTATATTTATAGTACCTTTTATATATACTTTATAGTAACTAAATATAAGAATCTTACTATATTAAATATAGTAGCTAAGTTAACTATATAAAGTATAGGCTTATTACTATCTATATATATTATATTAATAAAGATTTTATAGTTAAATTTATAGTTATTATATAGTATAAATTTAAAGTAGCTAGGCGCCTTTACGTTAAGTTAGTAGTAATAGTAGTACTTATTAATCTCTTTAAGCGTAGTAAGAAAGGTAGATTTACCTGCTTATTTAAGTAACTTATAAAGGTAATTTACTAATAGGTAGCTAAATCTATAGTAAATCTAGCGTAATTTACTATTAGTTAAGTGTTACTTTATAATAGCGCTCTTAGGCAGCTCTAAAAGTATCTATATGTAGCCTTATTTTTAAGTAATAAGTATAATAATCTTATCTTTAATAAGCTAGTTAGTAAGGTTATTAAATTTTACGCTATAGTAATTTATATCTTATAGGTAAAAAAGAAATAGCATATTACTTATTATTATATAGAAAATAAGCTTACTAATTAGTATAAGTATATAGATTACCCTAAGGGATTTATAGTAATCCTTACTACTAAAGTAAATTATTACTTTACTAGTATAAGTAATATCTAGTAAGATCTCCTTACTAAGGTGTTTTTTAAGGGTAAAGTACTACTACTAGCTAGCTATAGATATCTTAGCTACGCCTATATTAGGTATAATACCTTAAAAAGTAGATATAAAGTAGTAGTTATTAAATATAAAGATATTACTACTTTTTATAGTTATATTAAGTAATTCTTTTTTATATAGATTTTTATAGGTAATAATATAAAATATTACTTAGTTATATAACTTCTTATAGGTTAATAGGCTATTAATTAACTACTTACTAAAGTATATAGTTATAGTAAAAAACGTAGTAAATTTATAGTTTTTACTATCTAATAAGTAAATCTTATTATTTTTACTTACTTCTTTAAGATAACTTAGCTTATTACCTTTATAATTAATAAAAAAGTAACTAAAGGTAGTCTATAAAGCCTATATAAAGTAGGTGCTTTTATACTATATAAAGGAGGCTTATTATTCCTCCTTTATATACTTAGTTAACTAATAGCCTAATTTACTATAAATAAAGCACTTTTTAGATAGATTACTATTAGGTAGTACTTTACTACTAGCTAACTATAGAGGGCCTTATAAATAGCCTTACTGTCTCTAGAGGTCTACCTTATAGTTATACTAGCTATAATACTTATAGTTAACTTAGTATTAGTTATTACTATAATTATTATTAGTAAAGTATTATAACTATAGCTTATAGTAAAGAAGTAAATTTACTACACTACTATATAATTATATATAAAGGCTACTAAAGGTAGTAAGTAAATTAAGAATAGTAATAAAGTATTTAGGTATACTATAGTAGTAAGTAAGTAATTACTTATAATAATCTTTATTATATAAGGTGCTATTATAAGTAGTTACCTACACTAACTAGGTAATTTATATAATAAGTGCCTTAAGTACTTTAAGCTTACTTTTACTAGCGTTTTCTCTAGTAATTAAATTAAAAGAGTTAAGGTAAAGCTTAGCTAGGCATAAAAGGTATACTTTATTACCTTTAAAGCGTTATTTAAGCTTTACTATTATTATATTAAAATTATTAAAATAACTAAGTAATAAGGTAGTATAATACTTATATAGCTTCTTTTTAAGTATTACTATTACTACTATACTATAGTAGTTTTATAGTATACTTATATAAACATAAAGGTTATAAAAAAATAGTAACTTTAAGTTAATAGTTTTATATAGGCTACTAC